AAGTCTCGCAATGGAATTCTTGACGATCGGCAGGGCACCAGCGACTACCACAGACGACACAGGCGTTCCTCCTCAGAGAAACAGTTACGTCGTCGTCCAATGGATGAGACTGGCAGATGGCGGCCGACGTGGAGGCCAAACAACATCGAACCGTCTTGCGTTTGAACAGGGCGCAGTGTCCTGGGTGTAAGATGGCATTGGCAGATCATCGCACGCCGATCTTGATGGCCCGGCGCCGTGTCATTGAGCTCTAAGCCTTGCCGGGGCGGTGGCGGGGCTTTGTTAGGACTGGACGGGGAGACAAGTTGACGGGATTGGAGAAGCTGGTGGCAACATGTCGACGATCATCTGTGGTGGATTGCAGTCAGCCTCAAAAGCAACAGCGGCATCAGCATCATGATCATCATCAACATCATCATCACCACCAACACCCCCCTCTCCCTGCACACTGTCGGATGCATTGCCGCAGAATGATCATCTGAGCAAGGGAAGAGAATGCAGGCAGTAGGCCGAACAAGACAGGGACCCAGGACCGCAGGCCCAAGTTGTGGAACTGGTAAGGTGTTTCAGCAGTGACGGGCCCTGTCGATGATGATTTGAGTTTGCTGCTGGACAAATTTGGCCCATCTTGTCTTGGATTGAAGAAGCCCAGTCAGGAAAGGTGTGCTAATAACGATCATAATGGTGGGGTCGGCTTGGCATGTCCCTGCTCCAGCACGGCTTGGCTGTGTGCTTGCGACAAGACAGATGGCCTCTGTATGGGCGAGAGCAGGACGCGCGTCAGAAGCCAAAGCTAAAACGAATGGACGATGGATTGGAGATGGTGGGGAATCGAGCTGACAGACGAGCACAGGATGGCATGCAACAAGATGGGGATGATGGATGTGTGCTGCTTGTACGGAGCACACAGTACTGTGCAGAGAGACCCGGATTCGGTCCAGTCCGATGGAGAGTGAAGGGAGGAGATGATCTGTGTGTGCATCAACGGGAGACGGAAAGCATCGAGTGTGCGATGCGATGGCTCATGACTCGGGTAACACCAACAAGACGGAGGGAGAAGTCGCATAACGTGGTACTGCCATATCAAGGGAGGAGGGTGGGCAGGCAGGCGGGCAGGCGGGCAGGAAGCCAGGAAGCCAGGAAGCCAGGCAGCCAGGCAGCCAGGCAACCTTGAGAGGAAGGCACATGCCTGGGTCTAGCTGATCATAGGCAGACAACATCGTCAGATGAGGACACTCGAAATGTAGGTCTACACAGTACAGTACATCTTCCACGACAATTGCAGCAAGTGCAGCGCAGTGCATTGTCAACCGCCCACCGCCCACTACCCACTGCCCGACGGGGAGCACAGACCATACCTTATTTCTGGCTCCAGGGCATGCCAGGGCATGCCAGGGCAGGGCAGGGCAGGGCAGGGCAGGGCAGGGCATCGCCCCCGTATCATCTGAAGTGCTGTACCGTACCACCGCCCTCTGTGCCTGGTCTGGTGTACCGTACCTGCCTTTTTGCCCACCTGGGTATCGACCTGGGCATCTAGCAGAGACAGGGGCTTTAATGGGCTGGACTTGTCCTCTCCAGGGCCCTTGCCAGCCCGCTGCCGCCCGTCCCTGCCGGCCCTGGTACTTATCTACACTGGGTATCTACACTAGCATCTCTCCTCCTTCCCCCTAGCTGTGCCTTCCCGTCGTCTGCCCGTCTGCCCGTTCCAGGCCCGCCAAAATCGGAAGGCCGATCATCAACATGTTTCCTACCCCCCTCGTCGTTCCGCCCCGTCTGTGCACACACTCACTCACCGACCCTTGTCAGGTACTCAGGTACCCCCACAGGAACAAGTACCTGCATCTGGAAACGGGCAACACCCGGTCTGGGGTGCGACATTGACCGTCTGCATCTTCCAACAGCATCCGTATCATACCATAGCATGTTGCGGTACTGTGTAGAGCAGAGTACGGAATGAGCAGAAGAACAATGACAGATAAGACGGTTGCAGCCCTGCACCTGCTACCTGCCATGTATCCGTCGTGGCTCGGTATACCACAGGACCGTGGTAGGAAATGGTGGGGTGGATGTACCCAGGTACCTTGTCCCTGCCACCCAGCCAATTCCACCCCTCCTTTGTTGTCAAGCTGCTGCCACCACCTTTTCACCCCCCACCACAAAGGAACTTAGAAGCAGCGATATCGTCGTCTTCATCAGGGTTGATCCATCTCTCGTTGAGAGCCTGCAGCTTGCTGTCTGTTTCCCCTCCTCTGCGAATCTGCCCCCCTGCCAGGCCCATCCTATCCTCATCATCACCACCTGGCAAAGCACGAAGGCCGAACAGCCGTCTTAAGGGCCCCAGATCAATTAACCAACCAACCCATGGAATCCATCTCGAAGCCAGCCAGCCAGCCAGCCAGCCAGCCACCTAGCCAGCCAATCCGCAGCCCCAACCTCAGCCCCAACCTCGGCCAGCCTTGCTCGAGAACACCAGTCCCCACCACCAGCAGAGTCCAGTCCAACGCCAGCCAATCTCCCCCAACCCATCCTTTTGCCGCGAACAAAGGAGACCCCTCCACCATGATGAACAACACTCGAGCTGTCACGCCTACCCCTTACTGCCGTCAACGACACTATCCTTCTTAGAGCTGGCCCAAGGGGTGCGTCGAGGCACACCGACGTCTGTGCTGTGCGCTTCTCCTCGCTGGCCTGGCCCACAGCGCGCCCGGGCGGCCGTGCCCCTCGTCTATTGCTCGTCCCAAGTTGGCCCCCGTGCGAGGCACGCTTGACGCCGGGCCTTTATTAACAGCCACCATTTGCGGCCATTTTTGTGGGAGGTTGGGTCCGCCTTATTGCCTGCAACCGCCGATTCCGATGCATCGTCAATCACTCACGCGCCCAACGCACGCACATACGCTTTGCTCGCTCCTCCCGTGGTCTCGAGCCGACTCGCAACATTGTGCAGTACGGCAGACTGTATCCGTAGTACTTTTGAGTCTGGGAGGAATTGCCACGACCTGTCCTGTCTCGACAGCGGCACCCACGTCGATATCATCCTATTTCCGTCGACTCGGCCCACTTCGGAAAAACTGCCTGCAGCCTGACCTGGCTAGACCAGGGACAGTAGATACTGCCTGCAGTCAGTATGCATCAGACGCACCGGGGGCTGGCATTGGATGATGGGCGGGCGCATCGGACAGGGCAGGCAGACTGGCAGTCAGGCACAGCCGATTGACGAGACAAACAAAACACACAGGCACAACATAAAGCCGTAGCCACGGGCGGGTGTTCCTGCGTCCTGGCTGCCACACGAGATACTCCTCGTTTTCAGGCCCGGGCACCTGCTCGCGCCCAGCCAGTTCATCCCACATCCCGCTGCCGCCACCGCCTGCCTCGCTCGGGCAGCCGTCTCCTGCGCCAATGCGAGGGGCATCCCTTAGAACGTGCGTCCTCTGCCGCCAGCGCCTCTCAGGCAGTCAGGCCGTTGCCCGGGCCTGGACCTCGCCGACCAGCCCTCCTCAGCCATTCCTCCCGACCTGTCGCCGTCGCATCCCGGCAGTCCTCTTGTGCTGTACTTGGGCAGGGTAGTCTGGACTGTGTACTGTACTTCCCAACCTCCGCATCTCAGTGCCATGCCCGTCAAAGGTCCGCTGTGTGGTCATGGTGCCTCTTCCCCCCACCCCAAGGGACAGACGACAGCCTCCTACGCGACAACCTTATATGGGATAATTCTGCCACGGGCTCCCACAGCCTCCCTTTCTAGGACCCGAATTACGAATCAGACGACCGGAATTCCTGCCTCCTCCTGCCCTGGGTACAGTCTTGCTACTGTGCACTCAATAGACTACAGTACTAGAGCAACGTGGCGCTGTATTACCCCTCCGCCATCGCCTCGCCAACCTTATCTCGCTTGGCTGGCCAGACGCCCAAGCTCGCAGCAGTGTCGCGCTCGACCTCAGCCCCTGTCGCCCGCCGCTCAGAAAGTGTGCCGCTGTACATCACGACTCCTGCATTTTATCACGGTCCATGCACCACCATGACCAGTCAAAGTCGACATGACCGTGACGCCTTCTTCCACCCGTACAAGCATCGATGAGCCCGCTTTGACTATATCCCAAGAGCTTCATACGAACTGGACCATGGAATTGTAATGTAGCATGCGACAAGACGAGCACCGAGTCTCACCTGTCTTCACTTGTCCGCGTCGACTCGGGTCACGGCAGATAGCGGCCACGCACCTGCACGCCTCTCTGTCCCGGTAGAGCAGGCTGAGCTAAGCTTATTGCAATTATCACGACTGTCTGCTAGCCATTGCATTTCGGTGTTTCCGTCGCAGCCAGCCAGCCCAGGCTACGAGGTGGCCTAGCCTCCACCCGCTGTCTGTACAACTCATCCGCTGGAGTTGTGGGAAACACCGGGTACCCATTGTAACCTGCCTTGGCTCGCTCGCCTGTGCCTGGCCGGGGGTCACTAGCTAGCCTGGAAACTCACAGGCAGGGGGGTGGTTCCGTTCCTTTCCCTTTCTCCTCTGCTGCAAGCCGCCATGGTTGGCCAGCCGCAAACCGCCCACACATTAGTACCTGGGCCAAAGTGGAGAGGACAAGAGGCTGCATCCGCTGCTGCAGAGGAGGAGAAAAAAAAAAAAAAAGAAAACAGACGAAGCCCGCCGCAGTCGCCTTCAAACTTGTACTGGTAGTCGCCGTACGGGAAGCCTCGCCGTCCTGCCCTTCTCAGCCAAGTCCCCAAGTGTTCTCCTCGACGTTCCGTGTACTGTTGGCACTCTGCACGGAACAACAAGACGGGGAGGCTGACGGACGAGGCCGGACACCGGAGGTACTGTCTGTATGTAACAGTACATGTACATGCAGCCAGGCAGCCCGGAATGCCCAGGCACCCCTCTACCACGGTACGGTACTCACTTGACAAGCCGGGCGTCAGGGACGGACCTGGGACGTTCCACCTCTTGCTGGCCCTGGACCGGCACCAGCAATCTTCCTCTTAGCCTAGGGGATTTTCATGCAGGGAACTGGCGGCTTTGGTCGGTGCAACATTGCCACAGGGCCGGTTCCCCTGCCACCTTTTCTTCTGCTCCTTGCCCCAATCCGGACTGCGCAACGTCAGTTCCTCTTTCTCATCAATCCACTCCGTCGCCTTTTCCCGCCTTCTCGACCCTGCCCTGTCTGTCACCAGCGCAGACCAGCGCAGCAGCCTCCCTCTGCTCGCCATTGTATTATTTTCGGCTCCGAGATATCGCCAACTCCACCTCCCCGGCCACCCATCATCGTACAGCCAACCTGGGGGACGAACGACTTCTGCTGCCTCCACATCCGACGACAGCTGACAGCCCTCTTCTCTCCTGAGCCCTCTCTCACTGTCTCGCTCTCTCTCACTCACACTCTCCATCCCACCCTCCTCCGCGAAACACATGCGGTCTGCTGCTGTGTTGTCCAGCTGGCCGGTCTGAGCGTATCGCGATCCCCCACTTTGGCAATCCGAAAACCGCATCGTCAGCAACAGGGGCAGCCGGCGTTGTGGACCTCGATCGCCATTTTTTTTTTGCTGTGAGGCGCGTAGTGAGCGTGCACGGGATCCGCTCTTGTCAACCCCCTCTCTCGCTTCCTCTCAGACAGGGCAACCCATCATCACAGAAAAAAAAGGGCAAAAAATCCCACCGTCCCAGGTTGACAGCTCGATCTCAATGAAACATCAACATCAATAATCCTTGGGCGCTGTCTTGCTCTCCTCACCCTGTCCCTATCTCTACCCGGCCTCCCTGCCTCTCCTCTTCTCTAGTCAGACTTCCGTCTAGGCACTAGGCTTAACAATCAGTCTCAAACATCATCCCGCCGCAGGGCCCCGCATCACCCCTGTCCCTCCCCTTCCCTGCTGGACCAGGACGCACCGACTGTTGGCGGCGTCCCAACTCAGCCTCACCATAGGCTACTGGTTTCTTAAGCGCCGCATCACCCTCCCTTGGAATCCTCCGGTTCTCCCTTTGACTCCTCTCAGCTGCACCGCTTCCAACCAGCCCCTTTCCCCCCCAAACGACTACAAAGATGGCGGCGACTTTTCGATCCGTCAACTCATCACAACTACCGCCTCCCGACATGGCCGAGGCCGACTCCAAAGTGAAGTCACCCACGACGCCCCGACCCAGTACAGCCCCGCACTTGCCGCCGCCGCCGACACAGACCGCCATGGATGATGCGACGACCCCAACGAGAGCCACATTTGGTGCCGGCGTCATGGCCCAACAAAAACCTCTCCCGTCGTCGCCATTCCCCGAGGGCATTCAGATAAAGCCCGAGGACGCCACAGAGAGCAAGCGATCGTCCAGGGAGACCTCGCACAACCCCAAGAAATCAAGGGACTCTGCAGAGATGGACGTTGACGGCTCCGAGGATAAGGGCACGCCAGGTGGTGAGGAAGGTGCCGAGTCGGAGGACGAAGACAGCGTGAACGCCGATGGAAGCCGCTCGAGCAAGAAGAAGAAATCACAGCGCTTCTGGTGCACAGACTACCCGCCATGCAATCTGAGCTTCACGAGGAGCGAGCACTTGGCAAGGCACATCAGGTACGATTGGTCCCAGTTGTAGCGATGGGCCCTTGTTACATGCAGCGAATACTAACACATCTAATCAGAAAACATACTGGCGAACGCCCATTCACATGCCACTGCTCGAGGCGTTTCTCCCGCCTGGACAACCTGCGACAGCACGCCCAGACCGTACATGTGAACGAGGACATCCCGATGGACTCGTTGGCGGCGACTGGGACGAGATTCCAGCGACAGGTACGGACTGACCGGGTGCGCCAGGGCACCGGAAGAGCAAGGGCCTCGACGGCTGGCAGCATTGGCGCACCGGCTCGCGGTCATTCCAAGTCGCTGTCGACGTCCAGTATCACTAGCATCAGCTCTATCGGCTCGACTTTCAGTTCGAGGGACGACATCCGCTCGGGAAGGCGCCCGCCTCCTCTCGTCATGGCTGGAGACCCCCAGGCCCAAAGGCTGTCCATGACATCGATCGACTCCTACCGCAGCGCTGGTTCGGGCCATTTCCCGTTCCGGCAGCCATCGCCCAGTGACTTTGGCACACCGACCTCGGCAACCTTCTCCACCGGCCAGAACAGCCCGAGATGGGGCTCCGGTGTTGGCTCACCTGCCACCACATACTCACGCAGCCATGCCATGTACCCATCTGGGTCTCGCACCCCACACGAGCGGCGGCTTAGTGTGCCTTCTGGCGTCAACCCCTTCCAGTCTCCTCATGGGACTGGGAATCTTGGTCGGCCCCTCTTTGGGCCTGGCTCTCAGAATGCTTCAAACTCTGCCGCCCTTGGTTCTCCGGGCGGCAGCTTGCTTGGCTCACCCACCACCTCAACCTCTGGGTGGTCGCGTCGCGACTCGACCAACAGCATTACTGATGAATGGCGCAGGAGGACCTGGCACCCAGATAGTAGCAACTTCACTAACCCGGGGAGTCGACTCAGCCAGGTCATCACATCGTCGCAGCTCGACCCTCCTCCCGAGCCCCTGCCTGCCGTTGTCAAGAACGGCCCTCCACAGCAGTGCATCCGCCTGCCTGGTATCGAGTCGTTCGATCCCATCGCGCGTCGACCATCCTCACCTGTCAGGAGGGCTCCTTCTCCCATGATGGTGGACTCTGAGGGCACCACTCCGCCGACTCTGTTGCCGTCTGCCAACATCTCTGTTGAGAGACATGGCTCACAACAGTGGGAGATGGGCCTTCATCGCGGGCTGAACCGTCTGGAGATCAACAGCACGACCCCTCCGCGAGACAGCGCTGGAGCCTGGGCGAGCGAGGTCCAGCAGGCCATGCAATCCCGGGCAGAACCCCCTCGGGCATATCAGCCTACCGTTCGTTTTGAAGCCCAGCCGCAGGTTGTGCACCCCCCACCCGCTCCCTCTGCTACTGGACCCCCTCGAGGGCATCACCATACGATGTCGGCCCCGTTGATATCGACACACCGTGAAGCTAAGCGCCATGGCTGGTACAACGGACCAGCAGTCACCGTCCACGAAGACAGGGTCTTGGAGTCACGGCCGCATGTCGACCGCATTGCGCACCCAAATCTGCACGCTTTCTCCGGTTTCCCTGCCCGTGAACAGCAGCAATCTCAGTACGCGCCCCAGGCGACAAGCCCTCCTGAGAACATGAGAAGGCTGGAGGCTCTTGTTGCTGTGGCCACGAGCGAGTCGTCTTCTACTGCAACGGCATGCTAGGGAGGATCTTGATTTGTACGAGGATAACCGACCCACCTGTGTGCTCGTTCTATTTCTACGATGTCGATATTGCGCCGACCCGATGTCTCGGCACTACAAACCATGCCCTGCTCATGACCTGAACGACACATTTTCGAATATTACAACGACAGTCACGATAACCTTACACTTGCATTGGGAGAGGCTTGCATTGCTCCCCGGATACGACAAGGCAGCACACACTCGCTCACCATCCGTGTCTTTTCTCTTTTTGGGTTTTCTTTTCCGGGCGGTCTTGACGAAACAGTGATACCAGGTCGGCGGTTTTGACTTAGTTTGGCGCTGTGGATACCTGCTTTATTTATTTTGGATATGTCTATCAGCGTTGCAATTGATTTCCGTCTTGTCTTTTTTTTTTTTTGGTCACCTGTGGCGTTCCTTTGCTTGCCTCCTCTCGCTCTCCGCTACCTGACCATCTCCTTGTGCCTTCCTCGACCACCTCATCCTCTTTCTTCCGGCTTGACCTCTGCTTCTCAACTGCGAATCCACTTCAGCTACTTACTAGCCACGGGGATAAGCAACACCTACCCGATTCGACCTAGATAAGACCTGCCTTGGAAGTCTACTTGATCAACCAACACTTTTCCCACTTTTCCCGCCACCATTTCTCGACGTGATTTGAGGAGCAAGGACGAGGGCGACGGCGGTTCCCTGCTCTTCCCCAAAACGGGGATATGTGGGGAGGGAACATTAATGTGACACGGCGGGCCATGGGGACGGGAAGTACTCTGCTTCTATGATACCCCACCATCTTTGAATGACGGAAGGCTTTTGCATCATCATTGGAGGTCCTCTGTAGAGGCCGCCCGGGCGTGGGCTATCTCTTGGACATGCGGACAGGACACGAGGACAAACAACAATACGGGGGGCGAGTCTACACGATGCCACCGTCGGACATGGCATTTGGGAGGCTAGATTGAACAACCATTCTGTTTCGTCCGCCTCCATCTCCAAGCCGGGAGCTAGGGCCACAGTCCATCAACAACTGAGCCACATCTCGGCCTCTTGACCCCGGGTGCCCATCGGCAATTGGATTGGGGGCGTGATCATCTCTACTCCTGGGCTTCACGTATTTCACTTCTTTCGGCCGCACTATCCGAGCTTGACCTTGATATCGTATTGTGGGCGGCTCCCAGGGATGGGGCTCGTTTTCGACGGGCGGGCGGGATTGATACCCTAAGGTTGGACGGAAGGGGGGTCGTTATTCCCGTCAAGTGAGATGGGTCCCCCACACAGCGGTCCGGGCTGTCCTATCTCTATTTTCTCGTATTCTTACATAGCGTTTCAATGGGATCTTGATATTTATCCGCATTAATAATGGATGTCTTGGTGAGGGTGAACTTATGAATCACCACCTCGTCTATTATGTGGTGAGGGATGCTGCTCAAGTGATGTGTGGTTCCGTCCTGTCCTGGCCTGGCCGGGCTGGCCTCCCACCTGGCCTCCCTACCTACCTAGGTACCTATCGGCGGCGGCGGCGGCGGCGGTTGCGGCTTCTCCGTCTACTATGTATGAATAATCACCGGGGAGGTGGAGGTGGGGAAGGGAGGAGGAGGGACGGGATATGTCTCTCGACCGGGGCTAGGGGGTCCACGGGTTTTAGATACCCGCCTGCTCTGCCGCGCGTGCGCGCGTTGCGTGGAGACCCTGGATGGGAGTGTTGTAGGTACTAGTAGAGGTAGGTATGTATAGAGCACAAAAAGACAACAGGCCGTCCGTACCTAGGTACTGCCAGCCGTGATACCCGCGGCGGCGGCGGCGCCGCTGCCGTTGCCCGTTGCCGGCTCGTTCGTTCGGGTGGTAACCGAGACATACACACACACACATGAGCCACTGATACTACCCTTTAGAGAGAAACTGCCCAGGTTGGAGATGTGGCACATTTGCGAAGGGAGATGTGGCTGGTTCGTTGGTTCGAGATAGGGGGAAGGGGGGGGGGAGACGCAGAGGCGGCGACGGGCTAGGTAGGTAGGTAGTTAGAGACTCCCAGTTATTAGATACTATTGGTAGCAGGAGGGGAGTCGCGGGGTTTGATGTCGCATTGTTATTGTACATATGTGTCGTTGTCCCCCCTTCTTCCGCGCGCGCCTTTGTATTTTTAGTTGTTTTTGTTTTTGTTCTTGTTGTTGTCTCCCCCCCCCCTCTCACCCCCTGCGTCGTGTAGTAACGTTGACCTAGAGGTCGGCTGCCCTCTAGGGCTGCATGCATACTCCGTACATGTACCTCCTCGTCTTGGGGCCCCCTTGGCTTGCTTGTCCTGTGGCTGGGGATATGGGACTTGCCGGGGACACGGGGGATCAATGCTACACACTGCCAGTGGCAGGAGTATGGGATATGGGGGATACTCCTCTCGGGCGGTCTGTGGACGCTGGTGAGTGGTGCGTGTGTGTCGGTGGTCAGTCAGTTCAGTCAGTTCAGTCAGTCAGTCAGCACGTCTGCACGTCTGCGGGTCTGCATTATGTGGGAGTGGGTGGGTGTATGGATGGAGTGGCCGATCGCGGATGTAGCAACACGCAGCAACGCGCAGCAACAGCAGCAGCAGCAGCAGCAGCAGCGTCGTCTTGCATTGCATTGCATGCGTGTGTTGCGTGTAACAAACTGTACTGTCTGACTGTTAGCTACTCAGGCTGTGCTTTAAAGTACAGTAGTAGTCTAATCTGGCCTGGTCTGGCCTGGTCTGGCCTGGTCTCGCTGTTTCCCGCGAAGGCCGTGGGGCAGCGAGGATGGGGTCAGCTGGGCTTGCTCCGGTTGCTGATGTGATGCCACTCCTGCTGCTTGCTGTCTTTTGTTTGAGCATGGGGATTCGGGGCCGGGTTGGCACGGGAGTAGTATCGCGGCGGGTGTAACGTTCGGGGGGAGGGGGGTGGGATCAACGGCGGCGGGCATGGGTGCATGTGGGGTTGGTTGGCTGGCCCTCGCGTGGGAAAGGTGTCTTTCTCGGGCAGGGTGTGTGGGATGGGATGGGATGATCCGTTGTGTCTTTTTTTTTTCTTTTTTTTTTCTTGGTCATCTTTTTTCCCCTGTGGCTGGGACTCGGAAGATCTTGTATCTATCTATCCGCGTACATGGGTGACTAGTTCGTGCACTCATCTACTAATGCACCTGGGTACGCCAGCCAGCCTGCATTTGTGCGTGTACTATGCAATGCAGGTCTATAGAACTGTAAAGTGTGTGTGGAAACCTGCCATGGCTGGAAAACTGGGGGTCTCTCTCTCTCTCCGTGTGCGCACCCTGGGCTTGGGCTGGGGTATCTGCGCTTGATATGTATGTTTCACCTTGGTCTGCCCCTGTCTGCTGTATTTGTTTGGTGAGTTCCGCGAAATTGGTCCATGTGGGTGCGTGTTGTGTAGGAAGGGGTGTGTGTTCGTGTCTGCAGCAGGCCCTGTCCGTCGGAACCAGTGGCAGTGGCACTCTGCACCTTGCTGACCCCAGACATGAGGATGTTCTAGATTGTGGTTGATGAATCCCGTCCCGGGCGTGCAGTGTTTCCGCAGCCTTCATGTCTGGTCAGTCAGTTGGTACTAGTACTAGATAGACCCTGTGGCTGATGAATTCATCCACATGCATCACTAACACCACGAGTACACCCGCAGCAGCCGAGCCCAGGGTCCTGTTGTCTTGTCTATTTAGATCCTGAGGCATGCAGAGGTGAGACCACCCACACATGTGAGCTGGAGGAGGGTGGGAAGACTCAGACAAATGTCGTCACTCTTGACCAGGGGTGCAAGAGGCAGCAGCTCCACAGTTGAAATGCCCCGTGGGCTTAACCGTCGGTGGTGAGTGGACCGCATATACATATCTAGTGCTGCAGCCTGCCTTTGGACCCTTTCCCCAGCTGCCCAGCTGCCCCAGCTGATCTCATGGCTGAAAGGGAAGGGCACATGAAACGGGAAGACTCACTCACTCACCCACACACTCACACCAGATGTCACTCACTCACTCACTCACCCAACCCAGCCCCCCAGCCTCTTGGGAGAAATACAGCGCGGCAGTGCCAGCGAGCGTGGTAGGAGAACAGAGTTCAACCTAGTGGGCGGTGGCGCGCTCATGCCTTATCATCCGTCATGTCGTCCATCGTGCCGTCAATCCTGCCTTGGTGTCGTCTCGTCTGCCATCTCGATTCATTAGGGTAGAGATATGATGGCTGGGCCGGGCTGGGCTGGGCGGGAAGACGGAAAGCAGATACCCATCCACCCCTGCCCAAGTGTGGCGTCAAACGTCAAGGACAGGGATGGGTGAGTGAGGGGTATGACGTAGCCAGGTGTGGCTGATGCACCAATGACCGAGAGGCCTGGCCGTACATATGGCGTATTGCGTTGGCTCACATCACTTACAGGGCCGCAAAACAGGGCAGGTGAGGGAGTCTTGTGTTAGTTTTGCTTGCTTGGTTGTCGTTAACAGTAGACTGCTTGTACTGGGTGTGCAAACTGTTAGAGCCTTGCCCTGCCCTGCCCTGGTCAAGGCCCTGAGATCTGATATCATAGGTATCATATGCCAGCAGGCAGGCAGGCATGAGACTAGAGGGAGCTGGCCCGGTGCACGATGATGCTATGCGTGCCTGCAGTGCTGTCACTCGGGCTTACCTGTCTTATAAGGCGTGGCTGAGGACCCTTGGATCTGCCTCTGCTCTTTCTCCCTTTTGGGCATACACTCTGCAACTACACCGGACCTCTGATACTGTAAGCATGTGACGTTTAAGTCCAACCAGGCTGCATATAATATCGAAACCAAAACTGACCGTCCACCTCCAGATAGACAAACCTAGGAATATCATCTGGATCTGCTCTGCGGCCCTGCCAGATCAGCGTAACCTTGAGAACCTACTACACACATACACTACGTCTCCCACGATATCTTGACCAACATACACACCCAACATGGCAGCCAACATCCAGAACGCAACAGCCGGCGCCCCCCAGCTCTCCGAGGAGGACAAGAAGAAGCAGACCTGGGGCGAGTACGGCAAGCAGGTCTACAACGAGCAGTACGAGCGGTGGATGCCCTGGATCGAGGACTTTTACCTGCGCTGGTTCACGCGCGACAACAAGGCCAGCTACACCACCAAGGGTCAGTCACCGTCGTAATCACATACTCTCCCTCACCATCAGTACTCCTACTCCCACTACTTCTTCCCTCACGTACTGACACTGACACACGCGCAACAACAGACACGCTCGACAAGTCCAAGGTCACCGGCATCAAGCAGGTCGACAAGCTGCAGGACGGCGTCAACAACCTGGTCGCGGGCCAGGTGGGCCAGGACGGAATGCTGCAGCCCGTCGGCGACGCCTTCTCCAGGGAGGGCATCAACCGCGCCGAGCGCCAGGGCAAGGACGACAGCGGCAGCTATGCGCCCGGCCCGGCGGGGAGCGTCGTGAACCCGCTCGCCGAGGGGGGCAAGAAGGTCGGCGGGGGCATTGTTGACGGCGGCAAGGCGGCTGGGGGTTATGTTGGCGGGCTGTTTGGGGGTGGTGGTGCGAAGAAATAGGCGGGTGATCACCCAGCCGCCTTCTCCATCGTCTTCCTTCTTGTTACTTACCCCTTTCTTTTTTTGGTTCGGCTGTCATGGTTGGAAAGAGTGTTCCGTTCCTGTTTCTGTTGGCATCGTGGCCTTCTCGAATACCCCCTCCTAGCGAAATTTCTAATGCCATATTGGTAGTTGTCTGCTATTCTACCCATACTACTAAGTAGTACACTTCTAAATGTCTTTTTGTAGCAATCACACCTCCGCCAACTTCCTTCTTGCCTCCTCCACCATCTCCTCCACATCATAGTGCCATATCTCGTGAAACCGCCATGTTATCTCCCTCCCAAACCCCTCCGCGCTCCGAGACAGGTCCCGGTCCTTCCACTGGAACAGGTCGACGGCCTCGCGCGTGTGCCGAACCAGCCACTGCGTCCGGTCGTAACGGACCTCGCTGTAGACCCCGAACGCGGCGGCCAGCCTCTGCCCGAGCGTCGTCTTGGTCGAGGGCTTCCCGCCGTCCGCGCCAACGCCGTCGACAACACCCTCCTGTTCCTGGACTACCGTGAGCAACAGCTCCGCCAGCAGGTACGCGTCCTCGATGCCGAACCCGGCCCCGGCGCCGAGGTGCGGCCCGCAAGCGTGCGCAGCGTCGCCGGCGAGGCATGTCACCCTGCCGGCACCAGCACCAACACCAACACCAACACCCACACCCCTGGCCCCCTCTGTCTCCGTCTCTGACCCCCCGCCGTGATACCGCGGCACGGGGTTCTCCACCATGTCGAAGATAGCCCACTTGTCCATCTCGGCCGGCGGCAGCAGCCCCACGACGGCCCGGATGTCAGGGTGCCACCCCTCGAACGCGGCGCGGGCCTCCTCGGCCGTCGCGACGCCGACGTGCGGGTTCCTGGTGCCCGCGGGCGGGTGCCACTCCGGGCTCGGGTCGGACACGACGACGAGGGCGTTGAGGACGGTGCTGTTTGCCACCGGGTAGGTTATCACGTGGGCGCCCGGGCCGTTGTACATGTAGCGCGTGTTGATCATGTGCTGCGGGAGGGCGGCGGCGGCCTGCTCCATGGGGATCAGGGCGCGGAACGAGTACTTCCTGCTGTATGTTGCTGCGGACCCGGCGCCGAAGAGGAGGGTGCGCAGGCGGGAGCGGATGCCGTCGCAGCCGATTACTGGTTGTGGGGTGTGTGATGTGAGTATATATGTGTGAGGTCGTACTTGCTCGCTCACCTGCGTGTAAGTGGAGGAGGAAGGGGATAATAGGATAATATCAAAATCACCCACCCGCATCAGCAGCCTCCTCCGTCCCATCCTCAAACACGAGCCTCACCCCCTCCCCCTCCCCCTCCCCCTCCCCCTCCCCTTCACGCCCGTCCCTCACCTCCCTCAAGGCCTTCCCAAACACGACCCGCCCCCCGGGGAGGCGCCCCAGCACCTCCTCGAGCAGGTCCGCCCGCCGGCACCCGCGGAACCTGCCCTCGCCCACGAACAGCCTGTAGTAGACCTCGCGGCTCAGCCCGTCGACCCACTGGAAGTAGTCCTCGCCGTTGGGGTTGGCGACGCCCTCGTACGCCTCGGCGGCGGCGGGCGACAGGAGGTTGAGCGCCCGCTCCGCGTTGGGGCTGAGGCCGATGCCCGCGCCGCCGGAGCCGATGGCCTCGCGCGTGCGGGCGCGCTCGTAGACCGTGTAGGGGACCCCGCGGGCCTCGAGGCCGGCTGCTAGGGTTAGGCCTGTTATGCCTGCGCCTATTATTGCGATGTGAGGGGGGTTGGTCGTGGGGGACATGTTTGTGTGTGTGTGTGTGTGTGTTGGGGGAGGGGTTTGTTCGTTTGATGCGCAGAGATTCACGTGTTGAGGAGAAGGATATGTGAGGCAATAGTGAGTGTGTGAGGTCTGTTGGGTGAAAGCGTCGTTGGGTCTGTGAGCTGTGAGCTGTGAGCTGACAGCTGAGAGCTCTGTCAGATATCCATCTTTCCATCACATAGAATTAATTAGCTCGGTAAATAGGTCCCTGAGGGGCACGGATATGCTTCCATGCCAGTGCGTCTATTTGCTCCTCCTGCTGGCCCATTGGCTGTGGCGTGCCGTGCCGACGTTGGCAATTCCCCCCTCTCGGAGTCCGACCGCCGTTCCAAGGTTCCTTTTGGGGCCGCCCCCAGCGGCGGAGGTCCGGGACCTCGGGGATTAGTTATGGCTGCTCTTCTTTGATGACTGCAGGTCTAACCCGGCACGGGCCGGAGATTTGAAAGCCTCGGTTCTTGTTTTCTCTTTTCAATTTTGAGTTGTGGGCAGACCTGGGATATCAATATCGATTATTACTCACCTGGTCTGGTTACACGAGCAACGAAACATCGTCGAGATGGCCGGGGAGTACAGCCTGAGCAAGGAAAAGGTTCTTTTGACGGGTATGTGTTAAACAGCCAGCCAGCCAGTCAGCTCACACGCGAGTGCGTGTGCGACCTATAGACCTGCATATGTGTGGTCATTCGCTGAGTTGGTGATACATATGTGGCTGACGAATCTTTCATGGTCTGCTGTAGGCGGTAGTGGATTCATCGCCTCACACGTACTCGACACACTTCTTGCGCATGGGTCAGTATACGCGCCTCTATGACAATGCTCTCATGAATCCATGGCACAGCCTCCCTCATGACTTCAACAGCCCATCACAGTCCGGGACATGACGGGCCTTTGCTAAACTCTTTTGGCTCAGGTTCTCAGTGGTCGTGACGGCAAGGTCAACCGCAAAGGGCGAGGCCATCGTCGGCTCAATCGACGAGGCCCTGCGGTCTGACGTGTCTTTTGCTGTGGTGGAGGATATCGCCCAGGAGGGGGCATTTGACCATGTGTGTTCCTGCAGTCCGTCCATGCGAAAAAGAGTCATCCTCACTTCTCTCAGGTCTTCCAATCCGGGCCAAAGTTCGACTATGTCATCCACACGGCGTCTCCCTACAACTTCAACGTGGGAGACCCGGTCAAGGACTTCCTCGATCCCGCCATCAAGGGGACCACAGGCATCCTCAAGTCGATCAAGGCATATGCCCCGTCCGTGAAGCGCGTCGTCATCACCTCGTCCTCGGCGGCCATCATCAACCCGCTGAAGCACGAGAAGGTCTACGACGAGAGCAAATGGGCCCCCTTCACCTGGGAACAGGTCCTGGCCGAGCCCAAGTTCGGCTATCCAGGGAGCAAGGTGAGCAAGCCCCGGTCCCAGCCCTTCTGCCCTTCCTTCCTACCAGCGCTTGGAAAGTTCCCAGCCCCCCCCCCTTCTAGAATACTTACTCTCGCCCACCCACAACCTAACGCCCCACGAACCCACAGGTCCTAGCCGAAAAGGCAGCCTGGGACTTTGTGGCCACCCAGAACCCAAGCTTTGACCTCGCCACCATAAACAACACCTACACCTTCGGCCCCGTCCAGCGCCAGCTCCCCACCCTCGCGTCGATCAACACCTCCAACCAGCGCATCCGCGACCTGGTCCAGGGCCGGATGCGGCACGGGCTCGAGCCCACCGCGCCCGTGTTCACGTGGTGCGACGTGCGCGACGTGGCGCTCGCGCACGTGCGGGCCATCCTGAGGCCCCACGCGGGCGGGAGGAGGTTCTACGTGGTCGGGGGTTACTTTTCGAACAAGAGGCTCGCGGATGTCATCCGGGACCGGTTCCCGGCCCTGGAGAGGGAGGGGAAGCTGCCGCCCGTGGGGGAGGGGGTGGTTGATGATTTCCCTGCGGATGTGTATGGGTTCGATAATTCGCGGAGCCGGGGGGTTTTAGGGATTGAGTATCGCGGGTTGGAGGAGAGTGTTGTTGATACTGTTAGGTCTATTTTGGAGTGGGAGAGGAGACATGGGGTGAGTACATAGGGTTGTATATATGTAGTTCCGAATAACATGGAGTGATTCTTGGAAGTAGGTGTCTTTTATTACATATATAGCCTATATAGTTTTACTTTTATTTTATATATATTTAAGGATATATATAGTACCTTTATATAATAATAAGTATTTAAAACTTAATATTTAAAAAGAATATAATATTAATAATAATAGTTATAATATAATAAGTATTTATAATCTTAACTTTATAATATATAAATAAAGTTAAAGAATATTATTTTAATAATAATATTAATTAAAATATTATAAAAGAGTTATATAATAAGATTAAGTCTTTAAAAATAATTATTATATAAATAAATTATATTAAAAAGTTTAATTAAAAATTATCCCTTTAAATATATATATATATATATTAATAAAACCTTTATTAAATAAATTTATAAAATTCAATATTATACTCTTTATTTAAATATATAATTATTAACTTTAAAAGAACTAAAAATAAAAAGAAATTTATAATATATTACCTTTAAGATTTTCATAATAAAATATTAAAACTTTTAAAAGAATTTTAAAAGTAATTTATAAAAAATAAAAAAGAGTATAATAAGTTTATCTTTTTTTAAGTTATACTTTTATTATTAATAACTATTAAGTTTTTAATAATATAGAAAAATATAATAGAAATAAAGGAAAGAGTGGATTTAAAGTTTCTTTTTAAGAGAACTATAAGGATATATATAAAGTTGTTAAAGACTTTATATATAAGTTTTAGACTATTGGGGAAGAAATAAGTAGCTACACTAAAAGATAGTTATATAGTGTAAAGGAAAAATATAGTGTGGTTGAAGCCGTATGTGTAGCCTATATCTAGGTATGGAGAAATGATGCACTTTATCCAGATATGTTGTTCAACTCCATTCAGCCCTCACAGTGGTGACAGAGACACAGATGGTGGAGCAGAGAGATAGATAGAGGCAAGCCACTGTAAAACGGCTTGACCATGGATATGGGCCCAAACAATTCTTTGTCGCCCAGGATGGACCAGACAAGGACATCATTGGATGGCACCGTGAGTAGCAACACAACCTTGCTGGACCTTAGACCAGAACTCCCAAATAAAATCGGGGTTCTGAGAACATGTCAGGGCCACTGTGCCACTTCTGATTGGATTAAAGAGCACTGAATCGCACTCTCATGCTACATGCGTGTTCAAAGTGCTGCCCTGAGACCACTGCAATGTCTAGAGGACTAGGTTCATTATTGATGCCATGCAGGCAATAGCAGAGAGTACACTGGGGTGTGTGTAGTGACCTGAAGCCAAAGTTACTCTGACAGGGTCACCTGGGCAGTGGTCAAGAGAAGGATAAGGCTCAAGGGCTATATTATCTAGGTAGGCAGACTCACTTGTTTCTACATCACCTATTAAGCTGATTATGGGCTCAAAAGTACCATCGCATCACAACAGATCATGAAGAACTCCTGGGCTCGTCCTGGACCATCCATAGAATAGGTACCTGTTCATATATTGACGGGTGCAGACTTCGGCCTTAGTGGAATGCCAGGCAACAGTGCTGCCTCTGTCTATCGGACAGGCATGGTACGGACCCCAAACGACTGCCTAAACGACTGCCTTCATGATAGTGCAGCCTTGTTATTTGGCCCTCGTTTGGCTTGTGCCTGAACTCACCTTATCGTCAGCACATGGATACGTACTACGCTTTGATGCCTCTTATCGTACCTTGATATCAAATCGGCGTTTGTTTACTTCCAAGGCATTGTGTGAACGCGCTCACCATTTACCTGTATCCTGCCATGTGCGCAGACGGCCCCCAGACGGCCCCTAGCAACCACTTAACATCGGATGGGGTTTCGCTCACTCTTCCCTCCTTTCTAGCATCGCCCTGACTGCAACTCCAATCTGGGTCTCAGTGAACCCATCATCGGGAACCCTCGGAATCACTTCTTATCTTTCCCTTTGAGACTTCCAGTATTTCATAGTATCAAGTCTCTTCACCATGTTCCGATATGGCTCAGATCCTCCGTCTGGAGTTGAATATAACCCCATGCTCCCAGATGTGGCCAACGACCCAACTGGCAACGCTGCTGATTTGCACAAGACGCCTGACGATGCAGACTCGAATGACAGCACCGTTGGTGTAAGTAAACTGTCCACGGCATCTATTATTAAACCTCATGAGCTCCATGATGCGTGTTGGCGGATATTAACCGTCACATTACTCTTATCTTCACCTCCCCACCCATAGGTCGTCTTCATAGAGACACTGGAGAATACTCGCAGGCAGTTGTTATACTGGCAGCTAACGTGTCGTAGGTGGGCACCGGCCAAGGCGACGATATGGATGAGCTGCCCGAAGCTGTCGAGGGTTCTCCTGCATCCACCGATGACCCAGCCGGCGCGGACAACGGCGAGGTTGTCTTCGAGCGATTCAACGACTTCCCACTCGAGGTTCGATCGATGATCTGGATGGCTGCCGCTCACAACGCCAAGCCTTCCGCTGGAATTTACAGTTTCACGCGCAAGAACATCAGGCTGGAATCCGGACCGTTATACCCTGACATATCCGGGAGGGTGCACAGAAACTTTGACAAGATCGGCCACGACCACCCCCTCGCCAGACCTATTCATGAGCTCCTTTCCTGGTCCTACGAAGGTCGCTGGGTCATGACATTTAAACCCTCCCAACAAGTCTCCGCCCTCACTCGTGACATCCGCGCTCTGTTCGCGAGCTGCTCAGAAGCTCGGACTCAGCTCATGCGCTGCCCAAAGCTGAGCTCCAGCTTTGACTTCCACTACAGGCACGGGGCAGAATTCTCCAGGCTTGGGAATTGCAACCTGGGCAGCATCCGGCCTTTCTACTATGACACCGACTGGGTCTGCATGGAAGAAATGGCGTATGCCCCGACCATCATACCTCAAGCTGATGTACCTGATGAAATACGATGCACGACTGACATATGCCGCGTCCAGCACCTTGCAATTCCTCACTATGGTACGAGGCATAGTTACTATCGGCGTTATATTCACCTCCGCGGCGATTCCGTCTGGTGCCGACTGAGCAGTCTCAAGTCCGTCGGCTTCCACGCGCCCTACTTTGAGATCTCGCCCACGTCCGGCTGGGAGGGCCAGACCACGGCGGACGAGAGGATGTTCCTCCGGGGCTTCCCGGGGTCCATGCGTGGCCAGATCAATTGCTACAGTGACTACCAAGTGACGAGCAGCAGCTTCGGCCTGCGCAAGGCCATGAGGAACCTCGAGAACCTCGTCGACGATATGCGTGCTTTGGTGCGCGAGGCGGGAACCAGCCCCCACATAGATGGCCGCCACTTTTCCCGCCTGAACTTCTGCATCCTGCTCAATTCCGACTTCCAGACGGAGCTTGGCCGGATGTATTTTCGAGAGGATGGCTCTCACCTTGACGATTTCGACGTGGACGACCTCGACAGCGAGCTCATGAGCAATCGCCTGAAACTCCTGCGGGCTACATCGTAGTAGCCCATTTACAGGTGGACTGCAACCGATGCGGAATCGGTCGCATGAAGCTCGAAGAGCATGGCCCCTATCTCGAGGAGACCTCGGGATGCTGGATCTTTGGAGGGGATGATGATGATGTGTGTCTTGGTCGTCGAAGAACACCATTGGACTCATCGTCCATAGTCGCAGGCCCTGAATGATGTGTCGGGAGGGACCATCTTGAGTACTCTTCACGACACTACAATATACGGCAGTATGGGGAAAGACGATATGTGTATCCATGTGCACCGATAGCCGAAGTCGTTGCGACAGCTAACCTCATAACCAAGTCAAGCCATAAATACAGCATTCACCAGATTGTGGTAGCTACTGTGGCCCCTTGGTAGGGAACAACTTGAAGTATGGGCTTCTGGACGATGTTGATATGAGAAGGCATGACGGAGGAAAATGAACTGGCAAACGAGCAGACGAAAGACTCCGTATATTAATGAGTACAGACTGCAGAGATCCCAGGTCCGCAGTGTCCATTGGCATAGTCTAAGACCCCCTTCTTCCTGGAGGTCGCGAAAGGCCTGTTTCGTTCAAAATCCTGAAGGAGACTTGAGGCTACATACTAACCAAGGGTCTTTGATTTCTGTCCTCAGCTTACGAGTCGACTATGCCTTTCTGGGTGATGGAATACGCACATCCAAGCAGCTTGGAACAGGCACACCTGGGCACTTGTACTTCAGGCCACTTACGAAAACCAGTTCTCGAGTTTCGTGAAGCCGTACCAGGGAGCATCAGCGTTTTTTCGAGCGTGGTGTAAGTACCTATGAAAGCAGCCGTACAGACTGCGTCGTTGGCATTTTAAATGAGTGGCAGAAGTTCCCAGGAAAGAGCATGGTTCCTAGGTAGGGAGAACTCAGCCGCAGGTTGTCACATGGGCTACCCTGACGAGCACAAAATAATCCGGCACATCAATCACCTAAGCTGCATGACTAGGTACATAATAATCATGATCCGAAGCCTTCAGAAATCCACCAACACGGCCCTTTCTTTGGTTACTCGGGTACAACACATATATGTATCATCGCCGTCCGGCACACGCATTCCGCGACCCGTGTTCCGAATTCCACGTCGGCTGTTGGGCCTAGAGTGGGTCGTGGGGGGCCAAGCCAGACAGACAGCCAGCCAGGTCTCCGGTACATTACCGTTGCATGTGCATGCGGGCACCCACACCGGTGGGTGTTACGCAGAGGGCCAACACCAGACAGCCAGACAGCTTGTGACAGATCAATCTATTGGCTGACGGGCCGGGCCAACCGGATCATTACTCCAAAGGGGTCCAAAGGGAGCGAGCGCCTCGAACCATTTAGCGCCTGGGCTCTTCTACCCTCCCCCCAGGCAGCAGGGAGCTGGAGCTCAGAGCTGTTGGCTTCTCCTCATGACCGACCAACAGTGCAACCACCAAAACATGATGCATGTCGCGGCCGACTCGCACGCAACAACAGCCCATGCCCCGACCACCGCACAGCACAGCACACCACGCCTGATCTAGGTCAACTGGTACGGTAGGCGCTGCACTGGATAACACTCTGGTTATTTTTGCACGACAAGTCCCCTGTGTCTCGATGCGCCATGGCCTCGGTCGGCCGCTATCGTGGGGTTGCTCCAGGTGGTGGCAGCGGACGAAGCTGGGACACGCAGGCCGGGAATCCCTTCGCCATGCCAGTGGGCGTCGGATCCACATTGCCATCAACATCAGCGCCAGCACCAGCACCGTCAGATGTATCTCGGGCCACGGCGGTAGTCAAGGCAGAGGTCCCAAGCACTGCCACTGCATCTTCACATATTCCCACGATGCAGGGAAGCAGCAGGACGACAGCCGACGACCGGGATTCTGACGACAACACGAGCCCCACTGGCAAGACATCTGGTGGCGGCGGCGGCAGGTGTCCCAGCAGGTATGACTGGAGTAAGCATATGCCCACCATCAAGCACCTCTATATCGACGAGGACAAGACCCTCAAGGAGGTGATGGGGATCATGGAGAAGGAGCACAATTTTATCGCAACGTGAGTCTCCAGGTTCTGTTCTCCGAGACCCCCTTTTCACATTTAAATGCACACATAATATCTAAAGAGTGCGGCCGGGCTGCATCCGGGAAGAAGGGAGGGACGGACGGACGGGGACGTGGAGCTCGCCACCGGCCTTGGCCCCCCTGCCCCCTTGCTCCCGAGTGTTGCCTGAGGCTGTGCTTACTTTACTTACTTGCCCTTATTACGCTCGATGACGCCCTCGTGCTTACGCCCACAACCTGTGCCGCAGAGCCCGCATGTACAAGATCCGGCTGAAGAAGTGGGGCTACACCAAGAACGTCAGTGTCAAGTCGGAGGAGATCGAGCCCCTGCTGAGGCTGCTCGACGAGGCAGAGCACAAGGGCGACGCCCGCGCAACGTCGAGCGAGGTCCAGCTCGCCACCGGCCGCGTCGTCGGCCTCGACCGCCTCGCCGCACACCTGCGGCGCAAGGCACAGAGGCAGCACCAGGCACTGGCGGTCGACACCCGGCTTGCCACGTCTACGTCCCTGACCAAGTATCGTCGGAACGGCGGGAGTGGGAGTGGGAGTAGTGGCAGTGCCAGTGCCGGAGGAGGGAGTATGAGCGCCGTTGTTGCCCGGAGCCCATCGCCAACGGCGCTGGCCATCAACTCGCCCGACATGTACCGCATATCCGAGATCGTCTTCGCCGACGTGCACGCGTACGTGTGCGGGCGGATCCTGGAGCCCAAGGGCCTGATGCTCGTGCAGCGGTCCGACTACGACATGACTTCGCCCGTCTTCTCGATGGTGCACGCGGCCAGCGAGTTCCTCCGGCAGGGCCACCTCGACGAGGCCCTCGCCCTGCTGCGCGTGGCGCCCGCCCGGCTCAAGAACGTCATCGTGTACGAGCCCCCCAACATCCTGCACTGCCTGTTCATGGTCATCGTGCACCTCCTCAGCACCTCCGGGTCCGCCCAGCTCGTCTCCAGCATCAAGGCCCTCCTCGCCTACGCCGCCGCCACCGCCGACGAGAACTCGCGCCACTGGTCGCCGCAGTACCCCGTGCGCCGCATCCTGCGCAGCCTCGCCGACCTCAGCGCCTCCGGTGACTTTGCCCTGCGCGACATGACCGTCCACGCCTGGCGCTGCCTGCTGCGCTCGCACGACCTGACCCTGGGCTCGCCCGACTGCGCCCAGACCTTCCCCAACTGGCTCGACCTGGGCGAGTCGGCCGGCTTCGACGTCCTGCCGTCCGACCTCCTCGAGAAGATGCACTGGGAGGTCTACCGCAAGCGCGTCGCCGAGCTCGGCGAGGCCGACATGCAGTCCTGGTCCCAGCTCTACTACCTGTCCGAGCTGGAGCGCCAGAAGGTCAAGGCGCGCGGGGCGCCGACGGAGAAGCTGCAGCAGCTGCTCGAGATGGCGCTCGCGGGCATCGAGCAGGCCGAGCCGGGCATGGGGCTCGTGGCCAAGTACAACTGCCAGCGCAACCTGGCCGAGATCTTCAACGACCAGGGCCGCCGTGACCTCTCCGAGCGCTACCTGCGTGATGCCATCGACACTGCCGCGGGGCGCCACGGCCCCAACGACGAGCGCGTCCTGCAGATGCTGTTTGAGCTCGAGAACAGGCTGGCCGAGTGGGGCGAGGGCGACGACAAGCTTGCTGAGCCCCGGAACAAGTCGGCCGAGATCATTGTTGCGCTCAACAGCGAGCCTGCTGGGTAGTGCACCTGGGGCCTTCGAGGGTACCAGACTGAAGATGGTGTCGACTGATGGAGACATCCGCCCCAGACACTTGAGGCCTGCCTGCCTGCCTGCCTGCCTGTCTGGCCTGTCGTGCAACAGCCAACTTCAAGTTGTCCGCCTGGAAACCTCCCGGATCGGAGGAGCTCCCTGCGCTCGAGTGCAACATCCCGTCGGACGATCCGCACATGTAACAGTGTGATGCTCACTGCTTTCCGGAAGGGGGTCACATGTCCTTGTTGGTCTGTCCCCGTGGTGCGGCGCAGGCACAGCGGATTCGCATGCCTGGGCTGCCGCGTATCAGAGGCACAATAGCTCGAGACGGGCTCTCATGCGCACGGCGCATCCCATCTGTCGGATCGTTTGGCACATCGAATGCCTGGACGGGCTGTCACGCCGGACCCCAATCACACGTCGCAAGATGTTGCTTTGCGGCGGTCAACATGGTCGAGTCGAATCTTGAGGCTGCGGATCCGTCGTGTTTGCTTGGCTGTCCCTTTGAGGCGCGGCTTCAGGGCGAATGTACGCCCCCCCCCTCCCCCCTGTGCTACGTGGGCAGGCAGAACTGCTGCTTTGAACATACTGCAAGCGTTACATTGGCCCCCGGCGACCCCTCCAGGCTACGGCATGTGAGCACACTACGCCGCCGCGTGTATGCCTTATAATCCCCCATCGGAACCGGCGCCGTGGCTGTGGATGTTGGCAGAACGGCCCCGACAGGCGTGATGATACACTGGTTCTTTGGACGGTCAGACACGTCCACGTTTGGCTTGCCAAGTTGGCACCGGAGGCTGGTGTCGCTGGTCGCTTATGAGTGGTATCCACTTGTTTGGAGAGAAGACTCCACACCGGTGACCGGGAATACCACCAGCCTGCTATGGATATCGGCATCTGCCTGTTTGTTCCGGGATGACGGGGCTATGGTCACTTCGGCCTCCCTTGTTAGAATTATATGATGCGGGACGAAGGGGGGGTATAGTGTTGGATCAGCGTGGCAGATGGTATAGGGCCGTTGGCCAGGTAGTAAATGTGATGGTAATTACTAGACTAGACGATCGGGCTAGAATGACACGGACAAGGGCACAGAATGCATCGCCATTTTACACTCTGCTGTTGTCAATTTTCAAAATCAGTGACTGTTTTCTTATGGCGTCGGCTGCGATATTTCCCAACCTGATTTCCTTGCTATCTACTAGTCAATAATTTCGACAGGGCTGACTGATCCGACCAATGTAGGCATAGGTCGGATATTTAGCCAATAGCATGCCTCCACCACCACTTGCTCATCATTTTCTTGGTTTACAGCCCCGATTGCTGCCTGAACCACACCTACCCCGGAGATCATGCTGCTGAGCCCTCGGCGCAGCGAGTCAGCTCGCATCTCTGCCAGCCTCAGGCACACGCGCCCGCAGCTGGCCACATGTGCACCCGGCCACTCCCGACTCGAGTGTGTTGCCCAGACCTTGTCGTGGAGTTCGGTACGGCACGGCACGGCACGGCGTACCGTGATTGAACGCCTCCCTGGGGCCATTTTAATTTCATGTCAGGGCAGTCAGGGATGACGTCGTACCAGACTCCGTGGAGATTCCCCTCTTCTGATAAAATTATAAATACCTTTCATGATGGGGGCATTTTACTCTCAACCAGCGCAACCAGCGAGTATACCTGATATTCAACATATTTATAGTAGAAAACTTACTAAACAGTCCGTGGATCTCGAGTACCGAGTCAGTACTACTGACTAAGAAAAGTATTAAACCTTATTTTTCACTGAATCAGTGAATCCCTTGCTAAGCCTCAAAAAATAAACTTTCGGCGGGTTGGGAGGGGGGTCTGGCCGGTCCTCCCTTGGCGGCCCCCCTTGGAAACTTACCAACCTGTTGGTTCTTCCCGCCCGAATGACCCCTGTGCACATCAGCCGCCAATAATACCACTTCAGTCCACACTTGAACCGGGGACTCGAAACACTAGGTAGAGCACGAGCACATGAGAGGCGGGCTGCAGGGGAGATGGACATGGCCGTTACCATGGTCCGGAGTACAACGACGAATAGAAAGACAAGGATTATCAGTCCATCGACAGGTTCATCTGAGAAGTTGTTCCGGTGACCTGCGCTGACCCATAGCGATCCTGAAGTCACTACAAAGTGGTCTAATCCTGTTTCCAAGGTGAACGCAGGTCCGATAGGTGGGCAGTCCCTCGCCTTAATAAGAAGCGTGATGGCCCTGTTGAACAACCCTCGAGACATGTGTCCAATGGGCGTGGGTTATTTCTACCCCCTCCCAGCGGCCGCCTGAGTGCTTACATGGAGCGTGGAAGGGCACCTTGATAAGCAGGCTGTGGCGCGCACCGTGACCCGGGGACACAAGCACCCGCAGCTGACATTGCTCAAAGATGCGGTGAAAGGCACCACGCTGGCCAAGTTGGGACTGGCTGCACGCATCGGTCGTTGCTCGGCGCCTTCTTGCAGTAGCTAGATTACTATACTGGACACCACACTCTCGTGGCTATGTGCGTAATGGTCTAAATCTCGACGGACTAGTTAGGCAGCGCTCAAGGTGTCTCTCCCGCTGGCCGGCAGGATTGATCGCCCGTTGTGAATAATGTGTCAAATTCTATTTCTATCTCGGCGCATATGCGTCCAGAAAAGACACCTTCCTCCTCGCATGCACGACAAATTCCGCCGGCCTCAGGACAGGACAGTTCATCCCTTCTCTGTCCTGGTGCGACGCCGTGTTACAAAATAATAGGACAGCCCTGCGTCGGACACGGGATCCTTCGACCTGTCAAACCAGACTTGACGTCTGGCAGCGGGAAACGGGCAAGTCATGAGTAATAAGAAGGAGCGTGGTCCCTGGGGGGTTGTACCACGTGGACGGGAACTCGCGCCCGTGTGGGAGCGGATCCTCTCAGCTCGTGTATTTTTTTCCCCAACTAGTCGAACTTTGTGCAGAGCCCCGTAGGGCTGAGCCATGTGCGCCGCCACGAGGGGAGGATCTCATGTGGGGTCCAGAGGAAGTCTTGCTTACCTTACCTTACCTGCCTAGGTACTTTTACTTACTGTGCACGCAGGCAGGCTGGCAGGTCGTGTCACGGAAGAGGGGTGCAAGCCACTGCCACGGTGTCAGCTCGATACTTGTTACCGAATAGTATATACCTTAGGTACCTGGGTAGTTACTAGTCGGTATGCACGTCAGGGGTTCTGTCGCCACCCCCTGGCACTGCTGCCAGTGTTGCCCCGATCCCGATCCCCGGCTGACTGGACCGGCCCCCGGGGATCAGGGCAGTGTGTGCGTTGCACAGCGCCGTTTATTAGTTCATGCCTAGACCTGTACTTTTATTTTTTCTGGCTGGGTGCGTCGCGCGCCAGGCACCCAAGACACGATGCATGCACTGCCCGTCCGTGGGCAGACTGCTTGCATGCTGAGAGATGCGGCTCTGTTCGGCCAGCCCGTGTTCCGTGGTGGGTCCCTGCCAAGCCCTCGTCATCATCGCTGCAGTACAGTACAGTCAGTCAGTGGGCTGGTATTGCTAGGGTTGACTCATCGCCGGCGTCTGGGATCTTTTTCACGTGTATGGGATTTTGGATGCACCATCCGTGGACGTGGTGTTGACCGCCATGTTCCAAGTTGGTGTTCGATGGGCTAATTCTAGAAGATTGCTTCGAGACATGGGAGACCGAAAAGGGAAACAAACAAATCTGCGGGCAAGAAATTATCATAATGGCCCTTCACTAGTTTCCCTAGAGCCTTAGTATTGACGTCGGCCAAATACCCGAGATTTTGGTACTAGGCGTGAGTACCGGTATTACCAAGTCCTATTGATATTTTCTCGACGCAACCCGACTACTCGCATAACTTGCGATCCTTGCTACGCCTCGTTCCATTCGAGTGCTGGGCATCAAATCCAGGCAGGAGGAGGCTCCGTAGGCTTGCATGATGTTCACAGTCGGTGACCCCCGAGGGCTTCAGGATTCGAATCGAAAATTGTTTCCCTGTCCAGATGGAGTCGGTGAGGACAGCATGGCCCCTAAGTTTCCATATTTGGCCGCTGCGGGTTAATACCAGGCCAGGGTAGACAATGCAGGTGTTGGCTTTCTTCGGATGCTGCCTGGGTTCCCAGCATTGAAGACATCACGGGTTGTGGTGTACTTTACGAGGTGTATGTTACTCAGCGGGAATTAGGTTACCTGTCAGAAGTCGGAATCAACCGGCGTCAGACACGTACGAGGTGAGATCTTGGACGTCGTTGGACCTTTTTCGTTGAGTCCGGAAAGAGCAATACTACGCAGTGGCGGTGAGGAAACACAAGACCGAAAATCGATAAATCCATTTCTCAGGCTTTCAAAATAAGGCAGGATGTAATATGCCTTGGGGCTCTTTTATCAGCCAATGGGAGGCCAAGCCCGACGTCCTGCAGAGTTGAAACCTGGGCCAAGCCACGACACAGCGTCAAGAATAGGTGAGTAGGTGCCTGGGGAGACAGGGGAGACTAACAGAGAGGAAAAGTCTTGACTCATCCTAATATGGTCCCGAAGTGTCACAAGGCGTTCCCATCCGCCTGGAGCGGTGGAGGGTTGGGGGCCGTGCCAGTAAGCGCCGTTTTGGGACCGCTGGTGGCATACGCTTCGGTGTGGCATGCGGTCAGATGGAATCGCACAGCCGCAGGCCCCCAGCTTCACGGGTAGGACATCACTCATGGAGGTAGGAGTAGAGTATGGATCGCAGTGCTGAGTATAGACTCGTGATAAACTATATAATAAAGTCTGATGTCCTCAGTATTCTGGCAATATTTCCATCATCATCCTCATCAGCACCATCAATCATCATCTTTCAGCACTCTAATAAACTGTCTCACAACACTTTGACAGCTGACCGCGGTAATCCAACCAATCATCACTCGCAACCAAAAACTTGTACTACACCGTACTTCCCCAAAAATCAAAATGAACGCCTCTACCTTCATCTCTGCCGTTATCGTGGCTCTCGCTTCGTATGCCGCCGCCGCGCCTGTGGCTCAAGAGCTTGTATGTTTTCTTCCTCGCCCAACACATACTCTACCCAATATCTCTGCAACGGAGATTGCCTCAACGTTCTTTCTCTCTGTCTGATGAGAATATTCTGCTAACCATGATCATTTTAACAGGACTGCGTCGGAGGCTGCGGTGTCAACGGCGTCCCGGAGAGCTCTTAAGCGATCTCCGATGTGTACTATACAACTGTACTTCTAAGGCGGCTTCGTCGGAGGCAGATCTCCTTGTGTTATAACAGGCGATGTGACGATATCGGATTGGAATAAATGGATGGTTTAGAATAGAATTTGGACAGCAATGTCTCGGGGCCGGATCAATTTGCAGGGATCACGGAGTGTAATTCAGTCCCTTTTCAGGAGTGGCTCAAGTTGGTCGGACTGGTGTAAGCTAAGACGTCGACGCGTATCAATATATCACTGCTTGCAGAAGCTTCAATTTGTCTTCCCTCCCGTTTAAACTTTCGTATCATCGCGATGGTATGGAATAGAAAGACTGAATCTTAGTCACACATCAAAATGACCTCTTTGGCCTATGGGCTTTTTCAATATTGTGTCTGTTTCCAGGGAGGCCATTACTTTGCGACCACTCTACGTCGTGCACTTTCACACCACCAAGTTTCCTCGATTCAAACACACATGTCTTATTTGACTCAGGTTTTGAGCATGTCGAGGTTGACAGCGCCACGGTACCTTGCCTCCATAATCCTGCGCCAAAAGAAGGGGGTCGGCGCGCATCTCTCACGCCTTACGAGCCATCCAGGCGCAACGCCTGTCTGTGAAAGCAAGCAATAGGTTCTTGACCTGAAAGAAGAGGGAGAGGGGACCAGTTTCGGTTGTATTCTTAGCCTAATACTATTGCTCTTGCTGCGCAGTTTGTATGCCATCCCCGCACCCCGTGCCTTCAACCACCCTGCTTGCAACCACCACCACCACAGAGCATTTTACGGCATCGAAAAAGTTATAAAGAGCCTGGCGGAATCATTCTATGAGTTGCCTTCCTGTTGCTGGCAGATTCGGCTTCACCACCTGGCATTCACTCATTGATATTACACGTGATCACGCTTGGCGCCGTGAACGTCGTACTCCCAGTTTTCACAAGCACACTTTCAGGGCCCAAAACGCAAGATCTTTGCTCGGCTATTCATTGAGCCGTCCGTCTTCGGAGCATGATACAATGTTTCCTAGTTGTCCATATTGACCAACCAGACTGAGCTTTCTGAACGGAATCTGTTGCGCTCGCGGAGGCTATGCTTCCGCTTGGCTCTGTTTTACTTGGTCTTGGACAACATTGGAAGTGGACACCAGCGGCACACTGCACCTTCTTGTCCACAGGTGTTATGCTCTGTTGTGGCCTCAACTGCCAGCAATCTCGCTTCTAGTGTATGTAATAAGCTCGGGGTTATCGGTGTCCCTCCCTAGTATGAATCCACTCTTCCGGCTCTGATGTATTTTCGCGGAATCACTAATCACGCCTCTGATATGTCTTCTCGATGGCCATTCTAAGGGTGTCGTTCAGAGACGAGACTGCACAGTGCTCCACCTGCCGTTTGGACAATAATAAGGTTTGTAGTCGTATGGCGCGTGGTGTGATGTACGGTAGTTACCCTACACGAACCGGCGGTCCCCGAGGTACGGTATTGCCCCCAAGACCTGGTCCAAGCCTTGTAAGGCCCGCCAGAATAATCACCCTCCTCTATCCCATCGAAAGTAATGCCTAGCTACTACGATCCGAGCAGGACATACCAAACCGAGCAAATTGGCTCGAGTGGTTTGTCAACCTGGAATAGGGAGCGTGGGAAGCCTGTATTTATAAGCAATGGAGCTCTACAACAGTGGAGCCCGTGCTCGTGACGACAGTTTCAAACATCGCTCTGCGGTGTAGGTCTGTCGCACTCCGCAACGTAACCTGGAACTGATAAGAGTTCCAGCTGCCGATACAACCTGGCCGGTATGTTGGGCTGCAATGTGTTGATTACTGGGCTCCCCTTGTCGAATAAAATGGAGTCCGGAGATTCACATCCGCGGAACAACGGAGGATACTCCGTACATCATACTACTCCGTAGACCACTCAAAGGTTACAGTACTCAGATTAGCACCAAACCGGGTGTCCCATAGGAGGTTATCTCATCGGGAGGTTATCCCATCGGAGCTTATTTCATCGGAGGTTATCCTATAGGACTTGTGAAGAGGAAGGATTTCTACCATGGGGTGATGATAGCATGTACGGTGTCAACGATCTTGTATTATATTTTGCTGCACTTGTATGGGTATCAACTGGTACCCTCTGGTTTTGGGGGTGCAGTTCTCTGATCTCACGATCCGCCATGCCGGACGAAGACTCAGGCCCTGGTCAACGGGAATTACCTATATTGCCTTCGAAAGGCACGTCCGGAGCTTCTAACACTCATCGGTCATTTCTACTGTGGTATGTTGGAACCTTGCTCAAGTACGATGGATCCCATCCTACCCTTGAGTTGTATGCCGGCAGATCGGTCAAGTCCGAGCGACATCTAGACGTTTCCTTTGCGGATCTGTGGTTCTCCAGAAATCCTCCGCTGAGGTAATCGCTCACTCACGACGGCTCTGCACCGACATTTCCACCAGAATCCTTAGCGTGTCTCACCTGGAATTCGATGTGGGTAAGCATCCGAGGCGCACCCGATGGCCTGGGCTCAGGTAAGCATCAATTGATGTTTGCACGGCTAAGACTCGGGTCATTACCTGAGTCAGCTAGCGAGGCGGGACGAAACTCTGAAGCTCGCAAGCAGCCAAGAGAAATGGTCGAGCTTCTTTCGGTGATCTGCCGCCGGCCCGTGTATGTGGCAGCCGAAGTGGGCATCAGGGGAGATCCCAAGCGAGCAGACGTGCACTCCCCCCGGGTGGATTCCACGTCAGCCAACTGCCCAGCATTCCGTCATCTTCGGCTTCTAATTCGTGGAAGTCGTCAGTCCGGGGCCCACCACCCAAGTACCCCTGACGCTGGATGTTTATGAGACGAGCACACCGCATCTGGTATGCCGGCTCGACAGTGGCTGAGTGGTCAGGTACGCACGCACGTTTTGCTCTCATTTGCCGCCCAGCCGCCTGATCTGCGAGGTGGGGTCAGCGATCCAGGAACGGGGCAGGGATGAAGAACCACTGCAGCCAAGTTGCATGGAGATTAAATTGCGTGAGCCCTCTTGTGTCGATATCAAGGGGCAACCACTGCCGGGTTTTGCGCCGGTAGGGTATCTGTCTCTCGGTTGTGTACTCCGTAGTGCAATGCATGCAGTCCTCTGCACATAGCGATCTACACGCTCCACCAAATACAGTTGACTTGAGCTTCATTCCGTGGTTTTTACAACTGTCGCTGCGTCAGGCTGTGTGTTCACATCGAAACAAGCCGCGCCACGCGAACGCGGATCATAAAGCACTTGAGGAAAAATGCTCGAGGTTGAACACCTTATCAGATCCAATTTCTTGCACTGATAAAAACTGCTGTGGCTTTTCAGGGAAGATCCCATTCCGCCACGCGTACAGCACTGCCACTAGCATCCCTCGTGGGGAAGTCCTCAAGCGAGGCACAGCTACTAGTGCGAACTTCAGTTCAACACAATATTTCGCATCTCCGGGGTCCCACAATAATCAGGTAAAATAGTGGTTCGCAGGCAAAACAACACACAGTAGTACAGCAAGTTGCGGCAAGGCAGCCAGGCACATGGACCCAACCTCAAAAGTACCGCTCAACAGTCGCAACTAGGCCGCTCTTGGCCTGCATGCCGAGATATGGCTTCGAGAAGACGCCCCTTAATGTATCAGGAGGCGGCCGCTGTCATTTGATCTAGAATCCTACGTGGGGACAATCTGACAGGTCTGACAGTTGTGCAGTACCGTCTGCGCGATAACGCTCTCCCTCTCGTACGATGATTGGGAGCCACCAGCCAAAACATGGGGATACTTTGTGGGCCAAGCTGAACCAACGCGTATGCAGCCTCGGACGTCTCTGCCGTTTCTGCCGAAGGAGTTTGTGTTGATATCCCTGATGATCGGAAAGGTCCACTTTGAAAGTCTTGTTCAATATGCTTAAAAGGAAGAGGATCACCAGCCTCTTCAACGACGATCTGTCTTGCTGATCATCAACACACTCTCTTTCAACACTCTCTTCAACCGATCGTCACTCTTTTCCGATCGATAACCCATTCATTGTTTTCACCATGCTTTCACCAACCGTGATTCTGACGGCACTGGCTGCCTTCGCTAACACCGTCGCTGCCGCTGGCGTCACCGGCGCCGCTGAGGGTTTCGCCAAGGGCGTCACCGGTGGTGGCTCTGCCGCTGCCGTCTACCCTAAGACCAACGATGAGCTTGTTTCGTACCTGACCGACAGCTCGGCTCGTACTATTATCCTGACCAAGACTTTCGACTTCACCGGCACCGAGGGCACCCAGACCACGAGCGGCTGTGCTCCTTACGGTACCGCTTCCGCGTGCCAGCTGGCCATCAACAAGGATGACGTGAGTGGAAACATTATCTGCCGCTATTATACCGGGCTCATCTGATCACTAATGCTTGTCTTGACTTCAGTGGTGCAACAAGTACCAGCCCAACTCCCCCAAGGTCAGCTCCCTGACCTACGACAAGGCTGGCTGGAACGCCATCAAGGTCCAGTCCAACAAGTCTCTTGTCGGCCAGGGCTCCGCCGGTGTCATCAAGGGCAAGGGTGTCTACATCGCCAACGGTGTCAAGAACATCATCATCCAGAACGTCCACTTCACTGAGATCAACCCACAATACGTCTGGGGTGGTGATGCTATCTCCATCGCCGGCGCTGACATGATCTGGATCGACCACGTCAAGACCTCCCGCATTGGCCGCCAGCACCTTGTTCTCGGCGAGGCTGCCTCCAACCGTGTTACCGTCTCCAACTCCGAGTTCGATGGCTCCACCAACTGGTCTGCCCAATGTGACGGCCACCACTACTTCCTCATCTACTTCACCGGCTCCAACGACATGATCACCTTCAAGGGTAACTACATCCACCACTCTTCCGGCCGTAGCCCCAAGGTCGCCGGTAACACCCTGCTGCACGCCGTCAACAACTACTTCTACGCCAACAGCAAGCACGTAAGTGAAATCCATAATCCACACATTCGGGCTATCACCCCATACCTACCATATATAACTAACACCATCTTCCTCTCAGGCTTTCGAGACCACTGCCGGCGCCTACGTCCTGTCCGAGGGCAACACCTTCCAGAACGTCGTCGAGGTCATCGACCCCTCGAACAAGGCCGGCAAGATGTTCACCTCGCCCGACGCCAACAGCAACGCCGCCTGCAAGACCTACCTCGGCCGCAACTGCGTGGCCAACGCCTACGGCAGCTCCGGCGTCTACACCAGCACCGACAACAGCTTCCTGTCCAACTTCAAGGGCAAGAATATCGTTTCGGCTGCCGCCGCCTCGGCCAACGTCGCCAACACTGCCGGTGTTGGCAAGATCTAAGCAGAGGGCCGGAACATGGCTTTCGCTGCCTCTCTCCCTCCCTCGCGAGCCGGGGATGGCTGGCAACGAGCCATTGTATGGCTTCTTGCCCTTTAGGGTCTCGCCCTGGGGTTGATTCTGGCGGTAGCTCACTGGGGAATATGGGCTTAATATTCTTGTATATACGCATTTTAGAGAGGTGTCGAACTGTAAATATCAGGCTTCATATTGCCTTTGTCAAAAGCCATTGCCTTTTCGTGTGAACCCTAACTTGTCATGGACCTCCGAACCCTGGAAATGCTAAGCCTTTACCTCAATGGTCTCGCTGGAATCGTCAGTGTCAAGCATCTTGCAAGTTCGAAGTGGCTCGCCCAATGCTTTCGCTTGGCAGGGCATAGTATTATACGCCGCTACGAGAGTAGCCATATGCCTACTTACACTAAGGACAATCATTCACGAGAAGTCGAATTCACGAAGACGGCTGCAGTCGGTCAACCCTCCGTTCGTGGAATCACCAAATTATCAGCTCTCATGTGTCAGTGGCCGCCGGAGGAGTCCCATGCATGGTGGTCTTTACGACTCAATCGAGTCGACGTGTCAAGGATGACACCGAAATACTACATGAATGCTTCTCTTGAGATAATCCGGAGAATATCCACACCTTTTCCTGATCATTTCGGGACCGCCCCCGATTTCTCTGATCGGGATCAGGCTGTAAACGGAGGCTTTGAAAAGCTTTTCCACCGATATTGGCGTAAAGGCTTCAAGCTCTAGAGGCCGCACTTAAGGCTCAAATAAAAACATTGCCATTTGCGTCACCTTGCGCGACAGCGGCGACCAGATATAATGGGTCTGAACGACACGGTGTAACTGATGGCTCTAATCTGCTGGATCTTATCATGTGTGCCGAAATTCCGTGTGTGCACATTGGATTTGCTGGATGCGTGCCTCTTGTGCCGAACTGCCGTTGTAGCGATGCTCTAGCCTTTGCACAGCCTCCCCCATGATTCCCACTTTGCTGCAGATCAAGATAATCGACTGCCGCGCTCCAACTATACTAGTGACTAAATCGGCGCTACCCCATCTGAAATGTTCAGTTTTTTGTGATCTAGATGTATTCTACCCCGGATTGTAAGTTTTAGACATGGTGTTGTGGGGATATAAGGCCGAGGCCCTGCATATCCCAACGTCGGCTCTGCGACGTCAGTTCATGATGCATTCCCACTTCCACCATTGTCAGTGCAAATTTGGACAACGATAGTAACTCAGATTCCAAGCAGTCTAAAAAACTCTGATAACTGATCAACGCTCTTCTGGTGAGGTCATTTTTGCATAGCCGCATGGTAATATTAGCATCGTACGCCCGGTCGAATGGCCTTGTGAGGTGGAAGGATTTGTCACGCAAAAGCGTAAGGCCTCGGCCACTTAACTCAGAGGTTCTCATTATCTGCAATACAAGCATCTTACAAATATTTATAGTTGTTGGCACAGCAAAAGAAGCCTGGAAGGGCCCATGAATTCATTCCACTACTTTGTCACTGAGGCAAAGGACGCCCCCCGATCTCCAGGGCTGGGTCAAACCAGACCCCGAATCGCTCTATAGTTCCATTCCTGAGTTTATGCAGGCATCAAAGTATTGCAAACATCACTGTTAAGTTCAAGCATGATTTGAATATGTTTGTATATGTACTTAAGTATATTATGCCTCTAGCATAGTATGTACAAGGAAAAGAAGCGATGCAACACGCTCAAGTCAAAAAAGTCAACCCTCGGGATCCTCGGAATGTCCTCCCTAGTTCCCGCTGCGAGCCACTGCCGCTTAGCAGACACAGAAGGTACCGTCGCAGCCGTCTCCGTTGTCGTCGTTCTTGACGGGCTCCTTGTCGTTGTCCTCGGTGCCGTCGTAGGTGACGCAGACATCCTTGACACCGGAGGTCTTGGTGTCCTTGATGGTGCAGGAGTCGCCGTAGTTGGAGTTGATGCCGCAGATGGACTTTCCGTCGGTGGCGGTGGAGCCAGAGATGGTGAAGTGGCGCTCGTACATGGTCTTGCAGTTGCCGCAGGAGCGGTACAGCTTGCCGAAGTCCTCGACCTCGAAGTCGGAGACCTCGAGGGAGCCGCCGCCGTTGTGCTGCAGGACCTTGTCCTCGGCGCCGGCGGCACCACCGCCCTTGATGTAGGTGGTCTCGCCAGCGTCCTGGTTCTTGATGGTGAAGGCGTCCTCGCAGACCTCGGGCCACCAGACGTTCTCGAGGGTGCAGGCACCCTGGCAGTGGACACCCTCGATCTGGTTGGGGCCGATGATGACGTTCTTCAGGGTACCGCCGTTCTCGATCTGGAAGACGGCGTCCGAGTCGCCACCCTCGACCTGGCCGGTGCAGCTGACGCCACGGTCGTAGACCTTCATGCCGCCGTCGAAGGTGTCGCCAGAAGCGACAGTCTTGACCTCCTCGAAGACGGTCGAGCCAGAAGAGGCGGGCACGTTAAGGCGCTTCTGGATGTCACGGGCCTTGGGGGCGGGGGTGACAGCAGGGGCGGGGGAGGCGATGGCACCGATGGCCAGGGAAGCGATGAGGACGGCGAACTGCATTTTGATGTTTGGTTCTTGCGTACGAAAAGAGTGTACTGGCAGTGAGTTGGTTGTAGGGTTGAAAGCGAGGGACAAGCACTGCTTGTATATACTGGATCGGAAAGGAAGGTGAGGAGGGAAGACTCTTTGACTTGGTTGGATGATGAGGAAAGAAAGGAACAGGAAGCATAAAGGCTTCGAGGTCGTGCAGTTATATAGATGTTTTCTACGGAGTTTTCTGATGCATAGTACCTCGCCTCCCTCAGGCATTCGGTCCACATTCTCCTGTCCAGGGCCTCTGTCGCCAGCTTACGATGCCAATATCGAATCGGAGACGTCGTAGGTCCCTTGCAACACCTGTCGGCTGCCTGTCGAATGCCTGTCGCTTGCCTGTTGCGTACGTATTGCAGTCTGGGACCGCCACATTGAATTGTGTAGACCCTACAGGGCGGAAACTTGTGGAACCTCATGATGATCCGTAACCTTTTCGAAAATGTATGGGGTATGTTGGTGGTGTTTTCGGCGCTGTTTCCGGCGCTGTTTCATCCCTACATCGCTGTAATGATATTAAAACTGGGGGCACAGCAAGGGGAGGCCTTCCACGTGAGGGGTGTGCTAAGTCAGGCGGTGATGTCTTTTGTCGTCCGAACCCCAACAGCGGCCAACCATGGACGATCTGGTGCGATCTCCCTTGGCCATACTTGGCGCTAACTTGGCTTCGCTTCCCTTCTTTTGTGGGCCTGGCCAAGGATAGTGTTACGACTGCCGCCTTGGCGGTTGCGTTGTCCTGTGGGGTGGGGGCCGTCGCTGGACAGGCTTGATCAGGAGCCGCTCCCTGCGAGCCGCGAACTCCCCTGGCGTGCCTTGCATGTTTTGCGTCTCCTTCTTGGCTTCGACTTCGTGTTCACACCATCATCTCCGGCACACTATAGATCCATACGCATGGCTCGATGAGTACCTAGGTACATCCTTACATCCTCCAGGGTCGTGGGTCTCCCGGCTGGGCGCCCATTGGCCGCTGATCGACATGTTTCTCGATGGTGAACGGTGGAGAAATCGGATCCTGCTTGTTTGATCTTAAAGAGCAGACAGGCAGTGGCCTTTGAGCTGCAATTTTCCCAGGACTACGCCAAGAGCCTTGGCGATAGGGGTGTTGGCGATCTTTGCCTTACTGCAAACGAGTGTGGCTCCTGAATGTTTTCCCGGTTATTCTGTCATCTCCTTTGCGTAACTTTTTTATTCGCGTTGAACCCTTCATGAGTAGTGAGTCCGACATCCGATAAGCAACAGCCCTAAGGTTTACAAGCACCGGGGCTGTAATTCAGGCGACATGAGTGGTCGGCTGGCAGCCGCACGTGTGCTGGAAAGTCTTCAAATATTGATCAGCGCTGTCGACAGACAAGCTGTTGCCAAGCTCGTTGACAGTCGGTGCCGCACGATTCACTCCCGAGCTCGCGACTCATTGAAAACTGACCTCGGGAAGGGTTGCAAGCACAAGGGTTACACCGTCACCGAGTGGCGTGAGCCATATTAGGGTTCCAAGGTTGAAGTATTTTGAGACTTGAATAGCAAAAATGAAATTTCACTCGTGGAAACATGGTCTCGATATCTTTTATCAACGACACGCAATCAAAGTAGGACACTTGAGCCTGGGTCTCTAGCGCACTGGATTATTTCTCGTGTTTGCAGTGTCGAGACTTCTGGAGTCTCGGAGATAGGGAAGCAAAAAGCCAGCAAACTCCTTCATTGAGGTCCACACATCAATGGTGGATATCGAGATAATCACCTGAGAATATACGGGCTGGTTGAGACCGACAAGGGTTTTTCTCAACTTTATGCCCGAGAAAAGCCATATTATTGGAGTGCATGTGACCGCAAGGTGGTGTCATGCTTTGTATGTAACAGGAACGTGTTTCTGTGTTGAATGTTCCGCTTGAAATCTAAAAAAAGAACAGCCCCAGGAAATATATCCATGAGGGATCACTTGAGCATAGCAGCCTTGGACTCGAAGAGTTTCCTCAACATTCTTGTCCGCAAGACGCTCTTTGTGCTTGGTGAGTCAGCTGTCGCTAAGCACGGCGTCACCGCCTACCGACCCTGCTGGCGGGGTTTTGTACTATCAACCTTGCCCTGATCCACGTGGACTGACAATGTTGGTCTTGTAGGAGGAGAATGCACATACTCGATGTCTTCTGCCAGAATCTCGGCTAGAACGGTCAAGATACTATATTCCTGAGGTCTCAGCTATTACGCCATAGGTCAATTAGTCCGGTTCGATTAAATCATGACGCTGAAGACGTTGACGACATGGACCGCATGATAGAAACCATGTTCATACCTTCGCCGGCAACGTTTGATCCATACCAGCTTTGTCCATCGATTTACCTCCGCAGAACAGCCTCTTCTCCAGCTCCAATATCAGCCGCCAAGTCGGCGACGATGTATTGAGTAAACAAAACATAGTACATGAATGTTCGGTTGAGGTTGGCTGCTAAGCGAGGCACGGTGAATGGGGCTTCCTGATCAAAGCCATATTCATTTCTGTTTTGAAACGTCAGTACAGGCTAGTCACCATGATGAACTGAAGCGGCTCGCACCTCAAAAGTAGTCGAACTTAGTCATCATCTCCCCTCTCAACTTCAGCATCAGGCTGGCTGTATGCCTCAGAAAGGGGGGAAGGGCTTTGAAGACCAGTTCTGGAGGGAATTCCTGGCCCTGCTTGTTACTCAGGGTAGCGTGATCCACGGAGTCGATCAGCCCCGTCACGCTTGGGCAATAAGAACCTTGGGCATTGGTGTTGGGCATCGTATTCTTTCCAAGCGCTGGGTCTTGAGTGCTTACCACCGTATGAAGGCGCCATGTATGTCCTCGGACGTATACGGAATAGAAGCGAAACCACATTGGTGTTGGGCACGGTGTGGGCGTTATCTGCCACGAAACCAATGTGGTTTCGCTTCTATTCCGTACACGTCCCAGGACATACATGGCGCCTTCATACGGTGCCACGAAATCAATGCCCTTGTTTATAACTTCATCCATGCCTCCTCTTCAATCACCCAAACAGCCTATACATGCCCATGTATGTCAGGCCTAGCGACAGACATCCAATGTCTATCTTACGGCCGCGCATGGCAATCCTGGAGTCACCCTTGAAGATAACGGCGCGCTGCTTGTCAAGCTGGCTCATGCCGGAGGTGTAGCTATTGCGAAAAGAAAACCCCGAAAGCATTGTTTGCGCTGGCTGCATCTTCAATGCCTACGTTGAGTAACTAGACTTCCACTTGGAGACCCTCGGAAAGATTCAATGGATTCGCAAGACCCGCCCAACAGGACACGAATTATCTTATCTGATAATCGTCGAGTACAAGCAATAAGTGAGTTATGATTGATACTCTGTCACGTTTCGGATGTTTCAAGCCCACGAGGCTGAGGCCACGTGCCCACGTACTGTATTTTCTTTGTACTGTTATTGGCACTGTATTTTCTTTTTGAAAAAAAAAAAAAAAAAAAAAAAGAGCTGGGTCCTAGGCGTTCACCACCGTATGAAGGCGCCATGTATGTTCTCAAAGGTATACGGAATAGAAGCGAAACCACCTAGGGCTGTTGAATTAGCGTACATCAGGCATCGTGGCTGGCCGGTCGACTGATTGCTCAGAGGTCATATCTTGCTCGAGATGAGAGTGATAATGTATTTACTGCTCAGAAGGGCCGGTTTGAGGCCCCTTAACTCACCTCGTGGGCTGAACTGCTTGACAAATGCAGATTGCAAATTGCAGACCATTCCCTCGTCAATCTTCGCTCGATTTAGAATCCCAAGAGAAACTCGGTTACACCAGCCGCTATGTCGTCGTCATGTTCAAAACGAGTCCACCTGTATCTAAGAAGTAGGATGGTAGGAGGTAGCACATGAGGATTCCATCGTCTTATCCCTCTCAGCTATTTACAAACCGTCTTCAACTCCTACGCTCCCAGGACGATATCCGCTTTCTTAACTGAATAGGCTGTTGTGTTAAAGTGTCTGACATGCCAACAGGCCTGTATCCACAACATCTCGTCACCCGTCTGAGCCCTCAGTCTCCCCCAGAGCTTACAAAAACATCTGTCATTTTCATTCAGTCATATTGACGCCATCCCAGCATTTGAGATAGGCCCTGACCCTGTGAAAAGGTTTCTCATAACTTACATGAATAGAAATACGCGGCCAAGTAGTCTAAGTTGTCTCCTAATCATCGTTGAAGTAATATACCATCTAAGTGCCGACTCAACCGCAATTGATGTTTTGCCACACGGCATCGTTTCATACAGCTCCCCATGCTGCTTTCCAGGATAACAATCGCCCCCGTAGATCCAAGAAATTTGACAGTATCTTGGAAACAAATCACATTCAATGTCCTCTTCTATCCTCGACGGTAGACAATGATTCAATGTTAAGAGCAATAGGGGTGATGGAATGTTTTGGTCATATAGATCCCTTTGGTAGTGACTCAGTAATGATCGCAGATCAAAATCCCACGATTCTGCAGGCCAATAAGCATTGAGCGGGCGTCTGCTGGCTGCGCCTGACACCACCTCGTTGGAGTGATCGTCCTGGGGTAACCATGGCCGAATCCGCGTGCTACAGCTCTCACATACCCGAGGGTAATAAGGTCCCGCAGCTCCTCTCTCAAAAGAGGTTCATGGCCTGACTTTAGCTTATTCATGGGGTAGCATTCGCTTCAGCATGTAACCCGTTGATATCTAGTTCGTGGGCTTACGTCATCCTAATGCCGATTTCTGCACAGGAGCTGGTGTGGTTTAGTTCTTAATCCGTATACATCCTGAAGGCGTTCGGTCCCTTCATATGATGGTAAACTCTCCAAGAATAGGAGCTGGTGCATTTCCGAAATCCGCTTGCCCATATTGAGGCGACCAAAACCCCAGAAACGGCTCAGTTCTACGGAAAGTTACAGCGAGAAGCTTGCAGAACGCACGAAGGGTCCTGGAAGGGTGTATAGTGGGAACGGCGTAGAGTGCCAGCCATCCCCTACAGCATCTTCCTCTTACATAAAAAAGGGCGAGATATGCCAGCCAAACTAAAAAGGTTACGGTGCGTGTGGGTACGCGCCAGTGGGGTTAATGCAGTTAGCTGACAAAAAGCGGTGCCATCTCCCCCGCTACAAATTATTCTAAAAGTCTTCCCTGCACCGCCGTTTTGCTCAAAGAGACATCGCCTATTCAACTTTAATGGACGTATCTAAGGCCGGCTTCCATTTTTCTGAGACTTCTCAAATCTCATCTGCCTTATAGAAGAAGGTAAGGCTGTCAGGACGATAGTTTCGGGCTCAACTGCCGGATCTGGGGTCTACGCAGCACGCATTCCAAGGTTGCATCCACGTACCGGTATCCACAGTATCCACGGATTTAGAACCAACATGCATCTACGTGTGTCCACAGGAACCCCTTCACCGAGACTGTGGCCGGGGACGTTATCTATGGTACAAACTTTGTTGTTGCCACATCCGATGCAGATACCAGATCAAGAATCACTGAAGCTATCAATCTGATGATTCGCGAACCGGAATGTTCGCACCGCGCGCGCGTCCATGGGTTGAACAAGCCAATGGTCCTCCGCCCATGACGATCGCGGGGACAGCACATATGCAGCAACGGAGCATCACAATGAGCCGCAATCCTTCTTGCGGGGATCCACGAGACAAGTTGATACGAGTTGTGATTGAATTCCGGTGGGATCCTCTTATGGGCCCCAGCGATTGGATAGCGTTGCCAATAGCCCATAGCCTCAACAATAGGGTGGTATTGCGAGACAATTACAGTAAGAACTCATGGACACCAACGGTATCGGATCATGTGCGTTGTCACTCCCGAGATAAAGAGCCAAGTGGACCTGTTTTCTAGGCGGAGACTGGGAGTAGACGGGGCAGCATATAACAGGCTATATTTGACTCCTTCAGGCTCGACGACTGAGTGAGTCCAAACATTCTCCACCAAATCCGCATAGTCATTTTGTTTCTCATTATATCCGCAATGGGCTCAGTCGGTACCTCCCGTCCAGAGGATGTTGCCATCATCGGCCTTTCTTGCCGCACAGCCGGTGGCAACGACAGCCCTGAGAAGCTGTGGGAATTCCTGATGAATAAACAAGACGCGTCTGGCGAAGTTCCCGAGAAACGCTGGGAGCCATGGTACCGTCGAGATGCGAGAAATGCCAAGGTCATCGACAAGGCCATCAAAAAAGGTTACTTCATCGAGGACCTGGAGAACTTCGACGCCGCGTTCTTCGGCATTTCATCAAAAGAGGCCGAGCAGATGGACCCTCATCAAAGATTAGGGCTAGAACTGACATGGGAAGCGCTAGAGAATGCAGGCATCAACCCAAAGTCCCTGTCGGGATCTGACACAGCCGTCTACATGGGTTGTGACTCCGATGACTTTTCCAGGCTTGTACTTGAAGATATTCCAAACATTGAGGCTTGGATGGGGATTGGCTCAACACCACACGGAATCCCAAACAGGATATCCTACCACCTGGATCTCATGGGTCCAAGTGCTGCAGTACGTGACCCATCCTTTCGCGAGTTGCAACGCTTTCTTTCTTGTTCCCTCGCCCCGGAGCAGTGACAAGATACACAACGCATGATGCCCACAAGCCGAAGCTCTCATCCCTCTCACCTTTGGCCTTGAAAGCAACCACTAACCCTCAAATCTGTATAGGTTGATGCCGCGTGTGCTTCATCTGGTGTAGCAGTCCATCTGGGTCGACAAGCCATTGACAGCGGCGAGTCCACAGTTGCCATCGTCGGGGGCGTGAACGTCTTGTGCTCACCTGCACTCTTCGTGATGCTGAGCAAGGCTGGTGCTCTCTCACCCGACGGCGTCTGTCTTTCCTTTGACGATGCTGCCCGTGGCTACGCACGGGGCGAAGGCGGAGCAGTGCTCATTCTGAAGCGCCTCGACAAAGCCATTGCCGACAACGACAACATATTGGCTGTTTTGAAGGGCAGCGCAGTTGCCCAGGACGGCAAAACCAAGGGCATCATGGCCCCAAACTCCAAGGCCCAGGAGTTGGTTGCCTGCCAGGCCCTCGCTCGCTCTGGAGTAGATCCTCTCGAGGTCGGGTTCGTTGAGGCACACGCGACATCGACTTCGCTTGGCGATCCCACTGAGGTCTCGGCCATTGCCTCTGTGTATGGAAGGGGCAGACCAGCTGGCGCGCCCGCCTTGATCGGCTCCATAAAGCCCAACGTCGGCCACCTTGAGGCCGCTGCCGGTGCCATCTCGATGGTCAAGGCGATCATGGCCGTGAACAAGGGGGAGCTTGCGCCACAAGCGAGGCTGAACAAGCTCAACACTCGCATAGATTGGAAGAATTCAGGTCTTCAGGTCGTCCGGGAGCGCACCACATGGACGGAGCCAGAAGGCGTGCCTCGTCGCGCCGCTGTGTGCTCTTATGGATACGGCGGGACGGTGTCGCATGCTGTCATAGAGGAATACCAACCTCTGACCTTGAATGGGCAGTCTGTCTCTCCCGAGAAGAAAGAGCCCGGGGTCGTGACCTTGGTCATATCGGCACCTCAGGAGAAGCGGTTGTCCTCTCAAGCCACCATCTTGGCTGATTGGCTGTCCGGCCCCGGCAAGGACGAAGATCTCAAGGCCATCGCTGTGACGCTGGCTCTGCGCCGCGCCACTCATACCTACCGCGCCACGTTCATCGCCACGAGTCATCAGGAGGCTATCGAAGCGCTACGAAGCTTTTCCCACGACACTTCTGCAGAGGGGACCACGTGCGGCCGGATTCTGGACGCGTATCCGACACAGGGCCACGTCGTCTGGGTATTCTCCGGCCACGGTGCCCAGTGGCCTGCGATGGGCAAGGAGTTGCTTCGATATGCCGAGTTCTCGCATATGATCTCTCCCCTGGACCAAGTGGTCCAGGAGGAATGCGGGTACTCGGCTGTGAAGGCTCTGGAGGACGGTGACATTGGAGAGTCGGATCGGATTCAGGTCTTGACCTACCTGGTACAGGTTGGACTCAGCCAGGTGCTAAGGTCGAAGGGCTTGGAGCCCCAGGCTGTGATAGGTCATTCCGTGGGCGAGATTGCTGCTTCAGTGGTGGCTGGCTGCTTGACCCCGAAGGAGGGAACGCTCATCGTGACCCGGCGAGCCAAGCTGTATGCGCAGGTTAAGGGCCTGGGTGGTATGGCACTCGTCAGCCTTCCCTTTGCAACTGTTGCCAAGGAGTTGAAGGGTTCTCGAGCAGTCGTCCCTGCCATTGACTCTTCACCCAATTCCTGCGTCATCAGTGGCGAGTCCGCCCCTCTTCTAGAGTACCTCGCTGATCTGAAGGCTCGAGGGATCAAGACGTTCAAGGTCAACACAGATATCGCATTCCACTGCCCGATGCTCGAGAAACTGTCAGAGCCTTTGTCGCAGGCACTAGCAGGGGAACTCGACCCCCGGAAGCCGCTGATTCCGCTGTACTCGACCTCGAAAGCACCGCGGTCCGAAAGCCCGCGCGACGTCGCCTATTGGGTCGACAACATGATCAGCCCGGTGTGGCTGACCTCGGCTGTAAACGCTGCAGCCGAGGACGGCTTCCGAGTCTTTGCCGAGATATCAGCACATCCAATTGTCACGCACTCGATCAATGAGACACTTGGTCAGCGTGAGGACGTGGACGAATTTGTGGCAATAGGCACAATGAAGAGGGATGCTCCTGCGGAGCGGAGCATCCAGCGTGCAATTGCACAGTTGTGGACCAGGGGCAGCCCCGTCGATTATGAGGTTCAATTTGGCCGCAATATCTGGTCAAAGAATGTTCCCGGGACGCCTTGGGTCCACAAGCGACATTGGAGAGAGGTCGAGACGGGTCCAATCGGCGGAGATACTGCGTGCCACGACGTCGACAAGCACACCGTGCTTGGCCAGCGCACCAGCATCGCTGGAACTGAAGGTACTATCGTCTATACTACCAAGTTGAATGACCAGAACAAACCGTACCCACGGACCCACCCGCTCGATGGTACTGAGATCATCCCAGCGGGGGTGTATTGCAACACCTTCCACTACGCTACTGGCGCGACAGTTCTGGACGAGGTCAAGCTCCGTGTGCCTGTTTCTATGAGTAGCGAGACGAGGGAGGTCCAGATCATCGTCGAGGGTCAGGACATCAGGGTAGCCTCCCGTCTGGAGCAGAAGAGGAGCGACGCCCTGGCAGACCAGCCAGAACTCCCGTGGGTTGAGCACAGCTCCGCACGCTGGAGCAAGCCTGAGAAGTTGCCCAGTGAGTCCACTTACGACATAGTGGGGATCCAGAAGCGCATCGGCACCGTCTTGGGCAACGGATTTGCCTGGGAGTACCTGCAGAAGATTGGAGTCTCGGGCATCGCCTTCCCGTGGCAGGTAGTCGAACACTATGGAAACGAGAAGGAGATGATGGTCAAAGTCGACATGGACCCAGACTCTGACTCCATGTCCTGGGATCCTTACTCCTGGGGCCCTCTCCTCGATGCAGCGACATCTGTCGGTTCCACCATTTTCTTCAAAGAGGCCAGGATGCGTATCGTCTCTCAAATCGACAGAGTATTGATCGTGTCCGATGACCCGCGGCCCAAGATTGCGTACCTCTATATTGAGGAGGCATCTGACTCTATAAGCCCAGCCGCCCATGTCACCGTGTTGACGGAGCAGGGCGAGATGATTGCCAAGTTCCAGGCTTTGAGGTTCTCCGACGTTGAGGGTGCCACTGGTATCAGCGGCAGCGTCGAAAGTCTTGTTCACCAGCTTTCGTGGATCCCACCAACGCTCTCTGAAAAGCCTGTGTCGTTCAGAAGTGTTATTCTCATCTGCGAAGACTTAGCCGTCCTTGAAAAGTACGCGAGCCAAATCCGCGAGCGATACGAAGAGGTAATTGAGGCAGCGAATCTCAAGGACCTGACCAGACCAGAAGTAATCCTGGCCATGAGCAAGAAAGACTCCGCTCTTTTGTATCTGCCTTGCGAGGTGAAGGACTTGGATGACGTTGCAGCAGCAACCCACCGTTTCGTCTGGGAGGCTGTCAGTATGATCAAGTTGCTCGCGACGTCTTCTGCCGCTGCCAAGTTGTACATCATCACAGACCAGGTTTACAAGGGAAAGTCCCCCACCGCTCTTGCTCACGGTGCTCTTCACGGCCTCGCTCGTATCGCGGCCGAGGAGCACCCAGACAACTGGGGCGCCCTCATCGACAACGAGGGCGGGATATTCCCTACGATGGCGCTCAAGTACGTTCAGGGCGAGCAGATCATTCGGATGGACGACGGAGTGCCAAGGGTAGGCCGTCTCCGTCCTCTTTCCAGAGAGCAGCGGCACGGAAAGGACTCGCCCAAGACGCTTCTGCCCAAGCCTGAGGGGACATACATCGTCACCGGCGGTTTCGGTGACCTCGGCCGCGAGGTCCTCGAGTTCTTGGTCGAGAAGAAGGCCCGTCGCATTGTTGTCATCTCGCGCAGTGGTCTGCCGCCGCGCAAGGATTGGGACTCTGACGATCTCTCGGAGAACACGAGACTTGCTATCACCAAGATCCGCAAGCTAGAGAAGGCCGGGGCCTGGATCCATGCGATGGCGCTAGATATTGGCGCCAATGATGCCCACGACAAATTGCTGGCCGAGATGGATCGCCTCTCACTCCCCCGAGTCTTGGGCGTCATCCACGCAGCTGGTATCATGGAGAACGACTTTATCCAGAACGCGACAGCCGAGTCCTACGCCAATGTCTTCGCGCCCAAGGTCTCCGGGTCTCTCGCCCTCCACCGGGCTTTCCCACCAGGCACGCTCGACTTCTTCGTCCTGTTCTCGTCCACCGGCCAGCTAGTCGGGACAGCAGGCCAGAGCTCCTACGGCAGCGCCAACTCGTTCTTGGATGCCCTGGCCACGCACCGCCGGGCCCAAGGGGACAACGCCGTCGCGTTCCAGTGGACGGCGTGGCGCGGGCTGGGCCTGGCGACGTGCACCGACTCGTCGACCCTGGAGGCGGAGCTCGTCAGCAAGGGCATCACGGACATCACCATCGACGAGGGCTTCCGCGCGTGGGAGCACGTCGGCAAGCATGATGTGGAGCATGCCGTTGTCACTCGCATCCGCACATACGACCAGGGGGAGAAGGTCCCCCTGCCCCTTATCGAGGAGGTGGCCCCCCGCCGCTTCACCTCTGTCGGCAACGTCGTCGCGGAGCAGCAGCCCGGGTCTCACGGGGTGACGGACTCGAGACCGGCTTCCGGGCCCGAGCTCAAGGAATGGTTGAACGTGGCGATACGGGGGTGCCTCGCAGCTGTGATGATGGGTGACCCTGACGAGATCGACCCACGGGCTGCTGTCGCCGACTTGGGCGTTGACTCTGTAATGACTGTGGTTCTCAGCCAGAAGCTTCAGGCGGCCATGGGTATTAAAGTGCCTGTCACTTTGACTTGGAACCATCCTACGGTCTTGCATATGGTTGATTGGTTCTATGCTAAGCTTACTGAAAATGTATAGAGGACCCTTGATATATTAGAGACCCCCCTCCCCAACCGGTCAGGAAAGAACATTAGGCCTAGCTAAAGTGGACAAGACAATTGGAGGTCCTGGCTGTATTTCACGTTTTATTTTTGATCAAACCCAATGCCATACTTAAGTCTTCATAGCATAATAATCATCGACTATTGGTAGCTGATATTTGAATGGGTTGTTCCCGCGGTTCGCAGCAGCGTCCATAATTCCAATCATTACGGATTCTTAAGGGTATTAAAATGCGATCACTGACTGTTCACAATAAAGTCGAACGACGGTGATCAGAAGAATTGTGAGTATGCTCGAATGCGGATGCGCAGAACACCTCTGCATAACTTCACAGGGACCAGAACCAGCTCGATCCGTAAATTTAGTTTGAGTTCAGATGGAATGACCAAGGTTTGAAACACCTGGGCATTTTTATGGCACATACTTGCGGGTTCACTTTGATGGGCCTTTGCATGAGCTATCTTCAACCGGCATTTGATCTGACACCAAAACAACAGCTTGTCCTCCACTGGGCTCAAACGTCACACGTGGACGGAAGAGTCAAGGAAACTGAAATGAAACTAAAACTTCAGAACTACTATGCCGACTCAAGCAGACACAACCTTTTCGATAGCATCCACAACACCTTGCGTCGCGGTGAAGTTTGGGCAATGACCAGACTCCACTGTGAAAGTCTGAACCTTACGGCCAGTGGCCTTCTCAACGCCCTCGACCATACTCTGCTGCTCAGGAGGCGTGATCGAGATATCGGTGGTAGTGTGAATGTAGGCCACTGGAATTTCCTTCCAGGCTGTCTTCTCGAGAGGTTGCATCATCCCCTTCCCGTTCCAACGACACAGTGTCTTCACATATGCCTGGACCTCGGCCTCTGCGATACCAGGGGCTCTAAGGCCCATGCTCAAAGGGGCATCGCGCAGAACAATCGTGTGGTCCTCAGCCATGTCGAATACCAGGGGAGCATCCTCCATCTTGCCAAACTCCTTGAATTTATCAGAGGTAGACATGCCCTCTGGAAGTGCATAACCAACCATATAAATCAGATTGGAGACACCTCCCTTCAGACCTTGGGAAGACCGAGCTTCAGTCCCGAGACCGCACAGGGCATTGGACATCACCTGAGCGCCATAGGAGTGACCAATGGTCACAACAACGCGCCCAGCCCGAACGAGGCTCTCGACATAGCTCCGAATCAAGGCCGTATCATCCTCCAAGCCTGTGTTGGGAGGACGAGCCCCGTTGCAGGTGGGAAGGCGTGGCACGTGAACCTCGAAGCCGGATGCTTCGAGCGCAGAGGCAAGTTTACCGTAGCTAGCCGGGGTGTGAAAGGCGCCCCCGATGATGACGAGTGTAGGCTTGTTGTTGGAACTCATCTTGGAGAATATATTCTTTGGTTTCCGGTTGTGGTGCAGGAAGTTGTTTGTGATGAATGGGGGCAAGAAGTTGCGGGTTCCCTGGTCAGAGCAAGCAGTTGTGCCGGGATTGATGCGATTGTGAAAGATTGGAGGATAATGTGTTTGAGTTCTGGTTTTCCTCCAACACAGCAACCCGTGGACGGGACCACTTCCGGCACGGCGGGTTTTTAACCCTTACTTCTCTGCCCGGATCGCAACTGAGGAGCCGCTGAGAACACGGCTGCTGGAACGAAGAATGAACAATCATCCCACCGTTGCAGCGCTTGCAACAGTCTACTGCAGGTGTTGGTGTTGTTAGTCAATGTTCCGTTGGTTGCGCCCCACTTGGCATATCCACACTTCTCAACCGAGTACGATTTTCGGCCCTCTCGGTTGACGCTGTGCCACCTGTGGCAGCCCGAAAAGTGCACCCTGTCCGTTTCAGCATCTATTGTCGCCTGGTCGTTGGGTCTGGCACCAACATTACCTAGGTAGTTCCAAAGGGCTGGGTCCCTGTACATTCGAGACCCACACATAGGTCGTAAAGCACAAATCTTACATGCATGGACCTGGGAAGCCTCACGATCGCAAAGGTACACAATGTCCGGGAGGGGGGGTTCTCTGAATACCGTGGGTTCTTCACTCTCACAAGGAGCGAACGAACATGGAGTGTGGTCCAGCGATGGCAAAATTTCAGGCCCACCAGCCTCTCTGAAAGAAATGTGAAATTTTATGAGGTCTGGTAAAAGAAATAGAAATTTAAGATAGTCCTAATTAGGTATTAATATAGGTACCTTATTAAGGGTTAGGATTAATAAGATCCTTAAGTTTATTAAGTTTTAAAAACTTAAAAGATATATAAAATTATATAAAAGATATATTAAAATAAAAAGTACCTTATAAAAATAAGGTACTTATAAAATCTTTTAAAATTATTCATCCTAATAGAATAAAATCAAATAGCTAACTAAAATATTTGAAAATTAAAACTTTTACTAGGCTATTACTAGTGTGGTTGTGGGTTAGGCGCTATGTATGCGAGTATCGTGGATCGTCTTAGACTGTGTGGCCTAGAGAACATGAAGAGAAATAGTTATAGCACTATATAGAGATCTAATATTCTTTTGTACTTGCAGAGAAAACTCAAGCAACGGAATAGTCCTTTGGTTAACGGCGCCTTGCCCTGATCAGATTTCTACACCGTGTACCGGAAAAAGGGCGCGTTGTCAGCAAGCTCTTGCTCCAGAGCCTTCTGCTCCTCAGTTAACTCCTGTCCTGCTAAATCGCCCGTCACACGGTCCCGGCGAGCATTTTCAAGCCGGTACCAAATCGTCATGAACAGCGTCAGCAAGAATGCAAGACTGGGTACGTGGACTGTCAGTCAAAAGGCCACTACTAGTAAGATCCAGAGGTCATGAATTGTGCGGAATTTCTTACCTGATGATGCCGATCAAAATACTGTGACCGGTGACGTATCGAGGACCGTCCCTCGTCAGGTACACGTATGATGCTATGATGCCACCGCAGTTGCCGCCCATCACCTGCATGGCGATGCCCGTCCCTCGCTTCAGGGACCCGCCGATGTTGCCGCTGTTCCACGCCATCGCAAGAGGCACCGTTGGATATACCCCAACAGCGGCCAACACGAGTCCTCCGTATTGAGCCTTGGTGTTGCTTGTGCCCGCTAGAAGCGCGAAGCCGGCGATGCCAGTGAGCTGGAAGCACAGCAGGAAGATGCCCCGCTGCTTGACGCGGTCCGCCGCGTAGCTGGCCGCGATCGTGAAGATACAGGCGAAGACGTACGGCGGGACGCTCATCAGCTGCGCGTTGTTGGCCGTGTACCCCATGCCCTTGATGATGGTCGGAGAGAACAGTGCGATAGAGTAGATGGGGCAGAACCCGGCTAGGAAGATGCCACAGTGCATGTAGATCTTCCAGTCGCCGATGGCCTGCCACACATACTTCATGTTGAAGTGCTCAGAGAGGTGTCCCCCGTCGACTCGTAGCCGTCTTACCACTTCAGCACGCTCACTCTCGCTGAGGAACGTGGCCGTCGAGGGGTAGTCGTAGATAGCCCAGTACGCGGTGAAGGAGACCAATATGCTGAGCAGACCTTCAAGAATGAAGATCCATTGCCAAGCAGATAGGCCGCCAATACCGCTCATCTCGGCAATGCCCCTGGCCAGGATCCCGCCGAAGGCCCCCGCAAGTGTGGCAGCGGAGAAGAAAAGAGCCATGCGGAAGCCACACTCGTGTCTACAGTACCACTGCGTGATGTAGTAGTTGACACCGGGGAACAGACCGCCCTCAAAGGCGCCGAGGAAGACGCGGGTGGCCATGAGACCCGAGTAGCTCTTGACGAAGCCCTGGCCGATCATGGAGGCTGACCATCCCACCATGATGAAGGTCAGCCAAATGGAGGGGCGGGTACGTTTCATCATCATGTTGGAGGGGATTTCGGCGGCGCTGGCAGAATAATAGTCAGCACAGGTTTGACGTGCACTCGTCTGAAGAGATGGGGCAATTAGATTACTAACATGTAAAACGGAAAGAGGATAGCGAGGCAGTCATTGTATTGCAAGCCTTTAAGTTTGAGGTCTTGCTCAAGGTGATCAAGCCGAGCATTCCCAATATTGGTGCGATCCAAGAAACAAAGCCTGTTCCTCAGCGTCAGTAGTCCACTTCCAATATGATCAAATCACAGCGCTTAGCGGTGCTTACAGATAAATAAGCGACATAAACGGGATTATGTGCCAGTCCAACCGTCGCAGGAGCTTCTTGGTTGCGCTGCGGTCGTAAGCTACGGCCTCGTTGATCTCGACGACGGACCCATGCGCCGAGATCTCCGTGGGCTCGATGCCCTTCTCCTTTATTGAAGGTACCATTATGGTGTATTTGGAACTGTCATAAGCCGAAAGTGAATACGCCTCTGTTATTCCAAGGGTAGTTTGGCGCGGAACAGTAGACCAAGACAGGAGGAAACAAGTCGCATACGAGTTGCGCAGAGGGAGGGAAGGGGGAGGGTCAGATTTAAATAATTCATCCATATTTTGCAAAAAGCATATCAGTAAGAACCCCGACCATGCACGTATAAAGATTCCATCCAACCTTACCGGAGGAAGCCACCCAGTAATCCTTCGTGCCCCCCGCCGTCTCCCGGTAGCTTGTTTCCCAGCGCCGCTTGGCAGCGGCGACTTTGCATCGTGGCCACACGGAATTCAGCTTATCGGTCAGGTCGGCAGCCGTGGAATGCAGGTCAGCTTCTAGACTGCACCCCCCTCGCAGGTCGCACAACAGGAGCGCCCGAGGAGTCAGTCACTCGCTTCTGCCGCTCAATACGTCTTAGACAAGGGAGCGCGCCAGCAAGCCACAGCGCGTACTAGACCACCAAGACTACTCTAGCGGCCGAATCCCCGCCGCTTGGCAGGAATGAGCTGTTCCAGTTGAGCCAGCCCAACGGGCAGGGCCAAGCTGACGGTAGTTGGGCTCTTGGTGTTGGTGTGGCACGCCCAAAACATGCTGCCTGTTAGGTGTTTTTTTTTCCACGGGCGGGTGGCTTATCTTGGTGCCAATAGCTCCCGTGGGCCAAGATATCCCCACAATGCTTAGCAGGAGTCAAGACTTGACAAGACACTAGGAGTTGAATCGGGGATCCTTCGACCAACTACAGCGCGTTAATTGCTGTGTTATATGGTACTCTTGAGTGAGGAGGTTCTTGAGTATTTCACATGACGTTCGGTATTTGCAACGAGAATCTGTTGTGGAATCGGGATCGTGTTAACTACTGCTACTGTTGTTGATTTTGTTCTGGCCCAGATGTGGAAAACCTCGAGCTGCGAGCGCGCAGGTTTGGTTAGGCACGCCCAGGGTTGCAGCGCATTCACGCAGGTCACATCAGAGAGGATTAGGAAGCGCCACTGCATCTTACCTCAGATTTTCGGCTAGCTCGCCAAAAGCCCCTGCAAAGTATTTGCTTTTCAAAGCGTCCGTGCCATTCTGTACACTGCCAATGGTAGACTGAATTCCGCAATGTGCCGCTGGGCATGCAGCTTTTGCGTCTCGATGTCCATTTTTGAAGCCACGTGTACCTACTATCTGCCTGGCTGCACGTGTTCTGATGTATTGCAGGGTCGTCTTGTATGTCCCACCATCGATAGCACCTGCTCAACAAGGCAAGATGGCTGCATAAGAGATGGGTGGTTCCGCGATTTCTTATCAGTGCTGACGCTGAGCATTCGCTTTGTGAGTGATTTCGTTTCAAATGCTTATTATTACATAGTACATACATAGGTATGAAGCCATCCTTTTTCACACAACACAAAATTGTCATTCAACTGCTGACTGCGGGCTTGGCTTATTATTAGTGTTTTGAGCTCCCGAGGCTGCTTCTTTCTAGTTGATCTTGTCTGTTAGGTTTGACTCAGCCTCAGGCTTTCAGGCTCAGTGCTAGGTTTGTTGGTCACTCTTGTTGCCCAGGTCTGCCCAGTTGAAGCTTCACATGCACTCAAGTAGGGAGTAAGTTGATTGCCCAGGTGCAAATTATGGTCTGTATTTCAATCCACCAATCTCGAATATAATTGTGTGTCTCTCATACCTACCTACTTGTGTCAAAAGTTCCTCTGTGTCCAATGTTGGCCTGTACAGGTCTTGATCAATAATGAACCCCAGATAGATGACAGACATGGTCAGTGCTGAGAACATATGAGATTAGAGTTGCATTGATGATACTGGAGAACCACCGAGTCGGCCAAATCACATCACAGCCTACGTCTCACGTTCGTCCAGCTAGTTGCGTTAACGCGCATGCCTGCTGCTTAGGGTACCCACCAGTCCCCACACTCATCTCCCAATCTATCTACAACTACCAACAGACATGTACTGTGTCCATATCGGGGGTCACATGATCACATATTGAGCCTACATAAGTATTATTTTGCGGCCTATGTAGCCTGGATCATGCCATGTAAGCATGTGCCGGTTTCACAACAGGCTGGAAATGGTGATTGGAAAATCTGTAAGTAAGCAGGACTCACGAACTAGGAGCCCCTCTGAAGTCAACAGACCGGTTCACGTCACTGCCTATCCTAAGGTATCGGCAGTTGGGCTAATGACGGACAATGTGCCCATCTCGCATGAATTGTGCACTCAAAGTCTGTGACCCAGATCCAAAGCTTGGATAGAGCCCTGCATCATGCATTCTGTTCCATGATATCTTTTCTTTGCTAGAGATGCAAGAGAACCCGCATCTTACCTTTAGGCATCTTATTCTCACATATTTGAGTACTATGTTGTGCACAAAGATCGCATCTTTCAGGTTGATGAGTGAAAGGGTGGGCAATGGTGAGATTGCTTTCACAGAACCATGGGCTCCATGGGTCTTGGGATGTGAGCTTTGTTTCTCCTCATGTGAATTCCAATGAGGTGCCACAGCAGTAGAGCCACAAAATTCATCCCAACTACTGCAGCTTTCTGCCACATACAGCCTGAGGTTTGCCTGGCCATGTGCAGTACCAGTGGACCCACTTCAGCAACCTGGCGCAGGCTGGATTCCAGGGCACTGTCGTCCAGAGGTTTAAGACATTGGATTGTGGTTTAATACGTCAACTCTCCAAAGACCAAGGTTCGAACCCTTGCAGCGCCATTTATTTTGATGGTTGCACTCACTGGTGAGTGCTGTTGTGATTCAACCGTTGGTGGCCATTTCGACTAGTAAGCACTTCAGATGCTGACATGTCGCGATGCTCCCAGGTAAACGGCACAGGTGGGCAGACTCGCAACCCCGAAAACTGGGCGGGTAATGGTTGAGTTATCTTTTTTGTTATCCACAGCGACCACCCCATACCTTTGTTGTAATTGATTGCTCACCGTCGCAGGACAATACGACTGCATGGTGATAATGGCACGCTTGGCACCAGCGCATGTCGGGGTTCACTGCCACGATATCACGACTTGAGCCGGCTCCGGCTCCCCGGCTCCGACAGCGATTCCGGATCAAAGGGAATCTCGGCCACTGCTTGGCCGAGCGCTAGAAAGCTGTCACTGGCTGTCAGCCATGAGTTGGGGTCGAATGCGGGTGAGCTATGGACGACGTTGACTCGGTATTTATTTTATGGAAGGCCTGTGTGGGAGGCCAAGACTTTTCCCCAGCCGACAGACGGCATGTTTGCATCCGAAGCCAGTTTGGACCCCGGTCGTTGTTTGTTGTTTCATGGCCGACCACCGCTCTGGGTGGACACCCGCGTAGCTCGGATCTCTCCACGAGGGATCTTCCACAAATCCTCAGTCACGAGGATCAGCCTTGGCGTCGTGGAAGTGGGGTGTCCAAGCCAAAAGCGCAACACTGGATGAACCCCTTCAGTATTGCAATCCGCCTTCCTCGACGGGGTGTTTCCCATTGAGGCTATCAGGTCCGTTTTAGGCCTGCTAATGTCGTTTGGTCATGGGGCCTCATGCTCGCGCAATAGCGCCTGGGCACTAGAGCAGCCCTGAGCACAGCGGCAGTCCTGCTCCGTGTGGTCACCCCCCTTTAATCAAATGCTACCGTGGGATGCAGGGTCAGGGGCAGACACTATGTGTAAGTAAACTTCACGCCGGGCAGCCTGCCATATCGTGGGCTCAATTATTCCGGTTGGTCTTCCGAGGTTCTATATTTGCTTTATTGTGAACACTGTACATATTATTCACTTTGCTACGCCAGGCGTTGATTCTTATTAATTATCTCGCCTCCGTCCTCGCCTCTGTTCCAGTGCCGGCACACATTCACTTCTGCGTCATCCTTGTTTCTACGCACCCAATACACCACTCCAGGGTCCCATACACCACTCACCGGCAAGATGAAGTTCTCACTACCCGCCATCGCCGTCGCCCTCGGCGCCATCACGGCCACCGCAACCCCCGTCGAGCTCGTCGAGAGGGCAACGCCAACCGTCTACCTGTGCGGTGACAGCACAATGGCCAAGAACGGTGCCAACGACGGCTCAACCGACGGCTGGGGCCAGTACCTGGGCGCCCTCGTGTCCGCCCCCGTCGTCAACAAGGCCATCGGCGGCCGGTCTGCGCGCTCCTACACGGCCGAGGGCCGCTTCACCGAGGTCGCCAACCTGGTCAAGTCGGGCGACATCGTGGTGATCGAGTTCGGACACAACGACGGCGGGAGCCCCGAGTCCAACGACAACGGGCGCAGCGACTGCCCCGGCGCCGGCACGGAGACGTGCAAGTCCAGCAAGGACGGCTCGACCGTCTACACCTTCGTCTTCTACGTCACCCAGGCCGCCAAGCTCATGGCGTCCAAGGGCGCGACCGTCATCCTGAGCACGCAGACGCCCAACAACGCGTGGGAGGGCGGCAGCTTCTCCTACTCGCCTCCCCGCTTCGTCGGCTACGTCAAGACGGCCGCCAACGCCATCGCCAGCAGCAGCGTCACCTGGGTCGACCACTACAACGCCCAGACCCTCGCCTACAAGAAGCTCGGCAACAGCGGCACAAACGCCCTCTACCCCAACGACCACACCCACACCAGCCCCGCCGGCGCCAAGCTTGCTGCTCAGTCTTTCGCCCAGGCCATCAACGCCAAGATGAACAGCACCACCAGCCTGACCAGCTACATTATCCAGCCCGCCCCCAGCGTCTACTGAGCGGGTGCGGCCCGGGATGGGAATAGCGTCGTCAGGGGATGAGTGAGGTGGATACTTCTTGAGATTTGGCTGTATATATTATTGAAAAGGTGAGGCGGCACTAATGAAATGCCTGCCCTGCCGAGAAAGTATAAAATATATGAGATGAACCATCAATGATACCATTTGAAAAAAAAAGCACGAGGCGAGTAACCCGCGTATCGTACAGACTGCTGGGCTCGGAAAGGCTCCACCCAGAAAAAGCCAAAAGCGGACAATAAGAGCCCGGGCCCGGCCATGAATGAATCAGTGTGTCGTCAATTCATTGCTTGATAGCGCAAGCGACGACAATCAACCCCCACAACTGGACCCGGTGGGCCTCCGTCGGGTTAATCTCTCCCTTTTCTCCTGGCTCCGAGAGTCTGGGCTCCACTGCTACAACTCAATATGGAAATGAAAAGTCCTTTCTCACCCTGTGTTCGAAACATCACGAAACATCGCCTACCCGCGAATTGTTGTCTGCAGAGAGCCTGGACCTTGGCGGGAAACGGGTCACTGCTCGGTTCTATGCGTCACTGTCGTGGGTACGTTGTGAGTTTGGATTGGGAAGCGAGCCTTCCCATCGGACGATTATTCACGCGTCGTCTGCAAGACGACTCGCTTACTTCTGTAACCATCATCTGCCAATACAGCGATATGTAAGAAAAGAATGGATTCATGGATGACATGGATATTGAATTGAATAGATGCTACCGACTCTGCTTGAAGCAGATCAGGGTGATACTATATACACTGAAGGACATAAGTAAGTGGACCTCGAGCTCGATGATCAATGGGCCAAGGCCACCAACGGCGTCGCTCCAGGGAAGAAGCTGCTCGGCATGGTAGGCACGGGGATCTCAACCGTGAACCCAAACCCAGTCTTCAGGTCATCCGGCATGGTAGCAGCCTGATAGCCCGTGGGCGCAGACGCAACAGCCACGGTGGTGGTGTACGAGCCGCCGCTGCCCTTGAGACACGCCCCCGTGCCGAGGGCGTTCTGGCAGATGTAGTTGACCTTGCTCCCGCTGTCGGTCCACATGGCAAAGTCCTCCACGACCATGTCCTTGCAAGGAGTGTCGGGGTCGCACTTGAACTGGACCGGCCCGCGCTGCGTGCCCGAGGCGCAGGTTCCCTTCCAGTTGCTGAAGGTCATGTTGCTCAGCTGCACGCCCGCGCCCGAGGCCGTCGACATGGACGACCACGCCTGGTCCACGTCCAGCGAGTACGCGTTACCGTGCCCGATAAACTCACTAAACTCAACATCCTCCACGTACCCCGAGCCACCGTTACTCTTGATCATCATCATCTGGTTGCTGCCTACGGTATATATCTTGCGGTAGGCGATGTTTGAGATGGCTGTGCCGGCTGCGAGGGACCCGATTGCGGACCCGCCCGAGAGGTTGCAGTAGATTTGCTCGATGAGGATGTTTTGAGCGGGGGACTTGACTGTTACACACCTATTTGCACATTTGCGGTCAGTAATGCCCATTGAAGGAATCTCCGAAGAGATCGTCTCTTGTGGAACGAAACCCTTCTGGAAATGGATTACTTACTCGTCCTTGTTGGTCACCATCACATCATGGATGTGTATATTGGTTCCCCACACATCAATTCCGTCCAGCCCACCATGATCACCACCCCGAATGGCAAGGTTGTAGAGCTCGCCGTTGGTGCTGGTGTCCAGCGAGATGTGGAAGGCGGGCGCATCCACGAATCTGAGATCGTGGACAGAGAAGTCACTGGTCTTGATGACACGGAGCAGACGGGCACCCGAGAGTGATCCCGACTTGTGGATCTCGTATCCATAGCCTTGCATGACGCCGGACCCGGTGCTGGAGAAGAACTCAATGTCCTTGCTGTTCTGGATGGCTATCATGTTACCGCCAGCGGTTCCGGTTCGGTAGATCGTGCCGTCCAGCTGCACGCCAACACCACTGCCTTTGTTCAAGGTAGCCCAGGTTGACATGGCATAGTCACCTGAGGGGATGACGACTGGGACTTGGTCAGCACCACTGAACGTGGCCCAAGGGCTGCAGATAATGATCACGCATGGGGTCGGAGTTAACTACATACCAATGCCTCCGGATGCACATGCAGACCAAGCCTTGGTAAGAGCCGCACCAAGGTCCGTCTTCTTGTCTGCCTTGGCACCGTAGTCAAGTACGTTGCACGTCTTCTTGGCCCGCTTGGCTGCGGTGCTTGTCGTCGGGCCGACGCTGCCAGACAGCTGGGCTGCGGCTGCGCCCACCAGAACGAGGACGTTTACGATGGAACACTTCATCTTGCTTCTTGATGGCGAATTTGGACAAGGAAAACCGATGTGCAAATTATTTGTATAGGGGGTTTGATGCCAAGAGAATGGAAGACAGCTGTCTATTTATGCGCGCTGCGCAGACGAAGCCATGCAAAAGAATGAAGGGAGGTTGAAGGAGGGACGGCAAGTTGGGTGAGTGGTTGATAACATTCGAACCAGGCAGGAATGATGAAAATGACTCTGGAAACTTTAGACCTGCTCCGAAATGACCGTAGACCTCTCGCGAGCCGATCGACCACGGAGCCATAATTCAAGCTTTTCCCTACAATCAATATAATCCTGACGCAGAGGACTCATGCTCTGGCAGCTGCTGGTTCGATCTACCAGCCCATCAGGGAGAAACCATGAGCTATCAGCCAAGCGGGGTGTTCTCGTCGCCGTGGTCCAGACTGCTCTGCGACTTGCAGAAATTACCGAAATTCAATGTGAGGTGGACACCACCACATCCATCGTGCAAGTCGGGACATTCCCACCAAAGAGAATGCCGGCTGTCCCAGCACCTTTACGCGAAACGGCAATCTGGGGTCGAGAGGATGGCCTAGTCCGGGTTGCTTGCTAGGGTCTGCCCCGGTACTTGACTCGAAGCGAGGCTGCGAGTAAGGGGGCTTGACCATGCATGGTCGGCGTCGAATTGATTGGGGTCAGACACGTTGACACGCTAGTGGTTAGTCCGTCAGATCCGACGTGCCCTTGGGATATATTAAAAAAGATTACGCCTGGCTTCTTCCGACTGCGGCGGCTGATGCCATGTCCTCACACGACTATACGTTACGGGCACGGCCTGGATTCTCGTAACTAGAGATCGTGCTCGTGTACAATAAATTGCAATGGCATCCAGATGTGATCGACTCGGACTTCTCCATACCTTGCCCATGTGATTCTGCGTGACATTCAGCCTCGACGCCGCGCAGCATCCGCCCGTCGTACCTCCAGAGCTGCCGGTCATGTTATCATCTACAGGGCGATATTCATCCACGGGGGCTTCATTTCCAGGGGACTACTGCGTCCGTTGAAGTGATCCAGAAAATAGCCAGGTTCCTCGAAGACATAATACCAGGCAGATCTTCCAATATTAGCCCCTCCATTAATCGACATCTATCGCGTTTGTTATTGCGGCAACATCACGCATCATCTCCTGTAATCGAAAGCAGCACTCGGAGTCACCTCCAGGTGACTGGAACCCAGCCACCGCTTCATAGAAGCAGGGAGTGGTCCCCGGATTTGACCTTCCGTTATGTAACATCGACTAGATACAAAGACACCGTCCGCCAAGATACTGCCGCTGTGGGAAAGTAAGTGGGTCAACTTTGGCTGTTGGGCCAATCAGACGCTGATAAAAAAAACTTCCAATGTTTCTTCATCAGCCGCTGTTGGCCCAACATCCAAAGATGAAAGCTAGAAGGCCTCTGATTGGTCAGAATTTCTTCCATCCAATCAAAAGCAAAAGGGCCCGTGTCCCCTGCCAATCAGGGGACACGGGCCACTACCGCTAGCTTCCATCTCGTCACCTACCCAACTATTTGTTCACACTTCATTGGCTTGACTACAGGCAGGGCTACGGGCTACTGGCTACGGAGATAAGATGGAAATACGCACGGGTGAGGGCTTGGCAGACCGCCTAAATAGGTAGTCCTCTCCCCCGATATCTCCGTGGGACCCCAACTCGGCTGCAACCAATCAGAGGCCAGGTCCCAGATTCAACCAATCAGAGGCCCCAATTCAACTTTGGATGTTAATTCATCTTTGGATGTTGGGTTCAACTTCCGCTAGCGACCCCCCGCATTTCCCCCTACGGTGCTCAGTCACCTTCTACTTGACTAGCTGCCACTCGTGCCAGTGGTACCTAGGTAGATTGCAGCGTCGTTCCGACGAAGACCACGAGCACGGCCGCGTACGCAGCAGTTGCACTCATCATAGTCTCCAGTCCTATCTTAGCACCGCCCACAAATGTAGGGATCAGCCTGGCGAGAGGGTCAATCCGAATCCAAAGACAAACGCCGTTGTCGTGATCAATGTTGTGTACAGCTGATTTCTCCAGACCATTAGCCACATAGGACCAATCAGAAAGACACCTCCCAGGATCGCCATGCCCATTCGTTGCAAAGTCTGACGGAAATGTTCTTTGCGGTCATCGTATCGCTTCCAACCCCTTTCGACGCTATGAAGATTGCCTTTGAAACGCGAAAAATATGGTGCAGGAAAATCAATGTTCGTCCATTCCCCCTTCCTCTCCCTACACTCCTGCGGGATCCGTAAAAGCCCAAGCTTGAGGAGGTGTGCATCGGCTTCCTCACGACTCGAGACCACAAACGAGTCCGGAAAGCAAGCCAAGCCGTCGTCTAAGGACTTGATAATGAATTCGCTGTCTCGCACCGCTGTGACTATGTTGTCGTAATTGTAACTAGTTAGCAGCTCGTCCTAATAACCACCCGATTACGCTACAACTAGCAGACCGGCCATCAATCATCGGAGTGCCACTCACTGTACTCCTTTAGTAGATCCTCCCAATCGCTCGGCTCCTCTTCCTCGAAGTGTATAGACATCACTCTGTGGACCAGCTCCCTCTTCAGCTTCCACAATCGCATCACTTGCAAACCTTCAAAGCTGACGAGAGCATGTTTGGGGTCAGGATTAGGTAATTCCTCGTCGCTGTCTTCAGGATCGTGGGCCCTAAATATGTAGTTTTTGAGCTCTTTTAAGAGGATGTGATTCTGATCAGCGCGCTCTTGCATATTGCTCAGAACAAATGAAGGTTGAGAGCCTGTGAAAGATGTTTAGCACAAAGCTACAGAACTACCTAGGTAGGTAACTTAGAATACTGATCGAAAGAAACAATGTATTATACTCACTAGTCGACTGAGCCGGTGAATATTGGCCACTGTTCCTGGCGTTCGACGAAACCGGCTGGTCCACAGGCCGAAATTGTTGAGTAGGAATCCGCCACCAATATGCCCGGTCGTCATCCACGGGCGCAGGAGAATAGGCCCTAGGGTTAGGTTGATAGCTATAAGGGAGTTCCATGATCACTGCAGGTGGTTTTCGCAAGGACGTGGTCCAAGGCCTTTACCACAAGTTCTTGCTTGACGAGCCCAGCATTGAATGTTGCCCGGAGAGCTAGAGATGCCGCCAAGTCGTTCAGTGCTAACATGCCAGTGTATAAACCCCGCCTTCGTGTGGGACAATTCGCTTTTGTGAGACTGCTGTTATGCGAGTTTCTGCGGTGGGCACATGTGTGACTCACGGCAGTTGGCAGCAACTTGTGCTGTTATGGCGGGACCCCAATATGCACTGGCGGGGCCTTTGTTGTGTAGTGCTGAAGTAGAAGTCGCTCCTGGCACAGCCAAAATGGTCAAAGATGTTGTGTTGTATGTACATGTATGAGAAGCATAATTGACTGTAACCTCAAAACACCGCTGAGGGCCCACATAACTTGAGAAGGCAATCCAATGGTGAAAACATAGGTATACATTGTGGTAGTTGACAGTATTCTTACCAAAACTGTTTCGCTTCAACCACACATTTTCTGCATACCTAGGTACCCCAAAGCCCATCCAAAGTCTGCCACATTATTATTCTGCCAGGAGTGTTTTCAATCCCTCAGCAGGTGTCGTACTAGGCGCGGCAATCTCAAGAACCTCCTTGCTGGTCGTTGAAGCAGTACATTTACCCTCCCACGCGGTCGCAGCAGCACCTTTAATGGTCATTATGAGGTGCCTAACGGCTTCCGGCGCGGAGTTGACCATCGCCTCAACCAACGCCATGTCCTTGTAGCTGACACTCTGCACCTTGGTGCCAATATGCTTTTCAACCATCTTCACAATTTGCTCTCCTGTGATATCCTCGGGACCGTTTAGTACATATTTGGCCTTGTTATGCACCGAGGTGTCCTTCTGGGACAAAAGATGGGCCGCGAAAACTCCGACATCCAGGGCCTCGATTATGCCAACAGGTGCATCTTTAGACGCCATCAGCCTGAGCGTGTCCTGCTGTCCAGTCTCGCGGTACTTCTTGATCAGGGCCGCCGCAGGAGCTAGGTAAAAGGACTGGAATATATTTGCTTGGAGTGAAGTCCAATGCAAGGGCCGAAACTCAGGCGAGCTGAGCAGCATTTCGATAGCCCAGTGCGAGCGTGGATAGTAGACATCGCAGTCCGGCCTGACATTGGCCGCAGTTGTTGAGATCCGGACGACGTATTGGACGCCTGCTCTGAGGGCAGCAAGGTGGAACGCGGACTCCTCTGAAAATTGGGTTGGCTCGTTGTGGGATGCGATAAACACCCTGACAACTTCGTGCTCACGAAGCCAGTCGGCGGTGATTTGAACCCAGTTCTTCTCTAGTACATCCACGCCTGGTAGTTTTGCGAAACCTTGCGCGGTCGGGTTGTTCAAGGACCGGGTGAGGGCAATGATTCGGTGACCGGATAAGGGAGAGCCAGCAGCGAGCAGCTTGGGCAGTGTTTCCATAACACCTCGGCCCGTGTTGCCAGTTGCGCCAACGACTAAGATAGAAGGAGCCATGATGATCAGTCTACCGCGATGAGGCAGAAGAATGGTGCAAGGGGCAGACTGTGAAAACAGGTGAGGGTTCTTGTGCAATTGATGAATGTAACCAACTCATGCACTGAAGAGATGCACCATCTAGACGACAATGTTCCATGAGCAACGGGCTTAATATATGCATAGAATGGGAAGGTTGCGTTTGGCCAAGCTGGCCGATTTGTCAGGTCATAATATGAAGCGGAGGCGGCAACTGAAGTTGCCTACCCATTGAGTAGATTCCGCCGATGGCTGAACGAGTCACGTACTTGATTTGTCACTGAGGACAGTGACTATCAATGCCTTTGTCACGACTTTGATGCAGCGGCATAGTAGCGAGTGATCTCTGTTGTGAACGTTTGTGGTATGGGAAAGCCCTTGCATCCGCTTAGGGTACGACAAGTGTTCGGCCGAAATCCGGGTGAAAAGCGGCCAAAACCAAGCGTGCTTGTCTCCAAGTTTGTCCGAGCGTCCCGAGGATACGGGTCAGGAATCTGGCCGGCTGACGGAGACTTATAATTCAAGTAAAACCCACACAGATCTACCTAGAGGTTATCTCTAACACACAAACCTCCATACTAGGAAAGCTACACTTAACTCATAGCTACTACTTATTTAAAGTATAACTAAAAAAAAGAGGTTAGCTTTTAACATATAGAGATCTATAACTAAAATACACCCCTTATAAAAATAAAGGGACGCCTATTTCCCCCCCTAACTTTAAATTTAAATTTTTTCCCCAACAACTCTTCTCTCTTTAAATAAATACCCTTTTAAACTTATAATACTAATATTAATTATTTTACCCTAAAATATACTCTATTTTTAAAAGAATTTAAATTAAACAATATAAATAATTAAAAGAGTAACTTCTATCCCTCTATTTAATTTATCAATTAAATATATTAGATTTTACTAAATAGAAAGCTATAAAAATAAAAAAACTTTAAAAAAAAGCTTTTACTAATTCTTTTTTTTAATATATTATTTCTATATAAATTACTAATTAAAAAGGTATTAAAATTAAGGAATATTTAAAAAAAGTACTTTAAAATATTATATAAACCTATCCCTCTACTCTAAATTTTTAATATTTTAATTTTAAATATCCTTTACTTAAATTTAAACTACTTAATAATTAACCTAACTATAAGATTACTATAAGCTATAAAGTCCCTACCTAAAATAAGTAGGAAATCTATACTCTTAAGTAACGTAAATAACAGCTAGGCTACAGGCCTAGCTAAGGGTATCTAAACATTTAAGATAACCTAAGGGTTAGACCTTTAGTTGCCCCCTACGCCTCCTAGCGTAGGGGGTACTAAAACCCCCACACGGCCAAAACCTCCACACACTTAAAAATTCTAACTTTTAATATAAAAATATACTAAAAGTTAAAACTTAAATATAATAATCTATTATCGATATTATAATAAGATTATAAATATTTAATTTAATAAAAAAGAGGTTATATTAATTATTTTAATTTAAAAATTAAATAAAAAAATATATAATCTTTATTAAAATTAAATTAATAACCTTTTATAAAATATATAAATTATAAAAGAATAATTAACTATATATAAATATTTTATTAATTAAATTAAAACTATAATTAATATTTTATTTATATACTTTAAAAGACTTTAATAAATTTATATAAATAGTAATAATAAAAATATATTAAACTAATTTATTAATATACTTAAATAATAGTTTATATCCTTAATAATTTTACTTTTATTAAATTAAATATATTATTATTAAAACTATTATTATAATTAAATTTAATTAAATTATTTTATAAATAAAATATTTAAAGTATTTCTTTTATTTAATATAAAATTTATTTATTAATTTTAAATTTATTAAATTAATAATTAGTTTAAATAAATAATAAAATAAAGTAATTTAATTTTTTATTATAATTTAATAGAATATAATTATTACTTTAAAGTTTAATTTATTTATATTATATAAATATAAAGATATATTTTTAAATATAAAGATATATTTTTAAATATAAAGATATATTTTTAAATATAAAGATATATTTTTAAATATAAAGATATATTTTTAAATATAAAGATATATTTTTAAATATAAAGATATATTTTTAAATATAAAGATATTTTTAAATATAAAGATATATTTTTAAATTAAATAAATATTTATAATTAAAATTACTTTTAATTATTAAAAGTAGTTTTATAAAGTTTTATTAAATTAAATAATTTTAATTACTTTATTATTTTATAAAATAGTTAATTTTAATTATTTTTCTTTATAATTAACTTTTATTATATTTATACTTAACTATTTTTATTAATTTATATATATTTTAAATATAATTTTAATATATATTAATTTAATTTTATTGTTTTAAATATATATTTAATTTATTAAATATTTTTAATAAATGTTACTTTAATAATAAATTTACTATATTAAATTAATATAATAATATCTTTTAACTTATATTATTTTAAATAAACTTTTATTTATTATAATAATATTTAAAATAACTAATTAATTAATATTAAGTTATATAAGTTATTTTTATAAATAATAGATTTTAATATTATTAATAAAGTAATTAATAATCTTTTAAATATTATTATTAAATAAATAATTATAATATATAGTTATATATTATAATATATAAACTTTTATTTTTATATACTTTTAATTAGTGAAATAATAAATTTAAATATTTTAATATAAAGAATTATTTACTTTTAATTAATAACTTTTAATTATTACCTTTTATTAAAATAATTAAAATTAATCCTTTTAAATTTATATATTATATAATTAAATTTAAAGGTTAATTTAACTATTAAGTTAAATACTTTATAAATAAATTCCTTTTATAATATTATATATTAGTTTTTTATATTATATTTTAAAATATATTTTAATATTTTTAGAAATATTTAAAAATATTTATATTTATAAATTATAACTTATATATTAAATATAAGAATAAAAATAAAAGAAAATATTAAACTTATAAGTATATATAATTATATTTATATTATAATAAATAGTAAAATTATTAAAGAAAAGTATTTATTAAATAAAGTTATTAAAAGCTAACTTTTATTAATTATTTTAATAAATTCTTATTATTTTTAATTAAAATAAATAAAATAATTAACTTTTAACTACTTTTAAAAATAACTTTATTCTATTTAAAGTATATATAATATTTAAAAATAATAATTAAAATAGTAAAGTTAATTAAATATAATATTATTATTTAAAAACTTTATTTTTAATAAATTAAATATAATATCTTTATATAAATTCTATACTTTAATAAAGTTATAATTAAATTAAACTTTAAATATATAATATATAAATATAATTTTATTAATAATATTATTATAATATATTAAAGTTCTTAATTTATAATTATTTAAATTATTAATTTTAAAGTTTATAATTAATTAAATATAAATAATAATAAAAGTTAAATACTTTTAAAACTTTTTTATTATATTATAATATTTATTATTATCTTAAACATTTAATATAATAAGTTAATATATAAATATAATTTATTTAATATAATTAAAAAAGATATATTATTAAATAAAACTTTATAACTTTTATAAGTTAACTTAATAAGTTTAATATAAACTTTTATTATTTTAAATATTAAAAGAAAGTAAAAGAAATTAAGTATTTTTAATAAGTAATTACTTTTTAAATTTTAAAGAGAGTTAGCTTACTTAATAATTATAAATACTATTAAATTAAAATTACTATTATAAAAATCTAATATATTAAATTATAATATCTTTTATAATAATAAAGTATATAGGTAATTATTAAATTATTATAATAATATTAAATATTTTATTATATTATATAAGTAAATATATTAAAAATTAAAAGAAATTAATTAGTTTTAATAAAAGGTTTATATAAAAGCTTTTTATAACTTTTAATTTAAAGTTAGAAATATATAAAATAATTTTAAATATATATTTAATAAAAGTATAATATTTTAAGTAGAATAAAATAATTTTTATTTTTAATTTTATTCTTATTTTAATAAAATTATAAATATTTAAAACTATTTTAATAATAATTAAACTATTTATATTAATTTAAAATAATTAATAAAATATACTTTAATAATAATTAATATAAAGTATAAATTTATATATTAAAGTTAATAAATATTATAAATAATTAATTTTAAATTAAAAATATTTAAATAAAACTATTAATATAATATATTTAAATATATAATTATAAATAGTAGATTTTATAATTAAATTTTAACTTTTAATATATTTTTATATTAAAAGTTAGAATTTTTAAATGTATAGGGGTTTTAACTATATAGGGGTTTTAGTACCTACTGTGCTAGTAGTGGGTTCCTTGGAGCGAGAGTAAACCCACGGGTACAAATCTGCTAACACCGGCACCCCCAAAAAGTTTAATCACCCTTAGAGAAACACACTCAAATGCGTAGCATTTGCTAAGTTTGTTAGGAGGAGGCTTCAGAGAAACTTCTCGCCGTTGCTCCAGGCTGAATACCAGACTATATCCATTACCTGGTTGTATGCATAGAGTTTTCTTTTCTATTGCAATGCAGGCAGTAGACGAGTGACATCAGACACGCAAGTCCTAACGCATCTAGGATATACCTTGGCATTGTGATTTAATCTCTTCCAGTGCTCCTACAGGACGACTTTCAAAAAGACTTGGTCCTTTGGGACGACCTCTGTACACAGGACAACCTCTTACATCTAGTTAGAATCATCCCATGAGCAGCCTATCTCGAGATTGGTTGACAATCTCTTGTGAAGCCACAATGTGCAGCTCTAGACTCTATTGGCAGCAGCGGGCGATGACTTCCCGTGAACAAGACACATTAGACATGGTAGCTAGGTATGATCGAGCCAACATTGAAGGGTTTGAATGAGCCCTTTTCTTGACAACGTTACACATCTAAAAGCTAACCCATGCATTGTTCTCAACCCCTTATAATAGATCTTGCGCTGGTCACTTGTTCCGGCCAGCGTCTCGCTGTGGATGGCTTGCATGGGTAAGCGATTAATAAGTGGCGGGGTGACCCCAATTCACAGCGCGGCTGTGTTTGCAAGCCGAGTGACATTTCATTGCCCGTCTTAGCGACGGTCCGTTTGCAAATTGCTGATAAGAGATAACGACCTCACATCTACGCGCCGACTTGCTCATGTTGGTTCTCAGCTTCAACTCTAACCTTCATGCAGCGCCAAACGAATGGGACTTGGCCGTCTAACGGACCTCAGGATCATTCCTGACCAAAGATCATAACATGCTTGCCCAATAGGATGTCCCCGATGATCCAAGCGCGCGCCTCTTTGCATGCTATTGCGGGATCGCACCACCTGAAACTGCTTCGCCGCACTCAACCCTTCGAATTGTCCAACATGCCAGAGAGGAACACTTTCGTGGAAAGAGGAACCCCCACATGAAAACCATTCGCTCCAAAGATGAGCATCAAAAGGAAGGCTCACGGCGAATCCGGGCCAGAGCCTATTTCTAAGTTTCGCCGGGTAGATTCGCATTCTCGTATGCTTCTCCTTCGTGCTTTTGATATCCGGTCTGACAGGTTCTTCACAGCCCCTTTGCCCGCCAGCCCACAGCCTCTTTGGGAAGGCGGAAGCTCAAACCAAGTTATATCTGGTCCCCAGGGACGAATTCCAGAAGATCAGTCCTCAATCGCACTTATCGAAGACCCAGGCGCCGGAGACTTGGCTGCCGCCGCGTCTGGCCAAGCATCCCAGCGATTTCCTTTGACGAAGGAAAATCTCCATCGCCTAGCAATGTCAACAAACTCCAAAGGACCAAGAACTGCGAGTGCCCAGAGCCTTAGGTCTGGGAATTCAGGTGAGACGTCCAGGAGCATTTCCACGACAAGCGAAGGGTTCGAGAATAGAGCTCTTCAGAATGGCGTACTTGACGCTGTACGATCCGGGAAACAAGCAGTGGTGGATACGGATTTGAAGAAGAAACTGCTCGCATCCCGGGGTTCCGCGTCGCCGACTCAATCTCAGTATAACAAATTTCCAGATCGGATCGTCGAAGCGTCAAACGAGCAAGGCACCATTGCAGTATACTCCAAATACATATTTCAGGATACCGAGGACTCTCATTTTGACATCGGATACCGCAGAAAAGAAGACAAGATGTGGACCGAGTTTCCCAAGAACGTTGGTTTCAACAATGGCCTTTCGGATCCTAAGCCTGATATGATCGAAGGCTTCGCGAGAGACACTTTCCCCCCAACAATTGAGCATATCAAGTCGTCAAAGCTTGTCAGGGATGAACCAAAATATGTCGCACTGCCCCATATGGCTGTGGAGTACAAGGCTCGGGAGAAAAGCCTGCACGAGGCTAAGGTCCAGGCAGGCTACGACGGAGCTGCTATGGTCTATGGCAGAAATGAAGCTCTGGAGCTAATTGGAAAGGTTGACCCCCCTCGACGACCTGCGGTGGTGACTGCCACGACGACTGGCCAGGAATGGAGTGTGTACGCCCACTACTCCCACCCCGATGAGACCGGCAAGGCGGAGTACTACCAATGCCGCATGGCTGGTGGATCGATGGAAAACCTCAACGAGTTCAAGCAAGGCCGCAAGATTCTGAGGAATATGCAGGACTTCGCACGCGAACAGGCTTCGGACTTGCGGGACAGCTTACACAAGCACTATAACGAGAACGGCTCCCCTGCACGCAGCCAACATCCTAATACCAAGAACGGTGCAAATTCCGTGGCCTCCAAAACGCCGTCAGTCGCCTCTAACGGGAGCGGGAGACAGCAGGGCCAAGTGACGCCGAAGTCAGCCTCCAGCCATGGCTCTTCGACATCCGCTCCTCGGAATCCCAATATCGGGCCGGGTGGTCAAACTGGCCCTAAAGTATTGCAGCAGCAATCGTCAGGAGATCCCAAAGACGGGTCAAATAAATCAAAATCACATCGGTCACCACACACAATCGACCATATGATGCGGCCACCAGCAACGGCAGCAACTACCAGTCCTGCCAGTGGGGGCCGTGGTGTGACAGGATCACGACACGCACATCAGGATATGGACATACCAAGTAAACTTGATCAAAGTCCCTCTGGACCCAGTGCAAGCCATTCGCCAGCGGCCCAGCTCTCGTCCATCCCACAGGCAACCACCAGAGCAAAGACACCGATCCAGGGACCCTCGTCTTCTGCTTCGTCCTCATGCTCAGGGGGATCTCGTCAATCCACATCGTCCGCAGAAGCTCGCCGTCACCGTACCCGTGATGAAGAAGAACAGAAGGACCTATTGAGAAGGCGATCGGACAGTCCCGATAAAAATCGACCGGCACGGCCACAGGACGGCAAGACCAACATCCCCCCAAAGAAGGGCTCTCTGTTTGGTAGATTTGGAACGGGGAAGAAGAGAGACGAAAACCTTGGTAATGATTGAGACTTGGAACATGAAAGACCTGCGTAGGCAAACAGAACGGTTTTAGCTCGTTTAGAGTAACATAGTCATCACTGGCAGCGAAATTTCATTTGTAGCACGAGGACTTCTCACCGTGTGGCCCTCTCATCTTTTGCTTTTGATCGTTATAGCATTAAACTATCTCAAGCCTGTGAGTAGGTAGTGGTGGCATCGGCCAGACGTTGTCTGTTAAGACTCAAGTGCTCCCACACTGCCAGTGCACTAGACTTTATATATAGTCTGCAGGACACGGTGATAGTGCTGTCTAGGAAAAACGACTCAAAAGTATTACCCGCCCCTCTTTTTTATTCAAGCAACACACATCGCAGATTACGGCAAATGCGCTGCATACTAATAAGTCGAAAGTCTTTTCACTGGAAACATTAAAAAACACTCTAATTTGACGGGGTGAATGAGTATTTACACAGCCCCTCTGCGTGCTGGCATGGGATGTCTTTGGTAATCTGGTAGCACGTGCGTTGATAAACGCGGGGAATTTCGCGTCTTGCCAAGCCAGCGACACCGGAGCGCGCTGCATAACAAACGAATGGCTGCGTGAGGCCGACGACTGCTTAGGTACACGCTCGGAAAACAATCAGCAACCCCTGAAAATAATGGCCTCAACCGGTGAGATCGAGGGCGGCAACGCCAAAAGATCCCGGAACACTTCCAGTCGGGAAAGACGGCGTTTACAAGAGCGGGGAAGGCCCAGGCGGGACAGGGTAAGCTGTGAAGGACATCACCTTCCCTCCACCTAGGAACTAACAGGTTTCACGTAGAAACCTTTCCCTTTCCTGAGCTTGCCGGGTGAGATCAGAAACGAGATATACTGGGAGGTTCTTGGCTGGGACGTGGATCGAAGGGGATCTCGTCTTGGTGATCAGCCTGCCATCACCCGGGTCAACAGACAGGTCCGGACTGAGGCCCTTAGAATCTACTATAATTATTCGGCTTTCGAAGTGAGGACAAGTAACTCGGAAGAATGGGTCCCCTTTGTCCAGAGGGTCCTGTATGCCTTCAACGGTGGTCCCCGCGGCTTGCCCGGCGGTTCAGAAAGCACACTGCAGTTACTCGGGGCTTTGCAGGTGGACTTCTTGACGGACGACGGAGAGCCCCAGGTTCGTATTGAAGTCGAGCTCGAGCATTCCCCGGAGAACGCCATGGAAATAGACCCAGAGTATGATTGTGAAGCCGTGGTGGTGGGAAGTCCCGATCTGGACTGGACGGATGCCGCGGCCGCCCAGGCTGCGTGCGACGAGGCGGCGAGAAAGCTTGCAAACGACATCACAAGGAGGACTACCCCAGTCGACGACGAGGAGGACCTTGAGCTTTTTGCAGCCTCAACCCCTGCCGACCACAGAGCGGCGCTGGATGCCACGCGTCTCTTAGCACTGGCGTGCCCGTTTCTGCGCCCGTCAGTCTGTATCTGCGACGCCTCCGAAGTCGAGAGCTACGAAGCCGGAGATGGAGGATGGACAGACGGAGACTTCTCAGATGGTGATCCAGATAGATATGGATATGACCCAGATACCCCTGCTGGGTGGATGTATTTCTAACTAGTTTTACTTCTATTTTACATGCATCTACAGACATATGGTTGGTTTCGCTTCTATTCCGTATACGTCCGAGGACATACATGGCGCCTCCATACGGTGGTAAGCGCTCAAGACTCATCTAAAGAAAGACATTAGTGAGACCCGATGCATCACCAGCGTGTCCCACAACACCAGCCTCAGTTCTAGCCGCTCACATGTGATCCGGGAGATCATGGATGAAGGAGGCAGTGGATAAGACTCCATGCATGTGGCCGAAAGAAGGAATGAGAATTCCGGATTGATTACACAGACAGTAATCCATACCAATCAAGGGCGTCGACTAGTATCATCGTCGATCGAGAGAAGTAAGTGATGTAAATGTATTTAAATGATAGACACATGGATCTGTGACCGATAATTACTATGTTATGCAATAGGGTGTAATATTTATATGCTGGATCCAAGAGACAGCATCATAGAAAGCAATAAGTGTAGCTCAGCATAACACGCCCCCGAAGACAGCGTTTGAATTCGAATGAAAAGTCTCAACGATGTGGTCTGGCACGGTATTCGGCGCGTTCTGACTAGAGAAGCGCCATGGCCCCAACACCCACAAGCACTGCCATGCCTGGCTTCAGGTTTCCAGCCCCAGCAACTTGGACTGGCTTCGTAGTGGCCGCGGGTGGGGCCACCGCCGTCGTCTTTGGTGCAGTGGAATTCCGCGCGGCTGACGTCGAGGACACGACCGCGCAGGCAGTAGGAGCAACCAGAGATCCAGACCCATCGAAGGGGTTGTACCCCAGGCAGCCGGCGTAGTCGGCGGCGCAGGAGGCGCGGTTCGCGTCGGGCTTGGAGCGGCAGGCGTCGTATGCGTTGTTGCAGGCAGTGACGCAGGCGCTGGCGGGGGCTGCTGATGGGGTCGGGGTCACCGTGGCCGTGATCGCGGTCGAGGTCGAACATGCGGTGGGCGCGACGAAGGTGTCCGATGCGAACGGGTTGTATCCGACGCAGCCTGCGAAGTCGGCGGCGCAGGAGGCGCGGTTCGCGTCAGGGGCGGCACGGCAGGCGTCCCACTTGGCATTGCACGCGTCTACGCAGGCATCTCGGGGTAGGATATCTCCTGCAAGCGCAGTGGTGGCCAGTAAGGCGAGGGTTGAAAGAGTGTGGCGCATCTTGTCGTCGGGAGGATGATCTTTGATGATATTATTAATGGATGGGAGTAGCGAAAGTTTCAAACGAGAGGACAGATCAACTTGTATGCCCGGGAGGTACATCGAGCTGAACAAGTCGTCCAGAAGAGAAGTTTGCTATACATATATACCCCATATGTCTTTCAGCATCTCCTGCTGATCAGAAGCAGAGAATGCCGAAATTGAGCTACCTGATTCAAGAAGGAGGCCGACGTCCGAGCAGAGTCAAAGCATTCCAGTCCCGTTTTAGATACGATGAGCCGGACTCTGTACTTTATTCTTTAGCGCAGTTCGTATCCAGTGTGCATCGACGTCAGGATGCTTAGCGCGATGAAGCTGCTTGGAATCGGGTAGCATTTAATGAGATCTCAATCGGCATTGGGTCGGATATCCTAAGACATCAATAGACGCGTCCATGGGTGCTGTTTGCGGGTAACGTGCACGGAATAACATGTGGTCAATCTAGTGCGTCAACGGTGCATCCGTCCATACTCGCACGTGTGCAGTGAGTGCCTGGCTGCCTGCCAAGGCTAGGTAATTTCCTATGGACCTCTATGGCCTCACCATTTAGTAATAAGTAACATTCTAGTTCGGGTGGCGACCATGCACATGGGCGACAGCTTCTCCGCGTTACCTACTGGTAGGCCAGGGCAGTGTAAACAAATGGGATGTTTTTTTAACATTCCAAGCCTAGCTAGACGCGTCCGGGTCTAAGACACACAGCAGATGCTGAACCACTACAAGGACCTTTTCTTCCTGAAGCCTCCTGTCAACAAGCCGCAAGCCAGATGTTGTGCCACGGTACACTTCTCCGCAAAATGTTCACATTGGGCGCTCTCATGTGAAACGTCAAGCCAAACGGGACCTTCAGGAGTTCTTTGTATTCATCGTGTCACGGCCAACGCACTTGATACGAAGACTTGATGGTTTATAACAGTATACTAGGTGTGAAAATCATCCAAAGTCTCGGGACGGCCTGTCCTGTTCATCTTCCTCACCCTTCCCTTTCGTCTGGCTGTGCTTTTTACCACTTCATCCTCGGCTTCAGCAGACTCTCTTTCTGCTTTATAGTTACTGCAATCACGATCAGATTTCTCTATACCTTCCAGAATATTCATAGCTCCCACTGTTGAAACTCCCATCTCGCTGATGGCCCGATTAATAGGAAATACTAGTATTAGTCCAGCTCGTGTTGTGGTGGCCTGGGTGTTGGAATTTGGCTTTTCGCTCCTCGGGAGTTAGTTCCTTAACCATCTTGTAAGCGTTCTCCCGTGCCCCGAGACCCACAGTTCTAATTTGGTCCCTCCTTAAACCGCATTCAAGTTTTGAGCTTTGTGTCGTCTTAACGGCTTGCTGATTCCCCCGCACTAGGGACCAGGTACTGACCTTGTTACCCTCTGCTGCCAACTTTGTAAGCGACTCTTCTCCCATGTTCTGTGACACTGTGAAATCATCGAATTAAATTTGCGTAGATAATATGGGAGGGTATTTGAGCCAGAATCGTACAGGTGAGCAAGGCTCTCACTGTGCTGGGTGGGGTTCTCAAGCTGTGTGGCTGAGCGAGTCTAAGAAACAGGGAATGTAGTTCAAAAGAAAGGTATTCACCACCGCATCTAATACGAAAGTCCAGGTTTTAGGGCTGTAGGCAATAATAGCGGATACGAATGCCCGGGCAGAAGGGGCTGCCTATGCCGCGTTGATCGCCCGCCACCAACATTTTGAGGACTGCACCAACAGGTGGATCGTGAGACCACCCTCGAAGTTGCTCTTATTGGCCCTTGGTTTGCAGCAAGATGACTCCTGCATGCCTGGCTTGCAATGGTACAGTCTCCGGAAGGAACAGCAGATCACGACAGCCTCTTGAACTGCCAGATGCTACAAATGTAGAGGATGGATCACCAAAGCCCACCCAGGGTAACCCTAAACAATCCATGCGAAGCAGGCCTCACCCTTGGTGAAATTGGGAACTGCTGCCAGCCGATCTAGGTCGGATAAGCGGAGTATGTAGAAAGCTTTGGAAACTGGGCTCAACAAAGTTCGTGGCTGAAGACGGCTGGGGCTGCAAAGGCGACGGTACCGCCAGGGACCCATGTCGTCACTGTCTTTGCACTTCCACTGACACAATCACATCAACAACACTCCATTTCTCCCGAGCCTCTTCGCAGCGGAACACCGATTCCCCTAGCTACAACTATCCTTGATGGCTGATAGGTTCTTGTCACCGGAACCGCAGGCTTTTTGTCGGTTCCCACGTCGTCAGGCAGCTAGCTCCTACAGCGCGGCTACAAACTTCGCGGAACTGTTCGCGACCTAAATCTAGCATCATGGCTTCTCAAAGATCACGTTCAGGCCTACGTCGAGAGTGACACCCTGAAACTTGTCACCTTCCCTGATCTAACAGTTGATGGCGCCTTCGACGACGTGGCAAAGGGGGTCCCGAGGTCTCAGCCATCATCCACATCACTACCAGTACCGTTGTCACCTTCGACGCGAACCCGAACAACGTGATCACGCAAGCCATGCCCGGCGTGCAATCCATTCTCAATGCTCCTGCTCAAGAGCCGGCTTTGTAAAGGGTTGTCTTCACCAGTTCCCTTCTGGCCGCCAGGAATCCCGCCGTGGGTGACGACACTCGAGTTGTTCAGGATACTTGGAATGAAGTCGCTGTGCGGGCCGCTTGAGCCTCACGTCCCTATGAGGCTTCTAGGGGCATGTATACTTATGCAGCCAGTAAAGTCGCCGTTGAGAAGGAGGTCTGGAAATTTGTGGATGAGCGCAAGCCTCATTTCGTTGTCAGCGTCATTGCACCATCGGGCATCATGCGCAATCCGCTTCGCAAGAAGCATTCCGGTTCATCGGCAAGTTAGAAGGCTTGTGTACTCAATGGGGGAAAGGCGTCTCTGAATATTTACCCTGCTTGTAAGACTGTTTCAGGTGGTTTCGTTTCTAATCCCCATACATATAAAATGTATGTGGCGCCTTCATGTAGTGGTAAACGCTTAATACCCAGCGTTTAAAAGGATACAGTGCCAGTAACAGTGCAGAGAGAATACAGCAAGACTCTTCCAACACTCACCAAGCAAACTATGGTCGAAATTTCAACAGCTTTCTTTGTGGGTGTTCAAGACATTGCTCTCCTTCCCACAGCAGCCGTGCATGCGATACACCCCAAGGTCAAGAACGCTCGGCTCCAAGCTTGGAGTCACAACTCCAATTGGAACGAGTTCCTGGATGTTTTGCGCAAGCTCCATCCACGGAAGGAATCCATCCCTGACTATCCTTATTATTGTTACCTAAGGATGTCTACTGACCAGTCTCAGTCTGTTGGACCCCTGAAGACGTGCCCAGGTAGGATGGACGGGACGGTTGGAAACCATTGAACAATACTTTCGCTGAAGGAGTCAGGCAATGCGTTGACATTGATCACAAGATGATACTTCAAAATGCTGCAGCGTTCTGGATGTAATGTTATATTCCTCCGGTACATTCCATCAGACATTCGCTGAGGTCATGTGAATGCCTGATAATGGTCAGAGTTGGCAAATATCCAGGGAAGAAGCTCGTGAGATCTCCTACGCCCCTCGCCTGATGGGGTTGCTTGCATGACACATGACTATAGATCGGGCTCAGCTTTTTATCACAGGTTCTAGACGCCACATCAAGCCACATCAAATTGACTTCTAAAGTCAGATTCTATTATGAATTTTACTAGTACACTGGCAAGCTCGCCAAATAATCCTCTGTGCAAGGTCTTCAATGGTTCACATCGATGGTAGAAATCAATGCGGCACTTAAAAGTAGAACTCGTGTGAGACAAGCAGCTACCTAGGTACTTGGGCACGGCCAGCTTTCATACTCACATATCACAATCCTCTCCTCCCTTCCGCACATAGCCGAAGCACAACAGGCATAGTGCATGGATGTGCGCACCGATACCTGAAATGGCCCTGGGTCCAGACTTCCTGATGGAGCGAGCCCCATGGTCAATTCGTGAACCACTTGAACACGCCCTTCGTCCCAAGCACGCCTGCAGTTATTGAGGGGTTCAGATATCAGGAACCCGCAGAATTTGGGTTGTCCAAGCCATACTGACGTGGCCAAATGCAGGACTTGATAACTTGAGACTGTACTAGGAGAGCCCCGCGCCAAGGAGGTGCTCATTAGGCATCTAGTTGCAATTGTGGTTCTGCATAGGAACTTTCCCTCCGGCCATCTACGATCTGGGTCGGATTGGCCGACGGTAGGAAACCGTTAATATGCAGGTATCTATTTGGGCGTCGGTCGGTTGTGTTCATCATAATTGCGACTGCAGCACCTCCCCGTAACTCGCGCATCCGAGCGTACGAAGTGCATATACCATGCGGGTGATACGCGGAATGATGTGTAGTATTATCTGTGCGTCTCCCCCCCCCCCCTTCTCATGGAAGGTCTGCCTTTGTAATTGGTCGTCATTATTTCACTCATAACCTCATTGGCCACGGCTGTCGCTTGTACATCGAGAAGCATCCCTATTGTCATGTGGTCAGCACCCAATGTGGCGGCTCCCTTAGCTTGCATTGGCATGCAGCCGAGGTTGTGACCGGTTTCAAAGACGGAGGCCGACCTCGGGACCGAGCTTTTGACCGGTTTCAAAGCCTGTTTTTGGTCCCCGATCGTCAACTTCGAAAGACACAGGTTGTTAGCCAGGCAAACTGAGTCTGGTTGCTGGCTCCGCGTTCATATTCTGGTTGTGAATGAGTCCACAGTCGCATGGCAGAATGATATAATACGATCGTCTTCCTCCCGTATGGAGTGAACTTCCAGCAACAATGGAGCTGACCCTTTGCACATTATTCTTCTCTTCTGGCGTTGTGTCCAACAGACCACCTCTTAGCACATGATCATCATTCAAACCAGGGCTGTCGCAATCATGTCGAGAACTCAAAGTCCTCCAGCGCCCGTCGATTCGAGCAGTGTTGGCCCTAGAGCCAAGGCCTTGACTGCCTCTATCAAGCAGGCTGGCAGCAAAGCGTCTGAGGCTGATCGTGCACTCCAAGCAATCACGTCTGCCAATTTTCCCCACAACCAAGTAAGATTCCAGCATCATTCATCGAGCGTTGAGAACAGCCAAAGTCATATACTGAAGTCAGACAAACTCTAAAGAGTCTCGACGACGGTATCACGGGCATAGTGCTTGCCATCCAGAGCTCGATATCCTCCATTACCGAACCGCTTCCTGAATTCACGGTCGTCGAGCAGAATGATATATACAATGCTTTCAAGGGCGTACGTTTAGCAGTCTCACCCCTCTTTCCAGTTCAAGTTATCTCCTTCTGGGGTCGACGTCGCTGACGACCGGACTATGCAGTTCCTCCAAGACTTTCGACAGCTCGTAAAAAGTATGATGGACAAGCATAAATTAATGGCCCCTAACCCGGTCAAAGGGAACGCTCTTGCTGGTTTTCTATTTTCCTGCAAGGCCTTCGTTAACCAGTTTGCCATCGTCATTATTCGCATGCTGCCAAGTCACGCTGATGATGCTCAGCTACAGGTTGAGTCGTTTGACAGCAGCCTCATCGACGCCATTGATACGTTCCGCTCATCGTTTGATTCTTGATTCTAGCTATGAAGTTGATGGTTACCAAAATGCATGGGGGGAAGGGAATGAACACAGGCCGGAGAAAGGGTGAGGTGATCAAAACAAGGTAGCAATAGTATCCAGGTATCATCAAATACAGTGTGTTACGTTATCAGGAACAAGTAGTATCCGCAACCATGGCTCGGAAATGCCTGCCCTGGTGGCTGGGACCGGAAGTCAAAAACATAAGGCCGCCAATACGGCGGGAGAACACCTGTAGAGTTTACACATCGTGACATCGGTAATTATGCTCTGGTGGGTGTAATCCATCCGCCCGGGCGGCACCAGTCGCGTTCTGAGGTGTGCCTACAACCCCGGGGAAGTGAAGAACCCGCTGTGCCATTGCAGGTAGGCCAGACCGAGTGGAAACAGACGGTCGATGAAGCCATGTTATGTTCTAGCCCAGTGACGGGAGTCGGTGAACAGAAATCACTTCTGCCAAGAATGGCACCCCAAGCATGTCACAAGATTTGCAGCCATATTCCGTACAGGTGTTCCTTGCAGGGTGGTAATGGGGAGACTGATTAGATGGCACGTCAGGCAGCTGAACAGGCCCAGTCAGTGCGACGGATCAAGATTCTGTGCTTCGCCGTTTCCTTGCGAGGAAACCGGTGTTTCTTGCTGAGTATTCAATTGCTGATGGGTATTTGGATTAAGATTGAACTATTTCTTTTGATGCCAGACGTTTCGCGTGCCCTATTTCTACACAGCTAATGCAACGCCGTCGTGAATATCATCATAACGCTAAACCAGTAAAAGACCTCGACGCTGGGCTGGGAGTCGTCCTGCCCTCTTCGACCGTCACGTCTCTGGTGACCAAGATATTCGTCCGGAGCTGTTCGTTGGATACCCCAGACCCTATCAGCCGCGACTCGCTCCCACTCCTGTCCCTCCTGTCATCGGCAATCCTGACCTTGGCCCTGATGGGTGACTTTGGCTCATCAGCGCTCACCCAGGCCGAGATATTATTGCTGTGATACAGTGCGCCGTCGTTCTCAATGTCGTTGGCCCACGTGGTATCCAGCTCGATGTTCCCGCCATCGTGCTTGCTGCTGGCGCCCGTGACGGCCTCGGAGGCGGCGCTGCCCTTGGAGTGCTTGGCGTAACCACCACTCTGCGGCGCAGACTTGCCGCTCTTCTTGGACCGCAGCTGGAACAGACTCATGCGCCTGCGGCTCGCGGTCGTACGGCTCTTGGCATAGTACCCGGACGCGTCCCTGACTGTGCGTAGGCCCAGACAGGGGATCCATGACCCGATCAAGTGCCTAACGGTCGGCAGGCACGCGCAGAGAATCGCGCAGTTGAGCTCCACCATCGACCAAATCGCCCCCGGGGCGCCGTAGAAGGATGGGTCGCCCGCGCTGACCACCGCCTGGAGCTTTGTGGCGCGAACAACCGAGATTATGCAGGTGCTGTTGATGGAAGACACGTCAGAAGAAGTGCAACGCAAGACACGAATGAGGGATGGCTCTTGGAATGGGGTGACATGGAGCTTGGCTGAGACCCTGCGAGTCCCATGCCGCCGCGGCAAGGGAAACCCTAATAGAAAGGGGTGTGCTGGCTGGCCATCCAGGCCGAGGCCCAACTTCCGAGCGCTCTCCAGCTTTGACGGTTGTGTGATGATTTGGGTTTCGGGAAACAGAATTAGATAGTCAGGGAAATTAACAAGGCAACTCACAAGAAACCCAGACAGAAGACCATGATCAACAGGAACCTCTGACGGATGGGAAGCTGCAATGAGTTGATGAGAGGTATCGGCAAGAGGAAGACGATAAAGTCGGTGGTGATGTTGACTCCCGCCGCAATGTACCAGATCGTGAGACTGTCAAGGCAGTGCGGTGCGAGACTCGGGATGAAAATGCTGACCGGGCTGCAGGCGAAAGAGACGAGGATGGATTGGGCGATGTTCCACGAGACGGAGAAGATGATGATGATGAGCGACACCCGTTGCAGCCAGGCGGCCATGAAAATGCGCCTGTACTGGAGGAGCAAGCTGATCTTGACGCAGCAGAGGGACCAGATGTAGAGTTGGATGGCGGCGAAGAGCGCTTTCAGCTGGTTCATTAGGTTGTCTGGGCTGGACAGCCACCAGTGCTTCCCTGTCCCATAATGACCCTCTGTGAAAGCCGTCAGCCACACGCACACATGAGTTTACATTCATCGTGACCGTATACGGACCTAAACATGTTGAGACGTTCAACCCAATCGCAAGAATCTTAACAGTATGTTAGCCCCAACGCTGTCGAAAACTAAAACCAGTGGGTGAAATATACCTGCGTGACGACTATCATGAGATCATCGAGCCCGGCATTTCGAAGCTGTACAAGTCTCGTGTACATCCGCAAAATGACGATGGCCGTTGACAAGATTCCAAGGGCAGCCGACAGCCCGATCATCAACTCCGCTGTCGACTCATGGTCAAGCGAGTGATCTGGCGGATTGAACGACATGGTGTTGGCGATGGCCCGGGTAGGGCGCCCCTCGACGAGTATCAGTCTCTCAGGCCGCGGCTGAGAGGACGAATCGAGCCTCCCTCGATTAGGGATTCGACGATTATTGTTGTGAAGGAATGTGCTGCCGGGACACGTCGGGGAGGAGAGAAAAGGGATGATTGTCTTTTCACGTGGAGGGAAGACCCGTCAATATGCCTGCCCATGTGGGTATCTCAGGAACGGAGGCGGCCAGGGTCCAGAATTAATACACCAAGCTTTCTCGTCCGTGGTACTCTCCTTTGTCCCAGCTCTGGGGCCAGCATTAACATGTAAAAGAATTCTAGTGAGCGCGCATAGCGGCAGTGTTGACCCCAATCCCACCCACCACCTTTGGCGACTAGCTCGATTCGCGCCAACCCAGAGAGGACGCTTGCCCGCCCAATGTAACCTCGTTTTAATGTCCGAGCACCGGTACTAAATTGATGATGCGCGATTCCTAGATCTTGCAACCGGGAACGTCGCTGCTCGAGGCTGCCAGTGCGGCGAACACTGCGGCCAGCCATTTCCCGGGGGCCAGCAGGGGCCGTCGCCCAAACCCCAGGAGAAGAGAGCCCGAGCCACTGGCATCTTGCATGTGCTGCTGTTGCATGGCTTGCAGGATTCCTGCATGGCGGTCTGTCTGTCTGTCTGTCTGTCTCGCATGAGGAAAAGAGGACTTCCCTGCCCCAGTGCACGGAGACAGGAATGTGAGCACTCAGAAATCCATGTCTTGGGGGACCACACACGCGCACCGGAGCACCACCCAAAATGCCTGCGGCAGCATCTCGCCTCCTGCCGCACATTCCATGCCCTGGAGCCACTCCTCCGGCAAGACCCGCGGCGAGCCTCATACATTCGGTATCACAGCCCGTGTTTTCAGGGGCGGATACCAGCTTATTCTCCGGTGCGTGGTCTCATGCTGAAGCTGGCAAAAGAAAAGAGAGGGGAGGCAGATGACAAGGCAGCGGGTCAACTGCCATGTGTCTGCAGGTACGGATATTATTGACCGAGGTGGCACGAATACTTGTCCGTCCAGTTGAACCCTAGCTGCGATGGCTGCCCAGGTGTGTACACTTTGCCATGTTCCCCCTCAAGCCCCTCTGTCTGTCTCGCCACTATTCCGTCGCCGAGCTCTTGGAAGTTCATCCACGTGTGACTCCGAGTGGGCAGCCTGTTGCATGCACGTGGAGCAAGCCACCCGGAAGGTGGAGGGGCCATTGACGTGGATTCTGAACTCCTGGGCATGTTGATGGCCTCTCAAGTCGGACGCGATAGTACGCAGAACACTCCAATGGCACGGGTGCACACAACACTAACAGGAACTCTAACCCTCGGCCGTGGACAGTGACAGAGTGATTGACGATGGGCAAAATAGAGTTCGAGCTGATATCATCAGTGTCCACTATTCCTCCTCGGTGCAATTACGGAGTACGTACGGGGAGTGTAGCACGGCCTTTTGACTCAGGTGCCTGTATCCCAGCTCCGGCCCCTCCCCGCCCTGTCTTGATTGGACAGTGGGGCGTATGCAAGAATGGACTGGGCCGACACGTTGCTTGACGAAGGTGGCTTTTCCCATCGAGGACAGACCAGACCCCCCTCTCTTTTCCTCCCCCCCCAGCATTTCAGCGGCGGCTGCGGGGGTCAAGGATACCATCCGGAAGCAAATCGGCTTTATAGCCTTACCAAAGTTACATGAGTGTCACCGTGGTAATCTATGGCATTGTCGTCACTGTCAGCATTCAATAGCGGCTGTGAATCGGGAATAACCAGATAAAAGAACCGTCAATGCCCTCCCAAGTCGTACGAGCCGAGTGCCGGATTATCACCGTGGACTACCACGCACACAATGAGAACACATCTACAGAGCATTGTGGTAGAGGAAGCCTGCCTGGTGAGTAGCGTTCCATGGTAGGCCCCGGCCCAGATTTACGACTCGTCAGGTTTGTCATCTTCCACACTCCCCACCGATCGCAAATGGTCAAGGACCCTGTCACACGAGCCCCGCCGAACCCTCACACTGGCAAGACGAGCCCTGGCAGACAGACACACACCTAGGCAGGGTACAACAACAGAAGACATGGCTGCGGCAAGAGGGGTTCAGTGGCGTTTGAGGCTCCCGGCCGTTAACCCGGTATCAGGGTCGGCACCAGGATTTCGAGACTTGAAATACAGGTTTCCAGCTGGATGGACCACGGGTTACAACTGCCCCCATTGGACTGGACTGGCAATAGTGTAGGAGTGGGGATGGCCTCTGAGTCGTGCACAGACTACTGGAATAGGCCGCGATCTGGAAGCACTTGAGAGGGCCCAATCCCACAGAGGGTCCAATCCAGAGAGGGTCCAATCCAGAGAGGGTCCGGCTAGCAGGTGTTAAGGTCGATTTTGACCTGGTCCGTCTTGGGGCGATATGTGCCTGGAAAAAATCACAACATAGGTACACTACTAGGCTGCTACGCATAAGAGACTACGACAGGTAATACTCCGAACTCAAGATCTGCTCGCCGCATGGAGATGGCCAACATGGGCTATGTCAGGCCCCTTTCCCTGACCATATGAGCAACAATGCAGCAGCACTGCCCTCCCACCCAGCCCTCCAGAATCGCCCGGCCCGCCCTGGCCAGCCTGGCCCCCTTCGGCATACTTGGCGAACCACCCTGAAGGCGCTAGACTCACTAGACACCGTTGCGGTCGCGGAGAGCCCGTGCCCTGCTGGTGCAGGTCAGGGAATCGTTGACAGGTGACCCAGGATCACAGATGATCATCTCCAGGATGCACCCGCCCTATCTCCAGTGGCCGCCGGCTCGCCGAAGGGGCCCCGTAGGCAACCCCTCGCAGATTTAGAGACTGGCCGCATTTTGATAACAATACTGTAGAGGCTGTCACGTTGCGGGTGGCTAATTCTTCCTAATATGTAGAGTAAAGCCTGGCCTTTGTGCCACCTAGCCGACAATTGTACCTCGGCAATGGTATCCGACGGTTACCCAGTTGGTTTTAGCGGAGCCCCCTTCTTCCCGCAGCGGATAATATGGTCTAGTTTCTGGGCCCTGCGTGCAGTTCTGTGTAGGCGGCTGCAGATTCGGAAACGAAAGACTGAACCTCACGCTGCCCAGTCGCCGTCTTACTATCCGCACTCTGATGAAACGTCTGAATAGTCTCTTAGTGCAATTCGGGATCTGCCAGACCCAGATGCTCTTGGCATCTCGGGATCAAGGACGAGATGATCTTGAAACCATACTCGGAGGCTTGTCTAAGTTCTCGGGTCCCCAGTTTGGCGGTTTACCGAAAGAGATCTGTGATATGGTTTACGCTTAGTTGTGCACACAAGAAGCCATTAGCCTGATGTGATCCATGCATTTTGAATTATACCCTGGAGACCGCGCTATATATGGTGCTCATCTGGAGTGGGGGTCGAGATGGGATCGACCTGGGTATTGTATATTGCCAACGACTCCTCAAACCACGCTCAGACATTTGGCGACAACTACCGTCACTGATAACGCCTACGCGATCCCCTCTCAAACCTGGCTGTGTTACTCGATGCCTTCTTCTTGTGGCTGCCCTGTGTGTCAAGTGCAGGCCTCCCATTGGATGTGCCTGGGTATGCACTCCTCAGAGGCGTTCCGACGCTTCCTTGGTGGGTCGGAGGAGAGAGGGGTTCGTTTGACCATTTCCTGCTGCAGTGCAATCTGCAGCCCATCTGCGCCACCGACTCACCACGTTTCTCTCGGCGCCTCAGGCTCGCTTCGACTACCTGCCAGTGGGGTTCTCGTTCCTGAGTGTGGTGGGCCTCGTCCCTCCTGGGGGGGTTTCATATCGGTCTTGAAGTAGCTGCCTCCGAAGGCAGGCCCAGGCACAAGAGGCGTGTTCATGACATGTGCGAGCTGCACTCCGTGTCCACGTGCTGCAGACCCCGGGTGGTGGAGCTGCAGGGCCTCGGGAGCCACCCAAAGCAGCGACTCCGGGTTGAGAATGTCTTTGTCTGGTGCACCATCGATCCGGCGAGCCGACCACACCCGATAACATCACAGATCAAGACGCACGTCAGAGGTGTCGACACGAACTATTTCCCCTGCGATCTTGATCGTGCGTCAACTGGTGCGTGCGTGCGTGCGTGCAGACGTTGCGTCTGTGGCGCCACCGTGACATCCGCACTCCGATTCAGGACGTCCACAACTGTCGGATGTCACCTTTTCCGCGCTTGTCGTGGTCGGTAGGTCGGTCGGGTCAAGGCAAGCTTTGCTGACTGCCCGTTGCAAGTAACCTCGGGGTGGTATTCCCCATGGTTGGGGTTCGGTTGTAAGCCCCAGATTACTTAGCGTGGCGTGAACGGGCTTTTTCTCTTCTTTTCTTTCAGGAATCATCCCAACACACCCTACGCCCGGCCGTCCGGCTGCAGAGGGCGTGCATCCGGGAGGGACCCGGCGTGCGTCTGGCAGTTCTTGCAGTGCCCAGGTGTCCATGTCACCAGGCACTATCGAAGATTATTCAACACAATGTATCCTTGTGATGACTCGTCACTTTTGGCGAGTTCCATTCACCTGAGGAGGCGATCCGAGTGCCTGGTTTGTTTGTTGACAATGTCTAGTTGGATCTGACAGTGGCCCTCATGAACTCCTGTGGCGTCAAGGTTCGCCTCACAATCCGGTTTTCTTGGCAGATCCCTGGAGCTCCAGTCGAAGGACAATGTCCATAGGCGGTGGCTGACATCAATTGGTCGTTGCAGGCTCGTTCCTATGTCCCATTTATTAATGGCAGTGCACAATCAGGCCGTGGGTATTCTTCGGCCCCGGAAAACCCGCGACTTGCCTGGGCTGGCAGGCTGGGCTGGCTGGGTATATTTTTTCGGTAGGGGTGACCCGGCTCGTCGTCACGCCAGTCGGACGGAATCATATCCCGGGTGCCTAGGTAATATACCGGTATGATAGAATGAAGCGAGACGCGTAGGTTAAGGGCCGCTAGGCCAACAGCCCCTAAATCTAGAAATCAGCCAATTAGCCCTGTCGATCAGTCGATTCTAGCGGCGGACTTGGCGGGCCTAATTCGTCCCAAGTGAGTGAGTGTTGCGGCGCGTGGGTGCCGGGCTCAAAGAGCTGTCATTGATGCCTCCGAGTCCTGTGCTGAAGCGTTGCCGGAGTCCGAGCACACGTCCAAAGGCTCTCGTCTGTTGATCTCCCACTTCGCTACCAACAGAGTCGAGACTCGGGAACCCCTGACAGGCTGACAGGCCGCGGAACCCATGTGCGCCCAGGTTTCTATGGCAGAAGCCAGCCAACATCCCGACTAGAGCTCTCTCGGCGCAAGCCACATCGGCCTCTGGCCCTGGCGCCCTAGCCACCTAGTACGATTGTCCCACGGACAGCGGGCGCAGCGAACTAGGTCGTCGGACCGCAGCAGCTGCGGGCGGGCAGACGCGCAGATGGTTCGTTGGTTGAGCTAGTCCCCGGCCCGTAGGAGTAGCGGCACTTGGGCAGATCTGGGAACAAAGAGCTGAAGATCGTTATACGCTTGAGTCAACAAGCGCCTTTGGGGCGTGCTGATCCCCCCGACGGCGCAGGCGCTCAGCTGAACCGTCACGATCCAGATCAAGCCACGGAAGCGACGCGCCGTTTGCGCTGTCTTGAGTTGGGGAAGACCATAGTTACCAAGTTAGTTTCAAGGCCGGGCAATGATGATGCTCCCCTTGGCATCGTAGCTGAAGCCATGAAGGTGGAAGCTCGCATTTGTGCTTCAGATGCGCATAACATCACGGTACGTCTTCGGTTAGGCCATGAGCTGAAGTCGCACACGAAACATGAAGGCCTATCCATGAACAAGATGAGATGAAACCCCTGGATACTTCAGCGGGTCTATATATGACGCGTTGACAGTGAAATACCAGAGCTTGACAGCGCCTGTAGCCCTTGTATGCTGGCAAGAAGTGCTGGCAAGTGTTCAGCAGCTTGAGCCGGACCAAAACTGTATACAAACTAGGCAAGAATGCTATAGAGATCGTCAGGGCCATTTCTCGGCCAGAAGGCCCAGAAGAATGTGCACGCGCTAGAACTATTCTTGGCTAAGTTGCTGGTGCCCCTGAAACAAAGAGTCCGGGCCATGACCATCAGTCGAGTTCGTCCTTGTCGAAAGGAATGTTATGTCAAAGCTGGGGACGGTTTCCTGGGTGCCGAGAAGAGTCCGCTGACAGATAGTGAAATCCCCAGGACCGCGCATAACCGCAGACAGATCGATCACTTATTTCGTTGTTCTTTATATGAGCTTGAGAAGTACAGCAGCCCAACTGTGATTATAATCACAGGTTTCCCTAGAGATTTGATAATTAGCTAGTCGTAACAGGGATGCCGCAATGGTCAGATTCTCTAATTCGAGGAAGTCTACAGGTTGGCCTCCGTGAAGGGTGAATACAGCAAATGATTCCACCAGCAACAGCAAAAACTCAAACAGAATGTACTATCGTACCCTATGACGATGCATCCACGATACGTACCTACCTAGGTAGATAGAAACCTTGTAATCTGCCAATTTCGTCCTCCCAAGCTCTTCAAGGTAGAGCTTGGACTTGATGCTGTGGCCCCTCGCGATCCCATGGGATGCTTTTGGGGGAAAGGAAACAATGACTCTGCCGCTGTTGTTCGATATTATACAGTCCCGTTCAGCAGTGCATCCGATGACGCATTTGTGTTCATGTAATCGCATTTCTATTGCAGCCACGGAACAGTGAAGAGACTAGCTACATCTCTCAAATTGTGGTCCTCAAATAGACTCTGGTCTGATCTGCTGCGCTCGAAGCAATGACTCTTGAGCAATCAACCCGACACATTCGCAGCTTTGTCAGGCCTGTACTCAAGGAGTTCTGTTCTCAACCCTTCTGGGTCATCCTCATCGCCCTCAGCTTCGATTTCAGTGATGTGAAGAAAGCCTAATTTGCGGAATATCGGTGCTGACATGGGCGCCGAGCTGGTGCACATTGCAATTCCATCCGTGCGTGCCAGATCCCGTGCCCATTCCAAGAGCTTAGTACCAGTCCCACGTTTCCAATAGGCGGGATGAACGACGACCATGCTGACGACAGCATCACCATCACAATGCCTAGATTAAGAGCATAAATTTCAGTGACTTTGTTGCTCACACTTTTTCCGATGAAAACACCACGACGGCTTACCTTTTGCGAGTGGAGCCCACCTGGGAACCCCAAGAATCGTAGTGCTGGCGATTCAAATCTCTCCCTGGGTTTTCCGACAACCCTGGGTAAGATCCTGCCTTCAGATTAGAAGGCTGTCACTGGAAATGCTGCCGTGCTTGCTCACCTGTGTGGTCCTTGAGCTCTCCGCTTCTCTTCGACTCGGGCCCCAGTTTCACTGTCATCACGCCAACAACAACCTTTTCCCCAGCCTCCGGTGGAGACCAACCGTTGTCGGGGGAAATGATGGCCGAGGTTTTGCTTGTTTCATCGGGGTCATAACGGTCCTCATGGACCAGAACGACCACATCATCGCTCTTCACTGCATCCACGAATTGCGAGCGATAAGACAGAAGCGTGTCTTCGGGGAACTCCACATGGTGCGGGCGTTCCCAACGAAAAACGGGAGAGTAACGAAATCCCGCAGTCGTTACAATTCCGATTCGCAGGATGTCAGACGGAGTCGCGAGACGTAGGCTCCCAAAGTCTGGAGGGGGGTTGAGACTGCCACCGACCATTGCACACATGCTAACAGAGCCTTTAATAGGTTGTCAAGATTTTAGGATAGGAGTGTGACTTGACCGAGGTGGAAAGAATGACAAGTACTCGCCAAACCTTGGAAGAGAATGAAAGGAAGTGGTGGCTTGAAGTACAGCTTGCCTTGTTGTTGGTTGCCTGATGACGCTCGTTTCCTGACTGACAAGAGTTGGTTGGTGACAAGGCGACACGCTGCCGTTTGTCCCGCTCCACCAGCCTGAAAAGTTTCCCGGATATTCCTCGTTCTTCAATCCTGTGTTACCTTTACAGACAGTGGTACCTGGGACTCTAATCTCTTCATTGGTTCACATTGGAGAGCACAACTTCACGTCGCGACAGCAAATCGCCACAGTGAGGCGAAATCATACGCAAACACTCCCATACAAGTTGGACATGTACTCTACTCGTTGATCATCAACGCCGGCTTTCAAGCCGAATGGAATAGTGCAACGAAGCGTACTACTCTTCCACCAGAAAAGTCTCTCTGGGGGTCGAACTTGCTATCTATCTCAACAAGTGGGATTAAACAGCCCTGTTCATCCTGAGCACGCGATGTTTTGCTTCTACATTTGTACGGATAAAGAATGCAGCCCTCTGATAATTTGGGCACCCTTGACTCGTCGAAACTTGCTTGAGATGAGGTTGGTGAACTAAACAATTAAGCCGATCGTAAGGTGAGGCGTCAAATTCAAGACAGAATCTCCCAGCGCGACTCTCGTGAGCCCAACGAGCTTGAGCATGTCAACCCCGACACCGCCCTCTCCACGCCGCAGCGGCTCCGGTTCCTGCACTTCCAGCTCCGGCCGAGCCCGATTCTCCGCCAGCCTGGGCAGGCGGCGGTGGTACCCGAAAAGCTTCACACGGCCGAGCCCGTCACTTGGCAGCGCCTGCTTGCTCGGCGTTGGAACCCTGCAAAAGGCTCATCGGGTCTTATTGAGGGAAGAGGCTTTTTGCGACTGTCTATCCGGACAATGCTAACTATTAGCTACGGAGGGCGATGCAAGGATCCCTTGGATAAAATATGCTGGCTGACCTCTGGCTGGATATTTCGCAACGGAGACTGTTTTGAGACCAAGGGATTGGCTTGTGGGGTGGTGCCATGGGTGCGGAATCATGTTAAGCTCGGTGTTGACTCGCCGCGGGCGTTTGGAATTACGTGTACGCTGGTCTAGAGCCTTTAGAAGTAAGTGGAGGCAAGGAGGAGGGGGCGGAAAGTTTCGTTCAAGACCTGTGACTCTTGCCCAGGTATGCTCATAGAATAGATGGCCGAGAGCAAACTTTCCAAGTATCAGGATGAGGAACGCCAAATGCTTCTTGGACTCGAATCCGGGCTGGAGGAGACGCTGGAGGAGACCCGTGAATCATTACGGAGCTCTTGGAATCGATTAGAGGGATGGGGTGAGGGGCCAGCTGGCTTGCGCCATATTTAGCAGTGGTCAATGAGGTATCAATAGTGTTCTTATAGAGGTCTGTGATGATAACAGGACGCGAGACTAAATCGAGACGAGATGCGGTTTATCAGCAAAGTGCCAGTGAAGTGGCACAACCGCCTCATTTATTAGTCAAAGATGCCCCTCCCACAACTTTGATTGCGCGCCGGTCCTTGAAATCCATCAGCCCATCCCATAAGCATCACTGATATGCTGCTCCCTAGCCTCTCCGACGACTCTGCACTCCAATACCTGGGTATCAAAGACTTCTCGTCTGGCCCTCCCAAGGTGTTGTCAGCTGAGCGGATGGCAGCCTGCTTCCAGTCCCTAGTTAGGTAGTTGATGCGGTGGGCGGCGTGACCCTCGTCTCCTTCTGGGGAGCTTCCACCGGCGTCACATAATACTAGTAGTAGTCCTATGCAATTGTTGGGGGCAGTGGAGCCAGTGGGAGGCTTGTTCATAGGAATCCTGCGGGGAGATTGAGACCAAAAGGGAAAGACTGCGGAGAGATCTATGATGAGATTACAAGCAATCCTCTGTTACCTAGTTGAACATGGGCGTGACACATCCATGATCTGACGCACGACATGTGGACTGACAGGTCGCCTTAAATGGGTGGACCGTGTTTCCAATGAGATGATAGTCAAACCTGCAAAGCCTCCCGAGGTGAATTGGTTGGTTGCATGCTTTGGAGCCGCAGCAACCAGGACAACACCCTGATACACTCTGCCAATGCAAGTCCCACCCAGGCAGGATCAGCTTATGCCAGTGGCTGTCGGTGCCGCCCGATTCGTAGCACTAGTAGTTGTGTCAATCTCGGACAGCCAGCATGCCGCATACCAGATTCACTGTGCCGGAGTGGTCCGGAAGACCATACACGGCGAGGATTGTCACCAAGCAGGCCTGAGTGAAGAGATCGAACAGCAGATACTCTGGCTCCACGTCAACGACTGTCTCCATGGCTCTGAGAGCCATGATCAAATGCAAGGCTGACGCGACGCCCGTAATCACCCAAGAATCAGTTGGCCGCAATGGATCTGGGGCCTGGATATTGAAGGACGCTGTCAGAACTGCCAAGTTTTGAAAGATGCCTTGAGTTTGGATAGAGCGTTCCTGTCCATCAGTTCCTAATCCTGATGAAATACATCAACTGAGAGAGAAGCCAGAAGTCCATGTGGTCAGGTGGCAGCCCCCTTCAACACTTGTTCCCAGTATCCCAGATTTACATCACGTCCAAAAGACACGACAAGGCACATACAGACATATCATGCCCGGCCAAGCAGCACCAGCACCAATGCACGCACGCTCCGAGACCCAAACCCCCAAGGCCGATACAACCCAATCCAATCCAGGTTAACTCAATCAATCACGGTGATCCGCCCTCCTCCTCCTCCGACCCCGAAGACAGCGACGAAAGCGACGCCGCCCTCCCCTCCCCCTCCCCCTCCCCCGCCCCCAGCCCCGCCCGCCCCTCCGACCCAGGCGAGAGCGACGGGTCCGAGAACGCCCGCCGGGGGACCCGGTCCACGGAGGTGACGACGCCCCTCGCCTCCCCCCTCTCGCGCATCAGCCGCACGAGCGCCTGGTACCCCTCGTCCGCCCGCGAAAAGTTGTTCCCCTCGAGCGCCAGCTCCCTCAGCCCGGGGAGGCGCCACAGCACCCCCGCCAGCGCGAGCGTGTTTGCGGGGCTGAGGTTGCACAGCCTCAGCCGGAGGACCTCCAACCTGCTGGGGTGCGGCGCGGCCGCCAGCGCGGCGATGAGCAGCGCGGCGCCGCGGGAGCCCAGCAGCGACTCGTCGAGGTCGAGGACGCGCAGGGCCGGCCACGCGCCCACGGCGCCCGCGAGCGCCGCGGGAGCCCAGCAGCGACTCGTCGAGGTCGAGGACGCGCAGGGCCGGCCACGCGCCCACGGCGCCCGCGAGCGCCGCGTGGGTCGCCCCGCGCGCCGCGATGATGTTGTCGGCCAGGTCGAGCACCTCGAGCCCGTGCAGGCGCGCCAGGCCCTCCGCCACGAGGTGCGTCATCCCGCCGTGCCGGATGCCGTTGTTCTTGAGGGCGACTGTCGTCAGGTGCGGGTGTGCCGCGAGCGCGGCCGCCCACTCGCGCATGCCGAACATCGGGTCGTCGTCGTCCTGGCAGAGCTTGTTCTGGGCGAGGAGCAGCGCCCGCAGGGGCGGTGCGCCGGCGCGGGCTTTCTTCTTGGCGGCCAGGCTCGCCAGGGCCCTGGCGACCGCGGCGCCCGTCTCGGGCCCCAGGCCCGTGTCGTTGAGGTTGAGCTCCTGCAGTGGTGTGTGGTTCCCCGCCAGGTACAGGAGGGGCCCCTCGACGCATGGGCCCAGGGCGTTGGACGAGAGGTTGATGGAGCCCAGGTTGGGCAGCTCGACCATGGCCAAGGCGAGGACGCCCAGTGCCGGGGAGATCTCGTGCGGTCCCCGCTGTGCGAAGCAGTTGGAGAAGTCGGCCCTGCGCAGCCTCGTCTTGGTCCGCAGCGCCTGCGCCAGTGTGAAGGCAGCCCAGGGACCTAGTGAAACCCCGTCGAAGGAGATCTCATCGAGGGAGGGGAGGTGCTTGATGGCGATGATGTAGGGCTCGATTTGCTCGGCCGTGTCGAGTCTTCTATCCGTTCTCGACACGTCGTACTCGAGAATGAACCTGCGAATGTGGTGCATGCTGCCGCCCATCTTGAAAAGCAGGGCCATCTTGTCCGCTTCGGCGACCTGAAAGGTGAATGTGTCCGACTTTGGAAGTGACGAGTCAAAGCGGCGGACTGTCCTTCTCAGCAGCTCAGCGCGGACCTGGTTTACCAAGGGCCCTGCGCTGAGCTTCTTGATATGGGCGTCGAGAATGCCCCTTGTGCTTCGTGGTTTTCTGGACGGCTTGGGGCTCGATGATGATGCCGAGTGGGACGGACGGTCGACGGGTGAAGTCATGTTTGGATAAGACCTGGCGTGTTCAAAGCAGAAAAAAGGGGACAGGTTATTATGCAGTTAGTCACATCAAGTCGGTTGAAGCGTAGCCAATAACCTTTAAAAATCTCGAAATGATATTCCTCTGGGCACGTTGGACAAGACCATAGCGGTCTCTAGAAGGCCAAGGCAAGGTTTAATACCAATGGTTCTCTTCGCGGCGCCGCACAGGAAGCTGGTGTGCTGATTGTGGCACGGAAATAGCCCCGGGCATACAAAGACAAGATTTGCAATGTTTTGGGAGGGACTTGAGGAGCCTTGCTGACACAAGGTTCTTTGAGGCGGAGTGTCAATCGGTCTTGGTCCATGTGGCATCTTGCAGACAGAAACCCACACTACCCTTGGCCATCGTGTCATCTCTCCAGCTTTGAGACTAGGTTGGGTCTGGGATCTGGCGGAGGATTTTGCTGAGAGCAGCTGTCGCAGAGGCAAGGCGATGAACTACCGGCTGGCCCCGGACCGAGATTGGCGCAGCTGGCAGCTCAACAAGCGGACACGCATGTTTTTCTTCGAACAATACTGAGTGGTCATTGTCTGGAGACAAATGAAGCCCCATGACTGCCTGGGTTCATCACCGTCCGAGGTTGCCAGTCACACTTCCCACCATGACGGCAACCTCACGGTCCCAACCAGCCGCCCTCTCACCTTTTGTCTTGGCCATGGCACTCGGTGGCTGGCTGCCGCGGATCACACACTCCCGGATGAACGCCGCCACGTTGTCCTTGTTTGTCCTTAGTGTCCGCGCAGAGACGCCACCCCGGTTGATGATCTCCTGGACGCGAGAGGACAGGCCGCCGGCCATGGTGCGCCAGAAGTAGCTGGGCAGGGAGCCGGTCTCGAGGTGGGCCAGCAGCGGGTGGAGGAGGTTGCCATGGCCCTTTTCCGTGCCGGGGCCCGGGGGCAGCAGCGGGTGTGCTGGGGCCTTGGTGGCCTCTAGGACCATCTCGAGGGCGACGATGTTCTGGCACCGGGCTGCTACCTCGGCCAAGGTCCGCTCCAGCCTGGGCAGGGCGGCGAGGGCGTCGCGGAGGGTGGAGGTGCTGCTCTGCAGCTGCGTGCGCAGGTAGGCCTCCAGGGCGCGCAGCATCCAGATTGGCGACCACTTCTGGCCCTTCTCCAGGGTTGTTGGTGAGAGGAGATATAGCGTTGACAGTGCGGATATCGTCCGGGCCTTGGTCTCCTCGGACTGCGCAAATGTCGAAGAGCCCGAGGCAGACCCCATTGAGAACTCGCGTATTATCCTCTCGCTCGTCTCCCTGACCGACGTCTCGATGGGCCCGGTGACATTTTCCTGCAGCGACCGGATGCTGTCGACCCTGTCGAGGCCCTGGCCCTCGTCGCCGGAACCCTTGTGCTCCAGTATCTCGCGCAGCGACAGTATGGTGTGTGCGCAGCGCACCAAGGCCCTGTGGTCCTCCTTCTTGGTGCCGGGGGCGAGCTCTGCGTGCTGCACCTCCAGCTGGCGCCCGAGCTGCAGGCAGCGGCCGACGGCGCGGCCCATCCTCAGGGTCTCCCAGAGGCGGCTGGCGACCTGCCTGACCTCGTCGGCCTCGGCATGCTTCTGGATGACCTCCCTCTCCAGCTGCTTGTAGCTGTCGTTCAGGCTCTTGATCTGGCCGTCGAGCTCGCTGACGATCCTGCCGCTGGCCTCGGTCTGGTCCTTTGTGTGTGTGAGCAAGGGGAGGGCGGAGCGGGTGGTGAGGAGGTCGATGTGGGAGTCGATCTCCTGGATGTCGAACAGGACGCGGGACAGCGGCGTGGACAGGTCGAGGGGGGTGTCGTTTGCGTTGTTGGTGGAGAGGACGAGGGTGTTTGCGAATGCGGCAGGCGAGAAGTCTGGTGCGACAAAGGTCTCGTAGTCGATGTACGAGGGCTCATCATCACGGCCTTCTGTTGGGCTGTCCATCTCGCTGTGGTGGTGGTGGTGGTGGTGATGCCAATAGGAAATAAGGAGCGGGTGTTAGTCGTAGAAATAATATCCCAGCACCCACACCTGTCAGTATCTGTCTGAATCGGTCAATGGCTGGCCCTTGAGTTGGTGATGGGGCGGATGGGCGAATTGAGGAGCTGTTTGTTAGCAGAAAAGCTCCCCACGATCTGGCTTCAAGGAGCTTGAGCCTTGGCCGTCTGCAGACTTGGGGAGTTGGGGGTGACAGGGGTCGGTACTGTACCTTCCCCATGTTCAACTGGCGACCCCGAATGAAGTCATCTGATGTACCCTTGTACTGTGTATCCAAGTACCGATGTACCCTTGTACCTCTGGACCTGGGAGGTTTCTCAGACGGGGTTCATCGGATGGGATTCTTGCTGCTAGTGCAGTTGAAACAAAACAGTTATATTCATGCAAATATCATGACTGCTCCAAGGCAAACCACACCATGGTATATGACCTGAAATGCCGCAAGTCCAATAAACAAACACCGCAAACACCACCGCCTATAGATGACGTCCTGCGCGTGCTGACTCTTGGCGAGCTTATCCGCCTTATCCACCACGCTAGCTGGCCTGGGAGGGCTAACAGTAGCATGGACTGCCCCACCTTCCTTCCATTGGGCTGGCAGGCTGGCCCTTCCTGCGGTGTTATTGAGTGATTTTCGACCTTGAACCTTGCCTGCTTGCCTGGGGGCCATGCGGCTTCTTCGGAGTCTCGGCTCTTGCAGTAGCAGCAACTGACTTTTGACATTCCCGTCAGAGCGACGGTCGAGCGCAACCTTCCAGCCTTCCGCCCCTCATCGCTCGACCTCCCCGTTGCACTCCATTCCAGAGCAGTGCGGCAGTTCAAATCCACGACAGACACGACATGCCAAATGGTCTGTCTGTCTGCTGTCTGCTGACTACCTGTCTCTCTCTCTCTCTCTCTCTCCCCCCTGTGCTTCGAGTCCACCGATTTCTTGATTGAAATACGGTCAACGGGCCACCGCATCACGACATCACGACGACAGGTTCAATCCGCCGTGATTGACCGACGCGACAAGAATTAATTCTTCCAACATACCGACTGTCCACGCCGTCGAATACACACCTGCACGACAAAACGATGCCCGTCTTCGACGCCAGGGACATCTTGTCCTTCGATCGCGGCGACAACGACACGGACACGGTCATTGCGGGCATCCACTTCAACCTGACGGCTCTCCAGCATTGGAACTTCACCCTCTACTCCAATGGCACCCTGTCCAACGGCTCCCGGTGCCTGCTGACCTCGGGTCCCTATGGCGACTTCACGCCCAAATATGTCTTCCCCAACGGCACGTTCCTCAACACCACCTCGTGCTACTCGCCTATCAAGCCCATCTCCACCAGGGGCTTCATCAGCATCGGCCTGGCTGTCGTCTTCGGCCTGGCCCTGATCTTCACCCTCATCTGCCTCCGCAGGCACGGCCGCATGTACCTCCCCACCGAGAAGCGGTTCAGGCCCGTCGGCAGGAGGTGGCAGTGGTACTGGATGATCGCAATGTGCGCCACCGGCTTCATCAGCCTCGTCACCAACATCGACGTCGACCGCTACTTCCTGCCCGAGATCCCCATCGTCCTCACCTCCTTCTTCTGGTTCCTCATGAACCTGTGCACGATGGCCTGCGTCTGGGAGGCAGTCCGCCACTGGGGCAGCTGGCAGGAGAGGCAGTTTATCGACCCGGACCCCTTCCGCCTCAAGATGGACGACAAGAGGGCAAAGTTCGAGTTCTGGGTGCCCCTCTTCTTCTACCTCTGGTGGTGGCTCGACTTCTTCATGGGCATCCCTCGCAACTGGGGCAGCCTCGAACTGCAGCGCTACCCCGAGCAGACCCGCCTCCGTGCCGCCCCCGGCGCCACCGACAACAGGCTCAAGGCCGCCGCCTTCCTGCTGCTCATGTGCTGGCTGACCACCGTCTACTACCTCCGCCACTCGATCAAACACTACAAGGAGCGCAACAGGGGCATCTTCAACCGGGCTGTCGGCTTTGTCAAGTTCACCCCTTACCGCTTCATGCTCATCCTCCCCCTCGCCCTGTCCGTCGTCGCCTACCAGGCACTCAGCGCCTGGGAGTTCCAGTACTCGGTCATGGACATCAGAGGCGACAACGTCTCCACCTTTGTCGGCGGGTACGCCCCGGCCCTGTTGATCATGCTCGTCCAGATCGTCGCCGGCTTCCTCAACCCCAACGAGGACAGGGAGCTCATCCGCCAGCGCCGGATCCGCGGGGCCGCCGCCGACCACGAGCTCGGCGTCGTGCGGAAGCCCGCCTGGTGGAGGCGTGCCAACGGCGAGGTGCACGACGGCGAGACCATGCGCGAGCGCATCGCGAGGAACGTGCGCGAGGTCGGCGGCGGCCGCGCCACGGCCAAGAATATTGACGAGATGCACGAGGTCCGCACCAGGGAAGCAGGGTCCGCCAGCGCCCCGGCAGACGTCGAGGCCGGTCAGGTCCGACGGACGGCGTCCAACGCTGGCGGCGGTGGTGCTGTCGGCGCAGCAGCACGGCCGACCCCGGGCGGCGGCGTCACGACCTACTCGGGCAGCAACAACGACCGCCGCCGGACAGAACAGGCCATGCAGGCCGTGGCAGGCCTGCTGTTCCCCAGCGCCGGCAACCCGCAGGGCTTTGTCGACCGCGTGAGCTACATCTCGGCGGACGGCCCGCCCCCGCCTTACCCGGAGCCCCAAGCCCAGCCCAAGCCCCAGCAGCCACCGCAGCACCAGGAGGAGGCGGAGCGGGGCCGGCAGCGCAGTGACGATTCGATCCGGGCCACCGCCGCCGAGAGGAGCACGAGCGCGAACACGAGCAACTCCCTCGCGTCGCCGCCGCAGCAGATCAAGAGCATGTTGGATGTATAGCGTGCCCGTTGGGTGGCACGCGTGCATGCATGCGTGTATCTAGGCACGCATGATGCTGCCTCGCATGCCCTGCCCGTTCCGTTCTGAAATGCTCCTCCCGCCTTTGTTTGTCCGTTGGTTTATTATTTATTATGAGACATGAGGATATACTCGCGCAAATGAACACTATGTATGGGCTGGGATAAAATTACAAACAAACACTCTTTTATAATCATTAGCATATTGCTTGGAGATGGCACCCCTCCCAAGTCTGGCGTTGTTGGCGGGTCTCGCTCGATATTTTATGGATGGGGTAGCTTGCGGGTGAGGCCGATGGACAGGCACGACACTCCTTTGTGGGTGAAGGGGGGGGGTGGCGAGGTATTGTATATAGACTTGGTAATTGTTGTAGTTAAGATTTAATTGTGGTTCGGACTTGGGCCAACGAATTTGGGATAATTCTCAACCCTGTCAGTGTTTGTGGTGACTGCGCCTTGGTGCTTTGGTCTTGGGACCAGGTGTGTTAGAGTGCGGTGTGCTTCACCGACTACCCGGATGACTATTACAGTGGATGATAGAGCTGGGCTGGACCGAGCTGGGATAGTTCTCAAGGTATGAAGAGGTATAGTAGATACGATTCCCGCTTATTAGGGAACCTTGGAGCCGCCTTTTAATTATGCAAGATTGGTCATGTCATGTTGGATGGAAATAGTACTGATTTGCCTGGCCTGCCTCCAAGGCTCTGACGAGCCCTTTCGCATCAATTGATCAGAAACATGGCCCTAGCCCGCCTACACGGCTTGCCAAGTTAGGTTATCATGTGTTTTCCCTTGACGCGGTACATGGTGAAAGGTTACAGGAGTTGAAAGTGGCTGTGAGTGATGGTGTCTCTGCCCGGGATGGTTGTTGAATCACTTCCAAGGGCGTCTCGGTCTTGATTTAGGTAGAGATTGCTTACACCCACACCGCGGCGGTTCCATGTGTGGAGTTATTTGTCTCAACTGGCTGGAGGAGTTGGGTGGTGCTGGTAGCATTTTGAAGTCCTGACTGACATCTGGCCTCGCTTTGCTATACGGCAGACTCGTGATCAATATTCATGAGTCCGGGAACCATCCGAGGGCAGACACGATTATCATGCGACATCCGGGTGGTTGCAGTCGTGCTGAGAAACAGCCTACAGCTGTGATTTTGTTCTGGGCTCGAGAACTCCAAATTGACGTAGACTGGCTGGCGGGCTGTGAGCGGCCTCGGGACCCTCGGGGACCAAGTAGTTATGGCTGCCGGTGATGGGTGCTTCACAGACGGGCGGGGAAAGAACTCAATGTTCATGCGCTGTGACGTTTTGAAACATTCAGTGATACCAGGTCATGAGTTAATATAAGCACTCCTAGCCTTCTACTTCTGACCTTGGCCGTCTGGGACTCTATCCAGGGCCCAGAACTGTCGACGTAGCTGAGGAAGATGAGTCACAATATTCCGGTGGTTGAGGGTGATGGGATGAATTTGTATTGATGTGTGCCTCAGTCCTTGGGTACCAGATACATCAAATGTTACTTGGAGGACTATATCTTGAGGACCTGGGCAACATGGGTCGTTGATGGAAAGACATGCCAGTTCTGGCCTGCCCGACACTGACCTCTGGTCGCTCACAGGACAGCCCTGATAATGCGGGCAAGTCAGATTTCAAGGTCACAGCCTCGAGCCAGAAATGGTGAAGAGTCCGTGTCATACTAGTAAACTCGTGACGCACGTGTGTGAGACACACGTTCTCACCTACAACCTGGTCTCTGATATCTGAGGTCTACACTCAGGCCGAGTGAGTATGCGCAATAGACGGCCGAGGCCCACAATTAATATGATCAATATCGAACAAGCGTCTATTCAAGCCTCGTCGGTAGTCACTGCTGCAGCATGATTAGGATGGAACGCCACGTGGTGTCTGGCAGGTGTTCAGCCCTACGGAGATGCAAGCTGGCGGGAGGACACGCCCCGTGGCTCAATCAGGCAGCCGCCACGCAGCTCACCTGTAACAGGCACTTGGCATATCAGTATTATCTGGTGAGCCGCAACGACCTCACTCATTCACTCACCCACTCAGTCACAACACCACTTGAACACAGACACAACCCCCCTCCAGAATGGCAGCCCCCCACCTCCAGCCCGCCCACACGGGCTTCAACCCAACCCGCGAAGACATCTACATCGCCGCGCGGATCCTCATGGGCCTGCGCCTCCCACGCCCGCCGGCAGCCGACACGCCAGCCCACCTCCCACCCGAGCTGGCCCGGTCCGTCCTGTCCCACGCGGGCTACAACCCGCGCATCACATCGAGCCGCGCGGACGAGGCCAGGTACCACGCCGACGACTTCTGGCAGCCCGGCCCGCGCGCCAGCGTCGCGGGCTTGTACCTCACCACCCGTGACCCGCTGCCGGGGTGTCTGCGGAGGGTGGCCTCCGTCACGCTGCAGGTGCGCGCTGCGGACCAGGGGTGGGCTACGTTTGGGGGCGAGGGGACGTATGAGAACAGCCATACCTGGTTTGAGGCTTGTGTCCTGCGGCCTGTTGATGGGGGGGATGGGGTGCAGCCGGTGCAACAGGAGGAAGGGGAGGGGGAGGATGAGCCTCTCGAGACGCGGGGCGATATCGTGCGGGTGTTCGAGACCCCCGGCGACGCGAGGGGGGAGCTCGAGCAGTTCGGCTGGCGGATGGTCGAGCACGGCGGGAGGAGCACCTGGCTGGTGCATCACAACAGTGTGTCATCCCAAACCCCAGGGTACTTCTGTTATGGGACATTCCATGGCGAGGTTCTCTGAGATGGTGGCTGGGTTGACGACAACAACTGACCCCACGTGCCTGCAGTCACGGCCTCTCGAGCCTGGAAGGATTACCGGGTCGACTGGGTCGCCGGGGAACCCACCGAGATCGACGTCCCGGGGGCTGTCGGTGACGGCGAGGGGTTTCTGGATGCGCTGATGCCTGGGGACAAGATTGCCCTCTGGGCCAGGGCGGAGGTGAGCAGCCTGGTATCATGTGGAATTGTATATTCAAGTGTTCGTTCGACTAACGTGCAGTAGCAACAGGCCTGGGTGATCAAGGTCGCCGAGGCTTGCATTGAGGTCGTGTACGAAGTCGACATCTAAGATGCGGTTGTTATTCACCAGCGGCATCCTCGAGCCCCAGACCAACAGCAATAATCCCCGCAATGCGCTGTATTATCCAGCATTGTGGAATCGTGGGCAGAATACCAACCTTGGAACACTCCTAACAATATCGACAGTCGAGGAAAGGAAGAGGCTCCAAGGCAAGGAGCGGTCAGAGTTCCACCCAACTCTGTATACCTAGGTACCTAGCTACGAGAAGGAGAAGAAAACACCCAGCAAGGAGAGACCTGCAATGAAGATAGGAGTCGGCCAATTATGAGCACTGGGTCCTCCTCTCCACTGGCAGTGCCCGAGCACAATGCATCCCGCATCTCTTACCGCCAGGCACTTCTTGTTGGTACTCGGGACGCCAAAGTGGACCATCAGCAATGTGACAGGTCGACCCCGTTGACTCCGTAATTGGTATTGGTTCGCAACTGATCGGCATCGGTCCCAGAAGGGAGTGAGCGGTAGCGGTCCACTGCCTGGCCCGTCGGTACGAGATTAATCTACGTGTACGGCCGGGCCTCGGGGTCCCAAGAGGACATTTTTCCGACTGGCCGTGCCCTCATCGGCGGTAACGGAGCCTCCTTTCTGTCTTGGTCGAGGGAGGAGAACCACATGAGTAGGACCGCCAGGATCCCGGATGTGATGACTGTTTTGGGCAGCCCAGGCTGACGACGGTGCGCTCCCACGTGCAAGTTGGTTATCAGCGAGACCAAGCCTCATCTTCATGCAAGCAGCGATAGCGCCGAGCCAGATGCCAGATGCCATACCTAGGTACCCAGGTATGCACACCTATGACGGCGCGCATAATCTTCCGGTAGCTGTTTCACCGTTCCATGGTTGCCATAACCGAGCCACTGCATCTACGATCTACCACAGCATCTCTTCCAAGGTTAGGATGTTTTTTTTTTCTTGTCGTCCAGCTCGGAGAAAATCTCCCCCTCGCAAATTGGTGCGGTCGGTGTATTGGGCTTGGCGCTACGTGGGACAGGGACGGATCTAGCTGGGGCTATCGCTGGCGCTGAGGCCCCCCCTTTGATGTGGGCTTTCCCCTGCCTGTCCTGAAACACCATGGATCGTGACCGAGCGAAAAGGAGGCTCCTTCGGCGGCACGCGGGGAGGGCGCGCCCCTCAGGAAGATTGCCCAAGGCCTTTTTTTTCTTTCTTCTCTGTCTTCTTCGAGAAGTCTGCTAGAAATGAGTGCAGGTGAGAAATCTGCCGGAACGAGATAGGAGAAACGGTTGCATCATCAGTCAGCGAGCAAAGATGCGATTCTCAGGGGCGACCAATCCAAGGCGCCGTTCCGAGGTTGCGAGGTGTTCCTTATTGGCCGGTGTTTCTGTGGTTGTTTGTTTGTTTGTTTCTACCACGGGAGATCGACTCGGCCGAACAAGTCTGGACAGTGATTGACTTCAGGATGTCAGGCAGCCTGCAAAAAAAACCGCCGCTAGGCCGGGCTGAGCCGGATGTCCCACTAGACCTAGCCACTACTATAAATTAACGAATTGTATAGTAATTATATTGTGGAAAAAAATTGTTTATTAATTAATTTATCGACTTTATATTAACTTTAGATTTAGTTATTATTAGGGTATATCTTTATAAGCGCTTTGAATTATACTTTTATATATATTAATAAGACCTTTTTATATTAGCTTTTAAAAGTCTTTTAGCGTATAGTGAGAATGCCTATATATATACTATTTAATTTTATTAGCTATATTAATGTTTTTAATTAGGTTAGTTTTTAGGTAGTTATAGGTGTTAATTATAGTAATAATACTCTTTAACTTCTTTTATTTAAGGGTTTTAATTATAGTATAGCTATTATTACTATCTTTTTATAGGATGATATTATAAGACTTATACTTTTTTTATAGTGGTTTTAAATATAGTTTATAACTTGTTTATATATAGATTTATATATAGTAATATCTATTTTTTATTATTATTAGTTTCTATTTTATAGAAGTATATTATTTAGTATTTTTAGTTAATTATAATTATAATATGGATATTTTTTTATTCTATAGTAGAGAGTTTAGTAAAATACTTCCTTTTTCACTATTTTTACCTTTTAAATATAAGGTTTACCCTAATAATAATAGTCTTAAAGTTATAGTTATTTAGGTTTTAAGTATTTAGGTTTTATTAATATAATAAGTTCTTAATTATCTATAAAGCGTTTTTATAATATAGTTTATAAAGGATAAGTTTTTATCCTTTAATATAAAAGCTAAAGTATTATTTATTTATATAGTATATATAAATATACTATTTAAGGTTTTATTATTAATTAAAGTAGATTTTTATATAATATAATAATAGTAAGCTTTTAATTAATAGATTATTATTTATTTTAATTATTTTTATTTAAATATACTATTTAAGGTTATTAAGCTAATAAAAGAGTATAGTTAGGTAGATTTTAAGGTTTATATTAGTATTAACTATATTATTAAGTACTAACTAATAGATAGCTTTTTATATAGTTTATAAGTTTTTTTTAGTTAGATATTTAAAGTAGTTATTAATTTTAATAATGTTAATATTAGTAAGCTTATATAGGTACTTTTAGCGCTCTTTAAGGTAAGGGTTATTAATAATTATTTAAGAGTTAGAATTATTTTTAATAACTTTTAGATTAAAGGGGATGGGTTGGAGGTTATTATCATTGATATAATAGTAAATAATATCTCTACCTTACCTTTTACTAACACTAAAGTATATAAAGACTTACTTTTTAGTAATTTAGTTTTTTATATAGTTAAGGAGGTTGAATTCTTGGAGGAACTGGTAGACTTTATATATTTTAATATATTTTAGGGTATTATAATAAATCTAGCCTATCTAATTACCTATAGTACTTAAAATATTAAGAAATTAGTATCGTTAAATAGAGTAATTAATTTTAAATTAATTCGTTAAAGAAAATAGTATTATATGTTATGTAGTTGTTGAATAAAGTGTAGTTAAAGTTTGCTTATTTTAATGGTGATTAGTAGTGTGGGAGGAGAAAAGTTGGTTAGTAGTGGTTTTTTTTATAGGCTGCCTGGATGTGTGTTTATGATCGACGACCTGAGGCTCTTGACTGTTCACCTGATTGATTGACTCGGCTGAGTCGGTGGACCCCGGACCATGCAGTGGGTCGGGATGTGACTTTAATCAGCCTTTCCTACTGCAAGTTTCTACATAGTACAACCGCAGGACCCACGCACCTGGTTTCGTCGCTTGTCTGGCCCCCTCTGATTTGCCCGCCTCCATCTTGGGCTCGCTTCCCCTGATACAACCCCTGAGCCTACCCCGGCCCGCGTTTAATTCTGACATGTCGAGCCCACCCTGTCCCGGAGCCGCACACTACTGTACGGAGCACACCTCGTCATTCGTTTCGAGGCGCATGAAACCAACTGCCACCAAAGGGGCAGCAGGCGGGAACCAGGCAGCCCAGGCTCGTGGGATCTCCAGGGCCAAACTCATCTCGGCTGACACCGATGATGGCGGGTCCTCCTCGGTCTTGTGTTCCAAGGAGGGTCGAGCAGGGCGGCAGCATAACTAATACATAAGGGACGTCTCCTGATTTCTCTCCCGGGCTGTTTCCATCTCTTGGCTCCTCATCTTCAGCCTCAGCTTAAGCTTCACTACAGTTCTCCCTTTTTGGAATCAACAGCCATTCTTTTCTAGCAAGCCAGCTCTTGCGAAACCATTCTTTCAAACCAATCTCTAAAAAAACAAACACACTCACTTAACAGGCCGAGCCTAACAAGTTGTTTCCAAAAACCAAAAAAGTCCCACCCTCCAACAAACCAGCCAAGATGTACAAGCAAATCACCGCAGCCGCCCTCTTCGCCGCCGGCGTCTCGGCCCACGGCCGCGTCACCTCGCCCACGCCCCGCCCCCTCGGCGCCGCCATGAAGGCCGCCTGCGGCGACCAGGTGTGGAACATGCAGTCGTCGGACAACAACGGCAACATCCAGACCATGGCGCAGATCGGCACGTCGCAGTCCGACTTTGACGCGGCCAAGTGCCACCTGTGGCAGTGCCGCGGCTACCAGTTCGACGACGCCACCGACGCCTCGGTGCAGAGCTTCACCCCGGGCCAGAAGGTCCCCTTCGTCGTCGACATCGCCGCGCCCCACTCGGGCGTCGCCAACGTCTCCGTCGTCGACCTCGGCGCCAACGCCGTCATCGGCGACGCCCTCATCTCCTGGGACAGCTACGCCTCCACCGAGCGCGGCGTCCAGCCCGGCGACGAGAACTTCTCCGTCACCATCCCCACCGACCTCCCCGAGACCTGCTCCCAGAAGGGCGGCTGTGCCATCCAGTGGTGGTGGGACGCCCGCTCCATCGACCAGACCTACATGAGCTGTGTCGACTTTGTCGTCGCCGGCGCCTCTGGCTCCTCCGCCCCGGCCCCGGCCCCTGAGGCCCCCGCCGCCTCCGCCCCCGCCGCGTCGGCCCCCGCCCCCGCCCCCGCTGCCTCCAGCGCTGCCCCTACCACCTCGGTCGCTGCCAACGCTGCCGCTGCCGCCCCTACCGAGGCTGCTGACGACAACGCGTCTGCCTGCTCCAAGCGCAAGACCCGCCGTGCCTTCCGTGCCTAAGCGGTTTAGGGCTTGATCCGGGCTGGCGTGGGTGACTAGGGTTCAGTGGTGATGAGAGTTTGGGGAATTGGGGACGAGATCCGCTTCCTGGGTGATTGTGGATTTGGGAACCGTTGTGTTGCTTCTCTGTATATACCATACAATTCAAGACTTTGCTGTACATGACTTTTGAGACCAAGTCCCTTGCTTCGTCCATGTTTGTAATTTGCAGACGGTTCACGTGCACATGTGCTTTGGTATCTTGTGATCAAATATATATATTCTGAACGATCCTTTCGTCCTCATTGCTTACTTCCCCTATATGTGTGGTGGAGCACAACCATCTATCGTTACAATCGCTAGTCTGTCGTCCACTATTTACCTAGGTGCGCGGCCAGAGTTGTTGCCATGTGGGAAGGGCACCGCAGTATGGATGGCGTCTAGAACCACACAAGACGGTTTTCTAGTCCATCCTGCTTTCTTCCAGAATGAACTCTTGAGAGATGGACTCTCAAGAAGTAGTCCCCTTAGAAAGGCCCGTGGTGTTGACATCCTTGTGTGAAGGTAAAGCATTTGCATACCTGGATAGACCTTTATGCTACACTGCCTTGTCCTTCTACTAGGGCACTTACTGTTGTTCCGACTTAACAGTTATAGGGGCCATTTGGAGACTATTATAGTCTCATTGTATGATTGCTTTACTGCCTATTAGCCCTTAGGCTAGGGTACTTGTGTCAATGATTCTGGTCAGCAGCACCTTTAGGAGTGGTACCTCCTACCCTTATCTATACACTACTAGTTTAAGGCGAAGGCTACAAGTCCACATTCTATATTCTCTCTACTTCATCATTAGTGTTATATTTTCTTTTAAAAAATAATAGGTCTTAAGTCTTTATCTTTGTGTGAAGGTACTATATACGTTTTATATATGGACTATGGACTATTTGCCCTTCTCTTAAATGTGGTCGAATGTTATCAAGCTCCATGGTTGACATGACCAACGTCGAAGTGAGCGTCGGTGCAGTTGCGCTCCGAGGGTCTGACTGCTTAGAATTTGCTCCAAAAAAAACGTTTTATATATATGGGAATTAGAAATGAATCCACTCTAATAGAGGAACTTAAAGAATACAATTTGTTATATGCTACCATCAATCCTGGCACGGACAATCTGTACTGGTCTCACGCTCAATCGGGGTCGCCGCCGGCTGTGCTTCTATAGCTGCTGCACCAGTGGCGAGAAATTAAATGCAACTTGGGGGCTGGCTGGAAAAGAGGTTTCTGCCAAATATAAGCAAGTTCTCGTCCTGAAGCTGGGTGACACCACTGCAGATGGCGTCAAATGCCGTCCAACGACGCCTGTGCTGGTTACTCAGCAACTGCGGTGAGGCAAATATCCCCCACCCGTCTCTCAACCCTGTTGCTCGGTGCAGGATTTGATTTGCTGGTCAGCAGCACATATCTTGATTATGATAAGGGGGTCATTTAATTTGTGAGGCTCTGCTCAATATCCAGCCAAGATTTTCACTCAGCTGTCCATGTTGTGGTGCGGCGCATATCCGCGAAGCCCGTCCGATTCCTGGCCCACGATAAACTGTTGGAGGAAGGGGAGATCGGTTGGGGGCTGCCGTTGGAGGGCTGTGGCAATTTGGCCCCCGCGGCAGACAAATGACACATGAAATGGGTAACGCAAGGTTCAGCTCTCGAGAGCCCTCAAATTTAGGGTAGCCGCGGTAACAACAGTCCTTGTGAGCAAAGGTTGTGTGCATGCGAAAGCTTTAAAGATCAATATGGAAGCATGCTTTTTTCGCTCCTTTCGGGTCGTTTCATCAGCTCAGCGAGCGTCAGACTGTCTGAAATCTAACGCACTGCCGCTTCTCCTTTTCCCCAATTGCCAACTCGAATACATGAAGCTGCCATGGACAACAACATCTATACAGGGCTTTGGACGAACTGGTCCCGTGGCCCTATTTTCGGAGCTACCCTCACCATGACCAAAGAGTACGGCAATCTGCTTATTGCATTTATGGCTCTTTTTGTCGGGTTTATCGCCTCCAGGGCCTGGCGAATCTCTTGCCTCATTTTGCATCGATATTTATCAACCACAGAAGACAAGAACGCCATTCATCACCAGCGTCAAGTTATTCTGCGTAACTCGCGCACTGCCGAGTCGGCGTTATCCGAGGTTCTGTTCCTATTCTGGGCTTGGCGCAAGTCACACACTCGTCTCTTTTCCGGCCTGATGCCCTTGGTTATATTCAGCAGCTGTTATCTAGCGGCATTCACAGCTGCTGGAGGTTTCTCATCAAGCATTTCAAGTTCAATCGGCGACGAGGTCCTGATTAACGGCCAAAATTGTGGCCTTGTAGTGCCCAATTCGACGGCGGAAAGCCGCTCTATAGGTCGTGAGTGGGCTTCCGAGCAAGCCAACAGCGCAGCAAACTACGTGCATCAGTGCTACCGCACCAACCAGTCCGATACGACTACAGCTTGCAACAAGTTTATTCGCAGCAGGCTTCCAACACATACGATCAATACTACCGCCGAATGCCCATTCCAGATATGCCGAAACCCACAATCGACACTACGATTAGACTCAGGCTACATCGATAGTCATGATGACTTGGGGCTTAATGCTCCCAAAGGTGAAAGGTTTGCGTACAGATATGTGCTGCATTGCGCCCCGCTCGAGACTGACAACTATACAAGTCATGTCGATGACGACGGTATAGGCTGGGATCAATATCATTACGGGGCTTTACCGAGCCTTGGAATAGCTGACAATCAGTCGGGCTTTCTAGACTACGTCTACGAAATTTGGGATGTAGACTTTCAGTATAATCTTCCACTCGGTATCATTATGGCTGGAATCAATTTCAAATTGAGGTAAGCCCATCTAGGGGAATCTGCTAAGATCATGGTTTGACCTTTCTGAAGCTACCTGAGACTCTTCAGGATTGAAGGAGAATCACCAGATTGGGATCCGATATCCGAGCTCGTGCGCTTGGACGGAGACTTGACAATCGTTTTTCTTTCCGGAGTCGGAGTCAAATTCCTCCAACAGACGGACGATGACTGGTATCGAGGGAACACGCCATCTGGTGGCATATACTATTTGGATTTGCCAACCGAACAAACGACTTGGCGGTCAGATGTTTCTGCGTCGCCAATGGGATGCTTGGAGCAGTTCCAGTGGTGTAACTCAGCGTACCCAAGAGAGCGTGGATGTGGGCCATTGGCAAGCTTCTTTGATGCTCTATATGGAGCTGCGCCATTCTTCAACTTGGAAGACGATGCCTTAGATCCAGATCGACCGTTGTCTTTTGATGCAACTTCCGCTCGCTTCATATGGCCTGCTCTGGCTATGAATTTCCACGGTACTACTCTTGGGTCAATGTTAGGCTCTCTAGGGACAAGATCGCTCGCATCTCAGTCCAACTTTTTCGAAGGCGTTCAGTCGCCACTTCCGGATAACCAATGGCAATTGGACGTACTCCAGTGGTGGCACATCATCATGGCTACGATTCAGGCATCACGGTTAGCATTTTATCCCCTTTCACCCCTTCTTCCTTTATGCCGCATCAGCAATGCCTCGCTCTGTCATGATAAGCGGGTAGTGCTGGTCGAGAACTATACCAGATGATTTCTTTGCTAAATTATCAATAGTGAGTCAACGTCCTGGCACACGTGCCATCTTTACATGCTGCAAGTGTATCTTATTGGACATTTCCAGCTTACGCGTACCAGTTGTCGATGCTGCACAAGGTGCTACTAACCCAGAATTCTTTGAACATCAATCGCCGCCACTGAATGAACACGAGAGGAAAATTTGCAACAGTCAGGTACACACCCAGTAGCCATCACTACGTCTCTCTCTGTCATGTGTTATGTGAAACGCCCTGATACTCTAAACAGAAAGTTCGAAGCTCGGCGTATACATCTTTCAGCTGCTTCGGCCTCTACTTCACCTTCATCACAGGCGCTCTCATCACCGTCATATCCTACATTCTAGAGCCGATTCTCAACTGCCTTCACCGACGCCGACAGCACAATTCATACGCACACCTCGAGTGGATCAGCAACAACAGCCTGCAGCTGCACCGTATGGCACACGAGCAGCTCATGGGCCAGAAGTGGGACAGGTGCGCGGATGACATCCCAACCACAGACCCAGATGTCTTCTTGGCAAATCTAGATATCTCGGACCCGGAACACCCGATTCTTTGCAAGCCGGGGCCACTAAAGGTGACGACTGAAGCTTTCGACACTAGTGACGCCCCGGAAGATTCCTCGTCTCCGGATGGCGGATCTGTCCGCTCGGACAGCGCAGCTGACCTGGATAGACCCGTATCGGCGTCTTCGAGGACGTCCGTATCTGATTCGTCTTGGACACTTGATGTGCGAATGACGTTGATGAATGTGAGCGGGCAGCTAAGCCTTCAGGGAAGCGAGCAGGACGATGTTGGCGGAGACGGTGAGGATGCCGAGGGAGACACGGTGGATGTATGTGATGTGGCGAGTTCGATGGCTGGCGGGAACAGGTGATACATACACTAAGGAAGAGTTTCGGCCACTGACACAGCGTCTTAATGATTCTAATTGCTTTGTGTTTTACTTGGGCTGGCACCGTATGAAGGCGCCATGTATGTCACCGGATGTATGAGGAACAAAAATTGAAACCTGGTAATCAATTATGCTATGCTATCGTCATTCTTGCATCAGAGTAGAATTCCACCTCTCCCGAAGTCGAGTGAAGACTCTATCAATGTCTTATCCAGTATCACACAAGCTTGGCGGCGACTGTGAAGTGAAACTTGGCCAAAAAGAAAAGGCCGAGTATGAGGAGAGATCAGTTGGTATTAGTGGGATAATGGCTCTTTTGTCTCAGAGATTGACCCCTGTAGAAAAAGTACCACGGCACAGGAACCAGAACCAGGCTCAGAAAGGCGAAAATACTCCCAGCCCAGTAGATTCCAATGCGAGATGAATATAGCTGGATGATGAACTGCGGAAAGGCGGCTGCCAGTAGGAACCGAATCAGACCGTTGGCTGCCACAGCGGATGCCGAGTTGGCGCTGCCGTAGACGTCTACAATGTACGCTATAGAGGTGACAAATGCCGTCAGAGTACCCCAGCCTACGGGCAGACCAGCGAGCACCGGTACTATCCAGTGGACTCCGGCACGCGGCGCCCATGCATACCACTGTGATGGAATCGAGTCAGTTGTGAGCCACATAAAAGATGATATTTTAGTGCTGCGGGCGGCTCACAAACAATCCGATGGGAACGAAGCCAGAACCGAATAGAGCTGCGTAAAGCCGGTCTTCTGGCACGACCTTTCCCCTGGTTCGTGCCAACTTTTGATATTTCAGCACATCAAAGGCCCCAAATGTAAGCACTGCCATAATGAATCCTGTGAGTTGTCAGTAGGAGGTCAAGGCATGTGAATCATATAATGGAAGAGTTTGCCTGACCCACAATGACGGGGATGTAACAAAGCCCTATCTGCCTGGAATTGAAGTGGTAGATTGTTGTATAGATGTACGCATAAGAGCCAAAGAATGAAAAGATCATGGCGAAACTGTAAGCCGTGTAGAGGCCAAGGAGGAATGTAAGCGGCTGCACGTTTCAGATTAGCCAGACTCTATCGCTCATCAGGATGAAGCAGGAAAAGGGTAGCATGCCTCGGAAATGGCCATGTGCAGCGGTCGTAACAAGCCCCTCTGGATTGTCCTGGTCCGGGACGAGGCTGTCATGCCGAGCGCATCATTCCCGCGCCTCTTGTGTCGCAAGTACAGGATTCGGCTCTTAGACGTCTCTTGCATCAGAGGAAGAGCCAGAGCGACCGGTGCCAGGATGCAGAGAAGAACCCAGATAGTCCACCTCCAGTCATTGTCATACTGGTGTAGGATATAGGCGCCGATCAGAGGTCCCATTGTAGGGCCAAGGAATGGTGCCATGATGTAGGGCACGCCAACGCGCCCTGAGTTTCTCGTATCCCATATGTCAGACAAGGAGCCGGCTGAGACGGCCAGGACGCCGGAGCCACCCACGCCGGCCAAGAACCTAAAGACAACGAGGACGACAAAGTTGTTGGAGGCTGCGGCTATGCCGTTGAAGATGATCAGCATGGGGAGATTGGTCCAGTAGATCCAGCGACGGCCGTATAGTTCAGACAGAGGCGATGCGATGCAAGGTCCAATACTGAAACCGAGGGTGTATAGAGTGACGGGCAAGAGGGCGACGTTTCTGCTCAGATCGAATTCTCGTTGGAGGATTGGTATCGCGGCGACTAGGCTCGAGATACCGGCACATCTGGAAGGTGTTGTTAGCCAGGTCAGAATAGCGGCGGCGGCGGTTCATACAATCCAAATGACCAGACAGCTGGCACGATAGTGTGAAAGATCCTCTTCCATTTCGGCCAATTGCGAGGGTTTTCAGGATCGTCAGGTGTTTCCCAGTCGAGGTCCCCAGCAGGAGTTTCCGTCTTGTGTGGGTTGGTGTTCAGCACTTCTTCCTCATTATTTTGAGGAGTCTCACCACTGCCGACATCTTTGCTTGCCATGGTCGAGCAGCGGGTGTAGGATTGTTTTTGGTCTCCGTGACATGTTCACGAAAGGGAGCCTGGAAATCCTTTTAAAAAGGATGCGCTCAGACTTGCGTTGGTACATATGCTGCAAGAACCGTGTGACACTAGGGATGAACGCCACCAGGCTCGCATCCCGGGGGTGACATGAGGGAAACTGGCGAACGGGGCGTGAAGGACCGTCGGGCTGCGTCCAACGGTCACACAAAGCAACCGCAAAGTTCATTTGTTATGATAGATGTAGGTCGTTGGAGGCGACATTGGGGTGGGGGAGCCAGAAGGACCGGCACGAGGTGCCTAGATGACGTGCTGGAAGCGTGCCCAACTCGCCACAATGTAAAGTAGGTAGTCAGGAGAGGAAAGATACAACTTGTGTGAACTAGAGGTGAAGCACAGTACAAGTGACTCCAGGGGCCAAAGCAAGACCCCCCATATCCGACTCTGCAATTTTCAACATTCTCTATGCCAACTCGTATTCAACCGAATTTTGTCTCAGGAGACGGCCTCTTCCTGAATTGGACCTCTGGACCTTGCTTCAGTGACACCAATGCATCCGCTATTTGAAATTGCCTCCTATCCCTCTGGCCCCAGCCCAGCTCAGGCCTACCTTCCCCCAAAGTCGACCCAGGCGTTTTCCTCAAATCAAAGCGAAGCAGCGTCTTGGAGACTACAAGCATAATCTCCGCCAGTGCGATATTCTTGCCAGCGCAGCCACCGGGACCTGTGAGAAACGGGTGGAAGTTGGCACGGATCTCGGCTACCATCTCCCTAGTGACGCCCGTAGCCTCATCTATGATCCAGCGCTCGGGTCGAAAGACCCCCGGGTCCCCGTAGACTTCCACGTTCAGTGAGTCGCACCAGGGAGCTGTGCTAACTATCGTTCCCTTGGGATAGTGATAATCTAGAACCTGGAGGCCACCGGCAAGGACTTCTCGTGGAGGTTCACAGGGTCCAGGGGGGACAAGACGCATTCCTTCGTCAATACATGCCCGAAGATATGTACAACCCATGAGCTTCGGGCTATGGATGACATCCGTAGCTGTGTTGAATGTTCTTTGTAGCTCGCCAACAAGTTTCTAGTAGCACCTCGGTGCTCTAACGAGGTACCAGAAGATACTAGCCAAGCTGGCAGTCGTAGTGTCGGACCCGGCGATGATGAATAACATGGCCTCTGCACGTAGCTCATCTTGGGTATATGCTGGGCGGCCTCCAGAATCTTGAGCCTTGCATAGAAAATAGAATAGATCTCGACGACAATCGTTCTTATCAAGAGCCTCCTGCTTCTCATAAAGCTCAAGTCGTTTTGTAACACTTTCAAAGATAAAGTCATTGAATTGTCGGACCGGTTTTGGAGTGACGAGCTCCATGAGTCGGTCTAACCCACGAGGCTTAAGCCAAATAATTGAGCCGAGAAAAGGCGAGCGGCACATCTTCATTCAAAATAAACGTCAGTAGTCATTCTCGTCAACCGTGCCTGAATCAGGGAAAAGGAAATGCTTACCAGATAATAGAATTTGAGGTATTGGACAATGTTCTGTGGCACCTCCCTGAGAGGATTCTCACCAGGCTCTTTGATATTAAAGGACCTCCCAAAGCTAAGATCACCAGTAATATCAAAAACAAGATAGTCCATTCTTTCACCAAGATTGATAGAGGCAGACCACTCCGTTATACTGTTGTGCTCATCTAGTAGTATCTAGTGCCAACGGTCAAGATGCTGACCTATAAAAGTCGAGATAGTAGCCACCAAGGTATCGGTAAAGCATGAATTAAGTATCTTGCGTCTCTGGGCATGTTCCGCGGGATCTATAGTATTAAAAGTTGTCTTTTCCCGAATACTCTTGGTTAGTCCCACATAGAATTTGCTCCATCAGACGTTGGACTTCATGCCATAGATAGCCGCGTGGGCCTTTGGGTCACAGAACAGAACCAAGTTTGGCGCGACGCGGATACGACTTCCGTAGATCTGAAATAATTGCCACAGCCAAATATGGCGCTTTCCGCGGGTTGTGTAGTACCATGACGGGATTTCGCTTGCTCTAGCCCAGAAAGGGCCTGGCACATGCCAAAGGGGATGTAGGTAGAGGTTGTAGAGTGCACTAGCAAGTAGCTGGGATCTTGGTCAGCTGATCTGCTTTATCCCTCAAAGGGTGCTATAGTGATAGGAAAAATAGGAAATAAGACGAACCAACACGGGCACGAGTGCACAAACCCAGAGAAAACCTCTTGCAGAGATCGAAGCTGCTGGAATGCCAGTGTTGTCCAACATGGTCGGAGAACGTGTGTGGTGCGGGATTGTCGGGTCGCTAGACGATGTCAAGAGGTTTTTTGATGGGACGATAACCTTGAATCTTGATTGAGTATTGGGAGCCCATGCGTGGATCCTGAATAATTTGAGGCGGGTCAATCACACGAGTGAATAAACGCCAGCAGCTTAAAACCTGCAATGAGGGCCCTCAGGTAGTCGAGCGGTGCGTCTCGGGCAAGGTGGGAGGGAATGGACAAGACATGGGAAATGATAATCGGTCTCGTGGCTACTGCAGGAAGAAGGAGAACCTTTCAGACGGCATATTGAGCCTGTGCTGCGGCTCCAGGATCTCACTGTGCTGAGGAGTTGAGAATGTTGAGCTATCACTTAGTTCAAATGAAAGGGGGCCTTGCGAGACCTTGAATGGTCGGGGTGCAACTCCTTGGCATCAGTTGGTTCAGAAGTTGTGCAAAGGGACGCAGACCGGTTCAACATATGCACGTGCGAGTGATGAAGAGAGCCAACTTCTTGGGCAGCCATTCTTAGAATGGAAGTGTCAGGGGGAAGGTACCTAGGTATGTAGTTTGCACTCATGTACCCATCTTAGACAGCAAGTATGGCGACACGACGCTTTAGATGCAACTTGACAGCGTTGTCGACGTGGATGCACCGGGAGTTGGCCGGGCATGCCAACCTCAGTGACCAGCAATTGTGCCTCCATTCATACTGCACCCCCGACCCCAAAGATGAGGTTTCTCCTTCCATCTGCCGTGGATATCTTTTTGCATTCAATTCCCCTCTGCTATAATATCAGGCCCAACAACATCATTGGGCATCTGACCAATCGTTGATAATGAAACTTGCACACCTTTCTGCAACCTGTAGGGTGTTAGTACATTATAGAGGCTTGTCATTAACGTCTCAAGACTTGACTGTATACTTACCATCATAGTAGGGGCCATGGTATGTCCGCTTGGAATCTTCGGAAAAACGCTTGCATCTGCGATCCTCAGGTTCTTGAAGCCATGGACACGGAGATGCTGGTCGACCACTCCAGACTTCTCGTCCCTCGACATCGGACAGGTGCAACAGCTGTGAAGGCTTCCCACACTGATCCGCCGGACATAGTCATCGATTTCATCATCAGACACAGTCTTCCACGTTTTGTTGTTTTCAGACTTTTCTGTATTAGGCGTCAACAACTCTCCAGTTCCAGAACTGAAGGTTAGTCCAGGAGCTGGCGGTGGCCCTTCGGTTGCCGTGCTGCTCGGTGCGGTTTTCTCCCATGCCTCCAGCAATTCCGGGTTCGCGCCGGGGGCAAATGCAATTGAGGCGGTATGTGAATAGCCGGAGCCGATGAACTCTTCTGCAAATTTCATGGCAAACCGCATGCTCTTTCTGAATGTTGTTATGTCTGCTGGGTCCTGGAACATGGGATGATGTATGCGCAGATTGGTGTGAGGATCCTTGGTCGCGAGCTCGACACTGCCCACGGACTTGGGCTGTACAAGGGTGGTAAAGAAGGTAAGCACTGAATGACCAGGCACGGGTCTCCACATACTGTTCACCGCCTGGACCATGATCTCCGTGTCGGGTAAGTTGGCCGGGTTGGAGGCGTCAAACCCGTCTTCGGTGGTGTTGACCTGCATCGTCTCCTTGTCGAGGGCAGCTGTGCGGAGGAAGACCGTTTTCGGGGTGGAACTGGCACCCATCAGACCTTTCCCAAAGAATATGAAGAGGACTAGATGCCAAAGGCCTTGGATAGTCTGGAGCAAATCCAGTGTCTCTGATTTGGGGATTTCGACACTGACGACGCAGCTAAAGTGGTCCTTGAGAGTGGCACCGACCTGAATAGCCATGGACAGAATGGTAATTAGTTATGGTTGAGATCCGAGATGAGTATTTTGGGACTGTTCGTACCGGTAATTCCTTCTTCACAGGGATATCGAAGGCGTCAAGCTGACTTCGCGGGCCGATGCCGCTCAAGAGCAGAATCTGGGGTGTGCAAATGACACCTGAGCAGACGATGACTTCACGCCTGGCTTTCACGTATGTAATCGATTCCCCATTCGCGCTCTCATCTTGAAAATGAACACCACGGACAATGCCGGCTTGCTCGTCGACATCTAAACTCAAAACAACAACGCCGGTACAAACCGTAAGTCGCTTTTGTCTTTCCAGTGCTAGCGTCCTGTTGAGGTAGGTGTTGTACGCGGAAGCTCTCTGCCCATTGGGATGGATGGCCATGTCGAGGTTGAAAAGCCCCATGCTTGGGGCAGAAGGATTGTTACAATCTTCACCCACTGGAAGTCCAAGTCTTTTCGCAGCCCGGTCAACACTACATAGGTGGTGAGCTAGGTATTCGTCCTAATATTTACAAAAAAGGTGAGACTTACTATCTTGGCCACTTGAATGGCCACGACTTGTGTTGCAGGGGAATGAGTCCTGGTGGTCTCAAGTCAGCGGATGCACATCACCGCAATTGCTCGGTCCGCTTCAATGTACCGTTGTGTCCCCTCTCAGGGGAATCTGGGTATGAGATCGCATTCTCAATCCGGCGAAAGTGTGGCTCGACTTTCTCCCATGACCACTCATCAAGACCAAGTGCTGTGGCCCACTCCTCATAGCCTCCCGGAGCGCCTCTTGTCCAGAGCATACCATTTATCCTCGAGGACCCACCAATCCCTTCAGCCGAAACAATCTGGTTTCTCCGACCCTTCAAAAAGCTGATGGGTTCGGAATAGCGAGTGCTTTGGACTTGAAGAGGGTCACCCATGAAGAAGTTCTGGCTAATCAGTGGCACACGGGAGACGAAGTTATCCTTGACGTGGCCTTTCTCGAGGACCAGGACCGAGACATTGGGATCCTCTGAGAGTCGCGAGGCTACCACACAGCCCGCGGTACCACCTGTGCTTCACAACGTTAGCTCTGCCAGTGGTGGCCATCACGATGAGATGGATATGCTGACCCCCGACGACAACATAGTCGTAAGTATTGCCATTGAGCCCAGCCGCCGTGACCTCTGGGTATGTTGCGAAAGGCCACATTATTCCCTCTAAGTGACGATAAAATTTCAGAGAATTGAAGGAGAATACGTGCGGTGACACGAGAGACAGTCTCCCGTAAGGTCGCGAGCGAGTTCAGCCGCAAGACGGTACTCCGTAGTACTTGTATGCAGCTTGGTCTTATCACGGGCGATAAGACCGCGATCTGGCAGATTTCGCCTGAGCCACCGCGCCTGGCTAGGCCGTGTTTGGTGCCACCAGGGATCCCGAAGGATTATACGTGGAGTTTAGAGTGGATCTAATGGCCTTGGAGTACTCCGTACCACGCCACAGTACACTAGCTCCAGGCACCCACTCACGCGTCTCCACGTCCGGACACTGCCTACCGACATCAGAAAGCACCGAACCCCAGGGGCCGCTGCGGCCTTTCACGCAGGTACGAGTGCGAGATGCTGTCACGAGATCCACAACTTGAAGCTCCCGGGCTCCCTCAGGCCTGTGATAACTACCCTAGGGTAATTTGGATTTCGGCCTCCCGTGCCCATGGCCTCTTGTCACGGCTGCACGGAGCAAGCATTGCACCGTCAGCATGAAGATCTGGATCCAGGAACGACAAGAGAGCGAGACTGGATTCATCGTCGGACATAATTGGATCGAATAAATTCATCATCAAAAACTCTCCCCTATCTCTTATTTGATGACGACTTCCAGAAGACATGGCCTTTTGGAGAAGCTATCCCCACTGTGTCATTCGTCTGAAATATTTACCTGGTTTTGCTTCTATTTTGTACACGTCCGAGGACATACACTGCATGGCGCCTTCATATAGGAGTAAATGCTGAAGAGCCAGCATTTAGAAGACATACAGTGGGAAAACACGATAAGTGGCAAATATCTAAAAGTGATGCCTCATTTTTCATGCAAGAGTGCTCCAATCAGAACAAGTCGTCAGACCCGTGCGAAAACAACCGCTGCACTGTCAAGGTATTTTAGCCACCTCCATGAGTGGATTAGATGTTCCATTAGCGAGGCACAGCGTCTGAAGGCACCCAAAAAATATACATCACACTGGCGCTTTGACGGCCTGTGCACGGGTTCACATGTTGTCTTGTACTTTAGGAGTTGGTCTAGCTCGTGACCGTGTTCTCTAGTTACCGGTAGAAGCCCCCGTTCGAGGACGACAGTCAGCATTCAAAATCAGCATCCGAGCCACAAGCGGACGGAACCCGGCAAGCACTATGGATCCAATGCCATGCAAGTGCTACCACTTATACGGAAGGCTTAGCCCGCCCGCTAGACTCAACCGGTGATCCTGTCTGACAATTGTTCCACAAGCTTCGCATAAGCGAGTACACCCAAGCCGCGAAATGAAACTTAGGCAGCAGAGAGAGCCTGATTTATTTTCCCCTGAGGAGCTTCAACATCCCCATCTCACGACACTGCGCCAGCTGCTGTCATCTGGGCATCATGTCCAGACTCCTGCTCAACAAGCCGGTGTGGAGAATATGTGCCACCGCCGTGGTGGCTGTTTTGTGCATCACTCTATTACTGACAGGATGGAATTCGTATTACCGCAAGAGACCTACCTACTTTGTCCCTCCTGAGACTGTGGGTAGCGAGCTGGAACACAAACCGGACCACGTCGACAGTGTCGCCCCAGGAGATGAGCCTGCCACCATAACGTTGCCTGGATCCATTTCATCGGATACACCAGCAGCTCCCGCAAGCCACCAGCAGACGGACGATCATGGCCTTTCAGCTGATGCGGCGGCTAATGCAACTCTCGGTGTAAGTCAATGTCAATGCGCGCACGTCTATTATCTTCACCCCGCTCCGTTCAGCCAGAGGGACCACCCCCAGGGCCACCGACATCAAATTATACCGTATTGACCAAATGATCCCTCCAATAGGTAGCCGAACTGATAGTCATCAACATGCCCGACCGGACCGACAAGCGCGACCGAATGACCCTAATGGGCTCCTCGACAGGCCTCCGCTTCACCTTCCTCCCCGGCGTCGACGTCGCCAACGTCCCCGATTCCGCGATGCCGCCCGGCGCTAAAGGGTGGACAGGCAAGGTCCGCGCATCCTGGCGTGCCCACATGGACGCACTGTGGTATATTGTGCAGAACAATCTCACCTCGGCCATCATCTTCGAGGACGACCTGGACTGGGACGTGCGGATCCGCGAACAGGCCCGCGATTTCGCCCTGGCGAGCCGTGCGCTGCTGCAGCCGCTGGCCGGGAGGAAGGACTTTGCGGACCCGACGTACCCGACGGTGCAGGAAAAGGACAAGGAACTCGACCCCCCGCCTCTCAACTTCAACCAGCTCCCCAAGACCCAGGACCCAGCCACGTCGCCGTACGGTGACGGCTGGGACGTGCTCTGGCTCGGCCACTGCGGCGTGCAGCAGCCCACGGGAAACCCCAAGAACCAGTGGGCCGAGCGGTCACGGCACATCTCACGCGGCGCGGTGGTCAGGGAGAAAGACGACACCGTCCCGCAGCCCAGCAACATCCACTCCTGGGACGACGGCGGCCACGCGCGTTTCCGCGACTCGTACCCGGCGCACACGAGGGTCACGCACCACGAGCTCGACGCCGTGTGCACGTTTGCGTACGGGGTGTCGCAGGCTGGTGCGCGGCGGATACTGTACGACCTGGGCCTGTGGAAGATGGACGACCCCTTTGACCTCGGGCTGCGGCAGTTCTGCGACGGCACGTTTGAGCACAAGCGGCATGTCTGCCTGACGACGCAGCCGAGTCTGTTCTCGCACTTCACAAAGCAGGAGGGGAGCGATCTGGACCATGACAAGACGTGGAATATTCGGTGGAGCGCCAGGGAGAACTTGGTCAAGTTGATGGACGGCCAGGATGATTATGACGATCAGTGGCCGGATACACTGTGGAGGGCTTAGCTTGGTTATCACGACTTTCGGATGTCTAATTTTATCTTGTATCCCTAGACCTAATTATGGAGCGGATAGTGTCATAGAAGAAACACGTAATCCATTGCTGTTTTCTCTGCGTGGTCGCAAATTTACAACACATACTGTTTAAGGAGCTATGTATCTATAAATTGAAGTGTGAGGCGTGATAGATGACTATAAACATAAAGGATTCTTTATGACTGCACATGGTCCGCGATGCTGCATCATCTAGACCACGGCGCTGTGGATTTGTTGGGACTCATGTTATGTAGGTAGCCCAGTCGGCATGCAATATCTGCACCTTTGGCCATCCTTCCCAGCGCTGGGAATTGTTTTGGTCTATTCTAGAAATAAGGTCCGTGGCGGTGTTTACCAGCCGAAGCTAGCAATTGAGACGTCCAGATCGCGTGTCTTGGTTTTCAGGACTGATGCAATAGCTTTCTTGGCCTCTATTAGCAAATCCTGTGGACCGCAAGCAATGATGCCAAGTCTTCCATCGCCATCTAGAGCATGGTCTCGAATCACAGCGGCCACGTCAGGTCGGTTGTATGCTAGGGCGGATGGATCTTCGCCGGAGACCCTCGAGTTTTCACCCGCGGACTCCCTGGTGACATGTCTAAATCACATTTGTCAGTAGCTATGCATGAATGACGAGGTGAATGGGAGATATTTACCCCTTCAGCGTAAACCTCGAGTCTCTGAGCGCACACTGCAACTCCTCATTGGCAACCGATCGTATCAATTCTGAGTTCCTCACTGACCAGACCAGCGTGACACTCGTCGTCTCGGGGATGGATAGAGCCCTGTAGATGCAAGACAATCCCACTGAAATACCGCTTCCACCAATCACCAGCAGTATGTCCCGGCAGGAGTGGAAATCAATCGACTCTGCTTCCTCTTTGTATGGGCCTTCTAACAGGATTGGCACGCGTTGAGATGCAGACTCTTCCCCACTCGTTCTTTGGCCCTTTACAATATAGTTGTTCAGACGTTTCGTGAATCCCTTCTGTGGAGCGATTAGGAAGCGGTAGTTCAGCCTTTCGTACGGACCAGGAACCGGATGAACTGATACACTGCCGGGTCCCTTCTCTTCTTCCAGGCTTGATGTGGAATCTTCACCCGGCGCATTGGGGAAGGCCACCAATGTGAATGGGTGGGACTGGTAGAACGGGAATCGGGTCGGAGTGTACCTAATGTCAAGTCAGCTCACATTCCAGTGTCATGTTGGAGAATCGTTCAGGAACACGCACATGTAGTAAGTACTACCAGGAGTGGGTGTTCGCTTGCCCAGTAGTGTCGTGACGTCGACTCTCACCAAGCCAGCCGAGTTGTCCGCCGAGACTGATGCCATCCCCTTGGCACCGGTGATGAAGGACCGAGCAGCTCTCAACAAGCGCTCAAGAGGCCAAATGGCCACTATGGGCCACAGGTAGTCCGTGAAGAATTGCGGTTCAACGTGATACCACAATGTTGCAAAGAACACGACAGCCATTAGAATGTGCATCAATAGAAAGCTGTCGTAGAACTTTGCACGCGAAGGCGCGGCCGCAAAGCCCAGGACGAGGGAAAAGAACACGAGTGACACGACACCCATTACCCACCACTCGAGCTGCTGGTAGACGTATTTGTATCTCGTCAGGCCGCCCTTGACAAACTGGTATTTGGTGAAAACTCCGGCGTGGACGACCAGCTCGAGAAACGTGATGCGGGCAATCCAACGGTGGAATTGGTTGAATGTGGCAAAGCTCCATCCAGTGATCAAGATGAGCGGGTTATTTCTCATACTGAATAGCCAGATAAGGGCCAGATTCGCTATTGCCATATCACCGGACCGGCGAGCAATAAGTGATAGGATCTGTGCCTGGTCACCCCGCTCCTTGAAGCTGACATAGATCCAGCTCCCTGGGAGACGGTGTATTTCTACCGCACATAGTATGAGACTGATGACGAAGAAAGCGGCTATTATCAGGGCTTCCAGTCTGGAGGGGACTGGTTGCGCGGCTTTGGCGAGCACAGGTGGTATGCTCAGGTGGGCCCGGACCGGGCGGAGGATGCGAGACACAAACGCCGGTGGAACAACGGATAACCTGGAACCGAGGTTGAAGACCGCCGCGAGTCCCATGACGATGCCCCAGAAGATGTACGCAGCCTCCTGGTGGCTGCGGTTCGTCCATCGGGCCTGTGCCCGGAGCGTCGTGCCCTCCAAAACCAAGTCCCAGAACTTCTCGTCTGCGAGGACGGTGGTGTTGAGTTTCTTGCCCTTCGAGGTTGAGTTGATCGTCTTCGCGTCGGTTGTAGAGATACCGACGAAGCTCGACAGCGGCGGGAGGGCAGGATATCCTTCATGACGACAGGTGTGACTTAGGAAGTCCCACCCGGGCTGGACATCTCGCTGCTCGCAGTAAGATTGGGCGCAGATGTACAACGACTGCAGATGGAGGTCGTTGGTGCAGGGCTCCGCTTTGGCATCTTCGTTGGCTGACGAGGGCACGAATGTCTGTTTGTCGAGGGTGTGCTCGCAGGCCGAGAGGCAGACTTCGTCACGCTCCGGATAGGGCTCACCTGCCCGGGACAGGCCCAGAAGACTGCCGAAAAGGACGAACTTCAATGAGCGGTAGGCCATCGTGTCGGTCTTTGCAAAGAAAGTTGCAAAGAAAGGGAGGCTGGCGACGTGAGCAGCACGTGGGTTGCCCGCAGTTCAAAGGCGAGTGAACACCGGCCGCGACCTGTGCATACGAGACATCCTAATGCGAGGACGTTGGCCGTATTGCTCCGGGGAAGCCAGCTGCCGAGGACTTTCTTGTTAGGTAAGCTTTAGGTTATCTGATCAATTGATAAAATTGCTGGATAATGGCGAAATTCGGAACAAATAAACCTTAATTCTGAGGAGGCTTTCCTGGCTGTGCCCCTGCCAATTCTGTTGGGGTCTCGAGTACCTAGGACTGACTCCTTCGGTACGAAAAGCTCGCATGAGATACTCATCTGCCAGCTGGTCAACTTGCAGTACCATCATGTATCTGGTTTCATGACCCCCACGACAGTGTCTGCACGTGTGAGAAGCCCCTCTTCTTTCATTGAGCACAGCTCCTTGGTAGCCAATGTGACAAGCTTCGGAATCCTTGCAAGCTCTTCTATGTCATGGTCCCGGTCCCCAGATGGAGCCCTACTGTCAAACCAAGTGGGGCAACTTTATTTCCTACCATGGGTCATTCCTAAATAAGGGGACTAGCCTCCATTTTCCGGAAAGTCTGGGTCTTGCCAACAGTTCCAAGGTTCCCAAGTCATGGACTGCCGGCGCACACCACTCCCGGTGCGACATGATCACGACCTGGCAGGGTCTGTAAGGTCTGTAAGGACCAAGACTCACACTGGGATGGCTGATAAGATTTGGTAAACCAGGACGCCACTGATCCACTCAGCCGCCGCGGAAAAATAGACAACTTGTGGGTTGGCACGAGTAGGATGCCTCTTTCGGTAGCAAAGCAGGGCAGGTTTGATTTTTGTACCCGCGCGGAGATCGACGGGACCCGTCTAGTACACGATTCATCACCGCCTCCTGGCGCCTAATCCTTTGCACGATCGTCGGATTGAGTACCTAGGTAGTCGAGCGGGAGAGTAATCCCCGATCAGCGTGCAAGAAGATGGCCATTTTGAACGCCATTCGCAGGCAATTCTCGTGTGTGCACGGTATGTTACAGAATGGGATCAGCTCCTATGGCACCTGGGGAACGCCTCATACAGGACACTCTCCAATAAGACACATCCCTCACGTTCTAAGAAACACGAGCCTTTACCACTGTATGAAGGCGCCACGTACATTTTGTTTGTATGGAGATTAAAAACGAAACCACCTCTAAGAAACACCGATCTACGAGGTAATTTCTCATGGAATAAACTCCAATAGAATGACCTCCCATGCGCGTAGTACTCAAACTATTCCTGCTCGCTGCAGTGTGTAGTGTTGCGACAGACCTATTGACGGCCTCCATATACTTTTCGATTCATCTAAATTTTACGTGTATCTAAAACGCTCAGAGCAATCCATCTTGACGACAACGCCTCGGCTATTCCCACTGAATATCACTGTGTTTGAAGCAGGTTGGGGACGTAGACATGCAGGTACTTGAGATTTTGGCGGTTAGTGATCAAGCAGTGTTGCAGGATCGAGTGACAAAGAAACAGACTCACATCTCTGTAGAGCCCCTCAAGCTTCATTTTCAAGAAGCACTTCAGGTGTACTTGATCTTTGGAGAGATACTGTAGCAGCTCATTCCGAGGGCCGACTGTGGATGCATTGATGACCTCGTTTAGCTCCTCGCGGACAATCGCCCATCCACCATTGCGGTGCAGACCTAGGGACTGGATAAGATGGTTGATGTTGTTGTTGAAAAGGGTGTGGTGCAGGATGTCCCACGCCTCTTCCCGGACATCAGTGGTCACAAAGCTGTCAGGCAAGGCGCTGTAGAGAGTGTAGCCTCTCTCACGGAGTGTTGGCATGTGAATCTTGATGCCGCCAAAGTCTCTGTCGATCAGTCAGCCAGTCATTCAGTCAGTGTATCCATATGAGTGGCTATGAAATGACTCGCACGAACCTCACGACAAATCCAGTAACTTCTTTCGTGGACCTGTTCACCCGCACCATCATGTTCTGACCATGCGCCTCGAGCGCCACGCCAGACTCCAGGGCTGGTGGGATAACGAGGCGCAACAAGGTCGAGACGTATTTTCGTAACCACTCCTTACGCTTCTCGATCGTGTCAAGGCCGAAGACACGCTCCGCACTGCTGATACCCGTCGCAAGGTCGGTCTCGGCGAGGGCGGCAGCAGGGATGAGGGCCTCGCCCAGGGCATTCGCCCGCGGCTCCAGGTCCTCCCTGAGAACGCACGAGATGTGCTTCGCCTCGTCGAAGTCGGCGCCGCTACCGGTGACGCTGGCGACCTCGCGGGCAACCCACAGGTTCTCGGGCAGGAGGTCTGACAAGACCTCCCCCGCCTCGGGACCCACGCATGCAGTCCAAGGACTGACGGTTCGGAGCGCCGAGGTGATGAAGCAGGCCAAGGCCAGCTTAAGCTGGTACGGGGATTCAAGCTCTGGGGCCAAGGAAACCGTCCTCGTAGCGGCCTGGGCGCGCGCGGTGACAGGTGGGGACGGCAGCACCTCGACCCTCGGGAAGCGGGTCGTAATGGCAGGGATCTGGCGCTTTAGACAGGGCACCACGACCGTGCCAGGGATCGTGTTGGTGATGCCCAGCTTCTGCAGAAGGGGTCGAAGACGGGATTGGAAAGCCCCGGTAATGCGTAGATCTGAGGATGGGACTGCGAGGAACTTGATTTCGGGGTTGCGGAGGGAGTGGACGTCCTTGGGTGACACGGGTTCCAGGGGCTCCTGGGCGAAACAGCTCCTGTGCATTGGGTGTGTTGGATGGCCGGTGAGGATGCTCTGCTCCCACACGATGGCTGAGTCGGCGAGGGTTGGCAAGTTTTGATTCCTGGCAAGGTGGAACCACTCCTCTACAACACGAATGTCAGTGAATGGCTTCAGTTATCTCCCACGTGTAATCTGCCGTACCTTGATTTTCAGCGGAGCTTTTTAGTTGCCGAGTGATTGTGTCAATCGCCTCTTGGCTTGTATTCTCGCTCGTGAACCAAGGAGACATCAGTCTGAAGAGCACAGTAGGGTCTGTCTCCGCCACATCTTCAACTTGGCCCTCCTGCTCCCGCCTGATCATAACTGGGACAGACAGCTCACTTGGCTGGAGGTATGGTTTTGATGTGCTTCCCAGCCACTCTCTTGCTGCATCCCCAGTCAGGCCAACTCTCACTACCAGGCCTTTGGTGTCTTTGGACTGCTTTGGCTGGTGGAGGTTGAGGTAGCCGGATTGGTCGACGGATGCATCGATCATGCCCTCGTTAACAAGGCAGGCAATCATTCGACGGGAAGTCTCAAATTGTGCAAACTGGTGGAGCACTTGAGCATGCATTTCCGCATTCGATGACTTGACATCTGCGCCATTGCTAGTGGCTGGTCCAGAGTGTGCCGAGACAACACTCAGTGTGGCGGTTGCAGCAGACATGGTGTTGGTGGTGTGACAAAGACTGACCCAGAAAGAAAAAACAGTATCAATATTCGTGCTACTTGGGGAGTCCAAGACTCAAAATCGGAGTCAGCTGGTAGCCGAAGACCGATTTATATCACGCTGCCAGCTTTTGATTGAAATCACGCAACAACTGTCCTATGATTTTCGGAGCCCCGATTTCGGCTTTTTATAATGATTCTTGTAATATAATTTGACGTCCAGAAGCATTTCTTGGATCAGGGTATACCGCGATGACCGAGCAACATTGTACACTTGCGGTATGTCGGGTCATGTCAGGACCACGAGGGTCAAGGCACGGAATGAGATCGGCCATAGCAGGGCTGTTTGGACATACCTGCACGCCGCACAGTGTCGGCAATTGCCTTAGAGTCAGGCATATTCTAGAGGCCGCCTCTTGTTTTCCGTTTCCGTACATACCAGGGCCGCTGGCGGGTTCTGACACGCTTGAGCGCACGTTTAGCCTGACATGACAGCCCTGGAGCTCCACGTGCGACATTTTCCCACATAATTACCTGTCTCACATTCTACACTAGATCTGGCCCTTGCCGATCCCATATACCATCGTTGCCATTTTTCACTAGTCTCGTTGCCCCTAAACCCCGTACAGTCCCGGGGTGTGATTCACTTCCAAGAAACCAACATTGACCTCGGGAGAGAGTAATCAACCGTAACACAAGTATTTACTAGTATTCACTTTCTGAACTATGGACATCTAGCCATGACGCACGGCAGCCGCCCGGAGCATCTCAAGGGCCCACTGTGGGTTGACAAATACACGTATTTATCATGCATTAGTCAAGGTCGTCCCCATGCGCATGACAGCTTCAGCAGCGGATCAGATAAGATCCTGGTTATCAGATTGTGCAAGGGCAGGGTCGCAGTGGAGAAAAACAAGCTTGTTCAATCTGATAAGTTTAATCAAACGCGCCAAAGCTTATTTGGTTCAGGAAAAAGTTTACTGTTCCCACCAGTCTCCACACCCCGGTCACCAAACCCGTTCCAAGAGTTAAAATGCTACTCCACCTGTTCTAAAGGAGGAAGTACGAGCTTGCAGGACAGGGTTCCAGGCTCGGGCACCCCTGACGTTCACCTTTGGGGTCTCGAACGAAGTGCCCGCTTGTTCTGGCAGCGCGCGTTCTGCTGCATGGGCGGGATCCGACCTCGGTCGCGTCTTCATTCGGTCAGGAGCTGCAGCTCTGCTGGATCGGCGGACACGATGGATTCTTTGACACGCCATTACGACTCAGCTGCCAGGGCCATGAATCAGGGTGCATCTTGTCGGGGTTTACGGACCAAAGGAACGAGGCACATTCGAAGCTGTTCGCACAGGGGGGAAATGCCGCAGGAACCATGGGACGTGGTTTCGGACCTGGCAGACCTTCCTAGCACTGAGCCAGCTGCAAAAGAAAGTGTGATGTTTGATGTGTGGCGAAACACACCTCCAAACAAGGCAGCATGCTACCATCACAAAAGTAGGTAAAAATTCCGAATATTGAGAAGGATCGTGGTGAGATAACATTGCCGTCTACAGTCCAGATGCCGCTGTTGCAAAGGCCCAGACTGCTAGGGAATGGCCTCTCTGGGAGCGATGGTTCGCCACAGCGGTACTGTCGGGCTACAAATTCATCTCCTCGCTCGCATCCTCGACAATGGCCCCGGGGATCGATACAATCTCGGAGGAGTTCGCGATCCATAATTCAGTCGTCAGTACTCTGCTACTGACGGTCTACGTGTTGGGGTATGCAGTAGGGCCGCTGCTTCTCGGCCCTGCCTCTGAGATCTACGGGCGGAAGCCTGTGCTTGCACTGAGCAATCTCTGGTACCTTGTCTTCAACATAGCCTGTGGTCTTGCGAGATCAAGGGACCAGATGATCGCGTTCCGTTTTCTTGCTGGTGTCGGCGGGAGCGGGCCCCTTGCTGTGAGTTGGGCCCTTTGTCACCGCAGCCGAACAATAGTTTGTGTGCTGATGGCAATTCTTCCAGCTGGGCGGAGGAGTGCTCAGCGACTGCTGGAATGCAGAAGAGCGTACTAGGGCTCTGAGTCTGTACACACTTCCAGCATTACTGTACGTCCATTTCGTGAATTGAGACTCGCTTCTTACTGACATGATATCTCCAGCGGGCCGGCACTTGGGCCCATTATCGGTGGCGTTATCATCGAGAATCTGAATTGGCGGTGGATATTCTGGGTGACATCCATAGCCTCTGCTGTGATCCAGCTGGTCGGGCTCGTCCTCCTAAGAGAGACATATGCACCAGCCATCCAGAAGAGGTTTATGAGCAAGTGCCTTACCACGCCTGGTGCTGGAGCCCTCAAAACGGGTGAAGGCGTTACAAGCAAGATTTCCAAGAAGTTGACTACTGCCGTTCGACTCCTCTGCTTTGAGCCCACGATTCAGCTTGTCTCTTTGTACGGCGCATTTTTGTATGGCCTCATGTACATCGCGATCTCTTCCATGACAGAGCTTTGGACGGGAAAATATGGCGAATCGCGTCTAATTTCAGGACTCAACTATATATCACTCGGTCTTGGATTCGCCTTTGGCTCTCAGTCAGGTGCCGTTGCCAACAGATGGGTAGGTTTCTTCCATATATGCCTCCAACGATTCGCGTAGCTTACCACGAGGCTGATTGTTTCCATAGGTCTATCGCAAGCTCAAGGCCAGAAATAACAACAAAGGGTTACCGGAATTCCGTCTCCCTATGCTTGGTTGTTGTGCAGTTCTTGTACCTCCTGGGTTGCTGATATATGGAGTAAGGAACGCCCTCAAATCCTCACCGCAAGCCGTCTTTTGACCATCTTTGCTAAACCAAAACTGTAGTGGACAGCAGAGGCCAAGCTTCACTGGATCCTGCCAAATATTGGAGTTTTCATTTTTGCGTTCGGCATTGTGAACGGATTGCAGATTATCAACCTGTACACTGTGGACTGCTTCACAAGTGTGTCGGCCTCGGCCGTTAGTGCTATCACTGTCACCCGTTCAGTCGCCGGTTTCTTGCTACCTCTCCCGGTTCCCATCATGTATCAACGCCTCGGCTATGGTTGGGGCAACACACTCTTGGCGCTGATAGGAGTAGTCCTGGGCTTTCCTATACCGCTGCTCCTATGGTGGCATGGCAGAAGGAAGAGAAATGGGATACTCTCGGAGGATTAACTGTCTTAGTGTTGCATTGTCGTGATTAATAGCAGCTTACATAAATTAATTAAAAATACCATACCGATTTCAATACCCTAAATTTAATATATACTAATAAGGTTACTTCTTAATATATTAAGTATACTTAATATAATATAATATATTTTAAAAAGTTAGTTAAAATTAAATATTATAATTTTTATTAATTATTAATAAGTAAAACTAATTTTATATATTATATTATAATATTTTATTATAAATTCTTTCTTATATCTCTTATTATATAATTAATTTAACCCTTTTAAATATAAGGCTAAAAGACCTATAATTATAATTTTATAATTAGTTTTTTATTTAATTATATTATATTATTATAACTTTATCTAGTTTCTAGCTTTATTTAAACCTTTTTTTAAGCTTTTTTAGTATTTTTCTCTCTAAGGGAGTTAAATTTAAAAGGGAGCCTTTAAGTTTAAGTTTAAGATTTTTGTAGATTTTAATTTCCTTTAAATTAAGTTTATAATCTCTTAGTTTCTCTAAAAATATATTAACTATCTTAAATATTAATAACTTCTCTTTAAAGTAAAGGTCTACCTTTATATAATTATAAATCTAATTATTAATAACCATTTCTTCTTCTATTTATAAGCTATTAAAACTATAAATCTAAAGTAGTAATAGAGTGTAGTTACCTTACCTAAAGGTTATCTCTTAGTTTAACTAAACAACTACTTTTAAATAGTTTTACTTACAATATAGTAAAGCTAATAGATAGGTATTTACTTAAGTAGAGCTAGAACCCTTAGGGGAATAACAGCTTTATCTTCACCTATTTTAGCTAACTTAGAAGGCCTGAGTTATATAGTAACCTTATATATAGTACTTAATGGTGTTAAGACTAAACAGCCTACAATCCGCAATAGCTTCAACCTTTAACGGGCTAACAACGCCAACCCAAACCGGCACAACCTAGCGCACTAACATAAAAAGGCGTCTTCTAACAACAAATAGCATTATAGATGTAAATTATAAAGTCACTATAAAAAGTCCTATATAATAAACTTAGCTAAGCTAATCTTTAAAAGATATATTATATCTTATCCCTTTAAAACCCTAACTATTTACTTCTAGTTTAATAATAGAATTAAAAAAATATATAAATAATCTATATAATTAATTTAATATAAAACTTATAAATATTAAATAAAATAAATCCTTATAATACTATATAAAGACGCTTTAACTAAAAGATTATAATTTTAAGTTACTTTATAATTTAAAATCTAATATTTATAAGCTCGTACCGTTACACTAAACTAACTTCCCTCTATAATAACACCTTTATTCCCTACTTTAATAGTTAGAATACTTTTACACCTGGTTTAGACCACAGCTATACTAGTTGCAATTCCAAACTGCTCTTTAACAAGTTGAAACCTTGGGAAGTTGAGGAGCTGTTCTCTTTTTATCAATTCGCCACCGCCGTGTACGATGAGATTTTCAGCCGTATCGAGTATGAACTGCGGCTAGATAACCTTAGATTCGCTGGCCAACCCCTCCCACCACTCACGCTAGAAGGAGCCTTACGTGTTCTGGGATGCGGAGAGGTTGGACAGATGTGGCGGGAGGGACCTTGTGGAAAGACAGTGGAGTGCCATTGGCTTTTACACGTGGACCGGTCAGGATCCTAGGGATTACATAGCTTGAGTATGGTGAGGCGTAGAGCCAAATGACACATGCTTCATGTCAACAAGTCGGTACGGCTGCACAAGATTGGTTTCGTTCTTGTTACGTATACGTGGTTTCGCTTCTATTCCGTGTATGTCCGAGGATATATATGGCGCTTTCATACGGTAGTAAGCACTCAAGACCTAGCGCTTAGAAAGAATACGGTGTCGATAACGATAGTTATAATACGATAGGTGCTTGTAGCCTTAGCCTTGCGACGTACAGATAAGGCTAAGGGGCACTCTTGACGTGTTGCGTATACGTCCGAAGTCATCTGCAACGCCTTCACTAGGTATTGGCAAAGGCTGAAAGACCCAGCATTTGAAAACCATACATGGCTACATACAACTTGCACCAAACTGTCCAGTATATCCACAGAAACAATATACGAAAATGAAACTCTTCTCTTCAGACTGCTAATCCATCTTGACAACCTGTATACCGTAACATTACCAAATAGTAGCACCAAAAAGTTGCACAACCTTTTGCAGAGGTTTGGTGATAGTGCGGTACTAAGGCATTTAACATGTCAATCTGGAGATGTGCAGAAGCATTGAAACCAAATATTGCTTTCAGTCTAGAACGCTACCGATTGTATATCTCCAACGCGTTTCCATTGATCAGCTCAATCCCGTCTTTTCGGAAATCATCCACTTCCGTGTGACTTGTGACATTGGCATCGAACACGAAGTTTGTCGGGTTGTCCACAGAGTATCTCGACCACGCCGTCGAATTTCCCATCCCGCCTACCCACGCGGCATTTGGATCAAGATCACTGATAAAACTGACCCAGCTGCTCGACATCAACCGCGCCAGCTCATAGTGACCCTGCGGCATCCCCTTAAAGGGCAGCACGTCGGGCCTAAACCCGGTGCCAAGGAAGTTGCGGAACACGTACCCAATCTTCTTGAAGTGGCCCGCGCCAACCTCAGGCGGCACGCCGTGCGGGATCGCGTTGAAGCGGAACGAATACGCGGACAGGCCGTTAGCAGCCCACGTCGCAGCTGTCTGCCGCCGTTGGGCTATGAAGTTGACGTCGCCATAGTACGACGCGCTCCGGCGGAACTGGGCCCCATATGGCAAAGCCGGCCGCTCGTCGCCGAGGCTGGCTACCACGTTCACAGAGAGATCATCGGGATATGCCTCGAGTATCTGGTCTTGAAACTGGGCTGGGAGGCCTGCAAGAGTGGCCTTGAAGTCTGCCGTGGTGCTGATGCCCTGCGGGCCGAAAGCCGCCCCTTCGTCACTGTTGGCGCCGACGATGATCGGCACACGTACGAACTCCCCGCGCTGGAGCTGCACGCTGCCGTAGTTCTGAATAATGTCCCCATCAATGACAGGGTTGAGGTTCCCGTGCGCCAAGTACAACGCGCCCAGAGTGGCGTTGAGCTGTTCGAAAGGTACCTGCTGCAGGCACTGTACCGGGCTTGCTGTGGAGTTGCAGCCTGTGCTGGCGGTGATCTCGTCGAACTGGGCCTGGTATACGTCCGGTTTCTTCTGGGCCGAGTAGAAGATAGGATTGCCAGACTGCATTATCGCCGCCCGGAAGAGGTTGTCGTTCCTCCCAGCGTATGCTGTCAAATGCAGACCCACACTTGCAGCACCAGACGATTCTCCAAATATGGTGACTTTGGTATTGTCGCCCCCGAAAGCTTTGATGTTTTCTTGTACCCACTGGAGTGCGAGACGCTGGTCGCGGAGACCAGTGTTGGTCAGCCCCTCACTCGCGAGTTCATTGGAACTCAAGAAGCCTATCAGTAATAACCTGGGTTAGATAGAGCTTCCCATTTAAATTCACAGGGACTGATTCTGGACACGCAGTACGTACCCCATGCGTGTAAACGGTAGTTGATGGAGACGCCGATGAATGGCTTTCCAATCTTGACAGACTGGTCAACGATGAAGGAGAGGTTGTAGCGCTGATCTCCACCGCCCCCATTGGTGAAGCTACCTCCATGGATCCAAAGTCCGACCGGGAGAGACTTTCCTGTGTAGCCTGAAGGTCGTACCACGTTGAGCGTGAGGCAGTCTTCTGACTGGCTGTAGAATGTTTGGTCGAGCTGGGACCTCAGTCGTCAGCCATTTTGGATAGCACTGACCAGGATAAAGTTCCTAGTAGACACAGTCAACTTACACCATAGCCGACGCACAATGGCGAGTAGTTCCAGGCTTCTCGGGCGCCCTCCCAAGTGTCATTCAGAGATTGCGCTTGTCGAAAACGCAGGTCCCCAACCGCAGGCTGCGCATATGGCACGCCAAGGAAGAAGTCTTGGTCATACTCGGCAGAGTAACGGCCAATGTATGTGCCGTTCCTCACCTGTGCTGTTGGCGCATCCGTCGCTCCACCTATCACTAACGTGCAAAGCGAGAGCACGTGTAGCAAGTCAAGAGTTGAATACATCTTGTCAACCATCCATTGGAATGTGAGCTGAGTGTTGTGTGGGAAAGCATTTTTCTCTCCAGGCTAACATAATCGTCTTCTCCTCCTCTTTACTCTTGATAATTTTCCTCGGAAAATCGTGCCTATCGTATTGCGAATGGGGCATTTTGCTAGGGTTGTGACTCGTGACGTCCAACTGTAGCTATCTTAGCGATGAGGGGAACCTGACAAAGTGTGGAGATTTTCACAAAGATTTTGTTGTTCGTCCGTTGGTCCGTTGGTCTGTTGGTCCATTATCTAGGGCTACCCTCCGCGCAACGATTGTGTCTCTGTCGGGTTTTCGTACTGCGCCGCACAAAGGCAGCCGCTGTATTGGTGCGCTGTCATGCCATGTTCCATTAGAATCTACATGCAGTCGGGTTTTACTAAGACCACAGCAGTTTTGAAGTAAAGACATCAATTATTTGCAAGGTGCGCTTCTATTGAACTTGCAGTTATGTGAAAAGTACTTGTGTACTCTCTGGGGTCGGCATTACAGGTATTAGCTAACTCAGTGTTTTGTGGTAAACACTGCCAATGCCAGTGGGGATCGGATGGGTCTTCAACGATTCATGAAAAGATAAGAGCTTGGCCTGGGTAGGGCTTCAACCACATTATATTTTTTATTCAACTATATATTTATCTATTCATTGTTTTTTTAGCTTTTAGACTGACTATTAGCTTATACCTTAAGTATAAAGTTAATAATTACTTAATATATACCCTTAAACTTATCTATATATAAAATTACTAACTTCCCTTATAAGGTTTCCTCTTCCACTATATTCCTTATATATTATATAAAAGTAAATAAATCTTTAATAATAAAATAGTATACTTAAAGAAGGAAGATTTAATTCTTAGGTATTTAAACTTTTACTTTCTTTATATAATATTTATTTAATATATAATAAATAAACTCTATTTAACTTTTAAAAGAGTTTTAATTTTTTATAAAATTTATATAAAAGGTTTTCTTAAATAAGTTTATTATTATAATATTACTATTCTATTAATAGTTATATACTTAAAATAGAGATTATACTAATTTATTTAATAAAAATAGATTTAAATAGCTATATAATAAATATATTAATAAAGAAAAGTTAGCTTATTAAATTTTATATTATAGAATTCTTCTTTTATAAAGACTATTTTAAAAGACTATTTTAATCTTACTATATAACTACTTTACTAACTTTAACTCTTATATTATAATAAATTAACCTTTAAACTATTTATATTAATAATTCTAGTGTAGCACTATTAAGAGTAATACCTTCTAACTTTATTTATATAGTATAAAGTTTAGTTATATATCTATATACTATATTTTCTTTCTACTATTATGAATACTATATTTCTTTAAATATTAGATTTTAAGTGTTTACTACTATATAAAGGCGTTATATATATTTTATATATATAGAGATTAAAAACGAAACCACCTAGCCTGGGTAGTATACTGACGGTCACTTGGAGTAAGTTTAATAAGACAATCCCGTATGTTCGATACAGAGCAGAGGTAGACATCTTTCAAGTCGATCAAGTCCAAAGTTTATCATCACTTCAACAACAGCCATAACAACAACAAGGAGCGGCCCCTCCTTTTCCATTAGAGAGAAACCAGTAATCAGCGAGCTACGCGAAGGCCGAAACAGACCCAGAAAGGTAGAGCTAAATACGAACAAGAAGCAGCGAGCACGAAGTTGCGGGACTGGGATTGGTGGAACGTTGGAGGGTTGTTTTGTTTCTAATCCCCATGAATTTTATACATATCAAACGTGTGTGGCGCATTTAAATGGTATCAAATATTTGATGTGGAAGAGCCTGTGGGGTAACAAAGTTGTATTGGATTTCTGTGGGGTTGGGTGCTACGAGAGCTATCTGCAAAAGGCGTGTGATGCCTGAAGAAGGTCGCCCAGGGATCCGTAGCTAACCTCGTGGAAGTTGCTGGTAACCATTCAAGCAATCACGATTCTGAAGGCGGCGTGAGCTCAGAATTGTGGGCTTATGAAGATTGTGTATCAACAGCCGGAGGTTCAACTTCTGGTCCTTGAATTCAGAACACCTCCACCTCGATATTAACCGTGACCGGAGGCGCAGTGTGTGTTCGGGTCTTGAACAAGTTGACAAGGTCTATTTTCAGTTGTTCAAGTTCATCTAGACGGTCTCTCAAGTCGCCGCATCCGCAAACTCTTAAAAAAGGTTGCGATAGCCGTAGAAAGGTTGTCAAGGAGACTCGTCCAGTTCCGATAGCAGAGCCGAGATATCGTGGGAGTCTGCAGGTACAAAGGTCGAGATTGGCGACAATGGTTACTCTTCTGAGTCTGCGATGCGCCCGAAGGATTTGACGATCGAATGGTCCCAATGTTTGGTGAGCAGCCGACTTGATGAGAACCAGCCTCTGGATTTTATGAAACCAGTGAGACATCCCTGGTGATTGGGACGCGGAGGTCATGGGAAGGAGACCGCCCACACCCTGAAGGTATTGGAGGAAATCCGGACTTCCTCTGCTGGGGGCGAAGCAAAACGAGTCGTTCTTGAAGTTGGCCCAGATGTAAGTAGGGTTGGTCATAGCATCAGGCACTTGGATATCTACGAATGATGCTGCGGCGAGGACTTGGTCCCGGGAAAGCCAGTTCTGGTCCAAACTGCCACTTCCCGGAAGCTGAATCTTGGTTTGAGGGGCGACCGCTGGGTCGGGGACTTGTGTCTGATCGGGGTCGCCCGCGTTTGCGAGGGTCGACACGCGCATATTCGTGTACTGATCAGCTCCGGCGTACAGACGGCCTGGCCAGATTCTCATGGTGCGGAAGTAATGCCGATGGTGCGGCTGGGTGTCCTCGTAAAACTCCCAGATTTGGAGTTGCAGCTCGCGGGGAAGATCGCTGAAGCGATGGAAATGCTGTAGTGTCGACATGCCGAGGTTGAACAAAGATAGACCAAAAGGGGTGTGAAAATCGGAGACTCTGCTGGCGAACTGTCAATCACTGGCTGGCGACACAGGTTATTTATTGGGAATTGCATTGTAGGAGGGGGCTATAAGGCACCAGAGTTAGCTTCCTCGTTGCTCAGGCTACATTGTGATGCTTGTGACAAAGCCAAAAAACCCGAATCTTTGAATCTTTTTGAGCCTAGCAGTGAGTCTCCGAACTGGTATACATGGGCAATCATGCCTTGCACAAAGGTCACCACAGCAGATTCAGTAAGGTAGCAACAGCTTGCTCGTGTATTACCCGTAACTTCCAAGGCCCTGTCTTAGAGACTTTTCCTTGAATGAATAACCCCAAATCAGGTACCGCTGCCTGATTATTTTAAAATTTCTCGAGATGTATTCAAGATTGCAGACAGATAAGTCCAGATGTCTCTAGTTTTTATCTGCTGTGAAATGGTCCTGGGATCCTGAACATACTCAAAAAACTTCTCTGCCACAATGGCTTTTGAAAATACAATATCGAATTCATTGACTACCTTTCCACTTTACTCCTCAATTCCATATTTACTAGCCCCATTCCAACAAAATTATATGAGCCTGTACTGAAAGGCTGGGAGGCACCTTTATTAAGCACCAATCCCGGCTTTGTTGGCCATCGCCCTGGAATGAACTCAGTTGGCCGTATACAATTCTTTTCATTATGATTGATGGAATATTGAGCTATGTGGAACGATAGTGTTGCCTAGAATGTGCGTCAATCAATGGCCATGCCTTCAGATGAGCTGATACACTGCGAACCAAAGAAGATCGAGGGACAAAGCCGCACTGGCATGGACTCTTGAATCAACGTATCAAGAATAGGTCCGGGACATCCGCATGAGTAGTCTGCCCAGTTATCCCGATGTTTCTAAAGGACGACGTGAGTATATTTGGGGACAATGTCTAGGTGCATGCAAGTGCTTTGAGGGAGGTCGCTTGATATTGATCTCATCAATCTCTGCAGTCTGGGTGAGCAAACGCGCATGATCCCTCTGAAAGATTTAACTACTGCTGTTTATGGTCCCATAAGCCTCGAATAATCAATTATGCTTCATATCGATGCCTGCCTTCCTATACGTCCCACGTATCAGCCGTACTGAAGGGTGTTTTGCATGTCTTGTCACCGCAATGCAACGTGAACAGAACCCTGGGAAGTCTTACTTCCAGCCACATGAGTCAAAAAAAGCCCCGCTCTCTCGAAGGCATAGTACATTTTCGATGAGGCCAAAATGTTGCGGGTCCATAGAGCTGATATGAGCGATGGAAAACAGTTCTGTCTGGAGAAAGACACTGTCGCCTCACCAGCAGGATGGTAAAAATACCTGCACCTTGCCAGTGGGCCAACACCGTCAAAGTGGCCTTCAGCGTCGATATAGGCCTCGAGACTGCCTAGAGCGGCAACGAAGCTCTCGCTGTTAGTGGACCTATTTAAGTTGTCATGGTAAGAATAGTGTTGATCCGATCGATGAAAATTCAGTACTCTTAGGCCCATAGCCTGTCGACCAGAGTTGTAAAATGAGTCATCCCTGCGCTGTGGTGTGCAAATACTTCGAGAAAGTTCTAGAAAATCTCAGCATTGTGTTTTGATGAACACGGTTTCAGCACTCTAAACTTAGCTTGCTACTCCCCACCCAAACATTTCTGTCCATCCACCTCAGTACTGCCATTTGACAGGATGGAGGGGGGACGCAATATTATGTGAGACGATGGAAGTGTGGTTACACAAACATAGCCTCCAATATCCGAGCCCCAGGGCTCATTTAACGGTTTAACTTGTGCACTTCAGCGTCTACCACCGCCTGAAGGCACCATGTATGTCCTCAGACGTATGCGGAATAGAAGCGACACCAGTTGACTTGTGCACTCCTTCAGAACACACCAGTTTGCCTGTGGATTTTGTGTTCGCTATTCTGAAGTCGGCTGTGCCGTAAGTGCAAAGCAATAATATCTAGGTATCTTTTGAGTGCGCATCGATCGCTTGCTGAATCCAACGACTGCCTTGCTATCATTGCCACAATTCTCAGCTCGAATGTTCAGCTCCAATGCTACCAAAACAAGGAGGGTGCGTGACTAGGTGCCTATACAGTTTAGTGCGAGTGGGGAGGTAGTGCATTAAATCTGTCAATCCTCCCGATTCGTTCTCATTTATCAACCAGCTGGCCCCCAAGCAGCATGCGGCAGCTCTAGACCAGTTGACCTGCACCAGTACGCCTTGCCTGGCTCGCCCCCCAAAAAAAAAAAAACGGGATTTCAATCTTGCAACGTGACACTTATCTATCAATCATTCTTGCTGTAGAGCCTTGGACGGGGCACACTTTCTAGGTGAGGCGAAATTCTAACCGATCATTTCCATGGCTTATCTCTTGATCCTGCACTTTTTCATCTTCATTATTGGCCATGATATACCGAGGCTGTGCTGAAGGATCATCCAGGTGGGCATCTAGCCCGAAGCACAGTGTTGGGGGCTGCACTTGAGCAGCCATGGCCGTTCAAGTCGAAAGAGCTAGCAGATCGATACATGTAGATTTAATATGATCTTATAAGTATGTCTCACTTTTTGAAACCTGACATCCGTTATAATTTGCACCTATGTCTCATAACAACGTTTTCTCGGACCCAATCATTAACTTGGTGAAGCCGCAGCGCATGACAGCGCCACAGAACTATGGCGAATGTAGGCTACAGTGATTTTGAGTTCACGCCGGCAAAGACTGCCGGCTCTTTGCCGACATATTCCTCTTCAACAACATCTTCCTCTTCGACAACCTCTTCCTCTTCGACAACCTCCTCCTCTTCAACAACATCTTCTTCAACATCTTCTTCAACAACCCCTTCCTCTTCGACATCGGTAGGGATCAGTACATCATCAACCTCGTGTACTTCCCTACCAAGCTTCACACCTTCCTATAATGCGACTCAAAGCACCGCCTCCCATTTCACATCTTCCTATATTGCATTTGCGACTCAAAGCGCCACTCCCCAGTTCACATTTATCGAACTTCATGACGCTGAGAAGATCTTTCCACTCAGGGAGGAGCACTTCCTTAGGACAGACTTTGAGAGCATCTGCGCGACAAATGATTGTTAAGCGGACTGCTTCAACATGACAAGAGTGTTTACTGCAAGCGAGGGTGCCCTGGGTAACAGCACCGATGGCTACGAACAAGACATTCCGGTCACTCTCTTCGGTATCTGCAGTAACCTCGCGAACGCAACCGAATCTGCGACACGGAACAGCGATGAAAGAACCGCATCCTTCTTCCCGAGAACTGTCGCTCAATTATCCAATGACGGCGACCTCCTCGCAGCGAATCTCACGACCTGTCTCGCCACCACTTGCGAGATGACAAGGCGCCCGTCCGAATGCTTCGACTACTGTGGGCCAGAAAACCTTCTCAAGTCTCCGACCGAATTTGACTTCAGTGCCGGCCTGTTTACGTGTGCCCAAAAACTTTGCAGCAACACCTGTGGGCTACCGTTCGCAAATCAAGATGTTTTTGGAAGTGGGGTACGCACTACACCAGGGTTATATAAAGCGTCTAAAAGATCCTAAGTTTGCTAATATATACCAGGTCCTGATATCATACTATATTCAAGCTGTTCTGCTGCTTTTGTTGGCCGGGGCTGTTCTGGTGTCTGCCGCCTGGCAGCTTTTTCGATATGGTTCATCTCCACCAGTCATGGGCAAACCGACTCAATCTGTGCTCAAGAAATTCTTGGCTACTGAGTGTTACTTTGGAGGTGAGTTCTGATATCGATGCCCATTGTCGTTCTGGTCACCAAATTGACTCTCCTAAAACAGTAACGGCAGCAATCGCTTCTTTCTTCATGTTTCCAGATGAAGTTGACCCCTTGAATGGCTACGCACTAGTGGCGGTCTCACTGATGGGTTGCATCGCGCCAGCTTTCACCCTGCTGCTACTCCATAGCCATGGCATCAAGTCATGGTCCAGCACCGTTCTATGCCTGGCGAGCTGGCTTCTGAATACTGTTGTCTTCTACATGCTATTCGGCAATCTGAGAAACTCATTGAACACCATCGAACGAGTTGATCAAATTCTCCGTGGTTTGTTCCAAACTGAGTATTGTGGTAACTCGTCTGCCATGGTGCTCTGTCAAGAATGGACGGGCTCAAACCCCATGCAATATCTTTCACACTTTTACAACGAAAACTCGGTCATTACCATTCACAATGTTCCAGTCTTTTGGGCATATGTTACTATCGTACTTCTCATACTTGTGACCATGCAGGTTCTTGGACAACGCCGCCGGCCTAGTCCTATGAGCTTTACACCTACCAAGGAGGCTAGACCGACGCAGAAGCGAACCGTCATCGGAAGGATCACCCACCTCTCACCTCGATTTGGGAAGTTTTTACTTCTTTTGACAGCAACCATCCTATTTTGTCTCGCACTTGGCTGTGTATATGTTATGGTTTCAACCTACGCCAAAATGGACGTCATCGACATGCACGAGTGGAGTTTTGGTCAAGTCGTCGCGGTCCTTATCTGGGCGCCAACCCTATTAGAGGCAGTGGAGTCATATTATGGTAACTGCAATTTTTGCGCCAAAATGAGATAACATGCTAACTTGTGTGCAGGGAAAAAGCACACTTCGGGGACACGGACGAGCCTGAATCAGCCCATGCCAATCCCACCGCCGCAAATTTCCGAGTCCCGCCGGCTTCTGGCGCACCCTTGAGCACTTCCCTGGGCCCCGGGGGTTGTCGATATCAGCGCTCACCTCCGAAGTAATCATGTTGTCGATAAAAGCTCGTCTAATGTGTAACCTCGGATTCATCTAAGTCTGGAGGCTCCGGTAGAGGCTGTTTTTTTGGGGCGGGTGGCTTCACTTTATTACTCTCGGATGTCCGGTAGGGTGCCGGCACATATGTAAGTATCGTAACACTCAATGCGGTAGTTCCGAATGAACCATGGTTTGCAGAAGAGTTCTTAAACGCCATACATGGGAAGACTAGCCGTAATTCATTTGAACGCAAATTGCTTATTGTCCTTGTACGGAATATACTGTCGTCGTAGCTTGGTAGGGGTGTGCACATAGCAACAATAGTCTATTCCTTGGTCTAAACAACGGCCTACCAGTGAATCATGTTTGTTCTTATTGCAAAAGACACCTCAGCGGTCGCTATCGATCGCAAAGAGCTTCAAGTTACGTTTGTGTAGACGGGGAGCTAGCAGGGAAACCTAGCCACGGCGTAAGCTTACTGCTGTCCCATGTCATGTGCCCCCGGAACCCACAGCTGTGTGCAACAGTACGGGACCACGATATCAGGATGTGACTGATAGGCAGGATTTCTGGATCTAGGCAGGTCGATGCGGGGTCGGACAACAATCTTCCAACGGCGTTGTGGTGTTCATATACCCCGGTGCAACTCCTCATTTTAGGGTGTCAGGCATGTGCGCCGTTGGAGAAAGACATAGGTTCCATATCACGATGCGTCGATCTGCTGTGGCCGCCCATTATGCAGCTTTTGTTGCAGCGTTGCAAAGTCCTGATGTCTCGGGCAGCTGTCAGGACCCGCTGGTTCGCAAGGAGTGGTATGTTGAGTGGAATTTTCAATGCATCCAACGGACTAGCATTATCGTGCTGATAATATTTCCTCAAGGAGAGATTTGGACGGAACTCAGCAAAGGTCCTACATCGATGCAGTGCTGTGCCTCCAAAACGTACCGGCAAAGTCTGGACTGGAGCCAGCAAGGAACCGCTTCGATGACTTCCAGGCAATCCACAGCAACCAGACTCCAACAATACACTGGGTGGTGTGTCGTCTCCGAATTTGGAGGAACCAAGGGCCGTTAAGCTAAGCAAAGACAGGGTCACTTTATGCTCTGGCATCGATATTTCCTTGCAACCTATGAGAAGTCTCTAAGAGAGGAGTGTGGGTATGAAGGCGGTCAACCGTGAGTATTCAAGTATACACTGGCGCTAGGATTATTAGGCGGATTCAACTGAGACCTACAGGTACTGGGACTGGTCACTCGATGCCTCATCGACGAACAACGACAGCACTGCCATCTACGAGACCGCCATTTTCGATCCCGACTCCGGATTTGGAGGAAATGGACCTTATGTGGAAGCCACTGCTGAAGAAAATCCCCTGAATCTCAGCGGCCACACTGGTGGCGGCTGTGTCGCCAACGGTCCCTTCGTCTACCCGGATTTCAAGATCAATGTTCCTTCGACCGGATGCCTCAAGCGCGACTTCACACCATGGATCATGAACTACTTCGGTCAGCGAAGCCTGGTCGATCATGTATTGAGTCAGCCTGACTACACCAGTTTTGCATTCGCTATTGAGAATCTTCGGAGCTTTGACCAGCCAAACATCCATGGAAGCGGCCACTTTGGCGTCGGGGGTGTCTTGGGTACCCTCGGAAACGTTTATAACTCACCAGGAGGTAAGATTTGACCGTTGTTGAGTACTGAACCCAGATTCCAAGTACGACTTTTTTAATTCCACTTTGCCAGATCCTCTTTTCTACTTGCATCACGGCAACCTGGACCGAGTTTTATGGGAATGGCAGTCCAAGGACTGGCCCGTTAGACTAAACCAGGTTGGGGGACCCATCACCCCGTTGGACTATGGAGGCAAGAATGTGACTCTGGATTTTGAAGTGAACATGGGTGCTCTTGCTGAGAATGCTACTCTACACAACCTCCTCAACCCAATGGGAAAGAAGTTGTGTTACACGTACGAGTAAATAACTCAAAGCAGGAATTTTCACCAGCCCAACTTGTTGAAAAGAGGTATCATGTCGAAGGCACAGAATTGCTCCTAGCTTCTGTGTCATTCCGGCTGTGGTGTACTTAATTTCCAGGGCAGAGTCATGCTTTCATGTGCTCCGCGTAGTTAGTAGTGGTTTGGTACAGGAATCAGGTCATAGGGTGGAACAGCCGCAACCGTGTTTACTACAACAATGAGCACATTATCATTGAACCACTGTAGCTTACCTGTCATCTGCTTGGTTACATTCTCGCAGCAGATTCCTTCAGGGGACGGTATGCCATCAATGACAAGGCATTATTATACCATTGTATGTCAATACTATTATCGTACCCAAGTTGCCCATAGTCTATGCTTTATTACAAGTAAGTTGACGCAAAAAAGCTCAAATTATTTACAGGTATCCCAACTCTTGACGCCATTCTTCAAATGCCAATCTGTGAGTTTTGCCAGAAGAACTGGGTCAATGCCACGGTTTGACTTAAAGAATATCGTTTCATATGGATGGATGTTGGTACCATAGTATCTCCTGTCGTACAAAATATCTTCAAGCTGCCCATTCTTGCAGTAATTCTCTACGTCGGAACCTGCTGAAAGCTCGTAAGCTGTCATCAGAGCATCGACCTTGTAGCCTTGGGAAGTAATAAGCCTTGTGGACCCAATCTCGGAATGGACTGCGGCTTTCATTGTTTCGTGACAGAAACTGAGCCCGACCGGATCGTTTATTGTGCCCCAGTAATCTTCCTGGGGGACAGTGTAGGCTAGTCCTGGGTCCAAGAGGATTCCCATACCAACGTCATCCGTAGCCCAGAGCATTGATTGGACATGTGGCGATGGCTCGCAGTTGACGGTGGTACCAACTAGTTTGATCGTTTCGGTGATGCGGTTGAGAAAGATATCTGACCAGCAGGATGTCCTATCATATCGTGGCAGAAACGGGCCTTTAATACTAGCGTTCATGGTGATGAATCGCTTATACTGTTTCCAGAGATCGTCTTTCCGTAGGATTTCGCCCATAGCGCCCAAGTCAAAACATTTGTTCTCTCGCTGGATGACCTTCACATTCGGGTGCTCGGGAATGAGAGAGAAGGCGTCAGTCTCGCCGTTAAATATGAAGATGAAATCTGCCCCACCGTGCAGACCTTTCTCCAGGAAAAATTTAAGATTTTCCCGGGCCGTCTCAGACTCCGCGTAAGCATAAAGTATAAGCGACGTGAGACTGGTGTTTGTAGCCTCGGGCAGAGCTGGTTTATTAGCGTCGGGGTCGGCTTGGGTGATTTGGGAGGCGTATCCAAGTCCTGAGGCCTTCAACGCGGTGGACATGTGAGCTTGCAACGCACGTGCGACAGAACGAGGCTCACTTGGGTCGTGCGACTCACCACACCAAGGCTCTCTCGGAACATGAACAGCCAGATGACTGCAGATATGAGCATCCCCAGTAGCACCACCCTCCAATAGGTTGACACCGGCAACATGGTGCCTCTAGAAGGAGCGTCACCGGAATTCCCGCTAGTGGTGAGTGATCGGATGAGATGTTGTGATATCGAGCAATGGTGTTTCGGGAGGAATGGAGATAGGCGAAACGACGGTATCTTGGTGCTTAAGTAGCCACCTTTTTTTGTAGGGTTAAGCATCCTGCGTTTAAGCTTTGCAGCCCCTGAGGTCGGCGAAGTTTGGAACCCCTGGGGTCCGTGGTGGGCCCCGTCAGCGCGCACTGATCCATAGTCTGTGACAGGCAAGACTGAGGGCACCCCCTGGTCTATTCGAAACCCATGTACTGCCAAAATCCGCCGTAAAAACACAAGAAGTCTATAAATAGATACCTACAGTCCCTATCTAAATACAAAATTTTGAAATTGAATCGCTCAAACCACTACTTTTTTCTCTTTTGTTTTTGGAAAAAAGAGATAGAGTTCGCGCTAATTTCTTCGATTGACGCAAATTCTAGTGGCACATGCATTTTCAAACACAACCAGGGGGCTCTAGTCTCGCTTGTCAAACAACATCTTTGCGCCCAGGAACGATTCAGACATGTCTTCAACGGAACCGAATGCTTATCTCATTACTGCGCTGCTGCCTTTGTCATGCGTTAAGGCGTTAAGGCCTCTTGCTGAGTCGCATCTTGGCTGAGGCGCGCAATTTCTCTCCAGATATGGGTCCCCAGAGAAAAAGACACAACTGACTGCTGCCAATCACTCGAACGTAGGCAGTTAATCCCTCATTCGTGAACAATGACTGAATTCATACAGCATTCGACGTCTTATCGATATCCACTTCTGTTCGGAGTCAGTTCACCGTTGATCCGCAACTGCTCATGCTCCCAGCAGAGCAAGACGGCTGGTCTGACCCCGAGCCGGTGCTTTCCGGGATTATCCCAGTCCAAGGGCACCAGTGGCCTGCTCTCAGCCATGGCGACGCTCTTGTTACCTATTCTAGTGACCAAAACACTCACCACACAACCGGTAAGCAAGTCGTCAATATTAGTAGCCTATAGTTACGAATACTAGAAAAAGATATAACTTATTTAGCAAGTTATAATCTACTTATTTAACTAGGCTACAATCACTTAAATACTAGTACTATCTAATAAAACTAATATAAATATCTATAACTATAAATAAAGCTTCTTTTATATAATCTTAAACAACTATTTACAAGGAGTCTATAATACGAACTGTACTACTACATATGAGGCGGATAGTATAAATAATATAGATATATTTACTATAACCAGCAGCTCCCTAATGGCCTACTAGCCCTACTGTGCCTATGCAGATAAGAATGACAAGCTGGCTGTGGTACGCGACGAGCCATATGCCGAAACAATATTCGCACCATCATCAAACTGGTCAATTAAATCTCCGGGAAAAGCGGTCATGAAGGGAATCGGATTGGCTGTCGTCCCACTAGCTTCTAATATGACGAACCTCTTTGGCAATGGAGGATACATCGTGTTTTATGAAGACGGCGATGGAAACCTAGCTTACATGCAGCCCGGCAGAGACACTGCAGCTACTGGCAACACGCTGGTAGACAGTTGGCCCACTAGTAAGTCGATGATACTTAAGTCGAGAAAGTCCCACTAATATGTACCCAGACGCAAAGTTCCCATCAATCAGTCTGACCCCTGGCGGCTCCTTCAAGGCCTTTACCACAAGACGGTCAGATAGCAGCCAAGGTCGTGTGAACACATATTTGCTGTATCAAGAGATTTCGTCAAGAGTTAGTACGGTATACCTCGATAACGACATACCTCAATAATGACACCAATTGTATCACAAAACAGCCCGATGCTCTGAGCAGTGTAGACAATGGAATCGATAGAGCTTGTCTTACCATGCCAATTACCCAGAATGACGTTGACCGGGAAATTCTAGACCTCGAACAAGCCTGTAGTCATACTAGTCGGTGTAATTTTCAGCGCGGTGGATATATCAGAGAGTTTGCGCTGAGTGGGACAGACAGGATCGAGCTTGGAACAATACCGATGGGGTAAATTTACCGAGCTTAGCCAAGCAGGCACTTGAGCAGACTTGTTTGGCTCGAAAGGTGGAAATCTGACTGTACCAAACAATAGGAACGCAAGTTTGCTTGCTTCGCCACACTAAACAAGGGTTGAGGCTCGCTTCAGATGCACCTCAGCATTTCGTATTACCACTTGCCGGATATCTCCAGGTGTGTTGCACACCAACACACACACAGTGACGCTGACCTGTTGGAGCGATGCCTGCAGATAACCATTCCTTGGCGCCAGATGATCCTGGCGGAGCTGGCTCGTCTGGTCCAATCGGCCGAATCTCCAATGCAACTGATAAAAACATAAGCACGCAATAGGAAAATGGTTGCATGTGCCCTCAATGGCTAAGGAGTCCTGTGACACACCTACGCATATCACCTGCTGATCTCGTATGGTTTCCTATTTATTTGTGCTTCCCTCCTGCCCTCAAACGAGATGCAACTCTTGATGGGTGAGTGCTACGTCCTATGCCTGCATCCAGCCCAGTATGGCCTCCCACTCTTCAAGTTTAGGAACGACTCCTCGGCCATCATTCTTGGACCGCGTTGGGATCTGGACATTCAGGGTGGTCAACAAATTTGTCCCTTGGCACAAACTTCCAGGCATCGTCGGAACCTTGCAGCTCTATCTCTTCCGTGTCGAACTACGAGAGCAGAATCTTTATGATGGCTACGCTTCTACGTCTGAGCAAGGGAATGCGATTGACTTTCCCCTGCCGGACAACCGATTCCTGCACGCCAGGAATTCCGACGGCACGTACAATTCGCTGGAGATGCCCCTGATGGGCTGCGCTGGCATCCGTTTTGGGCGCAACTTCTCGAGAACAGCGACCCAAAAGCCGTCTGAGCAGGACCTGTGGGCCCCAAACCCCCGCGTCGTTAGTGAGAGGTTTATGAAAAGGGATAAGTTCATACCGGCAACCAGCCTGAACCTGTTGGCTGCTGCCTGGATTCAGTTCCAGATCCATGATTGGTTTAACCATGAGCTTGTGAGCTAGTTGTCCTACCGTTCGTGATGCACTTTTGAGACTAATCCTTGCAGAGTGAGGACTCATTTGATGTGCCACTCCCGCACGGCGACGCCTGGCCCCGCGGAGAAATGAAACTACCACAAACAAAGACAGACAAGATTCTTGACCCGTCAGACTCGGAGAGCCCCGGGTACAGGAACGTCAATACAGGCTGGTGGGATGGCTCCCAGATCTATGGGTCAAGTGAGGCTCTTACCAGGCAACTTCGTGATAACAATGCAGACGGAAAGCTAGAGCTAGACGACAAGGGAGCCGTTGCTTTCATTCCACGCGATGAAGATGGGAACCCCGTCACCGGTTTCAGGGACAACTGGTGGGTCGCGTTGGAGATGCTGCACACTCTCTTCACGTTGGAACACAACGCCATCTGTGACATGCTTCGCAAAGCGTATCCGTCCTGGACTGGGTAAGATAGTACATTTTATGATGGCTGTGGAACCTTTTGGCGTCGAACATAGCTGAACTGAAGTTATGTCTAGGGACCAGATTTTCGACAAGGCCCGTCTGATAAACTGCGCGTTGATGGCTAAAATCCATACTGTGGAGTGGACACCAGCCATTTTGGCTCACCCTGCGCTGCAGATCGCCATGAATGCGAATTGGTGGGGCCTGGCGGGAGAGACCCTCAACAAGCTCGTTGGTCGCATATCAAAGACGAGTGAAGCTATCAGCGGTATACCTGGATCTGGCGCTTCGCAAGACGGTGTCCCGTATTCACTCACAGAAGAGTTTGTGTCGGTGTACAGGATGCATTCTCTCGTACCGGGTAAGCTCACCGTACCAACTGGACTCCCTCGGCTTTGTGTTAATGCTCCCCAGACGATATTGCCTTCTTCAAAACTGATACCGGCGAGCACCACTCCACCATTCCCACTGTGGACTTGACGTTCTCCAAGGCGCAGGATCCGTTCATCGGCCCCAAGCAGATCTCATTTGCTGACGCGTTTTACTCGTTTGGGATCAACTACCCCGGGGCAATCACCAATCACAATTATCCGGACTTCCTACGCAACCTGACAACGCCAGACGGTATTCCAACCCGCGACTTGGGTACGGTCAATATCCTTCGTGACCGAGAGCGCGGGGTCCCTCGTTACAACCAGTTCCGTAGACTCCTCCGACTACCAGCGCCCAAGACATTTGAAGAGCTCGTCGGCGGCGTCAAAGGCTCAGACCAGGCCGCCAAGGATCGAGCAGCGTTGGCACGGGACCTGAGGGAAGTCTACAACGGCGACATCGAGGCGGTGGATGCCCTAGTTGGGAGCCACAGCGAGCCGCTGCCCGAGGGTTTTGGATTCAGCGACACTGCGTTTAGGATTTTCATCCTCATGGCTTCCCGGCGCCTGAAGAGTGATCGGTTCATCGCCACCCAGTGGAATGAGGAGACTTATACGCCCGAGGGGTTCAAATGGGTGCAGAACACCACCATGCGCGACGTCCTTGTCAGGAACCTGCCTGACCTGAAGCATGCAGTGCCGCCGCCTGGAAGCAACGTCTTCGCCCCCTGGCCGAAGCTGCCTGCCTCCAAGAGCTATGCTGGGAAAGAAACCAATGCTCCTGTTTCTTGAGTGAAGCAGCCCATCGGCACTGCACTGAGTAGACGGGCTCGGCTCGGCGGCAAGGCATGGAACACTGTAGAAGCCACCATAGAAAAAATGGTTAATAGAAAGATTGGTTATGTATTTGATCTGCTGTACTACTATGCTTTTCATTTTGCTTGCGGGCTCTGCATCATTAGCATATGCGGCTGGAGTCACCGAGCTCGTCCAGGATTTGTGACACTCGTCGGACACCTTGGCAGATGGAGACCGCATTCAGTCTTGGTCTTAGTTGTTTATTTGAAACGGCGACACCATAAACGATTGCCGACCACTGAGATCCAACCGACCTTTGATCGTTTAGTACGAGTGTGTGAAGGAACCGTACGCCTTCGACATGTACACGGATCAACACCTGGGCAACGAAACTACCAGTGACAAATGATTCCAGATGAGACCACCAATTAACACTGAATGAGTCCGAGCAACGATCAGAAAGAGGAATTGAGATCAGCTGACAGTTTACACATACCAGCCAGTATGCACAACGTAGCCGTTATCATCCATGAGATTTCCCTCCAGCAGGGGGTGGGGTGAGCCAATGAGGAAGATACAAAAGCCATGGAGGTGGTGCATTCTGATCAGCTTGATGAAGGCATTCAAACTTCATATGGCCGACAAGCAATCCACCGGGGAGGGAATACAGCAAGGCACCAGGCTTTGAGGGCAAGGGCTTTCTACTCAGCCACATGGAGTGACCTAAACGTCAGATCATACTGACAAGCTACATAATATCCCTTCAAATATCGGAATATCATCCCACGCCATGTGGGGCGGGTTCGTATTTCTTTTTATATTATTAAAACAATGCCCTTGTAGCCACATTGATCCCGCTCCTTTTTGCTCTTCCACTAATAAACCCATAGTCCCGAAGTGCCCCCCTCCCCCTCCCCCTGCTGTCAGTAAGGGGAAGGGGTTAGGGTCCCCCTATCGATAAGGCTGCCACCATCACCTCTCGCCCCGAAGCCTGAGGGGCAACCTTCTTCCTTTTTGCTTAGCCCAGGCAACCCTACTCGTGAAACCCACGCACGATATTTGGTGCAAACTTGGAGCCCTCGTGCCGTGAAGGCCAAGTGACGCCTCACCGTCTTGAGTGTGCCTGGTCCGCCAGATATGGGTTTCTGGGGTCGAGCTCCCCCATGCGCCATCCTCGGCACCGACATCGTTCTGCACTCGTACCTCAACTCGACATCAGCATCAGCAACAACAACAACAACAAAAACAGCAGCACTGTGGTCTTTTCGTTGATGAACATGAGGTATGGATTGCCACCCCAGCGAAAAACCCCGGTCGTTAATCTTTTGTGCTTAGTCTATCGAAATGGTTAAGTACATGTCTCTTGGGAACATTTGAAGTCAAACAGCTGTGCTTGGCACGTGTTGAAGCCGTATCTTCAGGATGTGGCCTGGACATCAACACCAAAACTAAAAGGCTCCTATGGCCAAGCTCTCGGCCCCGTCGTCCGTCATGGCATCTACAACAGCAGCAATGTCCAGTGCTATTTTCTCGGCCGCACCCTGGCCGTAACAAGCCTCGTCGTACATGACCTTGAGCACATGCCTGTCGCCGGGGGCCCTGGAGACCTCGACGACCAGCTTGTAGGGCTGGGCCATGCGGACCGCCGACTTGGCCATGACCAGCCAGCGCAGGCGGCCCTCGGGGTCGTGGGGCTGGGCGGCGGGCTTAAAGGGCTGGAAGAGGAAGAGGGCCCGGTTGCCGTGTGTCTCCCGCGCCAGGCCGGCGCCGCCGTAGATGGCGTCCAGCCCGACGCAGCCGTGCTCCGTCATGGCCCAGAAGTCGTCCTGCATGCGGCCCAGGAAGTGCTGGAGTGTCTCAGCGGCGTCCACGGCCGTGCGCACCGGGAGGAAGTGCGCCAGCGTGCCGTTGATGGTCTGCGGGTCCGGCAGGCCGACGTTGCGCCCGCTGAGGAGGTAGTCGAAGTTGACGTCGCCACGGCCGCCCGCCGCCGTGCCCAGCCACAGCGTAAAGGCCGCCTGGAACAGGATGCTCGGCGTGACGCCCAGCCGCCTGGCCGCCCGCTCCAGGCGCGGGGTGGCGAGCTCGTGGCGCAGCGAGGCCGAGATGACGGGGCCGCCCTCCCCCTCGCCCTCGCCCGCGGCCACGCGTGCCGGTGGCTTACCCGCCATCTTCTGGCGCCAGTATGCCAGGGCGCCCGTCTTGTCCTGCTGGAAGACGTAGTCGGCAAAGGTGCGGAACTGGCCGTGGCGCGGCACCGGCCGCCCCTGCAATATGGCGGCGAAGTGGTCGTCGAGGATGCGCAGCAGGGTGCCGTCATAGACGGCGTGGTCCATCTTGATGACGAGGTGCCACGAGCCGTCGGGGCGAACCAGCTGTGCATACCTAATAAAAGGGAGACCGAACACGAAGCGTGACTCCCAGAAGCCGCGGGCGAAGCGCCCGACGTCCTCGTCCGTTGTGCAGTCGAGCCTGGTGACGTCTGGCTGTGCGCTGCGGAGCACCACCCCGACCCACGGGTCGCCCTCGCCCTCGCCCTCGGCCACGTGCAGCCATGTGGTGCGCAGTATCTCGTTGACCCGGGTCAGCTCGGCGGTCGCCCGGGCCCAGGCGTCGGGGTCGACGTCGGCCGGCATGTGCCGCACGGTCTGGAGCACCCACATCTGGGAGTCCCGGCTGCCCTGCGTGAGGAATTCGGCCTGCCCGGGTGGGGAGGGATAGACATGCTCGACGTCCTCATCCCAGCGCAGGCCAGCAGCCTCGGCCGCGACCTTGACACTGTCCGGCACCTGAAAGACCACCCGGGACTTGGCCACCTGCCGGGCCTGGCCGTCCGGTTCCCGCGCCACGCCCGCCAGTGCCGCCATGTCCTTGAGCCTTGGCGTCTTCAGGATGCTGGGCACAGACAGCTTGTACCCGGCGTCCCTAGCCAGGCTGGCCAGTGTGATGGCGGAGATGGAGTCGCCGCCGAGGGCGAGGAAGTTGGCCTCGCGGCCGAGCTGCGTGGGCGGGAGGCCAAAGATGTCGGCCCACATGCCCTCCAGCGCCTGCTCTGCGCCGGTCCGAGTAGGCACCACCTCGTGGCCGTCGCCGTCGCCAGCGCCGGCGCCCTGCCCGTCCAGCGCATATGTGGCCAGGGACACGGGGTCGAGCCCGTCGGCGAGCCTGCGGAGCGCCTTGCGGTCGACCTTGCGCGAGGGCAGCTTGGGGAACTCGCGGACGGGGAGCACGAACTTGGGCACCATGTACGCGGCCAGCGAGCCGAGGTTGTCGCGCAGGGCACCCGTGCGGCCGGCAAACGCGGCGGCGGCGTCGAGGAGGATCTCGGCCGTGTCCGTGTCCGTGTCCTCATCCTCGTCCCCGTCCCCGTCCCCAAAGACGCAAAACGCCACCAGGTGCGTCTTGCCGCGGACCGTGACCGCCAGCGCGACCACGTCGCTGACCAGGCCCGTCCGGCGGATCGCGTTCTCGACCTCGCCCAGCTCGATGCGGTGGCCGTGGATCTTGACCTGGCCGTCCTTGCGGCCTAGGCACTCGATCTCGCCGCCGGGCAGCCAGCGCGCGAGGTCACCGGTGCGGTAGATGCGCACGCCGAGGGCCTCGCTATCAACATAGGCCGCTGCCGTCAGGTCCGGACGGTTCACGTAGCCGGCCGTGACCTGGGGCCCGGCGATGCACAGCTCGCCGACGGCCCCGTCCGGGCGGAGCGAGTCACCGCCGTGCGGGTCGAGGATAAAGGCCATCACCGTGGGGAACGGGGCGCCGATGTTGCCGATGGGCCCGTTGAGCAGCCCCCCGGCATCGACATCAACCCGCTTGGTGGTGACGACCATGGAGGTCTCGGTGGGCCCGTAGACGTTGAGGATCTCGCAGCGTGGGCCCCACGCGGCGACCACGTCCAGGGTCAGCGGCTCGCCGCCGACAATCAGCTTCTCGAGCCCCGGCACGTCGGCCGGGCGCAGCAGGCGGGCCACGGTGGGCGTGAGGATGGCCTGCCGGGCGCCCATGCGGTTAACGTAGCCGGCCAGGTCCGACAGCAGCGCCTCGGCCGGGGCCATGCACAGCGTGCCGCCCGTGCTGAGCGTGTTGAAGAAGTCCTGCACCGACGCATCGAAGACATAGTTCGCAAACTGCAGCGTGCGCCATCTGCGGCCCTCGCACCGGCCCTCGACCGCCGCCATGCTGCGCACCGCCGCCGCCGCCGAGCGGTGCGGCACCCTGACGCCCTTGGGCTGCCCCGTGCTGCCCGAGGTGTAGATCACATAGGCGAGGTCGTCCGGGGACACGCCCGTGCCCGGCGGTGAGGCGTGCTCGTCGAGGTCGCCCAGCCCCGGCATCAGCAGCAGCGTGGTATCCACCGCGGCCCCCGAGCCCGAGCCCAGGACCAGGTCGAGGTGCCGCCGGTGGGCCTCGTGTGCGACGACGAGCCGCGCGCCCGTGTCGGCCACCACAAAGGCGTTGCGCTCGGCCGGGTTGTCGGGGCTGAGCGGGACATAAGCGGCGCCGGCCTTCATGACGCCGAGGATGGCCACGACCATGTCGACGGACCTGTCCAGCACCAGCGGGACCATGTCCCCCGCCCGGACGCCGCGCCCGCGGAGCACGTGCGCGAACCCGTTGGCCAGCCGGTCCAGCCGTGAGTATGAGGCCTGCTCGCGGCCGTCAAAGTCGACGGCGACCGCGCCCGCCGTGGCGGCACCGTCGCGCGCGCACCGCTCGAACGCGGCGTGCAGCAGCTCGGGCTCCGGGGCGGCGAGGGTGGACCGGTGGGAGAGCGTGTCGGACAGGAAGGCGTGCTCGGCGCCGGATAGGACGCTGGCGGCACCCCTTGAGGCGTGCAAACTGCGACACCAGGCGTGCCATGGCGCCCGAGGCCGCGTTCTGGACGACCCAGTCCCCCGGCTTCAGGGGGCAGACGTCCTCGACCATGAGGTAGGCTGGGAGGAAGACCATCCGCAGCAGCGAGGCACCGAGGAGGTCGGTGCCCGGCCCGAGGCGTATGAGGTCATCTGCCTTGACGACAGCCAGGCGTCGCCAGGTCCCGAGGCCATGGCGGCGCGGGACGACGAGATCACCGGGGTGCAAGTCACCGTCACCATGATCATGGTGATCCTCGCTGGCAGGCCGGGCGGCGATAGCTTCAACTTTGGCAACGCCGTCATACCCCATGATGCCCTCGCCATCGTGGCTGAATAATGGCTTAACAGGGTAGAGACCCGCAATCACCATCAGGTCTTGGGGGTTGATCGGTGAGAGCTGGAAGGAGATGAGCACATGGCCTGGGGCGAGGTCGGCCTGGGTCGGCTCGGGTCGGTGGTACTGAAAACGGACGCCGCTTGGATGATCCTCGGCCGATCCGGAGGCCGTGATGCAGAACTGCTCGCTCATTTTGGATATGCAAAGGTCAGGATTCTCGGTTTTGATGGCGTAAGAGAAGGAATGAAGCATGGGTCGAACTCGCCTCGTGTCGTGGCAATTTATGATACTTGTCAGCTGCCCAAACACATGGGATCGGTTGATGGCTGCAGAACTGATGGCTCATTTTGGATATGCAGAGTCTCGGTTTTGATTGCGTAAGGGAATAAATGAGAGCATGGGTCAAGTTTGTATTGTGTCGTGACAATTTATGATGGTTGTTGGCTGCCCAAACACATACGGTGGGTTGAAGGAGGCAGACCTGATGGCTCATTTTGGATATGCAGAGACTCGTTTTGATGTCGTAAGAGAAATGAAGCATCGGTCAATTTTGCCTCGTGTCGTGGCAGTTTATGATGGTTGGCTGCCAAAACACACACACGGGGTGGGTTGATGGATCAAATGGATTACAAAAGTCAATGGATTCTCTGTCGGCTATCGGCCTATTGACCCGTCGGGGGCCAGGGGCCCCTCTACCCGAGTCCGCATTCAGATCTATACAGGGCTGCGTGCGTTTGCTCCGAAATAAGCTTTTGATCTTTCGAGACCGCACGAACGTACGAGTGCCCAGGTGTGGGAGCCGCAGGGGCGTGCGGGGCGGCCCGAAGAACAACTCTCTCTAGTCGAATCCACGAGATCCAAACCCGAGCCGCGAGCACCAAACTACAATTATTTCTATTTTAAAACTCTTAAACTATATTAATAATATAAAAATATTATATAGACTAACCTTTAATAAGAAATATAATAAAATATATATAGAGTTATATAAATTAAATAATAATATTTAAATTAAATAATAATTAATTATTATTTTATAAAACTTTAATTATTAAAAAAGAAATTTTAAAAAGTTTTAAAAACTATTAATTATATATTAAATATAAATTAAATAAATTATATCTTAATAAGCTAATCTTTATTCTTTTATAAATTTATCTAATTACTTTAAAGAATTACATAACTATAAGTTAGTTTGCGGTTTAAATAGGAAGGTATTTTGTTAAACATTTACACGCCTCTCGCTCGCTATCTACCATTCACATTTCGTGATTACCCAACAACATGCGTCGTGAATTATGCAATGCCAAGTCGCCTCGGACTTATTATCATAGCGAGGTGGACTTTTGTGACAGCCCCGTATCACTCGTCCCAACGCGGCAACGCCTCCGTGGGGCCCAACCAACTGAACAGTCCAAATGTGAAGAGGCCATCGTCCTCAACACAACTATTTGTCAGCGCGGAGGACGCAGTGATTAGAAATCAGGCTCACCTAGAGCTTGTATATCATTCGAGCATTCTGGCTGGGTGTCTAGGTATAAGCCAGTCACCCCAGCACACCACTTGCGGACGCTAGCACGATATTATATAGTCTTTGCATTTTTACATAATCTTTGTATTTCTGTGGCTCTGACTCGGCAAACTAACACATCCAGCCAGCCTTATCACTATACAACTGTGTATCATGGCAGACGGCGGAGAAAACCCTCCCCGGCTAGAATCAAACGATGATTGCCTCGACAGCTCCGGGCCGCCCTCGGCAAAGACCGAGGAGGCTCTTGATCATACCCCCCAAGGCGCCTCCGATTCGCCCAGGTCCGTTCACGGAGCAAAGGTATGGTACTCGAGAGGGTGCTTCCGGACGTCGGGTTTCATGTTGCCCTTTGCTGACCACGTACGAGTAGTGGGTTCTTGTCGTAATTGCCCTCCTCTCGGTGCTTTTCCTCTACGCCCTCGACAACACTGTTGTCGCCAACGTTCAGTCAAAAGTGGTCGAGACATTTGGCAGTGTTGAGCTCGTGCCCTGGCTCGGTGTCTCCTTTGCACTCGGGTCTGCCGCCTCAACACTGTCTTGGTCAAAGGCGTACGGCACGTTTGCTGCCAAGAAGCTGTTCATCGGGAGCACTGCGCTGTTTATGGGGGCGTCGGCACTCTGCGGCGGCGCCCCCAGCATCAAGGCGTTCATTGTGGGAAGAGCTATTGCCGGCATTGGAGGCTGCGGCATGTACATGGGCTTGGTGACCTTGCTCTCCGTGACAACGACCAACGCGGAACGGCCGACCTACTTGAGTCTCCTTGGCTTCATCTGGGGCATCGGCACTGTGCTCGGCCCCGTCATCGGGGGCTCCCTGGGCGATAGTGCAGCTACCTGGCGCTGGGCCTTTTACCTGAATCTGTTGGTCGGTGCTGTCGCTGCACCCGTCTACTTCATTCTGCTGCCCGACTTCAAGCCCCAGCAAGGTGTACCTCTTCTCTCACGCTTTGCCCAAATCGACTATCTGGGCACGCTGCTGTCTGTGGGGTCCCTCGTCTGCATCATCATGGCCATGAACCTGGGCGGTGTGCTCTGGGACTGGAGCTCCGCCACTAGCATTGGCCTGCTTGTGGCGTCGGGGGTCTTGGCTATCCTCTTCGTTTTGCAGCAATGCTTTTACTTTGGGACTTCGAGGGACAACCGACTGTTCCCGATGCACTTCTGGAGGAGCCGCTCTATGATTGCTCTCTTCTTGACCATGAGTATGGAGTTTCCGGCCCCCATCTCCAAACCTCCAGACTGCTCGAGTGCCGCTGACCGTCCTCCCAGTGCTTGCGACTTTTGGCAGCTTCATTTCGATTTATTACCTGCCCCTTTATTACCAGTTTACTCGCGGCGCGTCCGCACTCGAGACCTCGGTCCATCTCTTGCCATTTATTCTCTTTCTTGTAGCCTTCAACCTACTCAACGGACAGTTCATGGGCAAGACGGGCTACTATTATCCATGGTACATCGCAGGCGCGGCCTTGGAGCTTATTGGTGGCGTTCTTCTCTGTATGTTGCAAAACCCCCCGACTTACAAATTCACAGCCCTCGCATATCTAATGCGCGCATCTGCAGACACGGTAGATGAGCATACATCGAATGCCAAGGTCTATGGCTATACGATCATCCTAGGTACAGGCGTCGGCTGTTTCTGCCAGGCTGGCTTTGCCGTCGCGCAGATGAAAGTCGAGCCGTCCGAAATCCCGTACTGTGTAGGCTTCATCACAATGGGCCAGATGTTGGGAATTGTGTTTGGCACAGGCCTGGCAGGCGCAATTTTCGTCAACCGCTCGGAACAGGCTCTCGCGGTCGTGTTCCCAAATGCCTCCAAGCAAGAAATCTCCGACGCCATAGCGGGCGTGGCCAGCACCTTAATCACCTCGGCGCCTTCAGAGGTCCAGGCACAGGCCATTCACGGCATCACCAGGGCCATCCAGCTGGCGTTCGTCCCGATCATCGCCGCCGGATCCATTTGCCTTATCTGCAGCCTGGCCATGAAGAAGGAGAAACTGTTCACTGAGAAAGGACAGAGTGCCGCGATGGGAGGGTGAGCATCTAACTGCGTCCTGTGGGCTGGGCCTGTCATTCTTTAAACATACCGTGCTTTATTGACCATAAGAGACGGTCACTATGACCTTCATTCACTATTCAGTAGTTTCTCATCACTAGACAGACCTATAGAAAAGAGATTTATAAAGGAGATCAGGTATTCACATCGAGAAGAACGGAAAATACATTGGCATATCGTTAACTTCTACGCTATTACTGAATTTAAGAATTTTGAACTATATATTACTGGAGAAAATGGAGTTTATTATAGTGTAGTTAGATGGTCCGAAATAAGGGGTGGTCCGAAAGTGGGCGGGTCACCTTACTACCTGTGTACTTAGTATGCATACGTCAAGGGAGCGTTTTTTACGTAGTCCAGTAGACAGGGGTAAGTAAACCAAGGGGGGGCTGAGTCTCGTTTTCCACTATCAGCGGAAAGGAAATAAGGCCAGGATCTCGCTACATCCTACAGTGTCCGAAAGAGGAACAGCGTTCACTGCCACTATCAACCCTTGAGATATCTGTTATCTCGTACAGGAAACGATTTTGCACAGCCTCAGAGCTTGGTAAACATAAATGACTGGTCGGGACTGAGATTGTTCTCGTCTGATAGCTTGGCTTCCAACTCGATATCCGCTCTGCAGACAACTCACCCAGATTCTCCTAATTTCAGCCACCAAGACAATCTCTCCAAAATGGGTTATCCGAGCAATGTTGGCATCAAAGCTATGGAGATTTATGTGCCTGGCCAGGTCAGTCGTCTCCGCAGTCGACTCGCAACATGTTTGTTGCCGTGGCCGACCATGTTTGATGGCTAATTGATGAAGTTCACAGTGCTTGGACCAGGCTCTCTTCGAACAGTACCAAGGCGTTTCAGCCGGGAAATACACTATAGGTCTGGGTCTAAAGTACATGAACTTTTGTGACGACCGGGAGGGTATGACATTTGACATTTAGACTGGTCGACGACCATTGTTGCAGTATCAGCAGTCACAAGTCCAGGACCAGAACTAACTTTGAGAAAATAGATGTTTGTTCACTGGCCCTCACGGCTGTATCCTCTTTGCTTCACAAATACAACATCGATCCGAAGTCGATCGGGCGCTTGGAGGTCGGCACTGAGTCCCCCATCGACAAGGCCAAGTCCGTGAAGACGGTGCTTACTCAGCTGTTCGAACCATCTGGGAACACGAGTCTGGAGGGCATCGACACGGTCAACGCATGCTACGGTGGCACGAGTGCCTTGTTCAACGCCGTGAACTGGGTTGAGTCCCGCTCATGGGACGGCCGTGATGCCATCGTGGTGGCTTCAGATATCGCTCTGTACCGCGAGCCGGCCTCCCGCCCTACTGGTGGCGCTGGCTGTGTGGCCATGCTCGTAGGCCCCAACGCCGTGCTCTCACTCGAGCCGAGGCTCAGGGGGACCTTCATGACGCATTCGTACGATTTCTACAAGCCTGATACCAGCGTTGAGTTCCCGACGGTCAACGGCCACGAGTCCCTCCGGTCCTATATCTCGGCCTTGGACATGTGTTACAAACACCTTCGCGAGAGGGTAGAGACGACAGAGGGCAAGATGAACGGTCATCAAGCCGAAGGTGGCTCGAGTGGTCTCCTGGACCGATTCGATTACATGGCTTTCCATACTCCAAACTGCAAGCTCGTTAGCAAGTCGTACGGACGTCTCATGTACAATGACGTCCTGCATTCTACCGATGAAAACATTCGAGCTGTCATGCCTTCCGAGCTCATTCAGCTCAGCCACGAAGAGTCACTGAAGAGCAAGGAGCTTGAGAAGCTCTTCGTGACGCTCTCGAAGGACCGCTTTAAGGCGCGGGTCGAGCCTTGCATCGCTGCGCCGACTCTGTGTGGCAACATGTACACTGCCAGCTTGTACTGCTCACTCATCAGCCTCATCAGCAACATCAACCCCGAGGAAGCCGAGGGCAAGACGATCGGCATGTTCAGCGTAAGTACTTAGATAACAGGATCACTAAGTCTACACTCCTATTGACTGATACCTTTTGCAGTATGGAAGTGGAATAGCTAGCACTCTCTTCGCCCTGAAGGTGACCGGGGACGTCAGCGATATGGTCCGCAAGATCGATATTATGGACAGACTGAGCCGACGCCACATCGCCACTCCTGAGGAGTATGAAAAGGTGAGCCACTATAGCATTAGGAATCTCTGACATCGTGTATTGACTATTCCTCGCACAGGCTTGCGCGCTTAGGCTCAAGGCATACGGCTCGAAGGACTTTGAGCCCAGCGGAGATGTTGCCGCCCTAGCCACGGGGACATACTATCTGGAGAGTGTTGATGATGCATATCGCAGGAAATATGCCATCAAGGACTGAAGCATTCTACTGTATAACTCCGTCATATCGTGAGCTCGAGGCTTAGCAGGCTTGGTAGAGGGGTTAAAAAGGGGACTTGCTTGCAGTCCAGTACATTGTATGAGGCAAGAGATGTAGACTTAGAAGCTAGAGGCTTGCGAATATATATCCTATCTGCATACACATGTGCACAGCGTTGTCATTGTTGGAACGGCATCAACGTTCGACCACTTACGCCACGTAGCTAAGTACCGACGATAACCTCCTATGGCATAACCTATTGTGGGACAAGGTCCTATTGAATAAGTTCCCGCGGGACAAGCTCTTGCGGGATACCTCTCAGTTAGTAGGAAATCTCGGGAACGATCTCCATGATCTCCCATAGAGTATCCTCTCGTAGGGAAATGCCTTGTGCGGACGATCAACTTCAGTACCGATCTCCGTATCCTGTTCTAATTACAGCGCATGGAACTTCGGTGTCGTCTTTCCAACCATTCATGCACGACATTCTTAAAGTCGCTTGGACGATACCGGTGAAATATTTCGGACCAGACTCCGGTTCGGCCATACTTCCTGTACCTCGGGAGTCCCAAGTCATTCCCCAGCAGGTCCATATAAGACAAGCAGTCAAAGGCCAAATCAGGACATCTAGTGCCAGCTCCACCAGCTTCATGCGGATGCCTGATTGCGGAGTACTCGTTATGGAGGATGGTTTCGTATTTGACTTGGTCATGATCTAGAGATTCTGCCGTCAAAGGAGGCAATTCGTCCACAAAATATGCGGTGACCCACAAAGCCTGCAGCTGAGCGATCATTATGGCGTTGAGCGCAAGATGTGAGCCGATGAACGCAATGTTGCGCTGCCTCAGGAATCTCTCCTCTGTAGGTACGAGGAAACGGTATAGTTGGTAGCCTGGCGAGGCTTCTCTGGTGGCTGCATGTTCTTTGTTGGCAGGGGTTGAAATTCCGGGCGGAAGACGTCGGCGTGGACCAACTCGAAGAGCAGGGAATCGAGTGAAGATTTCTGCCCGAGCCCCATCTCTCATTTTCTGTTCTTCGATGCTGTTGTTCCTCTCTAGACCCAACTCTGACTTTAGATCCTCTGGCAGAAAACGAACGGGAGGCTGTGTAGCCCAGCCGGTGCAACAGACGAATGCATCTATGTCCAAGCTTTCCTTGTTCGAAAGATGCACAGTACCATCCGACAGTGAAGAGACATCAGCAACATGTACGGTTATCTTGCCCTCGCGGACCAACCCAAACCAGGATGCAGTATAGTTGTGAATGCTCAGCGAGTTCCCCATCCAGAAGGTGCTCACCCAAGGCCTCAGCTTCTGCGTCCCGGGGTGGTCGTCGTAGCCGTGAGCTCTTTGCGCATATCCCTGGAGAGTACTCCAGAATATTGATACTACTGCTCGACCAACACGCGTCCCATGTAGGACGCTTCGGATCCAGCCTATTACCCCTCTGGACTCGCCCCAGATGCAAGGGTCAAACCAGGTGAAGAACCGGGTGGAGGCCAGTCGCTGGATTGAGATCTTGAACGGGGAGAACACCACGGGCCAGATCCAACTCGGACCTCCACCGTCAGGCCGCATTACCATATGCACATGGGCACCTGACTTGGCGGCAAGAAAGCACGTGTCCCATGCTGACTTGTTGCCGCCGAGGACTGCCACGCTGCGGGCCTTCTCAATCTCTTCAGCACGATCCCGTAGTTCTTTGGCATGAAACAAGGGCCTGTTGAACCCATGATCTCCGGATAACTTCGGCATGAATGGCTTTGAGGTGAGTCCAGTTGCCACCACAAGCCTTTTGGCGAGGATAGTTCTTGGTTCGGTCCCCGGGTCGGCTGAGATGATCCTCAGGGACCAGGAACCGTTCTCTAAAAGCTCTGCCGTCTCTATTTTCTGCCTCATCTGTAGGCGTGACGTGAGACGAAACTCTTCCACAAACTGCGTGAGATACTCGTGCACAGCGTGCCCGGGGATGTGGTGACCTTCCTTGACGTCGAACCGGCCCGGGGTCATGGGAAAGTCCGAAAACTCATAGGTGCCGAGAAGGTTATTCGTTTTCAAGCCTGGGTAGAGTCTTTCCCTTGCCCAAGTACCTCCAACAGAAGCGGCCTCATCGAAGATTGCCATGCTTGCACCTGGACACACTTCTAGGTATGTTTTGGCCATCGCAAGGCCATGCCAGCCTACGAACATGATTAGCCAGGGCTTCCCCCACTCTCATAGAATGTGACCTTACCCGCGCCGATAATTGCAATGTCTAGCTGTTCCATGCGTGCTCGACTCTCAGTTCACAGGGACCTATTGGATGAGGTGTCTGAACATGAAGGAGAGAAAAGGCATCTCTGAATCTATGTGATAGCAATTGACAAGGCATTTATTCGTCAGCCCTGAATTGTCTAGCAAGCCACACGCAGTTCAACCGGGGTCTGAATGCGACAGGAGCGGGGCACTGGCGCCATACGGCACCAAGGTCGGCACTGTGCATGTGCCCGTTTGGTGCCAGATAGAGTCATCGTGGACGAACGTGAGGGGCTGACGGTGAGAAATCATCTGAGTACACTACTCTAGGTTAAGCGCTCAAATAGTGGGGTTTCTCAAGTGAAACAAGCGTAGATCTGTGGTGAAAATAGACAATACATTTTAGAGATTCTCGGGTATCTTCGCCAGCAACATTCCTCCCTATATAAAAAGAGTGACATATAATACAATCCTTCTCAAACGTGGTCATCGGCAGACGGCTGCCCTGTGCGTCTGATCTTGCTACCAAACATAGTGGTGTTCCACGTGTAATATCAAGCGAGACGTCTCCCGCCTAAACACATGCTCGCTGGTAAAGAAGACATGTATCCATCCATGATGTCCATCCATCCCAGTGTCATTCACTGACTGGGCTCTCTCTGCGCAGCAAATCAGAAAGCGGCCTTGCTCTTCCTCCCATCGCGGAGCATGACGGTGTACTCGCTCCTCTTGCGGATCAAGAACGCCAGGCCGAGCATGTAGTCGGTGGTGTACTTGCCGGCGGGCAGGTGCATGAGCGGGTTGAGCATGCGGGCGGCCAGGCGCTCGGCCGTCATGTCGTTGAGCTCGGCGGCGTCGGCGACGTCGCCCCACAGGTTGAGCAGCAGCTTGAACAGGCTGCGGGCGGCGCCGCGGATGCCCAGCAGGGCCTCGTCCCAGAAGTCGATGCAGGCCTCGAGGCGCAGGTGGTGCGGCACCGTGGCCTGCTTGGACAGCACGATCCAGCGCTTGGCGACCGTCTCGCTGACGAGGGGCTTGGACAGCTGCTGCAGGAACAGGACGATCAGCTCGGCGGCGTCGTAGACGTCGTGGGCCGCCCAGTCGATGTTGCCCTCGCCGTAGTAGGGCGCCGTGCTGAAGGCCTCCTTGAGGGAGGCGACGCGCACCATCGACTCGCCGCCTGCCATCTCGCCGCCGAAGATGTGAGGGGCGCGGACGCCGCCGTTCTCCTTGATGAAGTTCACGCACGACAGGATGCACCGCGGGAAGTCCCGCCTCGATGATGCCTTGGACCCGTCGTGGTGGGTCTTGACAGTCGCCGTCGCCATCTGCATGCTCTTCTTGAGCGACACCCCGAAGATGTCGTCCGGCTCCAGCTCCTCCGGGGCTGCCTCGGCCGTGATCCTCGGCGACCAGATGCTCACCCTCCTGAACACCGACGACAATCTTGACGAGTTGCTGCGTATGCTGGCGCCCGTCGACGAGACGGCAGTCGAGGGCCGAAGACCCCTGGATCCACTGACCGAAGTGGTATTGGTGGCATTGGTGGCTGTCGTGTCAACCGACGCATTTGCACGATGGTGAGCTCGTTGGGTCGACAGCGGTGGTGGTTCTGGGGGTGAATGTGCGTGAGAGTGTGAGAGGGCGTCGGCCCTGGCTGCTGGCATGGCGAGGGCATTGCCCGGTCCTGCGAGGGCGCTGAGGATGTGAGCCTTTGCGTTGCCGGTGTTGTGGTGGCTGGCCGTGCTGAGCCTCGTGGGCAGGCCCGGGACGGTGAAAGAGCTGCGACGACCAAAGAGTCGTCGAGTTGGTCTGCTGGTACTAGTAGTATTATTGTTGTTGGTGCTGCTGCTGTTGGTGCTGCTGCTATTAACTGATCTGGCATCACGGATCGCCGGGGGACTTTGTGCCCGGGCCCCACCCGTGATGGTCGTCGTGACTGTGCCGCCGGTTGAATACATGCTGAAACTGCTCTCACTTCTCGGGGGACGGATTCCTCTCAGACTACCCACTGTCGACAGAGCATCGCCGTCAGACCGAGGAAGGCTGCGGAGCGAGCTCATCCGCCGGGGGACGACGGGGTTGCCTTCTGAGTCGAGGACGCCGTAGTCGCTGACGCTGCGGACCGACGATGGCCTGGAGATCCCGGGTATGTGACCAGTCCACGGCGATAGAGTTGAAACATGGATCATGGAGTTGGACCGCCCAATGGCCTTGGGCGGTGGGGTGGGTGCGCGCGGGGAGGAGGGCTCAGGGAGGTCACCGAGCCCGTCGATCTCGTCGATAAATTCGTCTATTTCGACAATGGGCAGGGTCGGTAGCGACTTGTCGTGCCGCACCCGCCTGTCAGACCTGCCAGGGGGCGAATCAGGCTCATCCTTGGAGTGGCGACGGTACGGGCTCGGGGGCCCGTCGTTCATGTCGATGGCGCTGTCTGGTGCGTCACCCACTGACGAGGACCCACTGTGCGTCTGATGACGATCTTCGCGATCTCCAGTTCCACGTGCGTGTGTCTGTAAGTGCCGTGGGGGCTGCTGGGCCTCCAATCTCTCGGCCTCGAGCCTGTAGCCCAGATTTGTCGCCTGCAGCTGCATCGCGTCCAGATACTTCTCGATGTCCGACACGGCGTAGATGGACCCGAATTCGGCCTGCAGCCTTGCCCGGAGGCCACCCATACTGCCCATGACACGGGTCAGGTCGCTCTTGATGTCCTCATTTACCGACGCCTGCCGCTCGATCGAGTCGTCATACATGGATGCATCGCTGTCGATGGAGAGCTGGTCGTTGTCCCTCTTGGTTTTGGTCCTAAACGTGTATAGAAACGCCGTCAGCATAGATCCGCGAGAGTATCGTGGAGACTCAGGTCTGTTTACGACGGATATTGGACATAAAAGTACGCACAATCCAACGAGGTCTGTCACCACGGCCAGAGTGGATTTGTATCCCTCTAGCGTCAGTCTGAGCTTCTCCATGTCTCCTCGTATGGCCATCCATCTGTATTTTTTGTCCCTTGCCGAGAGGCCTAGGCCATTGCAAACGTGCATGTAGCCCTCGATCTGGTGCACTATGCTTGTGCAATGCTCCAGAAGAGGCGGGGTCCGCTTGGCCAGTGCCTCGGGAAAGCTCGAGGCGTCATCTTTCAGGATATCGAGGACCCCATCCAGGGAATGGAGCTCGGCGAGCACTGCATCGAGCTCTGCCCGTGCCTCTCTGACTTCCCGGATGAAGCCTCGCAGGGTCGGTGATGTTTTCGAAATTGCATTGTTCGTTGCAAAGCACGCCGTTGAGATGGATCTGTCAAAGATGGAGAAGCGTGTGTTAGTGCCGCGCCGGCTGGTTGGATCAAGCTCAAGCTGTCTGGTTTGTGTTGGAGATGCTGCACGGCACGACGGAGCCGCATGTGCAGAGGCGCCAGCGCTGGCAGTGAGTGCCAAGGGGCCCTCCCTCGATCGAAAACGGGGACTAACAGCCGGGAAATTAGGCCTGGGGAGGAAAAGGAGACTCACATGTAGTCCATGGTGCCCGCAACGGCAGCAGCAGCTCACGCTTCTGCCTCTGTACAAAATATTATGGATATGGATATGGATATTCAATTCACATGTGCCGGCCCAGTCAAGGGAAGACAGCAGGAACAAGAATGTAATAAGTTGAGATTAGGCGAGTGGGCTATTGATTGATCGTGAAGTGGGTGGGACGCACTTTTCAGGTCCTGACCGCCACCCCCCCCCCCAAGGTTCCTGTCCTACCACCCCTACATACAACAGGATTCTATCTTCTTTACTTCGCGTTAGCTGACGGGTGGTACGCAGGACCGCCGCAATCTACCAAGTACCCATACCCGGACTACTACCCACTGCAACGCAACGCAACCACACGTTGTCAAGATTGGTGCGGCGGCCCCCAGGAGGCGCCATCCTAGGAAGTTAATATCCTTGCAACTTGCTCGTGCTGGCCTTGTAGCGCTGGCGAAAGGGCAGCGAATCCGATGCTGTCGACACCGCAGGTTTGCTCAAGTGTGGCTTTCCCTGGAGCCGCTGCACGCCCAGTCTCTCTGAGGACCGATTGGCAGAAATCCACCTGCACTGGCGGACCCTCCTGACACTCGGGCCTCCCCAGGATCCCCCAACGTGCAGGACGACCTGGTATGCTGCAAGGATGCGCCCGATCAGCCTGTTAAGTTGTGGGTGACGTCTGCTCGGGGACCAGGAGCCAGGGTCCAGGCCATCAACGGCCACAGCGATCACAGGGCCACCGGCGGAGCTTCTTCCCAAGACTACCTACCCACATGGAGATCGTGTTTGACATTCCCAGGCTCGCCAGGCTTGCCACAAGTTGCCAGGCTGCCAGGGCCCATGCCTGGCTGCTGCACAGACTTGGTTCAGCGCCCACAGACCTGTCCCGGGACGAAGACGGCAGCACTGGAGCACTATCCGCCTTCCAGAAACGGGCACGGATCGGCACAAGTCGACGACTTCTCCGCACTTGAGAGCCGCGGTGAGCCCAAGAGCACAGAAGATGGAGTATAATAGAGCGGTATGTACGAATAAATGAACTGCATGCGCAGTCTTTCTGCTCGACCGTTGCCCCTGGCTAGTCGAAAAGGAGCCAAAGAGCCTAGGGCAGAAAGAGAAGACGAGCCGAGGGACCCACTGGTCAGATGCTCTGGTGTTCCAGTGTCTGGCTGTCTGGCTGTCTGGCTCACCCCGTCTGTCTCGTCTTTTCTTTTCCCAGCTTCCCTCTTGTTGCTTGCAGACTGTGGTGGTCCTGCACCGCAAGATCTTGCGGGGAAAGTCTACTTTGGGCCTCCGATGGGACCCTGCTCAAGCGTCGTGCTTCCTAAACAGGCTGGTGGGATCGTCCGGGCGGGGGCCGTGGGACTGCCCAGCCTGTCCTGCTACTGGGCGTGACCACCCACCCGGCAATTCTTCCCTTATCGTAAAGAGTCGGGAAAGCTCCGCGTCGCGACATGCTCGACTCAGCAGTAGTGTAGGAGCTGACTGTGACGGCGGTAGCGGATAGCAATACGGATACACATATCAGTGATGATAGCCGATAGTCAAGATTCAACTACTGCTGACTGAACACAAAAAGAGTGCACACTGCCGAGTGGCCGGATCGACGGGATGACGGGGTGATAGAGTGACGGAGTGACGGAGTGACAGAGTGACAGGGCGACTGTCGCATCGATGTACCCAGACGGCAACACACGTGCACGAGGAGGATTCTCGCCCCCGTGTGCCGTCCAAAGGGACCTTGGCTTGCTTGGAACCTTGGGAAGTGGCCTACTGTAACGGCCCGCAACAGGCTGGGCGGGTCTGGTCTGGACCCCAGCTGCTGGCCTTGCATGCTGCACCATGTCTGGCGAGAAAACGGTGGACCAAGTGGCTGGACGCTGTGCGTTCCGAATCGTTTCCCGCGCCGAAGGAATCTCGCCGATCCCCACCTCGTGCCCTCTGGCCCTCTGGCTTCTCAGCTTCTGCCCGTCCTTCTCTGCATGTTGCCACTAGGGCTTACTGTCACTGCCAATAGACGCGACGCAGTCAGACCTTGTCTCTCAGCTTGCCCTGCGATAAGAGGGCAGGCTGCAGGTCCACAGCATCCGTCTGTCTTTCGGCTGGCGTGCGGCGGCATATCAGCTGGAGCCCTGTCTTCTTTTTTAAGCGCAGGGCACTACGGCGTCAAGAGTGTCTTGAGCCTCCGGGCTTGGCACTTGTTGCCCAGTGGCCCTGTGCAGATGTTTAGCCTGCATTGCACAATATTGATATCCAGAATAGAACCCCGTTGCCTCCTCAAGTGCTACCACGGGGCCATTTTCGAACCCGAATGAGGCTCGGTTGTGCCACCAATCTCAACATCATGCGATTAATCTCTCAAGCTCGCGACTTGAAACCCGGTGTGGGCTCACCCAGCTCAGTGCTTCGAGTCCACTCCGGCCTGTCGACCTCGTACAGTGTTTCCGGGAGCGCTCTTCTACTGGCTCAACGACATTCTCCGATTAAGAACATTCGAACCAACTGCATACATGTGCATCATCTCAACCGGAACTCGCTCGGTGCTCTCGGGACGGGACACAACCCCACGACGTAGTTTATTCTTGCCGTGCATTCCGGCCCAAGGACGTGCGAAGAAACTCTCCTCGGCGGCCGTGCCGGGCCTCGTCACCTCGGACGGCTGACGTGGAAGGCCGGATCTCCGGACCACTGGATTCACGAACACGTGTAGAAGGAAAAACAACAACGCTGTGCAGCCTCAGCTTTGCTCCCATTCGTCGTAATCTTCTTGCCTTGTGTCCATTTTGAATGGTCGCTCTAGTATTCGGTCTCACGGTGACTGCTTGTCCAGGCCGGGTTGCCTACTTCGAGGTCCCGTCATCTCTAGTCAGGCTCTGCCGGTGCTTGATCAGACGAACTTTGCCAACCATCTACCCCTCTTCCTCCACATCCATCCCTCAACAAACTTGCTAATCCACACCCTGGTTGAGCGGCTGTCCGATTTCCCAGAGTCTCTTGGGCTTCGAGTCAGTCGCTCTCACTTACTTTGTCCCCGTCTCTGACGATCTATCACAGTCGAGCACATCGCATCTTCACCTACACGCACACACATACAGATGTGATGTCCATCGTAGTGTGCATTTTAGTGTGCACACGACCAGTCAACAAGTATAGTGACTTAGTTTACTTGTTGTCCAGTATTCGTCCAGGGTCTAGGATGTTGCAGCCCAAACCTTGGAACACTGGTTCTCACAATCCATCTCCATTAGCTCTCCAAATATGTCAGGATACGCGCACTTGAGCAGCATGAACCAATATGCGACCAGCAACCCGTTCATCACCATGCTGCCCGCTACTCCTAGTGACGTCAAGCTTCACATGCCCAACGGTTCGAGGTGGTGATCCCAACGCCCACCAGCCGAGGGTTTCCTCAAGGGACGACCCTGGGCTGTCCGGGATGTTTCGACGCCATCGGACGCGGGGGAGAACAGGTGTGGCGTCTGGGGTAGGTTGGTGTGGCTCCCGGGTGCCGAGGCTGTCCAAGGTTCTGAGCGACGATCATCCATGTGAGCTCGACTCCGGATCGAGCCGTGGCCACATTCATGCGCTGTTGTCGAGATGACGGAGGAGTCTTGTTATCTTGGTAGCATTGATCTCGGATGGTTGCACGTGGACAGCTTGCACTGGCAGTGGTCAATTGGATGCGGTTTGAGACCGATTGGCTTCCCAGGCTATATCTATACATACTTGCTACAATATCTCCGATGCACGATGAGGCCGGTCGTAGGACGAGGGTCTCGCCGCATTTTGCGTATTGATCAAGCTGCAGTACATATTGTAATCGTGGTAATCGTACTGCTTGACGAGAGCTGGAGTGGAGGCAGCTCTGGCCCCGGTAAGGTTCAGGTTGCATTCTCATCACTTGCTACAAAGCTTGGTGTCGATGAATACCCGGGGGTCAGACCTTCGGTTGCCCCCTACGCCTGCCGGCGTAGGGGGTGCCAAAACCCCCGCACGGCCAAAACCCCCACACACTTAAGAAAAATAAAACACTATACTTAACTTAGTCTAACTTACTTAATAAAAATAGTATAAAGTAAAGGAAAATAGTTATATAGACCTTATTTTTTAAGGAATTTAAATAAAATAAGTATAAAATTCTAGGGTTAGAGTTTAACTAAATTTTATTACTTTTTAATATTTATATAATTATAAATATATATTTTAAATACTTTTATATTAATATAAAAAAATATATTATTATAATCCTTATAATATAAAGAGTATTTATAAAATAATTTTAAAAACCTAGGGTTAGAGTTTTATAACTTATATAAAGTATATAAAGTAAAGAAAATAAATAAAATATATAAAGTAAAAAATAAAGAAAATAAATAAAGTAATAATTTTATTTATTTATTTATTTATTTATTTATTTTTTATTTATTTATTTATTTATTTTGTTTATTTATTTATTTATTTATTTATTTATTTATTTATTTATTTATTTATTTATTTTTTATTTATTTATTTATTTATTTTTTATTTATTTATTTATTTATTTATTTATTTATTTATTTATTTATTATTTATTATTTATTTATTTATTTATTATTTATTTATTTATTTATTTATTTATTTATTTATTTATTTATTTATTTATTTATTTATTTATTTATTTATTTATTTATTTATTTATTTATTTATTTATTTATTATTTATTTATTTATTTATTTATTTATTTATTTATTTATTTATTTATTTATTTATTTATTTATTTATTTATTTATTATATAAAATTTAAAGTATTTATTAAATAAATATAATAAAATTATATTTTATAAATTATATTATAAATTTAATTATAAATTAATTTTTAATTAATTAAATAAAATCAACTATATATATATTAAAAGAAAATTACTTTTATATTTATATTAATTATTTTATATTAATTCTATTAATTAAAATTATAAAAATATAATAAATTAATTAATAAATATATTTAAAATTAATATATTTATTTATTAAAGTTATTTTATAAGTTATATAATAAAATTAAATTAAAATAAAGTTTATTTTTAATTACTTTAATTTTTAAAAATATTTATTTTAATTTAATATTAAATAATAAGTAAGAAAAATATATAAAAATAATATAATATATTCTTTTAAAATTTACTATAAAACCTTAACTTTAGATTTTTAATTATATTTTATAAATACTTTTATATTATAAGGATTATAATAATATATTTTTATATTAATATAAAATTATTTAAAATATATATTTATAATTATATAAATATAAAAGTAATGAAATTTAATTAAACTTTAACCCTAAAATTTTATATTTATTTTATTTAAATTTCTTAAAAATAAAGTTTATAAAACTACTTTTTTATTTTATACTATTTTTATTTTTCTTTTAAATATAAAGTTAAAAATTTATTATTATAATTTTATAATTAGTTTTTATTTAATTATATTATATTATTATAACCTTATTTAGTTTTAACTTTATTTAAGCCTCTTTTTAAGCTTTTCTAACTTTAATATTTTTAAAAAAGTTAAAACTTTACATTCCTTAATTTTAAGTTTAAAATTCTTATAAATTTTAATATACTTTAAATTAAGTTTATAATCCCTTAACTTCTTTAAAAATATATTAATTATCTTAAATATTAATAACTTCTTCTTAAAGTAGAGATTTACTTTTATATAATTATAAACCTAATTATTAATAGTTATTTTTTTTTATTTATAGTAAAGTTATTAAAACTATAAATTTAAATACTATATATAGTAATAGAGTATAATTACCTTACCTAGAGGTTGTCTCTTAGTTTAGTAGTATAGTAGGCTGAGTGACTACTTTTAAGTGGTTTTACTTATAATATAGTAGAGCTAATAGATAGGTATTTACTTAAGTAGAGCTAGAACCCTTAAGGGAATAGCAGCTTTTATCTTTACCTATTTCAATTAACTTATATTTACCTAAGTTATATAGTAATATTATATATAATACTTAATAATATTAAAACTAGCCTATAGTTTATAATAACTTTAACTTTTAATAAACTAATTTATATTAAAATTAATAACACTAACCTAAACTAATATAGTCTAGTATATTAATATAAAAAGATATCTTCTAATAATAAATAGTATTATAAATATAATAAATTATAAAATCACTATAAAAAGTCCTATATAATAAACTTAATTAAATTAATCTTTAAAAGATATATTATATTTTATTCTTTTAAAACCCTAACTATTCACTTCTAGCTTAATAGTAGAACTAAAAAAGTATAAATAGTCTATACTATTTTTATTTAAATAAGTTAGACTAAATTAAGTATAGTGTTTTATTTTTCTTAAATATATAGGGGTTTTAGCCGTGCGGGGGTTTTAGCACCCACTGCGCCAGCAGTGGGTTCCTCGGAGCGAGAGCGAACCCACGGGTATATACCTGGTAGCCAGGTTCTTTGCGTCATCTTGATGTCTACTGCAGGATGCCCCAATGGCATCTATGAAATATCCAATCATGCTATATGAGCAGGGACGCTTCGAGCAACTGCTGTGTCTCACACGGCGTGCACGCAAGGATGTTTGCGCTTCCAACGCGGCTATCAAAGGTCAAGGGCAAATTTGGCTTCAAAGGCTGGGTTAAATAGGTCTCTTGCAAAATCCCCGAACGACGTCAAGTTTCCATGTTGCAAAGTGCCCCGTGATCGACCAGCCATCGAGCCGAGAAAGGTCCCGAGCCAGCCCGCCGCCAGTCAACCCACTTTGTGTTGGTGTTTCCGGCGGTTTCGATGGGTGCAGTGAATGCTCTTGGCAGTGACCCTTGGCCACGGTCTCGTTATGTTTGTGTTTCGAGGTACAGTGCGCCCAGGTGGTCTCGTGGTCGAGGCCAGGCCGGCCGTCTCTCACAATTCTTCAATTGACCTCGAGGACTGCATCTCATTGGGCCCTGCTCGCACCATCCGGCCTCGTTTTGGGCCACGGGGACAGCCACCGCAACAACACAGGTCCCTGATACCCCATCAACCGTAACGGGCCAATTTTGTACGGGGCCATGATACTGTCACGGACAGAAACCCAAATGATCGATGCTTGTATAGAGGCCGCAAGGCCTCTTGCTAGAGGTGAGAGCGCCCGGGCGCCCTCAAATGAATTGACTAAATACTTTCCGGCACCAGATTTTAATCCCCCAAACCTTGGCCCTTTATCCTTATTCCAAATCTGTCGGTCCTAGTACTTTCTGACCGTGAAGAATCTCCACGCTCTCTTTGTACACCATTTGGAACTTTCAAAAGGCCGTCAAGAATCCACATGTCGTCTTACAGATCACCCTCATATCTGAGGGACAAGCCAATTTCATTCCTTATTCAGTCGAGCCTCATATTGACCCAAGTCGCTGGGTCGCCGCTTCCTGCGTCCTCAGACTACGAGAAGTTTCACTCCGAAGTTCGGTCATTAACAGGAGATGGCCCACTGGAAGATTGGGACTTCGAGAAGTTTCACCCCGAAGTTCGGTCATTAACAGGAGATGGCCCACTGGAAAAGTGGGAAATAGCAATCTTGATACTGGGTTGCTTGTTCGGTATCATGATACTGGGTGCCCTCGGCGGTATCTGTGAGGTCATGCTGAGCGGTAAAATCAAGCAGAGCAACGCTGAAGCCGAGGCCAAGTTGGAAGGACTCGGAAGTCGGGGCATTGCTGGTGAGGGTGAGGGTGGGAAACTAGAGGCCGGTGAGGCCGGGGTCATAGATGAGGACCGTTACTCATGGCAGCCGGAGAGGATGACTACTGGCCTAAGCGACGACTCCACGCTGGCTGGGTCAGATCCCGGGGCCTCTCACTCGGATATCCCTCGCGGTGAAGGAGACTATTACGGAGACTCTGAAGCCGCTCAGCAGACAGGCGAACAGTACTCGGCATGGAACGGCGAAAGCCTGCCTCATCCGGACTCCTCACAATTTGTCATAGACGACGTGGACAGCCCCGGCTATGAGAACCACCATGATGATTCTCAGAACTACGAGGCTTACCCAGGGCACCTGAGTCCACCCCCAGCCATGCTGAGGAGCAACGACTATTAAGGAAAAGACGCGGAGGACCAAGACTGGAACCAAGGCGGGGATGGAACATTCTACCCTGACTCTTCTGAGGCCGGGTATGTGGTTGCAGCTTCCGATGGACACATAGAACAGTCGACCATGCCTCCGCCCGGGGATTATTCAGGCGAGGGTTATAGCCCAGCCGTCATGCCCGACTCGGCCGACTACCTCAATGAATATCGGCAAAGCCAGCTGTACCTGCAGCAGGATGACGATTGGTATACCGTAGCAAATGCTTAGTATGGGCCCCAGGGGGGAAATGCCCCAGCAGGAACGGCGCATTAGGGAGGGAAGTATATTCGGGAAATAAGCATAATGGCGCCTCTTGAATTTTAAATTATTAGATGCGCATTGCAACAGCATGGATAGATTTGAACTGCTACAGTGGCTGGTTGACGGTTTGTTGTTGAACTCAGGTACAAGGAAAAAACAATAGTGGTGAGAGATCCTTGAGTAAAAGGGGCATGCCCGGGTAGTAGACTGACTGGTCTTTAGGCTGTTAGGCCTATGGGATTCATAGAATAAATCAACAGAGCTGGATTTCAATAATTGGGTAGGATATTGTAACCGCAATAGGGAAGTGTTCAAGTGGCATAGACTGCAAGTGATGTCGTCCATGGAACACTGCCACAGGGTGGTGAATTTGCCACATGACTATCTATCTACCTACCCATGTACTGCTTTAAACGCCATGGAGGTTATGTTTGATGAGTACTTCGACGCAGCCTCCAGAATTGAATGTCTCTGCAGACCCGGTCTAGCATTCATGTACACTGTTATCCATATACATGTAGTCCCTGTCGACTTTGATTCATTTGTTGGTCCACGTGACACCAGAATCTGGCGTTTCCCAGCCCGCGGTCGTAGCATTCGCTAATTTCATCTTGGGGCCCCAGTCCGGCTGTGCCTTATTTAGTGTCAGCCTGAGATTCTTCCATTCAAAGCTCTCAAGAGTGCCGCAAGAATTGGTAATGCACTCGCTCTGGGAGTTAAACACCCCCGGGCGCATTCCAGGGCTGCCGGTCTGGGTCGAGAACACCTCCCTGCCGATGTAGATTGTCTGCGTGACCGCTTCACCAACAGAGATCTCCATGTCTAGAGTCGTGCCGACGGCGACTGGCGTGAAGCCGGCGCTGTACTGGACTTGCTCCTCGCCGACCCACGTACTCGCGGTGCCGCACCATGTCTCGGCGTTGCAGGCCGGGTCCACTACCACATTAGGGGTTGGACCCCAGACAAACAGTGGTTGAACGAAACTCATGTATAGGGTGCTGCGGTTGCCTGGGTTGTCTTGCATCCCGATCCAAAGTGCCACCTGCTCATCGCCGCCTGGAACATAGCCGCATGGGATGTTTGGCAGTGTGACTGAGTAGGTGGCGTGGACAATCCAGTTGTTAAATGGGAGGGTTTTCATGAAAAAGCCGTTGCCTCGCTTTCTGTCGCCATCCCAGGGATCAGCAGTTGCTCGACCGATGAGGGCCTCAACAATTATAGCAATCGCGAGCAATAGCATCCCGTTGTCCAAGTGAGAAGTTGGGAAATTCGTTTTGTCTTTCCCTGAGACGAGTACTAATAAAGATGAGAACCAACCATGAACAGTGCTCAAGAAAGCCATGCCAATGGCCGGACGTGGTTGAGATATATTGCTGCAGCACGGTTCCGACGCCGTGACCAGCCGCTCGCCTGCAAAGATAACCCGGTCGCCTCAAACCTGGCGAACTCTACCGACGGGCAACCAGGTTCTCCGCAACGTGCAACGTTGTGTGCCAGCTATAATTAGCCATTCTTTCCTGTTCTTGTTCAGATCAGGACCAAATATGGATATTATATCACTATTTGCCTGTGCTGAGTGAACTCTAATCGTCGTATTGTACATTTCTCAATCTCGCTTACCATTTAATGCACGCAGAGATCATGCATTGGAAGTTTCCGGCGAGCAATCGAAACTTTCGCCAGCAAGGTTCCGCAATGTTGGTGTGCTCTCCAAGGTTGGCGGGAAACCTTGGAAGGGCAGGCCCCCTGTGGTGCTGGCTGTTATTCACCCACAATCTTGGAGATGTCACAGCGCAGAGAAGCCCGTTCATTAACCTCTGTGTCTAATCAGTACTAGTGTCTGCAATTGCATATTTGATAGCTCGAGGGACCGATATCTCTCCGAAAAATGTTGTCCAAAAGAGTCTAGTCCGTCGATTTGCGGCGCGTTGTCATCGAGTCCGTGACGAATATCAACGAAGCCTGTGATGGTCTGGAATGTGATGAAATTATGGCCACAGAAGAAACGTGAGACGTTGATAAATCACGGCAGCACGAGTGCAGAATAATACTGTAAACAGACGGCAATTGCGAGACACCTTCAGCCACTGTACGTCATAGATATCGTGTTTTTCGCGAGACCTATAATAACATTGCCTGGTTCCTGAGATGTTGTCTTTCGACATCGGATGTCCCCCTTTCCAGGCATCATCATTATATATTCCCAATGAGTATACGGAATAGAAGCGAAACCACATATTCCCAATGTAAACACGGTCGAAACACTGCGTGACATCTAAAGCTGGGTCTTGATCGACTACCTGTGTGGAGGGGTCGCTTCCAGCTCTGTATGAGCTTCAAGTACACGCTCGGAGTAAAAACACCACCACTTGCTGTCGAAAATGGCCGGAATATTGGAGTGCATCCGGGCTGACGAAAGCGCAGGGGACTGGGCCGAGGAGCTTCACCGCGCTTTATGGGCCCAGGAGGAATCTATCAATGCCCGTGTCTACATCCGGCCTTTGATACACCTTAACAAATGTTACATCGAGGAATTGCCCGACAAGCTCCTGGCCAATATTTTCAATGAAGTCGTGACCGACAGCTCAAGAGACATCCTCAGTTCCGTCAGGACCAACAGACGCTTTCACGACCTCGCCATTCCGCTGCTGTACCGCTGCCTCGAATTGCTTCCTGGTCGTTCAAGAGAGGACATGCAGTCGCTCGGCCTATCATTCCGACGGCACCCGGAACGGCGAGGGTACGCAAGGGAGGCGAAGCTCCATGGAGGCTCCGACAAACCCAGATCCCTGGGTCAGTTCCCTGTCCTGTTCAGCCGCGATGCGTTTCCAAACATCAAGCGACTACATGGAATCCGGGTCGCCGTCACCGACCTTCAAAATCTCGCGGCTGTCGGTGGGGCTTCGACAGGCACATCGACGATTGAGGAGCTGGTCTTTGAGGATTCGGACATCAGTCCTGCCGGTTTGGATGCATTGATGAGTGCATGTAAAGTTGTGAGGAAGCTCGTCTTGCACTGGGGTCAGGGGAACGCAGAATCACCCCGCGACGGTGAATATCTCAACGAGGCAATGGGAGCAGCCATTGCACGTCACGCGGCGACCATCGACACGCTTGAGTTCAACCCCGATGGGACCCAGATTGGTACGGCTCCTGAAAATCAACCTCGCAGTCTGAAGGACCAGCTCGCCTCCTTCATGGTGCTTAAAGACTTGACGATTCACTTGGCTTGTTTCTCCGGGGGTGACATCTCATCGTCTACCGTCAACACGGAACTGATGGCTGAGAGACGATTTTATGACTTCTTACCCACGTGCCTTGAGCGCTTGGCCTTGATCGGAGAGCCCGACCAACCGACGAATGGCCAGTCAGCTGAAACCCGTCGAAAGAACGCAAGCCTGAGGACCGAGTTCACAATGTTTTTCAATGAATGTGGCCCCGCCGGCCGATTTTCGAGGATGAGGGAAGTCCAGTTCCCCGGATGGGTGGACGATCCGAACCAAGGATGTGACGGAGACGTCTTGCCAGAGTTGAAGGTCCTGGCATCGCAGGCGAATGTCTCCATTGCATTCAAAGGCAAGGCTCTATCATGTGAACATTGAAGCCGTGCCAGTTCTCGTGAGTAGCATAGTCTAACGCGAGCTTCTGCTAGATGGCCTGCGGTAAGATTGTCTGAGGATGATGGCAAGATGTGGCTGGTGCTTTTCTGGGTCACAACTAGAGGACCAGGTGCGACGATGGTATCAGAGCTTGGATTGAAATACTGCGTAAGTGTGATATCTCCGCTAAACACTCAAGGCGCGAGAATGAAAGCTAACCGGGGTCGCAGGGCGCATGCGGTCTCATCTCGCTGAGATGCCCATGGTGGACGGGGGGCCTCAGGGCAATTCGGGTACAAGTTACCTAATTTGAGCATGATTTCAGGTTACAACAGTGGCGGTCTCACTAACATACAATATTAATGTAACACCCACCCCCCCAACTCCAACAAAAAAGAATCACATGATGCCGTAGCAGACTGGGGGTCTACCACCAGCCTAATTCACTTATGGATAGAAATGATTTCGTTAGCCATCTATTCAGGGTTGCCCTTGATGCTGTTCCCTGAAAGGTGATCCTGTGAGGTCCTATCTTCTAAGAGCCCTGGAAGTTGTGCTGTAGACAGTCAGAAAGAATAGATATTGCAGTGTAGCGGAAGGTTGAGGGAGCTTGTAGCCAGGAAGAGCATGGGGTAGTAGACGCAGAATTAACGATGCTATCCTATACGATAGCAGGCCGTCGCACTTTCGCGATATCAACCTGTCGAAAGAAGGATATCTCACAGAAGAAGGATGCAGCAATGGTCTCGCCACGAAGGCCCGCAGATCCCATCCGTTTATGTCGACTGCTTATGTCGACTGCTTATGTCGACTGCTTATGTCGACTGCTTATGTCGACTGCTTATGTCGACTGCTTATGTCGACTGCCATGCACAAAGGTTTCACGGCCTGGCGTCTCAACACTTGATCCCGGCTCTCTTGTCCCGAGAGGATGCGGGTGCACAAAGTCGACAAGCTGACGGTCCTTTTACCGCCTCCCGCTCATGCAGCGCGCCAAGCACGTCAGAGGCTGTAATACATTCGTCCCAGCTCGCACAGATTGTGATTTACCAAGGGGCAGGATGACAGTCATATCATGCCCGATGATGTGGTGCAACCTCAGGCTCACATAAGGTTCAGTCCCGACTGGTCGAGCTCATGCAGCTTTGGCCGCTTTGCTGCCGAGACATGCATTTGGCTTAAAGTTGGGGTGGAGTGCAGGACCTCCACTCTGGGCACCGATGCGATGTCTAGATTCTACAGTTGTATATTACTCATCCGCCGTCGAACTCTCAGGAGGCTTATCTGGTGACATCTTTACCTTCTGCGCTCATCAGGCCCCGCAGCCATGGATGTGCCAACCACCACAATCACTCAAAAGGGCGTCATGAAGACCGAGGACCATCGCCACAGCCTTGAACATGAGAACTCTTCGGATTCCGGTGGGCAGCAGGTTCCCGCAATCACTGCTGCCATGGAGAAACGTCTGAGGACAAAGATTGATTTCGCCATTTGTCCGATGGCCTGTCTTCTTTACATTTGTTGTTTTATTGATCGCGCCAATATAGGTACGCTAGATCACCCTGAATCCGGTTTCACTTCAAGAGTCGCTGGGCACTAACGCTGGCTGTGTATATGTCAAGGTAACGCGAGAATTGCTGGGCTCGAGCAGGAGGTCGGTCTGCGTGGGTACGACTTCAACATAGCCCTGACCTGCTTCTCAACTGCGTATATAATATTCCAGATACCCATGAACATCTGCTGCAAATGGATTGGACCCGGCTGGTTTCTGCCCGGATGCACCCTCGCCTTTGGTATCGCCTCGATCGGCACGGGGCTTGTGCGCACTCCAGGCCAGCTCTTCGCCGTACGCTTTCTGGTCGGTGCTTTCGAGAGCGTGGTGATGCCAGGAATGGCGTATTATCTTTCTCGATGGTACTGCCGCGCAGAGCTCGGCTTCCGCCTGTCTTTGTATATCGCCATGGCCCCACTGGCCGCAGCATTTGGCGGCCTGTTGGCTTCGGCCATTCTCACCATCCCAGGCATCGGGATGCTACATGGATGGCGATTGATATTTTTCGTTGAGGGAATCATCACTGTCGGGGTTTCTATCGTGGCATTCTTCCTCATGACTGATCGACCGGAGACTGCTCGATGGCTGACACCCGAGGAACGTCGATTGGTGGCACATCGCGTCTCGGCGGAGAGACTGGCAGGGAACGTTCTGCTGGACAAGATGAACCGCACGAAATTGTGGCGTGGAATCGCCAATCCCATCACACTGGCCACGGGCTTTATGCTCTGTATGAACGCCTTGACGGTCCAGGGCCTGGGGAACTTTCTACCGACTGTCGTGGCTTCCATCTATCCAGACGCGCCAGTAACGAGGCAGCAGCTGTACACTGTGCCACCAAATGTCGTCGGGGCCGTACTCACAGTGGCACTCTCCGGGCTCTCGTGGGCCATCGACAGGCGGCAAATTATCATGACCTTGACCGCCCTGCCGGTTCTCACTGGCTATGCCATATTCCTCGGGACGCTTAACCCACACGCTCGCTATGCGGCGACATTTCTGATCGCCAGTACGCTATATACCATGGGCAGCATGACCAATGCGCAAATCAGCTGCAATGTTGTCAATGACAGTGGTCGAACGGCGGCAATGGCGACAAACGTGATGGTTTCTGCTTTCGGGGTGAGTAGATGCTGTCGTCCTCGAAATCCTTGTGCTGTTCGTCTAACCTCCCGTACTTCGCTAGGGCCTCGTCTCGACGTGGGCTTTCCTGCCGTTTGATGGGCCCTACTACCCCATCGCCAACGGCATCAACCTGGGGACATCAAGCACGTGGTGTTTAGTTGGAGTTGCGACAGAAATGTGGATGCGCTTTGATAACCGACAGAGGGATTCAAAGAGATCTACGGTCGAGCTAGCTGGCTTGAGCAAGGAAGAAGTCCAGAATCTTGACTGGAAGCATCCTGACTTCAGATGGCGACCTTAGATACTTCCGACCCTTGGGCCTCTCTCTCCACTCTCTGCAAGTCGTCAAAGAACCCACCAGATGGCATGCAGAGGTCTGCTTGCGTAGAAGGTGCTCGTGGCTTGGAATTGGACTGAATACCATCATGGCACCTCATCTGGCGATCGACAGACGCGGGTACTTTACAAGGGCTAGGAGAACATAGCCTTGAGATCGTTCCATTGCATAGGATTGGATGATCAATTTAGTCAGTATGCTGATGTCCAATGAATAACTTATGCCCGTCTTCAAGCCAGATCTTGCGGTCTGAATAATCAATCGGCCTGGTAGCACATCACAGGCTGGCTGCCGGCCCCGCATGACGCCATTCACGTAGACAAGCTCGCAAATGCTGCCAACCACCAATCGGACCACATTTCGACAGCATCCCGGGTGTCCAACAGCGAAACGTTGAGACATAGGCTTCAGATAACACTATTCGCCGGTGGACTTTGTCATAACGTCAAAGATGCAAGGCCCCATCCAGCATACGTGATCGCTACTATTCGACCGCTGAGCTGCGTTGTGTCCCAACATTGTGGCTAAGACCTGGGGCTGACTGGGCTATATAATGAGCGAGGCGCATCCTGAGTTCTTAAGACAGCATTCCATTGACCGCGCCTCAAATAATTATTACACGTTTTCTTCTTTAACAAATACTATCCCGATTACCTCCTTAACCTACGCACATCACACGCATCCCCTTGACCATGTCTACCAACGCCACATATGACTTTGTCGTCCCCATCTTTATCAAGGGCCTGACAACATACGACCACATCCTGTCCAAAGCTGAGGCTTATGCTAAGGAAAAGGGTGTCGATGTCGACGCAACGTTCTTCGAGGCACGCCTGGTTGAGGACCAGCTGCCTCTGAACTTCCAGGTCCAGAACACGGCAAAGATCGCACAGATCAACCTTGGCCGCCTAACCGGACAAGAGATTACGCCTTTCGAGGCCGATGAGAAGACGGTGGCAGGTCTCCGCAAGGTGGTCCAGAAGACACTTGAGCTGCTGAAATCTGCCGATGCAAGCAAGGCTGCTGGGAGAGAGGAGACCACCATTGACCTGTGAGTGTCGTCCGTTAGATGCTACCCTAGGGTAGTGCTGGTACAGCAGAACATGATACTGATGATCTATGCAGCCCTGCCCTTGGGAAGACACACAAGTCTACCGTCAAGGCTGCAGTTGTCAACCACGGCCTGCCTAACTTCTATTTCCACTTGGTGACTGGCTACTCAATCCTCCGGTCTAAAGGTGTTCAAGTGGGCAAGGCCGACTACCTTTCTAGTTTCCTGGGGTTCTAGATGCGAGGGCCTGTAGCCTTTAGATAATAGTAAACGAGGTTGGTGGTGGCTGGCACAGGGCTGTGCCGTCTCTGGATTGAAAACTTGAAGAGCGGCCCGAAAAGCACCTATGTAAATTTTTTAGAAAGCAGGTAAAACAATATAAAAAATCACAAAGCATACAAAATTCCAATGTCTCAAGAGGCTGTTGTCAGTCGCGGGTGCTACGCTAGAGCTTCCTTCTTGCGAGACAGCTTGTCTGCGTCATTAGGGGGCAACCCGCCGAGGCGGACACATTCACAATCAGAATTAGCGAAACCGAGGACAAATGAAATTGCACGGAAAGGAGACATACTCGGTATCTGTTGAAGCTGCTGTGGAAACTGTGGGTTTTCAAGTCAAGTATGTAATCTGTCTAGTTTGCTTCGCTGGGAACATGAAGCACTACTTACCTTTCATGGGCCAAGACGTATCAAGCACGCATCAGTCTGACATGAGGATAATAGAGCCGGGGCTAGAACAAATACCGGCGGCAAATGTGAGAGCTTACAAACCTGTGACCTACCTTGAAGCCAGTCTACCGAGCAGTACCGTCGAGACTCCTTTAAGTGCCGTGGGCAAATTTGTTACCCTTCCTACCGTAGTCGGCGTCATTCCTGTTGGTGCGGGGTCCATCGCCTGATGACTGGCGCCGGTGCCTCGTATAGTCTGTTCCATGTGTCTGCGCGCCCATGCCGCTGCCCACATCATAGGTCGGCCGCTTAGAGATCGGGGATGGGTTGTAATAATCGTCAGCCTCCCCATGCAGCTCATCCCCCTGGCTTTCGTATGCTGCGACTGGCCGACCAAGAGCGTCCGCTGGCGAGTGCCCAACAGGGTTCCGAGACCGGGTCGGGGCCGGAGCCGCCAAGGGAGGGTCCTGAGGCTGATGACGGTTCGTATCCTGGAAGTCAAGGCCACGCTCAACGTCAACCGACCGTTGCCCTCGATCTCGCTGCCGTCCGTGCCGAAAAATGAAAGTCATCATAACAACCTCTACGAGAATGGCAATGATGGCAAGGGCGAGGGCTGCGCCGGCGTTTCTCTCCATATCGCCCAACCTTGCCTGGAATTCCGCCATGCTCGTTGAAGGTTGGGGCTGGAAACTGTGATGATGTGTAAGTAAGCAGCGAAATGGGGCAGGGGATGGAACTCAATGCAAAATCCAAAGAGCAGACTAGCGCTCAGCCCTTGGATGGGAAAGTCAGCCTCTCTGTATGACTGGAGTGGCAGGTGCCTGGTGAATAGGTGAGAGGAGTTGCTGTAGTATAATACGGATAATTCGGCTCTATCTATACTTGATGGGAACAGGGCGTGTTTTGGATGGCTGATTAGGCATCAAAGAGGATAGTTCTTCATAGGGAAAATGCCATTGTTACTGCCAGTGGCTCAATTCACATGTCAGCAGAGGCCCTGAAAAAACAATTGGAAGTACGGGGTAGTGAAAGAATATCTGGAGTCTGAAGACAATGTCATTGTGCTCAGCTTGTTGCACGTCGACCCAAGTCACCGAGGGTCTGTACACAGAAGTACAAGTACTCACAATGCATTGCGAACAAAGCGTGGTGAACGGACAAGTAATTTTACCTGAGTACTTCTCACCCGTCTTTTACAGTAACTTGCAGAATGGCAGTTGGTCCCCTGTAGAATCACAGGATGACCCATTGTGGGACGAGCTGCCGGTAGGCTCATCACGTAGAAAGCCAAATGACCAGATAAACATTTGGAGTCTGCTGTGAAGTCCTATGCTTACTGGCGTTAAAATAATTAGTTTAGCAGACTCTTGACTAACCATTGATAACTACAAAATCAGCCCGAGTTAATATCACCAGATACAAGCTTCTTTTGAAGACGCCAGATATATAATTGACGGCAGTGTATTGTTGTCTCTCTATGTATATGTCTCATGCCTCACTCTCGAATCTAATTGCGGACGGTGAATCCGTCCAGCGAGCCGAGATCCATCCACGAACACATCCGGGCCTTGTAGTCGAGGGGCCCAGTGCCCCATGGCATGCGCCTCAATTCCGCGTCGATCTGCTCCGGTGTCTTCTTGTCAAAGAAACCCTTGCTTTCTCCATTGAAAAATCCTGGGGTGCATGTCGGCAAGAGGCTGAACCACAGTGCCCTTCGTTTGATTTCATCAGTCCACCACAGCTCGGCGTTGCGGGTTGCCTCGATGACAGCTTTATCTGCGACCTGTGCTTCCTGCCGGGCCCTTGCGATGGTATGGGCAACAATCCTTGCTGTCAAGTCGGATGAAGAGCAGATATTAGGAGTTGCGCCGTTACCCATGGGCTATTAGATGATGTTAGCTGATGGTTTGCAAGTGGAACACGTAGTCTATTTAATGTTCAGAAGGGGGGTACTAACACCTTGGAAAAAGTAGTTGGGAAATTCGTTCGTCGCCGATCCAAAGAGGGTAGCATAGTCGCTTCCCAGCCACTTCTCCTCCAAGCTGCGGCCATCACGACCAATGACTGGGGCCCCAGTTTGCTGAGTGGGGCAGCCGCCTTTGGTCCCTGTTACAGTGAAGCCCGTAGCAAACACGATGAGGTCGACATTGTACTCCTCTCCGTTGACCACAAGACCATTTTCGGAGTAGGCGTCAATGCCTTTGCCATCGGTGTCAACCAAGGTGACGTTATCCCGGTTGAAAGTGTCGAGGTAGTGGTCGTGGAATGCCGGTCGCTTGCACCACCCGCCGTACCAAGGCTTGAGCTTTTCAGCCACGGATTTATCATGGACCTTGCTGTCGATGTATTTCCTCATTTGTTCGGCACGTGGTACATCAAGCTCGAAAAAGGTTTCCATATGCTTTTCCACATCCTGGGGTCGGATTATCTTGCCGCCACCCCCCGAGTATCCAGCAAATGACTGCGTTTGGGTCCACTAGTTAAAAAGTCTCAAAATTAGCATCCGCCTAGTGCATTGGGGAAGACAGGAGTAAGGAGAAAAGTGGCAAATAGGCAGCGAAGGGAGACTACGAATCTGGGTTTCCAAACGAACACACCCGTGGACCCCGGAGTGGGTAGAGGGGAGGAACAGTTCAGGAAGCTGCTTACACCATCGTTGATCTGATCGACCCGGTCAGGCACGTTGGATATGAATGAGTCAAAGTGATCCATGCGCTTCCTCTGCCACCCCTTTCCGCTGGCCACCACCTTGGCCCACATTTCGTCGGTGGTCTCCGTCTGGTTGCGTGGTCCGATGTAAGTTGGCGTGCGTTGGATCACATACAAATGCTTGACCCATTTGGCCAACTCGGGGATGATCTGGACAGCCGTCGCGCCGGTGCCGATGATAGCAACCCGCTTGTCCTGGAGCTTGACCATCTCAGGTCGCTCTTGGGTGCCTCCTGTGAGGTTCCAGTCCCATCGGGCGGAGTGGAGGATTTGATTGTTGGCGCGGAACTTGTCGAAGCCAGGGAGCTTCGGGATGTGAGGTTTCGAGAACGGACCGGCGGCGTGCATGACAAATTGGGCACGCAGGGTGATCTCTTGACTTTCTCGTCCAGGCCCGCGCTCTCGGACCACGCTGACAATCCACCTGGCCGAGGCCTCGTCCCAGACCTGCTTCTTGACGATGGTCGAGAACAAAGCGGTGATTCCATAGTGGGCAGCGGCACGCTCGTCCTGGCCGCGAATCTCCGCACCATAAGAGCTGTGAGAGTCGTTCAGTACTTGCATTCTCCAGGATTCAACGGTGTCGAGTTCCCACTCACTATTTGTGCTTGGGACGGTACATGGTTTCGTCAAGAAGAGGGAGATAACAATAGCCCTCCACGTCGCACATCACACCAGGATACCGGTTCCAGTACCAAGTACCGCCGAAACCTCCGGCGTTGTCGACGCAGAGTATCTTCTCCTTTGGGATACCAGCCTCAATAGCGCGAGCAGCCGAGTAAATTCCAGTGTGGGCCGCTCCGATGACGAGCAGAGTCAGGTCCTCGCCGCTCTGGACCTGGGGGGGCAACCCTTTGGCTTCGAGCGCATCGTAGTCGATGAACGGATCCTTGTCTAGATCCTTTAGCTCCGGAGCCCAGAAGTCGACAAACTGGTCAACGTTGTCACGGCGAACGCGCTTGTCTCGCTCGGCATCATATTTCTGCTTCAGGTCGGTAATGGCAGCCATGATTATTGTGGCCTGCGAGGTCTTCTGGTGAGCTGTCCAGTCAAAAATAATATCAAGAAACGGACGAGTGGGTGCAGGTGTATGTCTAAGTCTAGTTGCCTGGATATGCTTAAACGGTTTTATCTTTGCTCTTGTCTGGCTAAGTTGTCGTCTTTATACAAATGTACTGCTACGCTCGGAGAGATAGAACAGACCGACCGAGTCGAGTGCGACTACTAGCAGGAGCCTTCGGCTACCGAGGCGAAGGCCGGTGAAGCGTACCAACAAAGCACTCTGAATGATAGGAAAAGCCTTTTGCCTACATCCGTTGTTTCCAGCCCTCGTCAAGGAGGGCGTGCGTACCAAGGGACTAGGTACCCTAGGGTATGCAGAAGAACAGATATTACTTGCGGTAGACCCCACGCATGGTTCAAGCGTTCACTGTCTCACGGCGCCGGCTCGGCCCCGTCCGCATCTGGCGAATCGAAGACAAGCCGACATGCATGGCCCCATAATTGGCCTCTTTTAAGGAGCAACGGTGTAGGCGCTTGACTCGGGGTTTCAGTGAATCAAAAAAACGAAGTACTGCAACATGCCCACGTTTTTTCAACCGGAGGTGTGCCTGAACGAGTCGATGTTTAGACAGGTGCAATTTTGGCCAGCTCTGAGCGACACTTTCTTCCAAGTTCACTACCACTAGCATCGCAAGCGTCCGAGTCTACTGTAGATCGATCGGAAAACTGACCAACTACATTGCAGTGCCTAATAATAACACTAAGACGACGCAGACGGCAACGATCTCGGGAAGGAGCCGTCTTTCCGGACGCACTAACTTATATTAGAAAAGTGACCGCACCCCAACACCGGGAGTCAGTCCCCAGGAGGCGTCCCCTCGCCGAGCTATTTTTTTTTCCCGGCCGCCGAGCACAAGAAAATAGCTATACGTACCTAGGTAGCTAATGTTTTCAAGTGTCTTTTTGAGATCCTCCATTTTCTACCACTTATATGAAGCCATGTATGTCTTCGGACGTACACAGAATAGAGGCGAAACTAGAAAGATATTAAACCATAGGTTTAAAGGTGTAGAGCCCTCCGCCCTCCGCGCCCCACTGGCTCTCTCATTACCAAGTGCGCAGAGGTAATAGAAGGCCAGCGAGGGTACAAGTGGACAATATAGCTATGGAGGCATACGGGGTCAGCAAGGGCCCGCCGGGAAGGGTCTACCTAGGTAGAGGGCTTTGTAGTTACCTTCAAGTGTTAAGGTTTTAGAGAAGTTCGGAGAAATTTGTCATACACTTAAATTAGCGCTTTAAATCGTATTGTGTTCTTTTAACAATGATAGGACCTTGGTGGACGTAAAGAAATAGATGGGTGCCCGGTTGGGGGGCGGAAACAGCCACCTCGGTGGGTGGACGGATGCTGGCTGGTCAGTCTCGTGTAAGTTGGACTTGTAATGTTCGGTCTAGTAATTGTATGGTTAATTGTCCATGTAGCTCTTGGGGATTCTGTTAAATGTGCCAGCAAATGTGGCTGATTACTCTTGTTTAAACCCTTAGTGAACCACCTAAACCACTTTAAACCCTTAATACTATAAGATTAGGGCTTTAGCTATATTGTATTTTTATTTAATTGTTTATCTATTCATTATCTTCTTAGTTTTTAGACTAGTTATTAGTTTATATTTTAAGTATAAAGTTAAAAATTACTTAATATATATTTTTAAACTTATTTATATATAAAGTTATTAACTTTCTTTATAAAGCTTTTTTTTCTACTATATTCTTTATATATTATATAGAAGTAGATAAATCTTTAATAATAAAGTAATATATTTAAAAGAAGAAAATTTAGTTTTTAAATATTTAAACTTTTATTTTTCTCATATAATATTTATTTAATATATAGTAAATAAACTTTATTTAACTTTTTAAAAGTTTTAATTTTTTATAAAATTTATTTAAAAGGCTTTTTAAATAAGTTTATTATTATAATATTATTATTTTATTAATTATATATTTAAAATAAGGATTATAGTTTAATTTATTTAATAAAAGTAGATTTAAATAGTTATATAATAAGTATATTAATAAGGAAGAGTTAGTTTATTAGGTTTTATATTATAGAATTCTTCTTTTTATAAAGGTTATTTTAAAAGATTATTTTAATCTTACTATATAATTATTTTATTAACTATTAACCTTTAGGCTATTTATATTAATAATATAATACTATTAAGAGTAATATCTTTTAACCTTATTTATATAGTATAAGGCTTAACTATATACCTATATATTATATTCTCTTTTTACTATTATTAGTATTGTATTTCTTTAGATATTAGGTCTTGAGTGTTTACTATTATATGAAGGCGCTATGTACATTTTATATGTATGGGGATTAAAAAAACGAAACCACCACTGCAAGATTGGCACCGTGATCAACGTTTTTCCCACTTGCAAGACAACGGCGCTTACTTAAAGTAGCACAATTCATGCTGTTGTAAGATCCCCAGGTTCTGATTGCTGTCGTCCAGTTGGTATTCCCCTCATCGAGTGATCCAGACTCCCACGATACGTCCATGACACCCCTGCACTTCTTGGCACTCTGCACAGTACACATGTCGCGCCTGTCGCGATGCGTTGTCTATTCGACTGGCGTGTCACGTCTGGGTTTTTGCTATCAGAGATAGATACGGTGAACAAAGGTTTGTTGGTGTGCGACAAGATTCATTCATGTGGGGAACAGGATGTCTGAGCTATTTCCACATGACGACTAGATGTTGGACAAATGGTATTTGTCACCTCGAAGATTGATATTCACTTCCTACCGTCATGTTCGATTGCTTCCAAGGGCTTACACGGTCTTTCGGCCATGAGACGTCAGCTGCCAGTGGTATGATCAAAGGCCTCTCCAAACTTTCACACTCGGGCCAGGAGACTTGGGATTCCCCGACCTTGAATAATTTTACCCGGACATTAACAACCCCTCTAGAAAAGCTCTCAGCCATTGCTGGTCCGGTACAGAGATTCTATAAGCTCACGAACGGTCGAAAGGGGCGGTCGGTACCTTTCGAGGTTCTGGGAGACGCATCTGCCTCGCTCGCTGCTGCGGCATCGCATAATTTCCCAATCAACCACCTAGAACCCACATGTGCAGTTTAGCCAGGCCCACCGTATACCGAGCAGAACAATGTCTGCTCTGCCCCTGTTGACCATTTTTACCTCAATGTAGACAGGGAGAAAATTGATATAAAGTACAGTTGAGGTCGATGTACCACCGGTCACATTGCATGTGATACAAAAGGCTGCCCCGCCACGTGCTCGGCCTTTGCACCGCCGGTCTTATTATGGGCTTATCGGCAGGAAGTGGTGTGGTCAAAGTTTGAGCAGCATATCGCGTAGGTAGTCTGCTCGGCCTTGCATTCGTGCCCGTCTACCACTCTTTTTCAATATATCACTTAAAAATGAGGGGAAGGTGTTAGCTCTTGACTTACTCCAGCTAGCATTGCCACAGCATCTGGCCGAGTCGGTCTTGCTTCCATCACAAGAGCAGAGAGCTGCGTTGGAGATGCCAAAGAAGGCGCTTTTAACATGTTAGCAATCACCTCCCAGTGTCATAAGAGAACGGATTTCACAATACCTTAGGACGACAACAGCAGCAGTGAGCTTCATCTTGTTTGGGGTGCTGGTCAGAGGTAGGCCTGGTAATTGCTCTAGAAGAGTGGAACTTGCTTATGATTGGGGGAAGCGGCTTGGAATTCGCACCTAACCAGCCGATTACTAGGCAGGTTTCAACTTTTATAACGATGGACAGACTACGACTCTCCTTTCCTGTTCTCGTCTTCCCCCTTGCCCCTATTCTCAGTGTTGCACTCACTCCACTCCACTTGCCGAGACCCCACGGCCGGCTGCCGATGTGGGTGATGTCCGCGGGGCCGGCCTTTGGAACAACGGGTCGTCGGCCTGTTATTTCAAATTGCACAAAAAAGCATTCGGTCGGATGTTAAGACGCACTGGCTACTTAGATATGCTCGCCTCGGCCAATCCAGATGTCTTCAGCAGGTTTCAGGGGTCCACCACGTTACGTGCTGCTACTGCAGGCTGCTTACTTTACCCCGGTTTGATATTGGCCATCTGAACCTTAATCTACCTAGATAGGTACATGAAGTTTCTATCGTTTGGCGATGTTCGTTCCAACAACCGCTGCGAAGTCGCTATACATACCGGGCTGCATTGGCAAGATACCGTGTAAAAGTGGCATGTATGCACCTTGGCTGAGAATGCAGACCCATATCCGAAGCGATGCTCGCGAGCATTTTGCCTGTGGAGCTAGCCTTAATTTCCAGACTCGGGGGGGATAGTGACACAGGAAACCCCTGACTCGTGGCCCCGTTCCACAGCAACATGATCTCTCAGGCATTCTGTCTGCATCGCCATTGACAAGCCTAGCAGCAGTCTAAACAGCTAGTGAAAGTATTGATGATACACGTGCTGCAGCTAAAGAGATAAGAATTCGGAGGGGACATCTGGAGTTTAAGGTGTCCTTATGCGCTGCAACAGTTCCAAGGTTATCTGCTGTGCAGTTCGGGCCCATGGCAAATGTCATGGTGCCGTAGCATCGCCATTCTGTATTAAGCTTAAAACAAGTTTGTGCAAATCACCCAAACTGAAATCAAGTCTTCGGCAGCCTTCTTGAAGTTCTCAAACACCCCCGCCACTGGCGCTTATCAGCTCAAATTAGATACTGGGTCAAGCCATTGCAACAGTCCTTGACAGCCATTTTCAGGTCGGTTTGGTTCGCTACATAGTGGCGGAGAAAACGAGCGGGGCTTCCCCGGACATGGACTCGAGCACTTCACCTTCTCTTTCGCCTTGCATGTTTCTCTGTATGGCGGCCCGATTCCTGTTTTGAGGTGCAGAGGCTCGCTCAGTTGTACAGAGTATTCATTCATCTTATTCATCAGGAGAGGTGTGGGGTTCGCTCTAGTGAGTGTGTTCTTGATTTATAGTCGATCTTCTTTTAATAGGTATAGTATCCCTTAGCTTTAGCTATATTATATTTTTTATTTAACTATTTATCTATTTATTATCTTATTAACTTTTAAACTAACTATTAGTTTATATTTTAAATATAAAGTTAATAACTATTTAATATATACTTTTAAATTTATTTATATAAAAAGTTATTAACTTCCTTTATAAAGCTTTTTCTTTTATTATATTTTTTATATATTATATAAAAGTAAATAAATATTTAATAATAAAGTAATATATTTAAAAGAGGAAGATTTAATTTTAAATATTTAAACTTTTACTTTTCTTATATTATATTTATTTAATATATAATAAATAAACTTTACTTAATTTTTAAAAAGTTTTAATTTTTTATTAAATTTATATAAAAGGTTTTTTAAATAAGTTTATTATTATAATATTATTATTCTATAAATTATTATATATTTAAAATAAAGATTATAATATATTTACTTTATTTTTAAAGGTATATTTAAATAATTATTAAGTATATTAATAAAAGTTAATTTATTAAATTTTATATTATAAAATTTTTCTTTTATAAAAGTTATTTTAAAACTATTTTAATTTTATTATAAAATTATTTTATTAACATTTTAATATAATATTATTAAAAGTAATACTTTCTAATTTTATTTATATAATATAAAGTTTAATTATATATTTATATATTATATTTTCTTTCTATTATTATTAATATTATATTTCTTTAAATATTAAGTTTTAAGTGTTTACTATTATATAAAGGTGCTATATATATTATATATATATAGAGATTAAAAACGAAACTATATATAGTGTCCTTTAAGTGCTAATATCCTTTCGAACTAGTGGATGGAAGACATCTTGCCTGCAGCGCTGTTAGCGGGCACGAATACATTATACACATTATTCTAGTAACATAGTTAGGTTCTCAAAATTAATAGAAAGATCATAATCAAGTGCCTTGTGGCTTATTTTATGCTCGTTACGTATCCCATGTAGACAGGCACGGGTTGCCATATTATCCGAGGTTACCCCCAGGTCTGGTTTCCTGTTCGTTCTCAAGAGATCGCCCAGTGGTCTCACAAGGTGTTCTATTTGCAAGCACTCAGTATCAGCTAGTCAGCTATATAGATACCATTGCTCGTGGAGCGTACACACTGGAGCTTAAGAATGGTACCATGTGCGTACTGTGGTAGGGGTATGACGGTTTTGAGCTACGTCTACATGGTCCCGGGGCACTAAAGATACAAGATGCATATATACGTAGAGTCGCTAATGCTTCGTAGATGCATTATTTTGGCACTCGCATGTTGTAAGCAATAATTCGGGGCGTCTCCCCCCTTATGGATCTTCCGGGGCCGTGCTATATTTAGATCCCCGCCCGAAGGATTCCGAACTACTGAATACTTCTTGTTGACATGGAGACTGACCAATTCGACGGCGTCAGCAAGGCAGACACGCTCGCCTGGAGGCGCGATCTCATCACCCCGTCTGTGAGCGAGAGCAGTCTTTCATCAATGGCTTCATCAAGTGGGGACGAGGAGACTTCTGTCGAATCGCTGAGCCCGGCATCGATACGGCAGGCCTCGCGGCAGGAACCGGCACTTGCTTCCGCCAACGCATCTGACGGCCCGGTAGCCCAACTGGACCTGGGCTTTCCCCAAAAGGGAGAATGGCTGCAGTACAAGTCTGTCATGAGAAAAATATACGTGGAAGAGAATCAGACTCTTGCCCAAGTGAGGGACCATATGAGAAGAAACTATGGGTTTATCGCCTCGTGGGTCTATCGTGACACAGGTACCAGTACAAGCAAGACACGATTCACTGATACGAATCTGTAGAATCAAGATGTTCAAGTCGCGGTTTATAGCTTGGGGCTGGCGGAAAAACATCAAGTTGACTGTGGGCCTCGACCCCAGACACGTGCAAGAAACTCCTTATGAGGACTCTGTCAGGCCCGGAACCAAAATACGCTTAGCTAATGGTCAGATCGTCGACACTTCCCGGCTTCAAAGACACCTTCGCCGGAAGATGGTGTACACAAGAGTCCCTCTTACTGCAGTGGTCCGGCCACCAGATTCACACCACATCACCGAAGCAGTGTTCGCCTACACGCGCACGTACGCCTTCGGCCGACATGAAACGGAGATCACCTGCCTCTCGGAAGCACTCAGGACCATCACACTTGATGAGCCAATGACGAGCCGGTGGTTCAGCTTCGCCGGCGAGGTCAATACGGCCATGAAGCAGCAGGACGTGAGCCGGGCTCTTGTCACCATGCGAAGGGCACCTGAGGAAGTCGCCATCATGTTCAGGTCTCACCCCAGCACGACGATCTGTAATATCTTCTCGCTCATCGTACAGTTGAACGGCCATGCTGAGGCAGCCACCGGTACGGATGCCGAACAGTTCAGGATTCTCCTCAAGGCGCTCCTCAGGTACGCCGCATCGCTGGGTTTCTCCGGTGCCCTCGGCCTGCCGAACACGCACCCGCTGCCGCACCTCATGCAGAGCCTGGCTCTGGTCCCGCACAGCGAGCTGGGCGAGGTGGCGATCAGGGCTTGGAAGGTGTGCTGCCAGGCATGGGCTGAGATGACCTTCCCCAGCACCGTCTCCGGGGTTGGCTCAAAGTCGCTTCGGACATGGCTGCGCGTCAGCGACAGGGGCGACATGGAGGGCATGTGGTTCTTCAGGCTTATAGAGGGGATGATCAACGAGCAAATGGAAGCCTTCGAGCAGATGTACGGCAAACGTGACTTCAGGTATATTGAGACCTTGCAGTCCAAAGCCGACTTACTGTCGTTTGTTGCTATGGGTCAAGGGCGCAACTGTTATACAGATCCGAGGATCATAGCGATATACCAGCAAATGGCGGAACATGCGGTACGAGGGCCACGGTGGGCTGCAGCTTTGGATTTCCTTGCCAAAGGGTACGAGCAAAGCATAGTAATAAACCAGGGAATAGCATTAGCAACGTAATATTACATACATAGTCTAGCACATAACTGTGAATTGAAGCATAATGCGATTTAGCCACATACATCAAGAGCTGTACATCACCGCTCCATACTTGACTTGTTCCTTATTAATGGGCACCAACTTAGACCCCTCCGTAATGACTTTAACGGGCTTCCATAATCTTCAAGTCTGCATTGGAGGAAGAAAATGGAGCATTTCAGCGGGTTACCAAGCCGTCATTCAGGCACATTGCCTATCGACGAATAATATCTGATTCGACTCCTCAAGTGAATGCCCGTTGTGGCTCCAAGAAGTAACCAAAAAAGTGCTGACGCCCCGAAATTCGCCATTACTGACATCTAACCTGACCCCTTCACAAAAAGCTAGTCTTCGAACCTATCGTCGTCATCACCTGGGCAGAAGCCCGGACCAACCCTTCCAAGGTTCCCGAGCCACCACACGGTTGTTTCGTTTCTAGTCCCCATACATATAAAACATATGCGGCTCCTTCATACAGGTGTAAACGGTCAAGACCCAGCGTTTGAAAAGAAGACAATGCTAATACCATTACAGAGAGAACACAATACGGCGTCTGTGGGCACATGGCCTCAGCTTCGTGCCGCACATCCGCCACCTCCCTTGTTCCCATTCACAATGCAAGCGCCGTTGCGGCAAACGCCACCATTTGCGCAGTCGCTGTCCCGGTCACAAGTTCCGTCAAGGGCACCCGGACAGCGGCCAAAGATGCATCGGGTGGTACAGCATTGAAAGCCGCTGCCGCAGTCACTATCGGCATTGCATTGGCCCCACATTTGACGTGACTGAATGGCTCCATCAAAGGGCTCCACAGCAGCTGAGTGTGCCGTGCTTGTGAGGAGTGCGAGAGCTAAGGAGATGGTTGAGACAATATGCATGATTGTGGTTGGTGGCTCAGCCTGTGGTATATCAAAGTGATTGTGACGGCTACCTAGGTACGTAGGTAGAGGCCAACGCAAAGAGGTTTATACGAGCGGATAAGTATGTGCGTGGTAGTTGCGGTGATTCAAGTGATGCTAATGGTGATACTGGCAACTCATCAGTCGGTGGGAAGAACGACGACAAATTTATATTCATCTTTCCCGGAACTTCTGGAAACTCTAGCCCCGAATCAGGCGCCGATATTTGCCCAAGAACTTTCCTCTTTAATCCTGGGTAGCAACAAACCAGGACTACGCAGCTGGGCCAAAAGCAGAACACATATTCGGTAAATCATCCAATCAGGAAAGAATTTCTACCTAGGTAGCGATTGCGCGGCTCTAAAAACTTCACATAAACTTCTTGGACAAGACGATGCTGGCGATCTGTTCGTGTTCGTTGTCCTATTTCGAGAGACGGGGAAGCAACAGCTACGCCATGTTATGTATCTCGATTCATGCGATGCCATGGAAGCAAGTGTCGAAAGTAAGCCCACTATACTGAGTTCCATCTGATCCCTTTGAGTAATCGGATCGGTTGCTGTGCGAGCTGCTCTGAATCTGAGTTCGGTGGAACACCAGCAGAGTTCCAACCGACATCCGAGATTTCCGGCGCCGCCCACCGCGCGCTCGAGAGCGCCTCCAGGGCTTTCTACCAAAGCACCGCTCGGCGAAAAGGCTTGGACGGAACTGAAGAGTAATTGGTCTCGTTCTGGATGCTTCTCAGGAACAACACCTTCGATCCCGTGTTTCCCTCTTTGATTGGATTCATCGCGTTTGCAAAGTTCGGTTGCACGTAGCGATGTCTGCAGAGCGTGCTTTATGCATAACAGTCAGCTCTTGGAAATTTGAGGTTAACGCAAGCAATGAATGCAAGTGAGTGTTACCTTGGCAAGGTAGGTTTCGCAGGTCTGAGCGCGAAAGTCAGACCGGATGCCGTTGAGGGAAAACGTGACTCCAGGTTGCGTATGATTGGGATTCCTGAACGAGAATCAATGTGGCGCAGCAAGTGTCTGTTTTAACTTATGCTTCTTGCAGTCCATAATGAGAAACAAGGTTTTATCACGGATCGAATACAGCAACAAATCAATTCGTTGTGAAAAGACGTTACTACAAACAATAGAGAACAACTTTTATCACGCGCCGGATCACCATATTAGCCTCCCGCTTGACATTGATATTGCCAGTCGAACTCGCCGTCTTGAAGATTTTGTTCAAGTACCAGTGGCGCGTTGACATCTTGATTATTCACGGATCTATACGGCGGGTGTAAGTCTCCGGTGGTATCTATATCACCTTTGAAGGATACTTCCAGAGACACAGAATATGATGCTGGAGAGAACGCTGAGGGCGACGAGCTGGCAAAATCCGAGCTGCTGAAGCTGATTGGATCCTGTGAGGATACAACGCGTTGTGTTCCGGTTGGCTCAGACACCGCAGACTCAAGTTCAACTGTGATCGAACTGGGCGAGTTACCCTCGAGGGTTTGATGGCTGTCCGGGACCAAGGACAACTCTGATAAACTAGATACGGTCGAAGACCTAGAGAATCTTCTGTGGCAGTGGGCGAGTAGCCAGTCAAGGTGCTGGTGTGATGAGTTGAGGTCTTGGATACGCTCCAAGTATGAGGGTCACTCTGAACGAGTTTTGACGAGCTGTTGAGACTACTCTTAGGGATAATTGTCGAGATCGGGATAGATACAGGCTGGGAGACCACCATAGAAAGAGAGGGGGATATCGCTGTATTCGACGGCACTACCTACATATGTACCCTAGGTAGCCTTCCCGGGCATTGAGGCACTGGACAATGTATTAGAAAAACGGGGAAGAAAAAAAAAAAAGAAACCAGACTCGATACTCATCTTCTTGTCTAAAATGCGCAAAAGACTTGGAGGTCCGTGACACGATAACATTTGAAAGTAAGTACAAGGTATGACATACGTAAGGTGAGAGACAGCGTGATATCCACGCAATCTTGTGGAACGGCATCAAAATAGACCCACACCGCGTTATTTAGGAGGCAAAAGAACGCTATTTGCTTTGGTAATCGTGGGTTGATCCATGAAAGTGCGCCATCAATTGATCCTCAAGATAGAACGTGGTAGCGATGTCTCTGCTCGCGCCGGACCCGAGCAAAGGCTGAGGCCTGGGCGGATCCGAAGCTGTGACCAAGACACCGTCTTTGAGTAGCCGACCGCTGATGAGTTGAAATATGGCACCTGTTTCACAGCGTGGATTGGTAGAGGAGTCGGATTCAATGTAGTCGCCCGACCAGTGTTGTCTCTTGTGGCGTGGTGGCAACTGAGGACCTGTACCTCGGGTCTGCAGTAGGAAAAGCTATGGCATAGTTGTGGTTGTGCTGGTAAAGTGGTTCCATGGACATCGTCAATATTCCCCGAGCATTGAAGAAGCTTTGATAAACTTGGAAGGTTGATTTACCTTGGGGTAGCTAAAGCTGTGCTAGCAGTGACGAGAGAAATCGTGGAAGCCGAGCCAGTGACGGGCGACATCAACGGCGGCGACGACCCAGCACAGGCTTCCCGGATAACACCAAGGCGCAACGCGGTGGCAAAAATCGAGAAGAGAAGAAGAGCCATAACAAGCATGTTAATACTAGCTCCGCCCCGGACAGGAAAATGTGAAAGTACCTATGCAGCATTGTGGACAGGACTGAGATAATCCCCGCCGGGCTCGCCCTGATATCTTGGAAAACCAAACTGTCCAAGACTGGGCGGTCGAAGAGAGACGATTAATGTGACTGCCTCCCGAATTTGGCACGAAAAAGAAAGACGCAACCTCTATGTATATTTGTTTTCACATAGCTATCTATTCACGCCACAAACGGCGCACCGGGTTGGCGGAACCGTTGCGTGTCTACGGGCTGCGGTCACTCTCCCCGAACTCTGTAGCGAGCTTTGCTCGGGTGGTGTCCGTTTCGTGGTCATATTAGATATCCCCGCCCCAGAAGACGGCCGTGGGAGAACCTCCTAGAGACTACTTGTCTGTTGGATAGCCTGCTATAAGACTACACACAAGAGGCAACACAAGTGACAGGTGACTTGGTGAGTAGGTGGTCCATGAGGCGACTACATGGTGAATGAATCCCCGACTCGGGATGGCCCGTTGAGCCATATTTAGAAGGTTTGATCGGTGATGCCGTGATGAGGGTGAATTCTAACCCTGCAACTCCGGCACATCTTGCGAAGCTACAGCACAGAGCAACGAGGCGGCCATTCCCTTAGACAGCAGGACATGGCCTCATCAAGACGGTGGAAGTTATTCACATGGAGGGTAGCAACCGGTCATGACGGCTGAAAGAGGCCGAGACTGATGGCGCCTCTCCAAGCGCCAGAGACGCGTAGCCGTGGCCAGTGAGGACCAGTGGCAGGGCACCACGCAGTGACACATCAGGCCACAAAAATTCTTAAACACACAAATCAGCCTGCTGAGCCCTTGGGGGTTTGGGAATGTGGGATCCCGGGGAATGTCGTTGGCAGGTGGATCGTGGACGGCAGACGGCCATCGGGACGGCCTGAGGACCCTGACGCCTGCGGGCCGGGGCCCGGCCTTTGAGCCTATAGAAGATGGGCTGAAGTGCCGAGGGTCTTGGGGAGCCCGTGCGGTGGACAAGTCAAGGGCAGGCGAAATTTGGAGGCAAGGCAGACGGCGGCGTCTATTTAAAGCTCGCCCAGAAGGACAAGACGAGGGACTGGGAGGGGCAGGGCGGCAGAGGAGGGCATGCCGAGCAGCAAATGGCAGACCGTGCCATGAACTGACATGGCATGCGAGGTGATCTGATATGTGTGAAGCGATGTGATACGTTTTGTGGTGATGCGACGAGTGATATGTGTGTGTAGATGGGGCACTCTGTGTAGCCGTCTGATGTTGACGGTGCTCCAACGAGAAGACATCGGTGGAGTCAACTGGTGCAAGCTGATATGGCCGTCGATGTGTGCAATATGCTGTTTCGTATACTTGACACTTGGCATATTGTTGGTTTGGATTTCATTTTTTTTGTGCAAGTCAATAGAGACTGCAATGTTGGTCTGCTTGACTCGTCAGACAAGACCACAAGCTTTTGACGGCTCCAACCGTGTTTAATGGCATGACGAGCACAGAGGGGGGGGGGCCACGGGCTAGAAATGGGCCGCATGGACTTGCATGAAAGTTTCAGGGTCCAGACGTCGAGGAGGTGCAGCCACTCTGCCACTGCAGAGCTGGCGGGTGGCTGGCGCCCACTCAGCCAGTCAGCCCCGAGCCAAGCGGCGATCTTGGGGGCCCGGGACAGGGGACGGTGACAGGGAGTGGGCCGGAAGGGGCCAAGGGGCATGGGAAAAAGCATTGCGGTGCCAGCGAAGAGATACGTAGTATGGTCTACTCCGTATATTCTGGTGTCTTGGGCCCGGCTGTTGGATGCCCCTGATGCCGTGCAAGACACCACTGAATATACAGTGGTACTTGCTATATCCTACATGCATGTCGTTCCAGAGAGCCGTCTTTTTGACAGCTTGACAGACAGGCAAACAGCTCATGACCATGACCATGACCATGACATGACCGTCACCAGCCCAGCCGAGTTCTGCTTAGCCTGGCAACATGCACAGCCCCTCGTCTATTGGCAGTACGGTCTAATGGTCTGGAAGGTAAAAGTACGGGAGAGAGAACAAGTACCTCTGGAAGTGGTACGCTAAGATATAGTACCAGGATACACACGTACGCAAGCAGCCAGCCCGCAGATCAAGCTGGCCTGTTGGGTGTCTTGGCCTCTTTGATGCTGACGACAACCACGGATGAGCCGTCGTTTTCTTTTATTTTCTGCCTTGGATTCTCGCCCAGTCTTGGCCTTGTTATTACGGCTACCCTGTACATATCTGTGATCGAAAGTATTTGATATACATTGTTGTAAATATATATACAGTGTAACAGGATCGAGTCCACTCACACAGTAGTACTCGTCTCTTAAAAGTGCCAGTCATCGACAGCAATCGTTCATTTCACTTCACTTCATCAGCAAGAGGCCACCAATTTCTGTAGGGATCTGTCGGCAGCCACAGCGGGTCCCCAACCCCATCAGCCATCGTCACAAACCCACCCGTTTTGACCGCCCAGGACAGGGGCCACAGGGGGCCACAGGGCCACAGGTGCGCCAGACCACAGGACCACAGGACCACAGGACCACAGGACCACCTGTCGCCTCAGGCCAGTGCTTCTTGCAGGGTTACAGGGGCCCCAGGCAGCCCAGTGCCACAGCGCCCCCACTCTGACCCGCGGCTTGCGACGTCAAACCACGTTGTGGGAGACCTCTGGCGCTGACCAGTGACGCTAGAACATTCACTCACTCGGTACAAATCATCTCACTACTGCAGTCAATCACCGCCCAATAAATCAGCGGATGGGCCACCAGTTGAGCTGGGCTGGGTTGGAGTAGTCTTGCTTCTTGTATTGGGCACAAAATAACACTGCACTGCACTGCACTGCACTGTACATACGCGTACATGTGTCTTGGACTCGACAAGCCTCGACCGCCACCACCCTCGACCCGCATCACCTGCCACTGAGACCACGCCCAAGCTGCTGCCACACTGCCTGACTGCCTCCCCCAACCACAGCAGTTCCTGATTCAGCCCAACGTGGTCGCCGTCCACCAAACCACCAACCAACCAACCAACTGACCAACTGACCAACCACTTATCCATCTCCATCCAGCCATCTATCAATCTCACCTACCACATACACTACTTAGACTACATACAGTCTGACAGCACTAGACCGACTACTCGACTCCTCTGCATGCAGCAGTGCAACCACCAAAAAGGCACTTGCTGTCACCAGGGTCGTCGCCGTCACCCTCACCGTCCCATCGTGAGCCTGTTCTCACCCTCACCTTGTCAATAACAACAACAACGAAAACAACACCAACAACAACACATAATTCAGTGTTGACCTCTTCACCCACAGCCACGCCCTGCAGGCAGCATCAAACCATGGCCCACGTCGAGGCCAGGTCCCTCTCCACCCTCAACCACATCGCCGCCCATCCTCCCCAATATCCCATCAACCCCACTGGCCGCCATGAGACCCTCACCCTCTACATCTCCAGAGTCCCTGGCTGCCGCGGTAAGCACTCACTCTCCCACCCCCGAGCACTCCAATCACCCAGCTGACGTCATCCCCAGACATAATTCTGTCCACATTCAAACCCCAGAGGAAGGTTGTCGGCGGCGAGGATGTCGCAAACTCGCTCTACTACATCCACCTGGACACTGCCGGCGACGACATGCTGGCTCCCAAAGCCGCCCCTCCCGTCGACAATGCCGCCTCGAGGCCCAGCATGGAGTCTACCAGGACCCAGAGGATCGCCAGGAAACCTCTGCCCTCCACCGCAAGAGTCCCTCACCTCCAGGAAGCCCCTTCAGATCTCTCCACGGCGCCTGTCACGGACGTCACCAGTCCCAGTCCGACAGACCAGCTGAAATATCCGCCATTCAGCACGTCTTCACACAACAAGGAGAACGTTCCCCTGGACCGAGAAGCTGCTGGCGCCCCAGAGCCTTTCCCTGACAGCTCCCACTTGATGGCTCAACCACAGCCACCCCCGTACACCGTGTCAGCTGGCTCAGTAGCCCGGAGGCCCTTGGGGCCCCGCGCACCATCTACCGGTCCTCCCTCGCCCGGCAGAGAATATCAGGCTTATGATCCCTCTAAGGCGGCCGGTCTCGTGAAGCCGTCCACGCCTCCGCCCGATGACCGTGACCACGACGCCCGCCCGGATCTCCCGCCAAGACCGGCACCGGGACAGCTACGCCTGGGCAACCTACCAGCTCAGACTTTTGACGACATTCGCGAGACTCGCAGCCCTACCATCCGGAGCCCAGGATTCCAGTCACCACCGTGTGCGCAGTCCCGCTCTCCGTCACCGCAGTCTAACAAGAAGCCTTTTACGCCCTTTTCACTCTCCATTATCCGCCGCGACCCTGGCACGGGGCACCAGTGGAACATCGGCAAGGTCTCCTCCTTCCAGAGCACCATCATCGTCGCTCAGGACCCGGACAACCCAGACTCGCCCAAGATCGCCCAGTATCCCAAGGGCTACCCTGCCATCAACGTGCACATCGAGACCAGCGGGTACGCACGCTTCCGAAACTTCCCCATCGCCCGGCCAAAGATGATGCCGGACCTGTCGAGGATGAGCCTGGATAGCGCACGGCCCGGGTCGAGCGGCAGTGCCGCCACGACGACGAGGACCATGAAGGAGCTGGCGGCCAGCCTGCAGGCCCAGGTAGAGGCGCAAAAGGGCGGCCAGGATGACACCGAGGAGGGGTTCAGGAGGCAGGTCGTCATGACCTACGGCAAGACGTGGGCGTCCAATCTCAAGGAGGCCTTCAGCGGCAAGAAGCGAGAGCGGTCCTCCACCAACACCAGCGCCACCGACTCTGCCTGTAACGAAGCGCTCGACCCTCCACCTCCACGGGCGGGTTTCCACAGGCGACAGGACAGTGGCAACTCGACCAACTCTAATGACTCCATGTTTGCCTCGCTGGTGCCGAACCCAGCCAACAACGACCCTAATAATCCTCAACAGCAGCAGCAATCACAGCAACAACAGCAGAGCCAGCCTCAAGATCACCATCGCAACCAGCATCATCACCACCATAGCCACAACCACAGCCACAGCCACAGCCACCACAATCACAACCATAACCACCACCAACACCAATACCACGGCTCCGACGCATCCGCCACCTCCGCAGCCGCCGGCACGACCACGCCAGGAAGACCAGACGAGCCCGTCATAGCAACGCAGCCCAGCGCCGGGCTGCGGCCCAAGGGGTACACGTTCGCGTCACCGTGGGACGGGCGGTGCGACTTCCGCACCAGCAGCAACGGGCGGGCGCTGAAGTGCCACCACGTGCGCAACACGCAGTCGCAGGGATTCAACCCGCTGGTGGCGGCGCAGGCGCTGCGAGACGCTATGCAGGACGGCAGCAGCAGTGGTGGTGGAACAGCAGCAGCAGCAGCAGCAGGTGGTGCTGGTGCTGGTGGGAACGGGAGGACGCGGGCGAGGGGGATGAGCGCCTCGCTGCCCATGGGGGACATGGGCAACCGAGTCCCCGTCAGCGAGCTGAGGTTTAACCTGCCCAGCTCGGACCTGTTCAACTCCAAGGAGGACAGGGACCGCGCCGTGGCCGAGATGAAGGAGGGGCTGGGGCGGTTGCTGGTCCGGAGCCCGGGCGGCCACGAGCATGGTCATGGTGGCGGTGCAGATGATGATGACGAGGACCCCATCTTCGACTGGTCTGGGCTGGGGAGGGAGAAGGCCGGGGGTGGCAACCGGGGCAAGAGGGCCAAGCTGGGCAAGCTGCTTGTCCACGACGAGGGGCTCAAGATGCTGGACCTGGTGGTTGCTGCTAATATGGGCATCTGGTGGCAGGCTTGGGAGCGGAGTTTCTAGGGGGAGTATTTGCATTGTTCATGTTGATGTTTGTTCTGCTCTGGACCAATACCCCCATCTTTGCCATTTCTTGTTTTCCCGCCTCTCTCCATAATTCCAACATTGGTACCGAATGAGTGGGGGTAGAATGAGATGGTCTAATGTTCAATGTTGGAATCTGGGGGATAATGTGTTGGAAGAGCTGGTGAGCCAGCAGGCATGATAGAATTAGCGAGCGCCAGCAATGTGCAGCGAGTCTGTATTTTATTAATTTGTCTTATTATTATGTTTATTGACACATGGTAGTGCAAACCCAGAATTGCCAATATGAACGTTGTACTGTAGTCTATCTAGATACTTCTCCCTTCAAGGTGGCCAAGACGGTGCAGGTACCGAGGTACCCCGTCCCCCCGATTACCGTAAGTAGGGTACGTACTCCGTACTCCGTATGTAACGGTCATGACCTGCCCCCACATCTGCACCCTCGCAGCCAACCAGAAGCAGCCGTTTGTAATACCAGCAGCAAAAAACAGCTCGCGCACCTTGGCCCAGCAGCGAACTGCCAGTCTGCCACAGAGTGTCACCCACCCACCGCCCGACGTCAAGCTCCGCCCGTTTGCCAATTGAACGAGGGCTGGCTGCTGCTGCTCCTCGCTCCCGCCGCAGTACCGACCACACCCCAATCGACCACTCCACTCCGATCCAAAACCCACCGGCCTTCCTGCCTCTGGTGCCGACCGAGACCTGCCCCATTGGCAATCCAATCCCGACGGTCGCAAGCTGCACAGACAGACAGACAGACAGACCGACAGACAGCTCGTCACCTGCTCTCTGTCGTCGACCTCGACCTCGCCCTCGACCCGCTCGATCAACACCACCAGACAAACCCGATCCGACCCACGAAAGCCCACGATGCTCTCGACAACAACAGCCCGGCGTCTCGCCGCCCGAGCGGCCACCGCCTCTGCCCCCTCCTCCTCCATCCTCCTCCCCGCCACATCCCGCCTCGCCACGCCGGCGGCGGCGGCAGCAGGACAGCTGGTCGCGAGGCGGGGCTACGCGACGCCGCTGGGCCCGCCGCCAAAGGGGTTCCGCCAGCAGCCGCCCAAGAAGTGGGACGAGGAGGAGGAGAAGACCTTCACCAAGCTGGGCAAGTACTTCCTCCTGAGCGAGATGACCCGGGGCATGTACGTCCTGCTGGAGCAGTTCTTCCGGCCACCGTAAGTTGACTCTTGTTTTTTTTTTGGGGGGGTTAACATGGGATTACATGGGATTATATGGGATTGCCTCTTCCCGGGACAATGGACGACCAGGAAGGCTGGGAGGGTGTGGGGGTATGGCAGTAAATACGGAGGAGATATTTGCAAGGGACAATGGCTAACACTACCCCCCCCCCTTCCCCCAACCAGATACACAATCTACTACCCCTTCGAGAAGGGCCCTATCTCCCCGCGGTTCCGGGGCGAGCACGCGCTGCGGCGGTACCCGTCGGGCGAGGAGCGGTGCATCGCCTGCAAGCTGTGCGAGGCCATCTGCCCGGCGCAGGCCATCACGATCGAGGCCGAGGAGCGGGCCGACGGGTCCCGCCGCACCACGCGCTACGACATCGACATGACCAAGTGCATCTACTGCGGCTTCTGCCAGGAGTCGTGCCCCGTCGACGCCATCGTCGAGAGCCCCAACGCCGAGTACTCGACCGAGACCCGCGAGGAGCTGCTGTACAACAAGGGTGAGTGGGCTGGGCTGGACTGGACTGGACACGAGTCTTCGTTCTTCCCCTTTGGCTCGAAGCGCAGCGCAGTTACTAACTTGGTTTATGACTCTGCAGAGAAATTGCTTGCCAACGGCGACAAGTGGGAGCCTGAGCTTGCGGCGCTCATCCGGGCTGATGCCCCTTACCGATAAGGGCTGTCATGGTGGTCTTGACCTCTGGTGGCACATGCCTTGAGCCCTCAGGTCATGGTTGAGGGCAAGGGGTCAAGGCCTCGGACGGGGATGCATATTAGAAGTGCAATTGGGGCTGTCTGTCGCCTGGGAACTCTACCGTGGCAGCAGCAAGTGGGGAGAGAGAGAGTCGAGTGTAGACAAAACTGTGTATATGAGATCATCATCAGATGAATGTGCTACAATCTAGTTCTCTGTTCTGGTCGAATGTATCTGATGAGAGTGTGTGCTTTGGTATCTAGTACGTGCTGCCCCAATACGGAGTACATGATATCAAGTGCTCATGTTCCCACGGGCCACCAAACCTGCTGACATAAACAGAGGTGGCCCAAGCTTCCCGGGCCCAAGCATTGCCCGCCCTCTCATTCGCGGGCGAGAAATTTATCATCATCGACCCGCGCATCTGCTGCAGACAGGCAAGAGCTCCTCCCCCGTCCCCGTCCAGACCCATCCCGACGAAGCAAACCGGACTTCTGCCCTGCTGCAATTGATCCCGATCCCGACGACAACAACCACCACAACCACCACCAACAGTAAAGCCACCCACCCACCGAGCTTCCTATCAATTCAATCAGACCACAACTCCTAATCTCTCTCTCTCTCGTCAGGTCCAGCTCATCCAACCAACGTCATAACAAATCAATCACCTTCACATCAACAGCCAAAATGTTGCGCACAGCAGTCCGATCCGCAGCCTCCGCCGCCGCGCGCCGCTCCGCCGCCCCCGTCAGCCGCAGCTTCTCTTCCTCGGTCGCCGTCTCGAGACCCGTCCTCGTTGCCTCCAAGGCTGCTGTCGTCCCCGTCTCCCGCGTCGCGAGCTGGACCGCCGTGCGCTGCTATGCTGCTGGCTCCGGCCTGTCCAAGAGCGATGTCGAGGGCCGCATCACCAGCCTGCTGGCTGGGTTTGACAAGGTGTGTTTTGCCCCCGGCGGTGGTGGAATTGATGGGATGGGATGTCAGGGTCGAGGTGTTGTGGTTGCGCCTTGTGCTGTCTCGTCCTCGGCAGATGGGGGAAGACGGAACTTGCAGTCTGGACTGGACCTCAGCTAACACTATGGTTTTCTACAGGTCAACGACCCTAGCAACGTATGTTTCCCCGGATCTCCGACATGTGCTCTTGGATAAGGGCAATCCCCGCCGTGGAAAGATCCGCCACTGACATCGTCTTGGTTTCCCTGCAGATCAAGCCCACCGCACACTTCGCCAACGACCTTGGCCTGGACAGCTTGGACACCGTTGAGGTTGTGATGGCCATCGAGGAGGTATGAGAGTCCCCTCTTCCGCCGACCCAGGACTTATTTAGCTCTTGGTCGCAAGTAGATAGGAGGCCGTGGCGCTGACAGGTATATAACACAGGAGTTCAGCATTGAGATCCCCGACAAGGACGCAGATGCCATCCACTCCGGTAAGCACCCGCACCACAGCCTTCAAGGACAAGAGTACAAAAGGAAGGAATGGCTAGCTAACCCGATTTTACCCACTCAACAGTCGACAAGGCCGTCGAGTACATCCTGAGCCAGCCCGACGCCCACTAAATTAATGTCGAGCCCCTGGCATGGCCTGGCCTGGTTTGTCCTTTGCAGAGGAGACCACCCCCCACCCCCTCGATGACTAAGACAAAATGTACTGTACTATACAAATGGCGGCAGACGGGCGGGCAGAGAGACACCTACAACACACGTGCGTGCGAGGCGCGTTCATCGCCACTCCGGGACGGGATGCTTCTTCTAGACGGTGGGGGGAGAGTGTGGGTGAGAGAGAGAGCGCGCAAAGGTTGTTGAGCCACGGCTGCGGTCGTGGACGCACACCTGGAGCTGGGCGGGTGGAAGGGAAGAGTGGATGGATGAATGTCCCGTGTCAGAAGATAAAAGGCCAAATGTGGAAATGATATAAAGACCCTACGACGCGACGCGTTTTTGGATCGAGAGGTGTTGCCTTGGCCCCCTGGGCCTGATACGATGCTGTCTGTCTCCTTGGGTGGTCTGTGTCTGCTGCTGCCGTGTGATCGACCGACTTGGCTGGTGTCCTCGTCGTCCAGTATGAAAGAATGAATGCCGGGAGCTCAGGACTTGCTTCAGTGCCAGATGCCCTCGGGCTGGGTTCGCCGTGGCTCAGCTTTTGGCCCTGCCTCGACCGCTGGCTGGCTGGCTGGATGTCTGGTCCAATGCGTGAGTGGGTGAGTGAGTGACCCATGCTGAGTCGAGGGTTTGTTGTTGACGGAATGCACGATATGATCAAACCCCGGGGCAAATGTTGCAACACATGACAGGCACAGATTTCTAACAACAGGATCACTACATACAGCTGGGCTGCGGTGCTATTGATCGCAGGGGGCCACCACGGGGGTTCCGAGGTCTCAAGTCACACCTGAGACCGGATGGCATCCGCTCTTCCCATCTCCTTGCTGGGCTTCAGAGCGGGTTCTACTTGATGTGGCCGATTACCCAGGTACGCTGCTTTCAGAATACATCAGCTCTCTACCCGTAATAGTATTGACACCACACATGAGGCCACATGCCTAGGCCGAGTCTTCTTACACTGTTCCATAGTATGTATTGGTTTTCTTCTGTATGCTGGGTCTTCGAGCATAGACCCCTGTGTAGAACTTGTCCCAACCTAAGGAACGAAATCACTTGACACTGCACATATTAGAATACATAGATAATTTCATGAACGCCTAGGTTAAGTTCGAAGTAATTATCTCACCAGATTATGCAGCCAAAGGCATTTTCAGCAACAGATACGCTTGTTCAGGTGGTTGAGAATAATATATGCCGATGTCAGAAGGCCCCGAGCACATGAAACAATGAAACAAAGTCATATTTAATTAGATCTGGGCTTATAAAGGTGTTTTCCAACATTCTGAGTCTATAAATAGAACATTGTCTACCCATACAAAGGTCCAACTCAATTTCCGCCCGTGACTGCCTGACAATGGCTCGGAGGCTTATTGAAGTATTTTGCGAGCGCTGTTGTTGGAACACCATCCTGGGGCTCGATTGAACCATTTCGCAAAGGTTCTCCCCGCCCACCCAAGAGCTGCTCGACAGGTTTGACTCCATTCGCAATACAAATATAACACTGGTAATTAAGACATTGTGTAGGGCAGGTACCCTCATCATATCCTTTTTCTCTTTCCTTTCCTCCCCGTTCAAATCGTCAAAAAACGACTTACAGCATGGTCAAAGTGCCAGATCCGAATAGTCCTCCACGCTTTCAGTGGATCGACGAGACGGGGCGTGTACAACCCTTAGACGCAGATGTTCGAGAGATCACAGACTACGTGATGGATTCCAGTGACTGGCCTTCCGCAAAAGCCACGGTCCACAGTGTGCTGACCAGGACTATCTTCGACCTGGAATGTGAAGTCGTAAGTTTGAATGCTGTCCTGAGAAATCACGGTATATTTGGTAACGTTGGGTGGCAACTGATGTGGCGGGCTCGTAACAAAATTCGCTAACCATAGAATCACAGTGCCACAGAAGACATGATGTTTGCAAAGGTCAAAGGTGCGTTGAATACTTCCAGAGAACCGTCGCCGTCGCCGGCAAGAGCATGTGTGATATCAAGGGGGCTGGGAAGATGGGCAAAGGGGTGTTTGCCAACCGGAAGATACCGAGCGGGAGCACCCTCGGGGAGTACCTGGGCAGGCTGTATCCCTTGGGGGGCCCGAAGGCCCGTGACAGCTATATATTCCTGATCACCGAGGTTGCCGAGGTCTCGGGCCTGCAGTACGGAAACCTGACGCGGTTCTTCAACCACCACTGCCGCGCCAACGTCAGCGCCCGGGTGGGTATGTACGGGCGGCGGCAGGTCATCCTGTACGAGGCGAGCCGGGACATTGAGGCTGGGGAGCAGCTTTGTGTTGATTATGGGAGGCGGTACTTTTCGCTGCCGGGTAATCCGTGCAGGTGTGATGCCTCGGAGGGGGATCATCTACCAGCTCATCACGGTAATGTCATGCCCCAGGTCGGTGCGAGAAGCGAGACCGAGGTAAAGGCTCCGCAGACTTCAACCGAGACTTTGGGCCAGAGGATTTATACTCTGTCAAAAGGAGCTCCTACAAGTCCTGATTCTGGAGTATCGACCAGACCAAGCAAGTCAAGCAGGAATCCGACAGCGACCTCCTGTAAGAAGCACAGCCAGCAGGACCCCGCTGCTGTATTGAAGAGCTTGTCAAGACGTGCTGGAGTGTTCAGGCGATATGGGTCTCAGGTGTATTCTTCCCACTTCCTACGAAACTTGGACGACAAGCAATAACGCAACCCGTTTAATTCTTAATTCCGTATACACACCAGCGCATACGCGGCCTCCTCGTACCTCAATGTTGACACAGCAGTAATAAATGCTTAACAACCATCCAGTAACGCAATTCGTGTAAAAAATTGAGATATTTGACATTTACTCGATAGATGCATCCGAGATTCATGCTCTGATAGAACCCAGTCAGTCATCTTCCATGTGCTCGTTTCCAAGGTTGTCTGGAACGAACGCTCCGACGGCACAACGGCTGTGAGCTTGGCCGCCCTGAACAAAGGGGCCGAAATTCTGAGGCGGGTCCTGGTTTTTGTGAGACAGCCGTTGCACATGGGATAGCTGAAGTGTCTTGCACAAGTTTGTTTTAACATTCCACGCGGTCCCCTCCCGGCAAGGTGACACCGAGCCCTCGCTGTGCTCTTATACCTGCTAGACTACTAGTATACGTCCAAGTCCAACCTGCCATTAGACTAACTACACTTTACTCGAAACACCTCGAGTATAAAATCCTGCTGGCTCGTGTTCACCCTCGCTGCCTCATGCGTGCTCCCTTGCAGCCCAAGTCGTCGATCATGGGAAGTCCTTTTCGCGCAGATCAATGCCGATAATGGCCGGATAAAAGGGGCATGGGACTTTGTAGGGCCCAGACCAGACATATTTTCCATTCCAGACTGAGTAATATCGCTCAATTTCATGCGTCCCTGAATCCGCAGTCTGTACTATGATCGTGAACAAAGTCGGCCCTGGAGGGTGAGAAGAAGGGAGCGATTCGATCAGAAAGACACCGATCGTCAGCATCATGGAGCACCAGGCTCTCCCTTATAGATACATGGTCAGATGGTCTGAGGAGTATCTCAAGTATAAAGGCGCCCATGTGGTCTTGGTATCTCGAACAAGAGCTGTGTGACGACCATCAACGGCTTCAAGAGTACCTTCGTTAGCTTAATATTTGCAATTCCAGAAGCCCACGTTCTTTACCAAACTAATAACATTCGAGCTCCAATTTTTTGAATCTTGGCACATACAGATCGCCCACCATGACGTTTCTGAGGCTACCATTGATCTTGGCAGCTGTCATGATGCTGCGGGGGGTGGATGGTAGCTGTGTCGAAGACAACTGCTATGGAGGTGAGGACCCCGGGCCCAGGTGGAAGGGCATTGATGCCGAGAAATTGTTCATTATCAAAAAATGCTGACACTGTGAAGCCTTATATTGGAATCCCGCCGGCGCTGAAGAGTGCTCTGATCATTTCGTCACGACTGTCGTCCCGGTGCCGACGACGACGACGGTGACCATCACATCCGACGTATCAGAACTGACCATCATCACCGGCGCCCCTATCGTCACGGGCGTGATCATCCCCTCCCAGGCCATCCCGACCTATATCGTGAGGGCCTGTTATGGAGACATTTCATATCGGTTCCAGAGCGCCTGCTCGTGCATCGAGGCCGGGCCAACCACCACCATGATCGCACAGCCAACAATAACGGACACGGTGGTGTTTCCCATCACAGGCGGTGTTTTCCCACCAGGCCCGCCGGTCTCGCCGGTCGTTCCACCAGAGCCCCTGCCAACACTACCAGCCTCCGGGACGCTCTCATTATCCTCGGGTGGCCTGGTGGAGCCAACATGTGTCCCCATCCCGGGCCCGGTGATCGTGACCGTCCAGGTCGACACGCTCTACATGACGCTCACCATGGCCGGGTCCACCCTCTGCATAGGCAACACGACGACGCCGGCGGCCCCGTCCTCGGCGGGGTGCAGCTGTCCCGCGTCGGCGCCGGTCTTCTCCTCCTCCAGCCTCACGACGCTCGCAAACTCGACCAGCTTCAGGAGCTCGTCGTTCTCGACCGTGCTCCGGACCTCGTTCTCTGGGTACACCAACACGTCGTCCGCGGCTGCCACGTCGGGGCCCTCGGCGTCGGAGGGCGAGCCTACCAGTGCGCCGGCCGAGTCCACAGAAGCCTCGAGCACCGAATCCTCGGCCGTGGAGTCCTCAGCAGCAACAAGCACCGAGCCATCCCCAAGCCCGTCCTCGGCTGTTGAAGAAGAGCCCTCAAGCACTGCCGCAGCCGAGTCCTCGGCCGCCGAGCCGTCAACGTCCGGAAGCCCCCCGAGCTCGACGCTCGTGCCCTCGACCACGACAGGCGGCGCCTCCTCGGCCTCCTCCCAGCAGCCGTCCACCACCCTCTCGACCTCGGCCGTCCCGGCCGGCCCGACGCACTTCATCCCCCACGGGCCCGTGGTGCTCCTCCAGATCGCCTCGGGCGCCCTGGCGGGGCAGTACATCGCGTCGGACCCGCCGACGGACGACCGCCCCACGAACCTGCGCTCGCACACGACGCCGGACATCGACGCCGCGTCGGTGTGGACGCTCGACGCGCCGACGGGGATCCTGTTCCAGCAGGTCGGGGGCTCGGGCCCCGGCGACTGGTGGGGCGCGTGGTTCGGGTTCGGCTCGCGCTCGCAGTGGGGCGCCATCCAGCTGCTGCCCGCCGACACGATCGTCTCGTGGCTCGTGGCGCCCGTCTCGGCCAAGGCGCCGCTGCGGTGTGTCATCGACTACACGGCCAGCGGCGTCATCACGTGCGGCCAGCAGCTGTGGACCAAGCTTATGGCGTCGGATAAGTGCGGCTGGGCCATCACCACGCCCTTCAACCCGACCTATGCGGCGGCTTGTCCTGGGAGCGAGGAGTTGTTCATCCAGGCTATCCAGGTTAGTCCTGATGATGAGGGGATTAATTAGGAGGCGAGAGGGGCGGGGGCGGGGGCGCATCATGATTGACGGGCTGGTCGGGATCTGGATGGGTGTCAGTGAGGGCTTGGTTTGATTGGATTGGATTGGATTGCTTGTATAGTGTTTGTATTCGGCTTCGTAGTGACATAGCAATGAGTATTTTGATCAAAAGAACCCTGCTGGCTGTCCCATAGTACCCTTGATGCTACTGTATCTTCATGTCAGTCTTGACTACTGCCTTTCGAAGCACGTAGGTAAGGGGGTAGGGGGACAAGCTTTGGTCTCACATCGTGGTATCCTAGCGCATGGTAAGACATTCCAGTGGTCGAAAACGGCCAGAGGCTGGAGGTGGAGGTGAAGTTGTGACTGACAATCACGGGACATGCCGATGAAGAACGAGGGCAGCATGATATAGGCTGACTGCTGGATGACACGGCTGCCAGGTGCCTTCATGCAAGCCCTATGCTTCTTCGGATGCCTGGGTCAAGTGACAGTGCTTGCAGTCAGCGATGATTAACCTGGTATTCCGTACGTACAAGTTCAACTCAGAAACGCCTCCCATATGTGCATCACTCCACCCAACTCCCGCCGAGGATTCACCCCCGGGCCAACGCCAACCATGCCATACCCGCCGTGGAGCCAAGGCCCCCCCGGATGCCGTGCTATCGCGTGTTGTACAGATTTGCAATGTGCACATTCCTTCCCAACAATGTGGGCCCAAGAACTTGAGCCCTCTTCTTCCAAACTCCGCATGCAACCGACGCTTTCGACACCCGCCGCCGTCCCTTAGTACTCGTCTGTCGGGAGGACGTCCATGTCTTCCTCGTCGCTCCCCTGGCTCTCCACCATGCCCATCAGCAAGAACTCGTGATCCAGCGCCTCGTCCGCCCGGATCCTCTTGCTCGGGTCCAGCTCCATGCACCTAGCAAGGAAGTCGAGGGCGATCTGCTCGTCATCGTCAAAGGGCTTCTTCTTCTCGTCCCGCAGGGTGCTCCACATGATGATCTTGCCCAGGTCGAACCCGTTCTGCCCGATGGTGGGTATGCTGGTGTCGAACATGCAGCCGTGCTGCTGCCCGGCCAGGCGCATCCTCTTGTGGCCAAACATGGTCGCTATCTCGATCATGGCCTCGACGTCGTCGGCCGAGTTGAAGAAGGGGAATCGGCGGGACATGATGGTGAGCAGGATCACGCCGGCGGACCAGATGTCGAGCTTGGTGGTCTGCTCGGTGCACTTGAAGAGGACCTCGGGGGCACGGAACCCACGCGTGCCGGCGCGGTTGGCCCTGCGGGAAGGGCGGGTATCGTTCTTTGGGTAGCCGTGGTGGGGGCCGCCGTTGGCCATGACGGCTTGTCTCAGCCGCTGCCTGCGGACCGGCGGCTCCTCGTGGCAGAGGCACGGCTTGGAGTCCTCGCCCTCGCGCTCTGCCAGGCCAAAGTCGACGAGGACACCGCGCTGTGTGGAGGGGTCGTAGAGGAAGTTCGTGGGCTTGATGTCGCGGTGTATGATGCCGTGCTTGTGGACAGCCGACAATGCCGTGAAGAGACAGCGGAGGTAGACGGCCATGTCGGTGATGGTCATGTTCCTGAAGTAGTCTCGGAAGTCGTGGTGGCGGAAGTAGGGGAGGATGGCGATGACCTGATCCGTGCTTCGGAAGGCAGTGATCAGGGGGCAGACGGCGGGGCAGTCTCGCAGGTCGTGGAGCAGCTCGAGCTCGTTGAGGATGCGCGCAGGGGAGGAGGTGACGTAGATCTTCTTGATGGCGACAAAGCGTGACCGTGGGCGGTGCTGTCGTGTGGTGCGGGATGTGAGCTCTGAGTTCTGGTCGATGGTGGCAGAAGAGCTGCTGCTGCGGTCGACGTGCCGCCTCAGAGGCGGGGGGGTCCACGTCTCATTCTCCTTGTCGACGTCCCATTTGTTCTCGTAGCGGTCGTACTGTAGGTCCTCGGCCTTGTAAACGGTGGAAAATGTGCCTGGGTCGGTCAGTCAATCTCGAGACATCACCCCGTAGTCAAATCAGGCCAAGTCCAGGCAATGCACCGCAACATACCCTCTCCGATCCTCTTGATGAGCTTGTACTTGCGCCTGAAGCCCGGGAAAGCATCCTGGAGCTTCCTCATGTCGTCGTCGAGTATCTCCTCCTCGTCTGACTCCTCCTCCTCCTCGTTGTCGTCCTCGTCGACCTCAGGCTCCTCGTCCTCGTCCTCCTCGACATCCCGGCGGTGGCCTCGTGGCCTCCGTTCTTGAGTCTGGTCTTGTTCTTCTTGTTCTTGGTCTTCCTCATCGGCGTATTCTTCCTCCCTGCCGGCAATGTCCGTGTTCATCTCGGTGTCTTCTGTCGAGGGGCCATCCTGATGGATCTGGAATTCTTCTTGGTGGCTAACTATAGCTGCCATGATCCCGAAGGCTACAAGCCTTTTGATGTCCTCTCGAGGATCCAGCGTGAGGAATGGGCCAGACAAGGCGGGCAAAGAAACAAACAACTGTGGAACAAGTCAGGAAAAGGCGACTCGGATGGCCAGCCAAAATCAACAATGCTGCACCAGCATAGGCTCTACCGAATGTCCAATTGGCGACTTGGTAGTGGTCTGGCCTCGTCAATAAAGGCCCGTCAATAATCAATGGTCAATGACAGAACAAGGATTGGGCTTGGGGAGCCGACATTGGCAGGCTGCAGGGAGAGTGCACCGATTGATTTGCTGCTTGGTTGCTGCTTGATTGCTTGCGGTGGCTGACGCGGGTAGCCGAGCTGCAAATTTGGCGGGGTAGATTATTGACCAGCCTGCACGCGTCGAGCCACCAAGCACCACCTACCGCGACTACCCCAAACAAAACAAAGGTCCAAGGTGGGCAAGTGGCCCGTTGCCCAGCACCTTCCAACGGTCCCCCGCGAAGAAATCCCACCTCCCCTCCCCTGCCAACGCCTGCACCTGCAGTCAACAACAGGCGGGCCCACCCAAGCCGAGTCGCAACATCCACATTCCTTTTGCATCTTGGGACATTGCCGTCGACACCAAATCCGGGCGTCCTATCGAGTGTCGCCGTTGCAGTTGCAGTTGCATCAACCAGCTGTATCCAGGTCGCCGTGCCTGCTGCTCCTCTACGAGACTGACTGACTGCACCTTGTCGCAAATATTTCCCTTGGCTTCTTCTTCTTGTTGTTGTTTTCTTCAACTCGTTCAACTTCAACTCGTCCGTCTTCCTTCCACTTTTCGATACCCAAACAAAACGAGACGAGCCTGTTGGTGTGACCAGGCAACAAAGGACACACCCGACCACCGCCACCATGGACAACGTCAGCTTCGACATCAACGAGGCGCTCAAGCTCTACATGAGCGACCCTGCCACGATCCCCACCGAGCAGGCCGATGCCGCCCTCTTCGACTGCGAGAACGACCCAGAGAGCCTCACCAACGGCGTCATAAACCCAGTCCTCAACCCCATCATCGATGCCGTCGCCGAGAACCCCGACGCCATCACCCGCAGCGCCCACTTCGACTCGCTGCAGTTCCTCCTCAAGTGCGCCCCCATTTCCCTTTCCCCCTCCGAGTCTGCCGCCGTCTACATCTCTGCCTCTGCCTCTGCCTCTGCCTCTGCCGCCTCTGCCCATGCGCTGCAGCACAAGAGCACACGCCTCGTCACAGTCGCAGACACAGGCACAGACACACCCTCTACCCTCCCTACTCCAGAGCAGACCCCAGACCCAGACCTCGACCCAGATCCCGGCCCTGACCCACACCCCGACGTGCATGTGAACAAGGGACATGTTTCTAAGCTCTTCCAACTCTCCAGATACACTCCGTACCTGCCCACACATGCGCTGTCCAAGGTCTTCGATCTCATCACCTCCGGCCTGTCCACCGAGACCGACATCATCCACACCGACCTCGAGTCCGACGAGCAGGACCTCCTGTCGCATCACAAACACCTGCTCGAGATCTACGGCTTCCTGCTGCAATGGACCATCTCCTGCGTCGAGACAAAGGCCGCCGAGAAGTCCTCGACCGCCCCTGCCGCCCGGGGCAGGAAGCCCAAGGGCAAGAAGGCCGCCGCCGACAAGGATGCCAACTGGGACAGCGCTGCCCAGCTGCAGATAGCCCTCGACACCATGTGCAAGGTGCTGCGCCTGAAGCTGGGCAAAATCTTCCTGACCACGTCCGAGCGGGACACCTTCATCGGCCTCATCACGCGTCCCGTCTACCTGATCCTCGAGAGCGAGCAGCGGATCAAGAACACTACCATTCGGATGCACGCCTTCAAGGTCCTGTGCATCGCTGTCAAGCACCACGGACATGGTTATGGTGGGTCATCTCCAGCAACTCGTTGAGGAGGGCAGCCTCACAGCCAGCTAACACTGCGTTCCCCAGCCGCCCAAATCTCCATCGTCCAGAACCTGACCTACTTCGAGCACTTGTCCGAGCCCATGGCCGAGTTCCTACACATCCTGGCAGAACAATACGACTACCCGCAGCTCGGCGAGGAGGTACTGCGTGAGCTCAGTAACAAGGAGTTCAACAGTAATGACACCCGCGGCCCCAAGTCTGTCTCTACCTTCATGGTCAAGCTGTCCGAGCTTGCGCCGAGGCTGGTCATCAAGCAGATGACCATGTTGGCCAAGCAGCTTGACAGCGAGGTACGTCCCGAAGTCCTGGTCCTGCCGGTGCCCTACCCTGAAGCTAACGGGTACAGTCTTATACGCTTCGGTGCGCCCTGGTCGAGGTCTGCGGCAACATGCTCATCTACTTGAGCAAACAAGAAGAGCGGGGAGAGAACTACAAGTCACAGCTGAATGCCTTCTTCGACGTCCTGGAGGAGCGATTCCTCGACATCAACCCCTACTGCCGCTGCAGGGCAATCCAGGTCTACGTGAAGCTGTGCGACCTCCAACAAAAGTTCCCCAAGCGGAGGCAGAGGGCCGCCGAGCTGGCGTGCCGGAGCCTTGAAGACAAGAGCAGCAACGTCAGGAGGAACGCCATCAAGCTGCTGGGATGCCTCATCAAGACCCACCCCTTCACCGTCATGCATGGCCACCAGCTCGCCCGCAAGGACTGGCAGGAGCGCCTCGACAAGGTTGACCAGGAGCTGGATGCCCTCAAGCCCCCGGCCGGGGCCCCTGATATGGACAGTCAGGGCAGGGCCGACGTCACGGTGGACGAACAGCTGCTCGACGAGGCAACACAGGTCGAGCCGTCCCCGCAGAAGAACAACCCCGACGAGATGACCGAGGAAGAGAAGGCCGCTGCGATCCAGAAGGTCCAGGAGGCTGCCGCGACCTCGGAGGCCATCGAGAAGCTCACACTCACCCGACGCTACTATACCGAAGCACTCAAGTTCATCGATGTCCTGCACGAGTCTACTGGTACCGTCTGCCAGCTTCTTGGGTCCAAGAACAAGAGCGAGGTGATCGAGGCAATGGACTACTTCGAGATTGGCGACGCCTATAACATCGAGCAGAACAAGGTGGGCATCCGCCGAATGCTCAGGCTGATCTGGACCAAGGGCAACAGCGACGAAGGAAAGGGCGTCCAGGCACACCTCATCGAGTGCTACAAGCGTCTATTCTTCGAGGCCCCAGACTCTTTCAGCGCCAACGATGCGGCCAACTTCATTGCCCGCAACATGATCAGCTTGACCTTTGGGGCCACGCCGGCAGAGCTGACATCCCTCGAGCAGCTGCTGGCAACCATGATGAAGCAGGGCATGATCCCAGATCTTGTCATCTCGAAGCTCTGGCAGGTCTACGGCGTGCAGAGGCGCGAGATATCCAGGACGCAGAGAAGAGGCGCCATCATCGTGTTGGGCATGTTGGCGACTGCCAACCCCGAGATCGTGGTCAGCGACATGGAAACCATGCTCCGCACTGGCCTTGGGCCGCATGGGCGCGGCGACCTCCAGCTCGCCAAGTACACGTGCATCGCACTCCGCCGCCTCAACCCGATCGGCCGACAGGCTAAGGAGTCTGGCGTCAAGTTCTCGCGGCTTCCGAACCAGCACGCTGTCCTCCAGAAGCTCGCCGCCATCACCGACGTTCCCTCTGAGAACGAGGAGTGGTACGGCGTTGCTGAGCAGGCCATCAATGCGATCTACGCCATCTCCAAGCATCCCGACGTACTCTGTTCCGAGATCATCCGCCACAAGACGAAGGCGGTCTTCAGTGGTCGACCCCGCTCGAACTCCAACGACAGACCTGCATCTAGGGACTCGCAGAAGTCGGCACAGAGCAAACACTCGGCCAAGGTAGAGGGGGAAGAGGGCGACGAGGATATCGAAATGGACGGTGCCGAGGCCACTGTCATGCCCCCGACGCAACAGCCAGCACCACAGCCGGCGGCCACACAGACAGAGGCGGCTTCGAAGCCCAAGCGCGACAACGCAATTGCACTGTCCGAGCTCTTATTCATCGTTGGACACGTCGCCATCAAGCAGATTGTCCATCTTGAGTTGTGCGAGCTGGACTTCAAGCGCCGCAAGCAGGAGAAGGAGAAGGCCGTTGCCGCTGAGAAGGCAGCCGAGGCCGAGTCGCGCCGCAACAGCAGGAACAACCGGGCATCGACCATCGGGACTGTTGCCAACAAGGATGAGCCGGAGGACGAGCTGGACCTCATTGGCGGCACGACCGAGGACGACTTCACCGAGGCCATGCTGCACATCCGTGAACGGGAACTCCTCTACGGCCAGGACTCGCTGCTGTCCGTGTACGGGGGTCTCGTGAGCGAGATTTGCGCAAACAACACCAAGTACAAGGACAAGGGCCTGCAGGCGGCGGCGACGCTGTGCCTGGCCAAGCTGATGTGTGTCAGCGCCGAGTACTGTGAGGCCAACCTGCCCCTGCTCATCACCATCATGGAGCGGTCTCCCGACGCCACGGTGCGGTCCAACGCTGTCATCGCTCTGGGTGATATGGCGGTGTGCTTCAACCACCTCATCGACGAGAACACCGACTTCCTGTACCGCCGACTCGCCGACAAGGATGCCTCGGTCAAGCGCACCTGCCTGATGACCCTGACCTTCCTGATCCTGGCTGGACAGGTCAAGGTGAAGGGCCAGCTGGGCGAGATGGCCAAGTGTATGGAGGACGAAGACAAGCGCATCGCGGACCTGGCCAGGATGTTCTTCACGGAGCTATCCACCAAGGACAACGCCGTGTACAACCACTTTGTCGACATGTTCTCCCTGCTGTCGGCGGAGAAGGCGCTCGCGGAGGAGAGCTTCCGGAGGATCGTCAAGTTCCTGCTTGGCTTCGTGGAGAAGGTAAGCCTCCGATATATATGCCCATAGATCCCGGGTCCCAGACCCCTTTGGGGATGTATCAGCCTGCTAATCGTGTGTTCGCCTTACAGGACAAGCATGCCAAGCAGCTGGCCGACAAGCTGGCGGCCCGCCTTCCGCGGTGCGACACGGAGCGGCAGTGGAACGACGTGGCGTTTGCGCTGGGGTTGCTGCAACACAAGAACGAGGACATCACCAAGCTGGTGTCGGAGGGCTTCAAGGTGGTGCAGGCGGCGGCGTAGCAGGCTGAGCTTCCTTCGCGGTGAGGTCGGGTTGCCGGTGTGGGTCTGTGTGTTTGTGTTGTTGACCAGTGTGTATGTAGCTCATGGGACATGGTCCCAGAGAGGCGGCATTGCGGATAAAGGCCGGGGCGTTTTGGGTTCGTTCCAACACTGGGTTGGTGGGGTGTGGTATTCTCTTTGTGGGTTGGTGGATGATAGATATACTCTATGCGCTTACGAAGTAATGTACCTGACACATGCTGAAGATTCCGTGGGTGTTGGCGGGTGTGACTATTCAGACATTTGCACCATCCTCACCTGTGCATCAATGGGCATTGATGCCCCTGACCAGAGGTTTGGTTGTCCCGTAGCTGTTTGTTCGTCCGGGGGTTATCCCTTAGGAGGTGGTGTGTGATACACCCTCGGTCAGCATTCGAGCATCACGTTACTTTGTTTGTTCTTGTCTTTTGATTTCTTGTCCTTGGCGCACGAGACATGCCATACCATGCCATATCTACATCCAGATCATCTTGCCCCCAAGCCGGCACCCGCACCGAAGAGCGGGTGCTGCTGCTTCCGCTCAACTCATCATCCGCCGCTCAGTGTGGCATGCCATCCCGTGTCTGTCCACCTGCCTCTATCTGTCTATCTGTCCATCCATCCGCTGCCCCAATCCGAAGAGCCTGCCTGACCGGTGACCAGCCTACTTTGACTGCTCCGGGGTGACGGCAAAGGTGGGCTTGACGAACCTGTCGCTGTTGTAGACCTTGAGGGTCTCGCCGCCCATGAGCTGGCGCTCGCGCTGCTGGTCGGCGAGGTAGCGGCGGACCTGGTCGCGGTCCTCCTCGGCCTGCAGGGCGGGGATGAGGTGGATGCGGGCCCACATCTTCTCGCGGGCGAGTTCTCTGTGGGGGGTTTATTTGTGTCAGCATGTGTGTGTGTGTGTGTGTGTGTGGTTCCGAGGGCGAGGGGAGGTGGGTGGAATGACAATATACTCACCGTTGTTCCCTTGCACCCTTGCCGAACAGGTACCATCCGTAGAGCATGACGCCGCCGCTGATGGCGAGCAGGGTGGCGGGCTTGAAGCCTCGTGCGGGCAGGTTGCGCTGTGGTGAGCAATCACAAGTGTCAGCGGGGTGTCTGCAGAGAATCAAGGGTCCAAATCCCGGCCAGTTGCAGTCCTCCTCGTGTGTGTGTGTGTGCGCGCGCGAACGACTCTGCCCAGCCCAGGCCAGCCCAGCCCAGCCTCTCAGAGAGGGAGGACAGAACGGCGTGACGGTGAGCTGGGCCATCCACAGGTGTGCCTCTCTTCTGCCAACATCTCCCTCCATTGGAACCGTGTCGTCCGTCCGACATGTTCGCCAGTTCTGCCCTACCCCCCTCATGGGCACCACACCACCCTCCTCAGGAAAACGGCCCCCCGTCCCGGGCTAATGCCCGCCCCAAGTTCCTGGGCGTCTTCACACGCTCCATTGGCCCGTTCACCCAGCAGTAGTCGACATCGTCATCCCGTTGGCCCCGTGGCCCTCGATCTCAACAGCCCTTCTTGTCGTCGTCGTCGGAGGTGCACGGTGGGCAATTCGGGGGGAGAAAAGAGTCCTTCTCACCTTGTACTGGACGGCGTCGTACCCGCCCACGGGGGGCATGTCCTGAGGCATGGTGGGCTGTTTGTTGTTGCTGCTGCTGCTGCTGCTGCTGTGGACTGCTTCTTCTGTGTCGGTCGATGCGCCGACCTATAATCTCGGGGTGTGTGCTGCTTGCTCCCTTCGGTCGCTGGGGGCGTGGTCTTCGCGGCGGGGGGTCAATTGAACGGGAGGTGCGTGCCCCGGTCGTGACTTCGAGGTGGTGTTGTCTGGTCTGGAATGGATTGGATGGATGTTCGACTTCGGCGCGGGTGCGATGCGGCTCCCAGCTTGCCTCGCCTTGCCTTGGCTTGCCTGCCCTGCAACGGGGTAGGTCCACTGCGGCACTGCTTGCTTGTATTCCACCGGGCTGGATTGGCCAGAGCTTGTCTGCTGGGGGAGGTGGGGTCTGCTTACGTCATCCATCTCAACCTCGGGCATGTACTTTGTACCGTACTCGCATCAGTGCACGGAGTGCTATGAGGGTCTACAGTACCTAGGTACCTACCTACCTACCTAGGTAGGTAGGTAGGTATGTTAAGATTGCTAGTCACTGTCCATGATATATATCTGTGTACTGCTGCCAGTGTTTTACAGTAGATTTTGAATTCATTGGCTAATCAAGTATCGCTAGTGAGAAAAGAAGAACCCCTTCCAGAAATACAATCCAGTGAGTGGCCGCCCTCCAACACATCTCCAGTTGCTGGATCGGGCGGTTCGTTTCGACGACGGGCGGGTGAGGATAATAAGGACAATGAGGATGATGAGGGCAATGAGGACGTCGACGACGAACACCACCACTACGGCGACGGGGGCGTGCGCCGCCCCTGCTTCAGCTTCTCGTCCAGCTTCTTGTTGAACGTGTCAGAGTTGTACTTTGAGCACCAGGGCACCTAGCCCTTCTCCGCGAGCTGCTCCTGCTCCTCCTTCTCCAGCTCTGCCTCCAGCTCCGCCTCGTCGATCTCGAAATCATCCAGGTCGTCGTCGTTGCCGTTGCCTTCCCCACCCCCACCCCCGCCCGTCTCCAGGAGGTCCACCTCCTCCTCGTCTTCGCCCTCCTCGCCCCCGTTCGCCCCCGTGCCTGTGCCATGGCCTCCTTGCAGCGCGGGCTCGGGCTCGGGCTCGTACGAGGACCGCAGCTTGCTGGCCCCTTGTGACCGTGATATCTTGAGCTTTTTCGACAGCGCCGAGCCGCTGCTCCCCACGTCGCTCTCGCTGTCGTCGCCCACGTCTCCGTCGCCGTGTTTTCGCTTGGAGCCCGGTGATGTGCCGTTGACTGCTGCCTCCCTCCTGGCCACGGCCGCCTTCGACCCAGCCTCGCTCACACTCTCTGACGTCGTGCTCTTGTTGTCTCCGAGCTCAGAGTCCGACTGACCGCCCTCTTCTTCTGACTTTCCTTCGTCGTCGTCATCGTCGTCGTCGTCCCCGTCATCCCCGTCGTCCTCCTCCATAAACGCGGCCAGCTCCTCGTCGGCCTCGTTGAAGTCGAACGTCTTGAGCTCGTCGATGGGGCTGCGCGGGTCCAGCTCGTCCTCCTCGTCGGCGCTGTCGAGCTCGTCTGGCTCGGCCACGCCGTTCTGCATCGCCGTGTCCATCGACACGGGGCCTGGGCCGCCGTCGCCCTTGCCAGGCAGCACCAGCGGGGCCAGGCCCCCCCGGTCCGCAGGGTGCAGGTCCAGCAGGTACGGCGTCTCGTCCAGCTCCTCCCACTGGCTTATCGAGTCCTGCAGCCAGTTCTGGTTGACGATCTTGATGGTCGGTATCCTGACCGCCTCGCGCACCTTGGCCGTCCGCGGCCGCAGGAGGCTGACCACCAGGTGCGTGATGCCCGGGTGTATGCGGTCCTCCAGGATGGCGCCAAAACTCTTGACCTGCAGCGCGATCTCGTGGTTCCACTTGTCCACGTTGTTGGGCACGATGCCGCTGAGCACGATGCGCGTGCCGCGCAGCACCTCGTGCTTGAGCTCGTCCAGCACCGCACCCACGTCCGGTATCGAGGGGCTGTTCTCGCGGCTCTCGTAGGCCTCGTAGTACTTCTCGTGAAGGTTCTTGAGGTGTCGCTCGAGGTAAATGAGCTCGGCATCGTCGTCGAGGAGGACGTGGTGTCGCTGGTGCGGCGGGGTAACCTGCCCGCTCCCGACGGTCTCGTTCTCGGCGCTGGCCTTCTCGGCCTCCTGGTCGTCCTTGTCGAGCTTCTCCTGCATGTGCAGCAGGGGGCGGTCGGCCAGCTGCTTCTCCAGCAGCCGTTCTTGCTCGCTCTGCGCTTTTAGCAGCGCGACATCATCGGCACTGCTGGCGTCCGCGGGAGGGGCCGTTGTCTTTGCTGCTTCTGCTGCCGCCGCCGCCGCCGCCGCCGCCGCCGCCGCAGCCGTTGCTGCATCTCCCTCGGCGGGATCCGGCTTCGCCTCGCCGTTCGGGGGTGTCGCCCCGGGGACGGCGTCCGGGGCAGGGGCGAGGTCTGGCCTCTTTGGCAGGAAGCTCGAGTTGATGTCGCCGGTGCCCTTGAAGAAGTCGTAGGGCACGACCTTGATCAGGTTGCGGCGGTTGTTTGGCCAGACGTCGGCACGGTCGTCGATGACGACGACCATGTTGGTGGAGACGGGGAAGAGGCGCTGCAGGCTCTTGGCGGTCATGTTGCCGTTCTCGTCGCGGCTGATGATGCGGTCGCCAAAGAGCTTCTTGTCCGGGTCGACGATCTTGGCGATGTTCATGGCGTAGGCGCGGGTGCCCATGGTGTAGACGTGCAGCTCGTAGAGCTTCGAGATGTTTGTCAGGAACTGTCGCAGGTTGGGGCGCATCTTGATGTAGTAGGAGCAGCCGCTGGCCAGGCCGCGGGGCCCGTCGTCGTTGAGCTGGAAGCTCTGGACGTCCCTGACGGCGTCGTGGTTTGGGTTGGAGGGGTCGTTCTGCCACTCACCGACGGTGGGGTCGATGCAGGCGTGGATGATGGTCTGGTCGAGGTCGACGACGAGGCTGAGCTTGCGGTGCTCGAGCAGGCGCTTCTGCTGCAGCAGCTCGGTCTCGGCGGCGCGGTCGAGGCTGACGGTCAGCTTGACGTTGTCGTGGATCATCTGGACGGGGGCGCGGGCGGTGTCGAGCTGGGTGGTGTAGAAGTCGATCTCGTCGGTGGGCTTGCCGCAGATGAGGCACATGCCGCCGTACTGGCTCTCGTGGATGCACGTCTCCTCGATGCGCACGCAGTTGCGGCTGCGGGGGATGACCTGGCCGACCTTGATATCCCAGGACTTGAGGGTGCCGTTGGTGGGGCAGGGCCACGAGGCGAAGCCGGTCTGCTCCTCGTTGCGGATGTCGCCGGTGATCTGGTCGCCGAACTCCATCTTGTACTTGTAGGAGAACTCCATGGCATTGGAGCCCTTCCTGACCTCATCGCCGGGCTGGTAGATCAGCCTGGTGATGGTGATGGGATACCGCAGGTGAGGCCCCAGGGGGAACTCGGTTACGGAACCCATCTTGAAGGATGGGGGGGGGGGAGGTGGGAGGTGGTTTGGGCAGAATCTAGACCAGGATGAGAAGGATTAGCCAAGCTGGTGGGGGCAGAGCACGAGGGCGTATATACAGAGGTAGGTATTGATTGGTGCACGCAGAAGCAGAGGGAGGTGGGGAGAGCTCACAGAGCAGTGTCAGCTATCGAGACAGGCTGGCCGCCTCTAGCTGGACAAGATGTGGTCGCGCTGGATGGAGGATGGAGATGGACAGGCAGCGATTGAGCTTCCCATGGCCGACAGAATTGGCGGAGGTGTGGTGGTCGATTGCTCGAGGGATTGGGCGCTCTCGAGGGCTGCAAAGGTCGAGGTCCAGCTAGCAAGGTGTCAGGTTGTTGTTGTTGTTGTTATTGTTGTGCAGATGCAGGATGGTGACTCTCTGGGGGTGTGAAAAAGTTGGTGATCACAAGGTGGTTAGAGTTGCAGGAGATGGGTCGAGGGAACAAAGTGCTAGTGCAGTGCAGTTGCTGTGCGGTGCGATGCGCATGCGCGGCACTGCTGCGATATGCGACTGGGATGGGGTTCAAGGTCGGGAGAGCTTGGGCCACCGGCACACACACACCAACACACCGTCTCCGTAACTCAAGACTGAGACCGACACTCGGGGGAGTGGAGCGTGGACAACGGGTTAGAGGAAAGTGTACCTCGAACGGTGGCTGGCCAGGCTGGACGGGAGACGTTTTAAAGGTGTGGCGCCCTGACCCCAACTTGTACCTGATCCGTTTCGAGGAGGTACCTGGGCACCTGACCCCAAAGCAGAGAGTCAAGAAGCTCCCTGCTTAGCGTCGGCAGCTAGCCGTGACAGGCCAATGAGGAGGCGGGCTGGCAGGGCGAGAAGTGGGGAACGGTGCCGACTGCCTCAAGCTGCAAAAGAGCTGGTTCGTTTGTTGGTTTGCGCTGCTCACTGCACTGGCACTTCTTTCTGCTCACACTCTTGTATTACGGACAAGGAGGGACGGGACTTGTCCAAAAGTTTCATGTGAGGGTGTGTTGATGGGCGGGGTGGTGATGGCGTGAAATGGGTTCGGGTCAACTGGTATGCTCAAGTTTCCAACGAGTGGGAGTGGTTGGGCCTTGAGACGAGGATCAGACTGGCTGTCTTGACTGGCTGTTAGCTGGCTGTTTCTGTGCCGTGTTCGACTCGGAAACAGGTTGATTCTGGGCAGATGAGATGCGATGTGTGCAGCAGCCCTGTGCGACGCCGCCCAGTATGCAGCTTCATGCACAAACATGCACACAGGCATCGGATACTGAATGAGGCTCTGCTCACCTGCTGGCTCGTGATGGATATCAGAAATGTGGTCCTTGCAAGTGGTCTGTCGCATCCAACAAGTGCCACGTCGGAATGCTAGCCGAACAAGCTGGAACCCGGCCTGGCTCGCTTCTCAGATGCTGGTTTCCAAGGTTCTTCCACGGTTCTTGTTATCAGGGCAGCTTCGACACTAGAACAGCTTCTGGTGTTAGTTGAATTGAGGTGGATCTAATTCTGGGCAGGTACGATAAGATATAGATATACATACATTCGTTGGGTAAGTAAGTATCTCTGCCTCTAGACAATCTGGGAGTAGTCGATTTACATCGAGCGCGTACCTATCATTTCGCCTCCAGCGAAATGCGAGCGAGAATTGGAGGCGGGAGACTGGCGCCCTTTTGTACTTTGGTACCTTGGCCCGAGACCCTCTTTTTCCGGAGCTTGCCTCGCGTGCATTGTGCGTGCGTGCATTCATGGGCCCTGCACCGAACAGTCAGACAGTCAGCGACGAGGCCCCTTATTACCGTTTGCGGGGTTTCTCCAGCCTGTGGTTCAGCGTGCCCCAGGTGCTGCTTATCTTGGCCCACATAGACAGTACCGTCTATCTATATTGTCAACTGGTGTTGATACCTAGGTACCATTCATCATGCGGATTGGCAGAATTCACACATCTCAGCCTTAAATCCTGTTGATCGCATCATCTCCTCATAGACATTGCACATGCAGCCAGGCACGGTTGTCCAAGCGTCTCCTCACCCCTCTCACTCATTATAGTTTTCACACATTACCGGTATGCTCTTCACTGCCATTACTTTCGTCCACTCCACTGGCATAGGGCTTAGATGCAGCCATGGTATTCATTCAGTTTGTATCTCCCCGTGGGCCATGGCCATGATGACCTCCCCCCCGGCATGGTGGGCTGACAATGTTGCACTGCTCTCTTTGTTGCTCCACCGTCTCCTGACATTCGCCTCCAACAACCACCCAGGCTAGCCCTTTTGACCACACTGCATGTTCGCGTGTTTGCTCATTGCCAGCCCTCCTACTACTCCCCCAACACATCACCACCAGCACGCTGCTCCTCTTCTGTGTGTGTTGTGTCGTGCCTTTTGGCGAACGGGATGGATTTGGTAGCAGCTCAGACTGTGTAGTCTAATTAGTACTTACTCACTCACCCCGCCCCAGTCACTCCCGTAGATATATCAGAGCACATTAACTAGCAGCACTCACTTGAATCACACCCGCCACTCGCAACCATGGCACACACGAGTCCGCAAGTGTCCAGAGTCACGTTGCACGCCGTGACATTGGCCGCCGAGCCGTATGCATTCTTGCTGCCAACCGTGACACCCGCGTCGTCGTAGCAGGTCAGGGCCTGTCTGGTGCATATCGCCTGGCACACCCCGTAGGTCAGCTCGTCGAACCTGGCCCCGGCTGCGAGGGCCGTAGCCACGGTCATGGCAGTGATGAGGATCCCGGTGGGCTGCATCGTGTAGGTGGTTTTCTCTTTTACTGTGTGTGTGGGGGGTTTGAAATGTCTTGGTGGCTTTGATAGAGTCCTGCTAGAGCGAGATCGGTGGTTATCTTCAAGAATGCTGTGGTGTTGACTGATGACGACCACCAATTGTATAAGTAGTAGTAGGAGCGACATTGACAGCATATTATATCTGGGTGAATCTACACAATTATGGACCCAGCGGACTTTGAGGTCCTTTCAGGCTATGATTGGGCTCTGTGGGCTGTGGAAGGCGGTCAGGTTGAATGCAGGTTGCCGACAACACATGCAGCCCATGATACTTTGCCAGCTTGCAATCTTTATCTTCCTGGAGAGACTGAAAGCCCATCAAGCCAATGGATGTATCGCCTTTTCAGTGACTGATGGAATAATAAATGACGTGTTTTCGTTGCAGATCACGCTCCATTGATGCCAGCACGCTCAGGGCTGGGAACTCAGATCTTGTTGGACAGGTCAGTTACAGTTCTCTGTCGCCTGGGCTGGTTATCTCCCGTAATGATATTACACATCTTTATTCAACGTTGGATCAAGCAATATCGACCAAGTCTCACCGCAACCTCCAGTGGCGACGTGTATGTGACTGTTGACATGTAGATCCGCCGTGTCTCAAAGCCTTATGCGGGTAACAAAGGATACTTCTAATTATGTAGTCACAGAATGTGATTGCCTGTAGATGGCTAGTACTCATGCAAGGTCATGCAAAGCCACATCGAACGGTCACTTCCGTCAACATTCAGAAGGAACGGCAAACCCATTCACTCTCGGCTACTACCCAGAGCCCTTGACAGCGTCTTGCCCAAGGTCTGTCTGCCTCTCTTCGCGAAACCACCCCAAATGACACACTGGTCCGCGCCACCAGATGGCAAACGGTCGGCATAGGGTATTACGGCAAGATTTGGCGACTAGGGGAACATCGCATTGCTGTCCAATTGAATTTTCAGAAAGTTTGAACGAAGCCCCTGCGGCACCCTGTCATCCATCATCACTTCGTCCACATCCTACGCCGTGTGTGTCAACAAGATTCCAAAGCACCTCGTACAGAGCAGTCGCCACATACCGTGGCCAGGTTGAGCCCCCCGCGGAGCCAATAAGGGCATTCATCGATTCAATGGTGAGCAATGTAGTCTTCAGGCCGGGATATATAGCACTAAGACCTGGGCCCAACAGGCTGGCCGGTCGTGGCCCAATCGGCAGTGGTGTAATATTCTCGTTGTCTCCTGTATCGCTATATTTGACCCGCAGTGCAGTTGGCACGAAGTCCGAGTACCGGTCGTTCAAGACAGCCCGTCATTCCCGGCAAGGATTTCAGAGGTGGCTGGCAGGCCTGCCGACCCGGACACAACTACGCCGTGTATGAACTCGTTCAATAACACTGTTGGCTCCAAGACCGAGTCTCGTTTCCGCATGCCGCCGACGTTCAAGACACCCATAGACAGCCGTAGGCTCCATCATCAGCCAGAGTAGTCAATGTCGCGCTTTTACCGGTGTGCCAAAGTGGATTATGATCTCGACCGGGTACCGAAGTCGCCGCCTCGCTAACCCTTGTCGTTGTTTGAAAAATGGAAGTCCACTGCGGCCTCGTCTAAATCTAGCATGGGAATGACAACAAGACTTGTTGATGGTATAGAACGTATGCATTGGTGTAACGGATTTATTCACATAGCTTTTCCAGTCGGCGGTGGCGGGGGAATGCGGATAGGAAAGGATCATCGAGGGAAATGTTGCCATACCTAGGCTCATAGCCTTGCTGTTGGTCTTCTCACCATTCGTGGCCCGTATTGGACTGGTAGCACTCGGACGGAGGCGCTGTCTTGCCAATACGGGATGAGATGTCACGCGTAGGATGCGCAAAGACAGCCGTTAATTGTGCTAGTGGGAAGCCACTAAGAAGATGCTTTCTATATGTTATTGTACGACTAATTTCCCAACTAATAACTACATCTGGAGGAAAACCAGCGTGGCTGCAACTCATAAAAGTGTCCTGCTCCGGGAATCAGAAGAACGAGCCCCATTGCTCAGGACACTGCTGCTTTAGCCTGATAGTTTCAGTTCAACCTTGCAGGACGGCGTTGCTTGCATGTGATTTCATCACAGGCAGTGCCTGAAACAGCTGCAAAAAAAGTTCGGCCAGGGGATCAAATAACGGAAGGAGTGGATCTCACAGTATACCTACCTAGGTAGGTACATAATGGCGTCGTGTGGTGGGTGCCATGAGCGGTGCGTAACCAGGTATGCCTTCCCGAGCATTCTATCAGCTACTCCAGGAGAAGGGGCAGTATATTTACCACTCGATCCAGGCTAAGCCGTGGCTAAGAGCCTTTTGAAGGCTTCGTTTCTTGTACGGCTTAAAGTAGAAAGAGGTGTGGTAGACGGGTTATTGAGAAGGAGCGGAGTGGAAGCAAGGAGCTTACCACCTGGGCAACAGCGACTCCTCAGTCCCACCATACGCCTTATTGATAAGGCTTTCAAAGAAAGCTTCCAGGCTGCTGCTTCTGCCTCAGCCAAATATAAAGTCAACATTGAACCCCACGCTCTCTGGATGGTGAATCCCGAGGTCAACCAACACCTCTGAAGACAACGTTGAACAAACCTTGGAAGCCACACAAACGAGACGAAAGCCATCACAGGACTCCTCAACAACAAATTTGACCATCAAGATGCAGCCGAAAAAGACCATCATTGCAGCCCTGTCGCTCGCCACCGCCGCCACCGCCGGTCCGATAGGATACGGTATTTGCCAAGCAGGCTGCGCGGCAGTGGTGACTGCTTGCTACGCTGGGGCTGGCTTCACATTTGGCACGGTTGTTGCGGCTGCGGGTGCGCCGGCAGCAATCATCGCGTGCAACACGGCCTTTGGAACTTGCCAGTCCGCGTGTGCCGCCGTTGCACTGCTCCCCACACCCTGAATGCGAACGCTATCGGTGCTGCCAGTCGCCCGGGCGGCCTGGGAGGGACTCGACTCGACTCGACTCGACTCGACTTCTACGACTCATCAGCTCAGGCTACGTTGGCAAAGACACACTATCTCTCTGGGAATCAGACATCAGGAGTTGCGAGTCTGATAGTGGAAATTTTTCATGGGAGAACAAGATGTCTTTTTTTTTGGAGGGGGGAGGGGAATGCAGATGTGGATGAATGACGAGGCAACCTTGGAACTTAGATGCGACGTCGGTTGGGGGTGGGGGTAAACTGTATGCCAGGGTTAGGGTCTAGCACCCCGGGGCAGCTTCCCACTCACCCCAGAATGGCTCAGCTCAATTCAATCATGAGCGGCGACTGAGCATCAACATTGCACTCTCTTACATAAAACTAATTGACAGGGCTTCGCCCTTCATAACCATCAGCCTTGAAGTCATTTGAAATTATTTGTGTGGGCAGCCTTGCTCTTTCTCTTGTCGCAAAAATCTCTGAGGCACATGCGAGCTCGCGGCGACATTTGCCCTGCCATCAGCCATGGCAGCCTCGGACGAGGCCCGGCAGGCCCAGCCCAACTTTCATCATCCTTACTCGCCTTATGACGTCCAAATCGAGTTCATGAAAGCAGCATACGATGTGCTCGAGCGCGGTGACGGCCAAGTCGGCATTCTCGAGAGCCCAACGGGCACGGGCAAATCCTTGTCGCTCATCTGCGCGTCAATGACCTGGTTGAGAGACTTCAAAAGACGCGCCTTTGAGGCTTCTGTACAGATCAACCCCAACGACGCCGAGGGAGAACCGGATTGGATCATCGAGCAGATGCTGCGACGTAAGAGAAACGAGCTGGTGGCAAAGTGGGAGGATCGTGAGGCTCGACTCGAGGCTGTGCGCAGGAAAGAAAAGGCAACTGAAGACCGTGCGAACAAGCGGCGCAGAGTCGACAGGCCGGTCATCTCTAAAAGAGCAGAAGATGAAGAAGAAGCCGAGTTTCTGATTGACGATTGGGAAGAGGGTGGTTCTGTTGGCGCATCTGCAACCTCGGATGATAAAGATGGCTTTGGCGGCTTGAGCAAGGAGACCAGAGCTCTGCTGCAAAAGATTGGGATGGGGGAAGCGAAAAAGATGGAAGCTAACGATGATGAGACTCCTGAGGAGGAGATCAAGGTATGCACATGTGCTCCCTGCCGCACAATACCGTATCTCGCCAGTCACTAATCGATCCTTCAGATTTACTACACCTCGAGGACCCACTCTCAACTGACGCAGTTCATCTCGGAGCTGCGTCGTCCTACTTTCTCCTCGTCCCTGCCAGACCATTTGACGAGTAAGAAGAATGACACATCGACAGACGACGAACCGGTGAAACAGATCCCACTATCATCGCGGCAGCAGCTCTGCATCAACTCGGCAGTTTCAAGGCTCGGATCCGTGGCTGCCATCAACGACAGATGCAGCGAGCTGCAGAAACCACAGTCAAAGGATAAATGTCCCTACATTCCAAGCTCCGAGAATCTCGCCCAGACGCATCAGTTCCGCGACGCCGCCTTGGCAACCATTCCTGACATCGAGGACCTTCATGAACTGGGAAAGACTCACCACGTGTGTCCCTACTATGCATCACGATCTGCAATACCCATGGCAGAGATTGTGACTTTGCCGTACCCATTGCTGCTCCAGGCGAGTGCCCGGGAGGCTTTGGGAATTAAATTGGAGGGGAATATTGTGATTATTGACGAGGCACATAATATCATGGACGCTGTGGCAAATGTCCATGCCGCAGATATCCGGCTGAGCGATCTGCAGAGGGGGCGGAAGATGTTGGGAGTCTACTTCAAGAGGTTTGGGAAGAAGCTCAAGGGCGAGAACAGGATCATGGTGGCGCAGGTCGTGAAGGTCATTGACGGGCTGACCGAGTGGTCGACCGCAGCCTTGTCGGCCAAAGTGAGTCTTCTCTACCTGACGCCATTTGTTGGTTCTCGTGACTGATAACTATCCTCAGAGTGAGCACGGAATTGTCGACCCAAATTCCCTTCTCAAGAGCAAAGGCATTGATCAGATCAACATGTTCAAGCTGATCAAGTACATACAAGAATCTAAGCTTGCCTTCAAGGTGGAAAGCTACGCAGCCCACATCCAGCAGCCCGAAGGCCCGAGCAACACAGCCAAACCGCCTCCCTCAAATCCTGTACTTCATTCTCTTACCTCGTTCATCATCGCCCTCACCAACCCTGCCGATGAGGGCCGCATATTCTACGAGAAAACCACGAGCCCCTCGGATATTAAACTCTCGTACCTGCTGCTTTCACCGACACACGCATTCTCATCCATCGCAACATCAGCCCGGGCAATCATCCTTGCCGGCGGGACAATGTCACCGTTCGAGGACTACAAAAACCACCTCTTTCCCTATTTGTTGCCCGAAAGAATCACCACCCTCAGCTGTGGGCATGTGATACCTGATTCGAATCTCTGTGTTTGGACACTGGCATCTACTCGGCCCAGAAAGACGCTGCAAGGTACTGCCACGACGGATACAACAAGCGGCTTGTTCGAGTTTAGCTTCCAGAAGCGGAGTGACAAGGGCACAATTAACAGACTTGGACTAGCCTTGCTGAACATTTGCTCGATAGTACCAGACGGTGTGGTAGTTTTCTTCCCTAGCTACGGGTACCTCGACGAGGTAATCGAGGTTTGGAAAGCCCCGCCAGGGACTGAGGGCGGAAAGCCGCTGTGGGAAAGGCTTCAAGATAAAAAAGCTCTTTTTAGAGAAAGCAAAGGTGGGTCGAGCGAGGAGGTGTTGGCGGCATACACCGAGGCAATATTGGGAGCCGGCCAGACAACCGACCGCAAGCAAGCCAGGGGCGCACTGCTTCTGAGCGTCGTTGGCGGCAAGATGTCCGAGGGCATCAACTTCTCAGACCGCCTGGGTCGATGCGTCGTAATCATCGGTCTCCCATACCCCAACATCAACAGCCCCGAGTGGAAGGCCCGGATTGAGTACCTCGAGTCATCCACTATTGCCCGGCTCACAGCCGCCTCGCCGTCATTATCAAAGGCCCAGGCGTCGCAGGAGGCGAAGCAGGTCGCCCGGGACTTTTACGAAAACGCCTGTCTCCGCGCAGTCAACCAGAGTATTGGACGAGCCATACGGCACAAGGCTGATTATGCGGCTATCGTGCTTGTTGATCGCCGATTCGAGACGGAGCGCATCCGTAGTAAATTGCCTGGGTGGATTAAGGGACGACTGGTGCGTGACGCAGAGTCGCAAGGTCTGCAGGGGCTGATGGGCTGCTTGAACATGTTTTTTAAGGACAAGAGAGCGGCGAAAGAATGATTGGGCCCTGCCACATCCCTATTGTAGATATTAGCCGCAATGTGAGTGACTGATGTGCGGATTTGCATTTATTATAAACATACTTGATATTAAGCTTTAGCTATATTATATTTTTCCTTTATACTATATAACTATCTTTTTATTTAATTATTTATTTCTTTTTTAATTTAAAGCTTATATATAAAGTCTTTAATAGCTTTATATATATCCTTATATTTTTTTATAAAGGAACTTTAAAATCTTTTTTTATTTTTATTATATTCTTTTATATTATTAAGAAATTAATAGTTATTAATAATAAAAATATAGATTTAAAAGAATAAATTTATTATAAACTATTTATATTTTTTAATTTTACTATTAAATTAAAAGTAAATAGTTAGGTTTTAAAAAATAAAATATAATATATTTTTAAAAATTAACTTAATTAAGTTTATTATATAAACTATTTTATAATAATTTTATAATTTATATTTATAATACTATTTATTATTAAAAATACTTTTTATATTAATATATTAAATTATAACTAATTAATTTAAGTTTATATTATTAACTTTAATATAAATTAATTTATTAAAGGTTAAAATTATTATAAACTATAAACTACTTAATTTTAATACTATTAAATATTATATATAAGGTTACTATATAACTTAAGTTTTTAAGTTAGTAAAAAAGTAAGAATAAAGTTATTATTTCCTTAAAGAATATATATAGATTTTAACTTTATTTTATAAATAAATACTTATTTATTAACTCTATAAATAAAACTATTTAAAAGTAATTACTTAACTTATTATATTTTAAATTAAAAGATAATTAAGTAAGGTAATTATATTTTATTATTATATATAATATTTAAGTTTATAATTTTAATAGTTTTTAAAAGAAAAATAGTTTTTAATAATTAAATTTATAATTATATAAAAATAGATTTTTATTTTAAAAAAGTTATTAATATTTAAAATAGTTAATATATTTTTAAAAAGTTAAAGGATTATAAACTTAATTTAAAGGAAATTAAAATTTATAAAAATTTTAAACTTAAACTTAAAGGCTTTCTTTTAAATTTAATTTTTTAAAGGAAAAATATTAAAAAGCTTAAAAGAGATTTAAATAAAGTTAAATAAAGTTAAATAAAGTTAAATAAAGTTAAATAAAGTTAAATAAAGTTAAATAAAGTTATAATAATATAATATATTTAAATAAAACTAATTATAAAATTATAATTATAAATCTTTTAACTTTATATTTAAAAGGGAATAAATTTATTATACTTTTTTATTTTTATAAATTATTTTTAATTTTTTTAAAAGTTTTAATATTTAATTATAAAAGTTTTAAAAGTAATATATTATAAATTGTTTTTATTTTAATTTCTTTTAAAATTAATAATTATATATTTAAATAAATATTATAATATTTATTTAATAAAAGTTTTATTAATATATATATATATATATATAATTAAATATTTAAAATTAAAATTTAATTATTAATTTATTTAATAAATTTTAATTTTAAAATAAAAGTTTTTATTATAATTAATTTAAATTAAACTTATTTAAATAGTTTATTATATTTTAATTAATATTTTACTTTATTTATTATAAACTATTTATATTTTTAATTTTATTATTAAATAAAAGTAAATAGTTATAATTTTAAAGGAATAAAATATAATATATTTTTAAAGATTAGTTTAATTAAATTTATTATATAAAACTTTTATAATAACTTTATAATTATTTATAATATTATTTATTATTAAAAATATATTTTTATATTAATATATTAAATTCTATTTAATTAGTTTAATATAATATTATTAGTTTTAATATAAATTAATATATTAAAATTAAAGTTATTATAAATTATAAGTTAATTTAATATTAATAAATATTATATATAAATATTAAATTTATTATATAACTTAAGTCTTATAAATATAAATTAGTTAAAATAAATAAAAATAAAGTTATTATTCCTTTAATTAAAGTTTTAACTTTATTTAAATAAATACTTATTTATTTACTTTATTATATTATAAATAAAACTATTTAAAAGTAGTTACTTAACCTACTATATAAATTAAAATATAATTAAATAAAGTAAGTATATTTTATTATTTAAGTTTATAATTTTAATAATTTATATAATTAAAAGATAATTATTAATAAATAAATTTATAATTATATAAAAATAAACTTTAATTTTTAAAAGTTATTAATATTTAAAATAATTAATATATTTTTAAAAGTTAAAAATTATAAATTTAATTTAAAGTATATTAAAATTTATAAAACTTTTAAATTTAAATTTAAAAGTTTTAATTAAATATTTATATTTTTAAAAATAAAAGTATTTATAAAGTTTAAAAAAAGTTTATATTAAATTAAAAATTAAATTAAATTATAATATAGTAAAATAATTAAATTAAAATTAATTAGAAAATTATAATTATAAATCTTTTATCCTTATATTTAAGAGGGATTTTATTTATTATACTCCTTCTTTATTCTTATTCCTCTTTTATCCTCCTCTCTCCTCCTCCCTCCTCCTCCCTCCTCCTCTCTCCTCCTCCCTCCTCCTCCCTCCTCCTCCCTCCTCCTCCCTCCCTCCTCCTCCCTCCTCCTCCCTCCCTCTCCCTCCCTTTTCTTTATTTTCTTCTAATAACCTACTATATATAGTAGCGGGAATACTTAATTAAATACTATTAAGAATATTTAATGCTAGTTATTTACTTTAAATAGTAGGATTTCTTAACTTAAGTTATACTTATTTAATACTAAGTGGAAGTAGTTAAAAATATATTAAGTATATGAATCGCAGTGGCTGCTTATTCTTCTAGGCTTATTAAGATTAAAAAATTAGACTACTTGCCCTGGTGGGCACATTAGATAGATGTGTGCCTAGGTTTAATAACTGTAGGTAATCTGGGAAGTTGCGCGCACGTATATGCTTGGCAGGTGAAAATGGTGCTGATCCACCGAATCAGACCAAGAACGAGTTGCATCTAAGGCAGTCAAAGATCTCGTGACGATCACTTATATTTCCGACAGACGGCCGAGACTATTTAAAAATCCGTCAGTGCGCAACGCATCTGCGTTACAACGTTGACGCATGGAGATCCAGATTTACCGATCCGGCCGGCCAAACACACCACTGGGCAGCCGTATTGGCCCTTGCAACCGCTTTTTAAAGGCACTAGGCTGACCGCGAACAAGCACAGTCACCTCACGAACACCCGATCACACTCTACATGGCGCGCAGCACAAGGAGTGCCCCTTGGGGAAAATTCGTATTGACCTTGGTACACGCAGTAAAGGTCATGCCTAGTTATCTCAGAGGTCTAGCCAGATCTATTGTGTCACCGGCAGTGGCCGATCGTGAATTGAAATGTTTATATCACAGCCTGGCGTACTGTATAATATCATTTCTCTCATTTTACTCTGCTGACGAAAACTGCCTGACTTTCCGCGATAGCCGCCGCTGCAATCTCTCGCCAACCTTCGATTTTTGCTAGACAGGCTCCCGACGCCCGCGGTTCCATGTCAAAGAAGTGGAAAACTGACAAACTTTGCAGGCCCCATGGTTCATGTGCCAAAGCTCATCGACTAAAAGAACTAGCGCACTACAGACTGTTCCCGAACGCCCGGCACAGAAACTTACTCGCACGCGTCAGAGCTACGAGCTTAATTTGATTGCACCGCGCTCTGTGCCACCATGACCTTCAGCGAGTGTTGCGTCGATCATATTAGCTTCAAACCTTGTGCGATGGCCGCCACGATCTGTGGGTGCCATGCCACCTGGGCTGAGATCCTACTGTCACGGAAGCTCGTTCTTTTGTTTCATCACCTGCAGTCATCATGTCAAACAGCCACCCCAGATTTGAACAGGGCGTCTGCTCCTCAACCTTGCCTCGACACCATCTCTATTCCTTCTTCGTATGGCGGAACTGACATGGGGTATGTCACGCCGGCATTGCATTGAGTAAGGAGCCATGGCCCTGTCTCGACACCGCGGCTGTTATGTCGGAATATCGGTCACCCTTTTCGCCGCCACAGCCGCGCTTGCGCTCCGGCTGTACGCACGTCAGCTTACTCGAGTACGTCTGGGCTTGGATGACTACTTCTGCATCGTAGCCTTTGTGAGTTGCGACCCGGCGTGAACCAATGGCCAGGGCTGACATAGATGACTAGTTCTTCGCAGCAGTCTGCTCCGGCTTGATGTTCAGCTGTACGTCACTCTGTGGGACGATGGGTATGATGAAGGAACCACGACTGACCATGATATTGCACAGGGACAAATTATGGACTGGGGAAATTCCTAGCTGAGGTCCCGCGCCCACCAGCCGTTATCATCCGTGACAGCACTCTTTACCTGTACATCCTCGAGTTTACTTACGCCTACTCGCTCGGATTCTCCAAGTTATCGATCCTTGCCTTGTACTGGAGATTCTTCAGCCTGTTCAAAATCCGTGTGCCCATCATCACACTCTCTGTAGCCACGATCATATGGCTGCTCTGCCGGACCTTCCTGGGTCTCTTCCACTGTTACCCGATCCAGGCATTCTGGGAAGGCAAGGCCAAATATCCCAATGCTGTCTGTCCCATCGACGATGCCAAATTCGAGTTTGGGACCGTCGTTGTCCACGCCTTCTTGGATGTGGCCATATTCAGCCTGCCGATCTTCCAAATACAGCGGCTCACCTTCAGAACGACCGCCGAGAAACTTGCAGTATTGGCGATCTTCGCATCAGGGGCATTCGTCTGCATCGTCTCTATCGTTAATCTTACTCAATTATATGCGTTCCTGCATACAGAACCTTCGATGGAAGTCCTCTTGTGAGTAGAGCACCGAACTGGGGCTACCTACTACTCTTGGCTTAATGGATGTGACGCTCACATGTAGAATTCTACCAGCAACACCGCTCCTCCAGCGCTATGGGGCCAGATCGAGATCAACATGGCCATCGTTGCAAGTAAGCCAAAGTGTTAAATACGTCATCTTGACCTCCTTGGAAAGCTCTGATTCTCATATCTCCCAGTCAGCCTGCCGCTCATACGGCCTGTTCTGAACAAAGCCTTCCGGAGGTTATTTCCCACGATCCATTCTGGGCAAGGCGGTCGAGAATCCGAAAGTCTTCCTGGATGGGTCCACATGGAGTGGTTACGAAAGATAACGTCGATCTCATCATCCGGGGCCAGGACCGGTAGAACAGCGACGTCGGAGACAACCCGGGCGACAGGAGGCACATCAGATGACGTCGCGAACGACGAGGTAGGATTGGCGAGGTACCAAAGTGGTGAGCCGTTTTCGGAAGCTTTGGAGCGGACACACACCTATGGAACTGATGGACACGTACGCTGGGAGCCGCACTTGGGGTACAGTCGGCACGACCTGAGAGCTACTTGGCACTTGCCTCCCAGGAGCCCGATTCCTGGGTACGAGTCGATCATGGAGATTGTGAGCCCCAAAGAGGCAGATAATGGCGACAGTATTAGGCATCCAAGTCCTGTGTGAGAGGCACAAACATAGGGTATCGGGATGCATATTTTGGTATTCAACTAGAACAGAACTCGAGTATAAGAAACCTGAGGACTTGGCTATGCCCAGACTGTAAAGCAGACTTCGCGGCAGTGTTTGCTTCGCGCACCTACTTGGACGCCATCGCCATGGTTGGCTGACTCCTGTTAAGCCTATTAGTGTGCTATAATATTAAGTATATAGTTTTACTTTTATTCTATATGTATCTAAGGATATATATAATACTTTTATATAGTAATAAATATTTAAAATTTAATATTTAAAAAGAATATAATATTATTAATAATAGTTATAATATAATAAATATTTATAATTATAACTTTATAATATATAAATAAAATTAAAAAATATTATCTTATTAATAATATTAATTAAATTTAAAAATAATTATTATATAAATAAATTATATTAAAGAAATTTAATTAAAAATTATTCTTTTAAATATATATATTTTATTATATTTATAATTTTTAATTTTTATAAGTTTTATTATTATATTTTTAATTTATAAAATTTATATTAAATAAGTTATATTGTTTTATAAAAATATTAAATATAAAAGATAACTTTTTAAATATAAAGATAAAAGATTTATAATTATAATTTTTAATTAATTTTAATTTAACTATTTTATTATATTATAATTTAATTTAATTTAATTTAAACCTTTTTAAACTTTATAAATACTTTTATTTCTATAAATATAAATATTTAATTAAAATCTTTAAATTTAAATTTAGAATTCTTATAAATTTAATATATTTTAAATTAAGTTTATAATTCTTTAACCCTTTTAAAAATATATTAACTATTTTAAATATTAATAACTCTTTTTAAAGTAGAGGTTTATCTTTATATAATTATAAATTTAATTATTAATAATTATTTTTTAATTATATAAGTTATTAAAACTATAAATTTAAATAATAAAGTATAATTACTTTATTTAATTATATTTTAGTTTAATAATATAATAGGTTAAGTAATTATTTTTAAGTAATCTTATTTATAAAATAGAGTTAAAACTTTAATTAGAAAGATAATAACTTTATCTTTACTTATTTTAACTACTAGAAGGTTTAAGTTACATAGTAAATTTAATACTTATATATAGTACTTACTAGTATTAAATTAACTTATAATCTATAATAACTTTAATTTTTAACGGATTAATTTATATTAAAGTTAATAGTACTAACTTTAATTAATATAACTTAATATATTAATATAAAAAGTATTCTTTAATAATAGATAGTATTATAAATAATTATAAAGTTATTATAAAAGTTTTATATAATAAATTTAATTAAGTTAATTTTATAAAATATATTATATTTTATCTTTTAAAACTATAATTATTTATTTTAAATTTAATAATAAAATTAAGAAAATATAAATAACTTTTAAAAAGTTAAAATTAATAATTAAAGTATTTTATAAAATTAAAATTAAAAATTAAAATATAAGTAATATACTTAATAATTATAAAATAATTAAATCTTTTAATATTTAATTTAATTTTATTTTAAAATATAACGTTTATTTTATTTTATATATTATAAAGTTCTTTTAAATATAAAGTTAAAAGATTTATAATTATAATTTTTAATTAAGTTTTATTTAATTATTTTATTATATTATTACTTAATTTAAATTCTAACTTTATTTAAGTTTTATTTTAAATTTCTTTAATATTCTTTTTTAAAGAAATTAAATTTAAAAGAAGCTTTTAAGTTTAAGTTTAAAATATTTATAGATTTTAACTTCTTTTAAATTAAATTTATATTTCTTTAATATTTCTAAAATATATTAAATATTTAAAATATTAATAGCCTTTTTAAAAATAAAAGTCTATTATTATATAATTATAAATTTAATTATTAATAGTTATTTCTTTTATAAAACTATAAATATTATTAATTTAAATAATAAAGTATAATTATTTTATTTAATTATCTTTTAATTTAATAGGTTATATAATAAATTAAGTAACTACTTTTAAATAGTTTTATTTAAAAGATATTTATTTATAAAGTAAAGTTAGAATTTATATATATTTTTAATTAAAGGAATAATAGTTTCATCTTTATTTATTTTAATTAACTTATATTTATTTAAGTTATATAATAATTTTATATATAATACTTAATAATATTAAAACTAAGTAACTTATAATTTATAATAACTTTAACTTTTAATAAATATAGCTTAATATATTAATATAAGAAGGTATTTTTAATAATAAATAGTATTATTAATATAAATTATAAAGTTATTATAAAGATTTTAATATAATAATTTAAATAAATAAATGTTTAAAAGATATATTATATTTTATTCTTTTAAAACTTTAACTATTTATTTTAAATTTAATAATAAAATTAAAAATAAATACTTTTAATTTATATATTATAAAGTATTTATATTTAATTTTAATTTATAAAATATTTTTATAATATAATTATTTAATATTAATATTAATCTTTATATTTTTAAAATATTATCTTTTAAACTTTTACTTTAAAAATAATACTTTAATATTCCTAAAAGTTATATTATATTATTATATTAAATACTTATAAATACTAACTTAGAATTATATATAAGATTTATTAATATGCTAGTGTTGTCCTGAGGGGGAACTAGCCACCTATAAGCACTTTCCTTACACTTCGCTTCCATGGACAGGCGTTTGGTATCCGAAAAGACCTGCGAGTAGTTGGCATCATGGGCCAGAGCAGCAATAAAAATGAACCGTATTCGAAGCCATGGGCAACTTGTATCTTACGTAGCATTCATCACAGTATCTCCTAATTGTTTTTGCAGCTGTTTTATTTCAAAACTACTCCAGGGTAGCTTACTGCTAAGCCTGCGGGTCTAAAAACCTCCCGTCGCAAAAACAGCCTCGCTTCAAGAATAGTCCACTTCCCCCCCAACAAAAAGCATGTTAAGGATGATGTGCTGCTTGGAGCTTGATCATTGCTGCCTCAATCTCGTCGCCATGCAATCCACGCCGCGACCAATTGCCAGAGTTAGGGCCATGGCAGAGGGTAAGGAGTGAGGACCCAAATTTCATACCACCGTGCTATTTCATGCTGCAATCTAACCACCGGCGTTGTATGTTTCGTTCGCCTTTGTACGACTCGCCGCGGTAGGTGGGCTGGCCCGGATCTCATGGATCCTGCAGCGCGAATCCGCGGACGACTCCAGAGTCTCTCAGAAGTCCCTCGATCAGCTCTCCAATGTTTTTGTAATCCCATTCTCTGGCGACCACGCGGAATTGCAGTGGATCAGCTGCCCAACTGGCTTGGATTGGGCTTGCATCATCATGGAAGTCTGAGCCAGACTCGCGAATTTCACACTCGGCGAAATCCTCGTCTGAATCCCAATCCACCCTGTTGCTGTGGCGTCTCTGACTTTGTAAGAAACGAAGGCCTTTGGCTCCGTCGTATAGGTTTTTCCATTTCACCCAGCCGTCCTTGTACCATTCATTCCTTTCGTCCGGAAGATTATCGCGAGACCCGTTTGGCAGAAATGCCTCTATCTCGGGAGAACGTCGAACACCACTTGGGGTATTCTCGTATTGGAAACGAATGTAGACGCGGACGTCACGCGACTCGAGAAGGCGCTCGATGAATTGGAGAATCGCACCGGAGGGAGTCTTATTGGGGACTGTCGCCAAAACTTGGGTTGGGAGGCTAAAGCACAAGTAGGCACGCTGACGCTCAAGGTCCTCGGCCCATCCCGGGCATGACTGGGTGGAGAGAAGTCCATAGTCGTGCAGGCGAACAAGGTTGGTAAATTGGTCAGTCTCGGGCCAAGGGGGTTGGTCGTAGCTGGGGCAAACAGGCAGTCTTCGATGGAGGTATCGACGGTTGAGTTCGACCAAGGTGCCCCAGTTCGGGGCTCGTTCCCACAGGCCGAGGACTCGAAACTTCACTGACACCGAGTCTCGCTGCTTCGACGAGAGAGGATGGCTTGAAAAACCGGCTCCTAGAGGCCCTGGAGGCCCTGGAGGCATGGACCACTGCCCTCGGTAGGTCTCCAGCCATAGATCCTCGACGTCCTGGGCCATTCGGGCAATTGTGTCATCCATGGTGGCTGATGATCTGCGGCTTGGGGGTTGACGGGTTTTGGCAAAGGGATGAAGGACCTTCACAGGCGGTAAATACTCGAGTAGGTAAGGTCTGGATCCATTTGTTGAGCAGCACTTCTCGGTGAGGTAGCCACGGACTACTTCCAGTTCACTGTCGCGCCTTCCAAAAGGTCAAGCATGGCACACCTGCAGGGCAAGCTCCCAGGCACTACCTAACAAGATGAACAGCCCCTGTTCATGCCTCGGGTTGGGACACTACCACTGATTGTTAGCACTTCAAGTTGAGGATTGGGAAGTCGATACTCACTACGTTCATAGTTCTGTTGGTCATAAACTTGAGCATGCAACACGACTTCTCCCGCCCTGAAGGTTTTGCAATAAGTTGAGAGATCCTGCCTGAGCCAAACATGACGAGTGCGGTCAGGCTTTGGTGCACCTGCCAGGCTAGGCCAACCCATGAGGTGGCTATGCCAGGACCGATAAGAGCTGTCTAAATCATGTTTGGAGTCCTTCTTGTTCGCTTGCCGCCTATTTCTGCCCGTGCTCGTGCTTCTGTTGTAGTGTTGGCGCCTAGACTTTCTTTCGCACGGTGGCGAGTGCCTGACCTCCAATGCTGCACATGTGCAACAACTGAAATTTGCGGGATACTTGGACATCATCTATAAAGTTATATGACATCTTATCACCTCATTCATACGGCGGTTTATCACTGTGCTTATGCTGTTGTGGCCTAAGAGGGCTTCTGGGTTGAAACCCATGTCAGTGGCGGGGCGTGGTTCAGGCCACTGGTTGCGGTGGTGGTGATAATTGCCAGGATAAGAAGGGGAAGAGGGATGCATGATTTCGGGAAACCCTCTGTGGTCATCACCGGGTTGGGACTCGTGGGCTGGGTATGTTGAAAAGTTGTTTCGTGAACTCGTCCCCCATCTGCATCGTATCAACCATTAGGACCTCTTCCCAAGTTCCATTAGGTCTACCATTGCCCACTCGATACACTGGAAATGTAATCAACCTCTATTCCCAACAATTTTGTGGTTGTTTTACAAAGCCCATTACGCTTGTCTTAGACTTGTGCGGACTACCGTACCGTCGTTCTATGGGCTTCGGCAACGGTTGCCTAGGGGGTCCAATCAAAGCCCTAGAATTGATGGTTCCTCGAGAGGCAATGGTTCTTCATCTAAATTCTGGCTTTTAATCAGCCCTCTGGTTGTGTGGAAGGAGGCGAGGAAGGAGGTCGAGGTCGAGGAAGTTATATTTATTTTTATATAAAAAAAAGAGAAGTACTTCCTTTTTTTTTATTTTTTTCTATTCTTCCTTCCTTTTTCTTATCTTTAAGTACTTTAATATTAAATTTTTTACCTTTTTCTATTAAACTACTAATAGTAATTAACTAGAAATAAAATTATTTATATTTAAAAATTTAAAACTAAAGTTATTTAAAGTATTTAACTTAAAGAAGATTTAATAAAAAAAAGAAAAAAAAAGAAATCTTTTTTAATTAATTAATATTTTTAAATAAAAAATCTACCTTTAAAATTTAAAAGAAAGTTATTAAAAATAAAATTTATTATATTTATTTTTATAATTACTTTTATAATTATTTTTAATTTTTAAAATAACTTTAAAATTAATAAAGACTTTTATAAATAAAATAATATATATTATTATAATTATTATATATAAATAAATATTATAATAAAACTATTAAAAAAGAAAATAATATAATATTTAAAAGTTATTAAAAGATTATTAATATTTATAATAACTTTTTTAATATATATTAATATAAAATATAATAGTTAGATTTAATAGGCTTATTAAAATATTATTTAAGTTTTATAATATAAAAGCTTAAAGTTTATATTAAATAGAGTAAATTTAAAAGTAAGGTTATTTAAAGAAGAAAAAAGAAAGAAAGGCTACTATTTAAGCTTTAAGTAATTTCATTTTTAATCCCTATATATATAAAATATATATAATACCTTTATATAATAGTAAAGGTTTAAAATTTAATATTTAAAGAAATATAGTATTAATAATAATAGAAAGAGAATATAATATATCTATAAGTATATAGTTGCTTTATATTATATAAATAAGGTTAGAAGGTATTACTTTAATAATACTATATTAAAATTATTAATATAAGTAGTTTAAAGGCTAATAGTTAGTAAAGTAGTTATATAATAAAATTAAAATAATTTTAAAATAACTTTTATAAAAGAAGAATTTTATAATATAAAATTTAATAAGTTAGTTTTTTTATTAATATATTTAATAGTTATTTAAATTTACTTTTATTAAATAAATTAATATAATTTTTATTTTAAATATATAATTAATAGAATAATAATATAATAATAATAAATTTATTTAAGAAAGTTTTTATATAAATTTTATAAAAATTAAAACTTTTTAAAAGTTAAGTAGAGTTTATTTATTATATATTAAATAAATATTATATAAAGAAAGTAAAAGTTTAAATATTTAAAATTAAATATTTCTTTTAAATATATTACTTTATTATTAAAGATTTATCTATTTTTATATAATATATAAAAAATATAATAAAAAAAAAGCTTTATAAAGAAAGTTAATAACTTTATTATATATAAATAAGTTTAAAAGTATATATTAAATAATTATTAACTTTATACTTAAAATATAAATTAATAATTAATTTAAAAGTTAAGAAAATAATAAATAAATAAATAGTTAAATAAAAAATATAATATAGTTAAAGCCCTTTAGGCTTTAAAGTAAGAGGTAATAGTGTGGTAGCCTTATCGATAAGGGGACCTGTAGCTGTGGGGCCCACTTGCTACCCTTGACCCCCAGCCCTAACTCTTATATGGGTAATGTGGCTGACTAGGTACCAATAGAACGACTGTAGTTTTGACCGATTGACTGCAAGTGTGTCGTACGAGCTAGACGTAAAGTATAAATTTATAGTGACAATTTCTGTTCTTGTTCCTTGAATGGTCTTAGCTTGCTATGAGAGTGAGTGCTGTGGTGGCCCTGCGGCCTGCAGCCTCAAGGATGACGACGCCCAACCCGAGATCGCGGATGAGAATCTCCAGGATCTCGCGGCTCTCTTCGCCCGCCAAAATGCTGGGGATGTTTTTGGCGTTCACACTATCCATGGTCACTTCCAAATCCCGAATGGCACACCGATTCAACAAGCTCGACCATTCTTCTATCCATGAACACCTCTTCGTTCTTACCAACGGCGGGTTGTGTCCCTACGAGTTTAAAGACGGGCCGCTGCCCGAACTCACCAACGTCAAGAAGGACTTTCTCACAGAGTTCTCTCGTTACATCATGGCCAACGACCTTACAGCGCTCGTGGGCCTTCAAGTGCTCGGGGAGGGGGGCAGCAACTTCCAAGGCATGTCTGAGCTCATTCTCGATCAAGGCATCATCATGCTGGAAACCTCCCTCATCAAGAACTGCCTGCCGACCCGTATCACTGGTTGGGGGTTGGAGTCGTCTAATGGAAGCTCTCGGGTCCGCCAGAGTAATGAACAGCATGCACAAATGACATCTGGGAACCACAAAGTCTTCAATGCAGGCAAGCCTCTTCCGAAGTTGGAGAGTGTGGAGGACCTCAAGGCTGAACTCATCGAGGCTGGTATAATGTAACCTTGTCGCAGCCCATTCTCTTCAACGAGTCTTAGCTTACGATTCCTATCCATTCTCTGTGCACAGGTATCTAGGCGAACCATTCATTCAGCTCCTCAATGCGGGTATTTGGGTTTAAAAGCAGCCCGTCAAGTATCATCATGTTGTATCTCCCGCTATCATCATCTTTGATCGGTACAGGCTCAGGTTGATTCGCAAGCCTACTAGTGAAGCCCCGAGATCGTAGCAAACCCAGAAACCGCGCCGCCTCGATAGCCTTAACCGTATCTTCGCTCAGTCCCCCAAGTTCGGCGATAAAGGTCCGCCAAAATGAGCGCGCCAGGTCCGGGTAATCGTTGTACCTGATCCACCCATTCCTCAGGTGCAACTTGCTCATCAGGCCTTGCAGAGAATGCAAGTTTGTGCCAAATGGACCGATCTCGGCCTCATCCCAGTCGATGACGCCGGCCGGACAGCAAGACTCTTCCTCCACTATGATGTTGCAGTCGCCAAAGTCCTTCTGTAGGAGGACCATAGGAAGAGACAGGATGCTAGGCAGGGACACTAGCGTGGCGCGGATTGTCGTATGAAAGCGGTCGGGAAGGCTGAGAAGTAAGGCTTCCAGATCCCTCACGAATGTCTCAGCCATGCGGTCATGGTCGGCTTGATCAATGGCCTGTGGCGCCTTCCACGCAAGAGCAAAGAATCTGTCAAGATAGATCAGCAAGGCCAACGCAGTGCATAGTGCAGATAGAGACGTAGCTGAACAGCGCACCTCGCGACACCCTGAATCAAATGTTTGCGACGAACGATATTCTCCGGCGAGTTTTCTGGGAAGCCATGCGCGAGTATAAAGTCCAGATGACTGATTCCCCGTATGCGCGTCATGACGTAGATAAGGAGAGGCTCTTGTCCAGCTGTAGTCGAGTCTTGGCCAAGCTGGTGCTTGAAGGCAACGTCAGGTGCGAACTCGCCATAGATGCGTCGTGCCCGAGCGGCAGTCTCCATGTTCAGCCCGAGAGATTTGAGGCGAAATTGAATGACATGGCCAAGGTCCTGCCCGGCATAGACAGTGTACGAGCAGCAGCCCCGCACCGCGACTGGGACGACTTGGTCGCCGCCGACGAGGTCCTTGGCTAACTCATCGCACATCTCACGGCGGACGGATGTCTTTGAGAAAAATATGGCAATCTCGGTGTCGAGGGAATATGCCTGATTTTCCGAAGCCATGGCTGTTGAACTTGGCATTAGAGAAGCAAGCTGCCCAAGTGTTATCGAGCATTGAAAAGAGTAGGCAGAGGTGCTAGAGCCCTTGATGGATGGCACCTAGCTTATGGATGTCGTGAAACACTACTTAGTCAGCATATCTACATTAACTTATAGAGGTGTTACTAGTATATTTATATATTAATAATTATTTACTATTTATTAATTTATAATAAGTATATAAGTTAAGTTATAAAATTAATATTAATTAATATTTTATAAAATATTTATATAAAAATTATATTAATAAAATAAAAAATATTATTTATTTATTAATTAATTTTTTATTTAAATATTTAAATCTTTAAATATTTAATATATTATTATATAATTAACTTTCTATAATTATTATTATTAATTTATTATATTATAAATTTAATAAATAAATTAATATTTAAAATAATAAATTATATTTAATAAAAAGAAATAATTTATAAAAAATAAAAAAGTAAAATAATTTTAATTTTTTAATAATTAAATTAATATTTTAATTAAATAGTTTTACTAATAAAGTTATTTTATAAAAAGTTATTCTATAAGAGTTTATTCTATAAAAGGTTATTCTATAAGAGGTCATTCTATATAAGGTTACTCTATAGGAGGTTGTCTTAAAGGAGGTTGTCTTATAGGAGGTTGTCCTATTAGAGGTTATCTTATAAAGCTTAAGGTATGCCCTCCTTTTTCGTAAGTGCAAATATCTAATCTCTATATCATTTGGAAGACATTCAGGGAGAAAAACAGTTCAGATATGGCCGAGTAACTGTATTGTCGACGTGGCTGTATAATAGTACACGACTCGTTCGGCTGAAATTCCTTTCAAGCCGAGCTTCGGACTCAATGGGAGCCACGGGGGTAATAAGCAACGGCTGAGGCTGATTGGTGAGACCTGGACTGTTGTTCGATTCCACAGCGCCTGGGTCAAGGAGAAAAAGCGTGGTAAGATGGACAGGCTGTTATTTATCCCTGTGGCTCATAGACAGGACGAACAGCTGAACCGATGATCCTCAGGCCCATCGAGAGACCCGGCCGCGCCCGTTTATTCGTAAGCTCCAGGTACGGGTTCAGCGTTGTTGGAGGAGGGGATCCTCGGGGTGCCAGCAGCCGACTTCAGACTGCGCAAGGGCAAAATTTTCAGCTGAGCAGGGCGAGGCTTCGGTCTCGGATCGAGGTGCTCTATGTCTGACGGAATGCCATTAGAAAGAAAGCAAGTGTTTATTTGTGGTCCCCGTAGGTGCAGGCTAGAAAAGTTTTGGAGGCAACTGGAAGTTCAATTCGAGCTGGAACTCGACTGGGTGGAGGTTGAGGGGATCTGCACCATGAAGACGGCCAGCTAAGGTTGAAGGGATTCTGGGTGGCTGGTGTCACAGAAGATCAAAGTGGCTCATGGATTGTTTGCTCGTCCGGTCCGAAGGCTGCCCGTGTGGCTTGACGGGTGTTGGTGTTGTTGGTGGATGGGGGCTGTGCTGCGGGCTGGCGACGGAAGGAACACAATCCATAGACGCAGGTGGGGCAGTGTTTATTGGTGATGAATGACTCTGTTACTAACAGCCACGATCTCCATCACCAGGCATGGGCATTGTTATTGGAACAGCAAAAGAGAGAAATAACATTGTAAATTACACCATGATAGAATCTCAGTATTGAGATTTGTCTGGCCTTTTTCCTGACTACTCAACAGCCTCTGGTGCTGGCTGGGGATGAGATTATTCCCGACGATCGGTGCGGACTGATAAGAGTCGAGGTAGACGAATGCATTCCCAGGCGGTGGTCCAAGCTTCAAGGTGCAGGTCTGGGCTGCAGCGTGACATCGTCGCCTCTCCACGTTCAGGTTGGCTCCTCTCTCCTCACTCTCAATCGAGCATGGCGAGCACGTCAAGCCACCACACCTGCAGTGCAACACGGAGGCATCGTCTAAATCCTCATTCTCAGGCACATGCACCTGGAGGGAATATTCAGCCCCCACCAACCTGCTCCAAAGTTGATCATCGGTTGCCTCCCTCGACGTTGAGGTTGAAGCTCAAGCGCTCTCGCATACAGGTCGAAGTCGGAGTGCTCCCACACCAGAGCTCAGCTGTAGGAGCACTTCAGGGCCCCGAGAGAGTGTCAGTACGCGCCGTCGATTGATGGTGCGAGTTCAGCTTCGTGCCAAGAGGGCCCCGACTCGGGAGGCCAGCTCGTCCTGCCACGTTCCGATCAATTTGAATGGCCTGAGAGGGTTGCATGAAACGCCTGTCGCGACAACGGCTGAGCAGTAGTGTGTCCTGTCACTCGTGTGTGCCTGGATGGCACCAGAAAGTCATCTGACCACGCCTGCATGCAACACCGTGGACCCAAGACAGCTGGAGTCTGTGCCAGTGCGCGTCTGCGCTGCGCGGTTATGACCACGCCAAAGCCGACAGCCAGCCCAGCATAACGGCTGCCTGCCTGCCTGCCTGCCTGCCTGGCCGCCTGGCCGCCGACTGAGCGTCCAGTAGCGTTCCAACAGGCGCCATGCATAATGTCTCAACTGCAACCGGCGTGGGGAGTCATTCTCGTCTGCATCACGAGACCTTCAGTCTTCAGTCATGCATGCCCTTTCAGACCCTGCAGCTCCAAGCTTCTGACGACAGAACGCAGCCCGGCGGCAGTTGCAGGCCCCCGGTCAGGATGTCAGTCAGTCAGTCAGACAATCAGCCAGTCCGAGGACGCTGAGATGGTGTTTGCGTTGACGATTGGTGTTGGCGGGAAGGGTCTGAGCCACACCGTCCGCTTCCCGCAAATTGGCACGCGGAACAGCGGGCTCCAGGGCTGGGAAAGCTTGGCGTGCGGCTGTTTCTGCACGGCGAGCACATGCCACCGCCAACGCCTTCTTCCACTTCCAGCTTCGAGTCCTACCTATCCATTGTTCTCCAGATCTCCCTGTCCGCGTCACCAAGTCTGACGTCTGACGTCTGACACCCTCGCCTTTGTCCAAATCCTCTACACCTTGGGTCTGTACGCCCTCCGCTCCGGATGCAGGATCAACAATCCCACCGCCACATGGGCAAGCGCCTCACCTCGTGGTACTTCTCGGTGTGGAGCAGTGGCCAGTGATATGGCCGCTCCTCTCACCACCATCACCACCATACATGACCGTCTTTCTTACTCTGTGCTAAAACTCTGCTACCGGGCGGGTTGGCAGCGTGCCGAGGTCAGCACCAGCTGTGGAAAACCATGTCGACTAACCCTAAAACCATTGACTTTGGGGAGGGGAGGAGGGAGAGGGTGGAAGGGGTGAATTCATCAGGGCATGCTAGTGTGTTTAAATCCTGTGCCGCACGCCTGCGTCCGTCTAGTGCCGCACTGCCATCGTCAGCACCACACACCTACACACACACACACACATCTACTCCGTTCCCAGTGAGGCCAAGTGGGCTTGCAGGCTTGTTGGTCCGTCTCCAGGCTGCCCTCGACCTGGGCTCCGCCCCCCGCCAGAGCTGCTAGAGCACATGCTTCCGCAGTTGCTGCGCATGGCTTGCATGGGTGTCCAACCTGCGGCACTCCAAAGTACAGTGTCGACTTTTTCAACTTGGGCACAATGGCTGACCAGAGCCGGGTGACGGAATGAGGGCTCCAAGTGCGACACCCCAATTCTGCACTTTACAGTCCCGCTCATAACTAACACCCCCAGGCAGCTGTTTGGCCTCTATTTGAAAGTTCAATAAATACTTCAGTACATATTGTGCACTTCTCGCCTTGTACTGCACAGTTTGCACACGCTCGTATAAATCAATCCAGGCATCCACCGTGCCCGACTTCGCTGTCAATTCTCCATTCCACTTGTCGTTCCCAATCCGTCAACAATCACACCCTATTCGTGCCCTGCAAGACACCATCACATCCACCCAATCCACAACGACAACAACACAACAACAACAACAACAGGGCTGCAGATCAGGCACACCTCCTCGCCTATCACACATACATACGGACAACACACAAGCCTCACTCGCTTCTCAGTTAGGCACATCCGCAGCACGCTCAGGCATTGCTGCCCCACAACGACACCCACTTCCATAACCCACCTATCAAAGTGGCCCACTACATCGAAATCGTAGACGCCTTCATGCCGAGCGCCAGACCTCCAAGGCGAGCCGATACCATGGCCGCTGGTGGCGGCAGCAAAAAGTGTGGGGTCGTGGGCTGTGACAGGAAGCACGTCTACGACACCATCCGGGGAGCAAGAGTCTACTCTGCCTACTGCCAGGATCACACCTGCCAGGCCCCAAGGAACGAGCACACTCCCTTCTGCATCAACCCAAGAGACCCAATCAACCGTTACTGCTCTTTCCACGGCAAGTGCAAGGGCCACAGGGGCTGCATCAACCAGGCGTCCCGTTCCGAAAAGGAACCTTTCCCGTATATCTGCCCTGACCACAGGTGCACCCAGAGACACTGTGTCAACCCACGACTGGGGCAACTCAATGTATGCCAGGCACATCTTACGTGCGATTTCTCACGATGTCCCCACCGCCCACAACCCGGGCGCCGCTTTTGCCACGGTCACCTATGTGTTATGGCACCCAATTGCACCCTGCCGGCCGTGATGCCAGGGGCTGGCCACTGCAGCTTACACGTCCCCTGCGGCCTGGTCCGCGGCTGCAGACGGCTGCGCATGCGCTTTTCTGACGGACGACAAGCCATCCACTGTGACCTGCACATACCCTGTGCCAAGTCAGGCCAGGGCTGCCGCCACATCGCCGCCTCCAAGAGCGACTTTTGCCCGGCCCACAAGTGCAGCCTCGAGGGCTGCGTCGACGGCAAGGAGTCAAAGTCGCACTACTGCAAGCACCACACCTGCCACAACTCGGGCTGCCACCAGGCCAAGTACGAAATCCACAGCAAGAGCGCCAAGTACTGCTCGGCCCACGAGTGCTCGGTCGACAAGTGCCTCCACGAGGCCAAGACCCCCGGCGGCTTCTGCCCCGCCCACGCCTGCGCCCACAGCTCGTGCAACGCCGGCCAGCTGTCCTCGTCTGCCTACTGCCGTGAGCACTGCTGCCACCATGACAAGTGTTCCCTGGAGGCCGTCCACCGGAACGGCTTCTGCCGCTCCCACTCCTGCATCGAGAGGGGCTGCAAAGAGCCCAGGCTGGGCGGCCGTGACCGCATCCGCCAGTGCCTAGGCCATTGGACCAGGGGTGTCCGCGACAACGTGGCCTCCGAGTACGGCCACCGGGCCGACCGCGAGCGGCGCGAGCTGGAAGACGAGATCCACGAGCTCGAGTACCGCGAGCGCATCCGCCTCGCCGCGGAGCGCGAGCAGCGCATGGCGGCCGAGGAGGAGGCCAGGCGCGAGGAACAGGTCAGGCAGGCCAAGGCGGAGATCGAGAGGCAGAGGCTGCTTGACCACCTCGCCAAGGCGGAAAAGGAGAGGAAGCGCCATGAGGCCGAGGCTCTCATCGAGGAGCAAGTCTCCGCCAGGATTGCCGAGCGCGAGCGAGCTGAGCGGGCAAGGCGTGCTGACGAGAGGATCGCCAGGGAGGAGGCCGAAGACCGGCGGAGGGCCGCAGATCGGCAGTTCGCCGAGGAGCTTAGGAGGGAGAGACTCGAGAGGGAGACGCTCGAGAGGGAGAGGCTTGAGAGGGATCGACTGGAGGAGGAGAGGAGAGCCGGGGAGGAGGACCTGAGGAGGCTGCGGGAACGACTCGGTAGGAGGGCCTCTCGGTTTGAACATGCCTGGTGATGGTGAAGATTGACGACACCTGCAAGTTTTGGTTGCTTTTCTTTGATTTTGCATTGTACATAGTGATACCCGAGCCAAGAAGATTGTTTCCGGCCTTGACATTTTCAGCCAGCAACCTCTGTTTATATAAATCAAAGATCAATCATTTGGTTCACCACTTTCGTGGAAGAGACGCTTCAGTGACACATGTCTCGATTGTGGCTCGACGTGTCTCACCATAACTTCCGTACCACTACTCAGAAGCAACATTTTTTCAAGGACATTTGATTGTTGTTTGGTGTGGACCGTCGGAGATGTGTTGCTGTCCGTGCTAGAAAGTCCTGGAAGAAGGGCTCCAACAGGGTGATTAGGTTCGCAACTCTTCAATCTTAGTAAGCTTATCCAGAGGCAGCCGCAGATAATGATGCGTCTGCAGCCTCAGCCTGCGTTAGGCATGTTTGAGCTCCGGAACTAGCTAGGACTGCCTCGCTTCTAACAATGTTATTAGAGCGCTGATGTGCTCATGGATGGGATTCCCTTTGGGATTCAGCTGCAGGAGGAAGGCTATGATTTGTGCCTGGAACCGCGTGGTGTAGGTCGACGCGGGAAAACCTTCGCAGGTCAACTGGTGCGCGGCGTCCCGGTCAGGCAGGATGAGGATGTCACCGCCGGCAACTGTGGAAAAATATTTGTACCTAGGTATCGACCGACCTATCGAAACGATAATTGATCTCACTGAAAGACCGAACACGAACAGAAAGGAACGCTTGAAGCCGTGCGAGCGGGTCGTCTTCCAAGTCATGCATGACCAGCAGTTTGCGGCCATCCACACGAACTCGTCCACTCCAATGGCCCCAACACCTTCATCGTGAAGCCCAGAGACATATCACCGGCATATGGAGGTTTATTTTGGCATCTTCACCCGTTTACAAGACACACCTCTGAAGTCTCCGATGCGCTGAACCTCACACCCATTCAACCGTCCATAAGCATCTCATTTCGCCAATACCAGTGAAATCAACCACTCCGAAATAGTGGATTTCAAGGTTGGTGAATGTGAAGAAATGCGGTTGCGCGATTCTCAGCCTTGTTCAATGAGAAGCAGAGACCCGCTTGGTCGTCGCACATGCGTCCAGCAGAGCCTCACGAGATGCTTATCACAGTGTCTGCTTGATCCAAGCTGCACAAAGTTCTGGCCATTTAGACACTGGCATGTCTTTTGTGTCCAGGGCAAAGCCGTGGGGGGCATCTGCAAAGATGTGCAGCTCGACCTGCCCCCCAGCCTGGTTGAGGCCTTCCGCCAGACGGTAAGCGTTGGTCACCGGCACCACTGGGTCGTTTCCAGAGTACACTATAAAAGTTGGCGGCGCTCCAGCTTTCAATTGCACATCTGGCTGTACAAGGTCATAAAGCTCTTGCTTCTCCGGAGGCTCGAGAGGTGCCTTGTCTGCGATTATGGTCCGTCCCTTTGCGTTTGTCGAAATCGGTCCATATCCAATGATGGCGAAGTCAAGCCTAGGCGGCACCTCAGTCGACTTTGGCGTCCAGCTTTGGGGATATTCGGCGAGCAGGGAGGCGGCAAGATGGCCCCCTGAAGAAAGCCCACACACTCCGACACTGCTCCAATCCTGGCCGATCAACTCCTTACTCCATTCTCTCATCATCACCAACGCGCGACGGGCATCGTCCACCGGGGCTTGTGGTAGTGTCTCAGCATTTGGAAAACGGTGGACGAGAACGAAGGCATAGAAGCCGAGACTGGCAAGCCACTGCGCAACAGCAAGACCCTCCCGGCCCACCATGAGCTGCACATAGCCGCCTCCCCCGAGGATGAGGACACTCCGCGGTTTCGTCGATGTATTGCTCGATGGATGGAAACAATAAAGCCAAGGTTTCGAAACACTGGTGACCACAGCAGCACCAACGTCTTGATCCGGCTGCTCGAGATCAAAAGCGTCGTCCCATGCCGACGCATCCCATAACGGCTTGGCGTTTTGGGCATCCAAGAGGACACATGCCGCTTCACCAGATATTGGGGCCATTTCAAGTGGCTCGAGGTAAAGGGGATCCGTCAGAAAACTTTAGGTCGTATGGTTATAGATTGAGTTGCCAGGTACCTGTGTTTGTTGGGTGCTGCTTTTTAAATCGTCGTGACTTCGGGTCTTGATGTCCCGACAGCCCGGCGGTGGGCCCAACAGGATAGATCGCGTGGCAAAAAGGCATGTGTGTCTTGAGACGTACACACCCGACGTTTGCTCAAACACTGGACTTGATTTTAATTCGCCAATTGGCACCTCAAAATCTGCCTTACGGTAAATGACGCGTGACTGTTGGACCTTCACACTCCCCAGCATTTGAGTTATGGATTGCGGCATTCGAAACTGTCTAGGTGGCGATGCTTGAACACACGTGTCTAGTTTGATAATCGAGAATAATAGGCTGCGCCTCATGTAATATCGATGATTAAACTGTGTTAAGCCACAGGAACGATAACACGTCTATGCACATGCTAATCTCTTGCCGACACCAGCGACGGTGGATGACTGACATGAACAAAAGGGCACATGGGGGTACTGCGGCTCGGCTCAAGCCCATCTGGCCGCCAAATGCTCGGTTTCCCTTGCTCTTACGTTGACAGCCTCCATCTCGAAACCAGCGACAGCCTTGTACTTTGCGCCGACGGATTCCAGCTCTTCCCTTGGTATGACACTGTAAACGTCCTCGAACCCGTCAGGCGCCCTCTCCTCTGCAAGCTGCAACACGTGATCTGGCCCGTTTGCCCTGTTTGCGTATACGATCTTTGCTGTTGGTGGGAGCCTTATCTCCTGATATCTTGTCAATGCTGCTGGTATATTTTCGAGACAATCCGAAAGACACGACGCCAACGTCTCGGCGTCAATAATGGCTTGACTGGCGCCATTGCTGCCGATAGGGTACATGGCATGCGCAGCATCGCCCAGCAGAGTCATTCTACCAAAGCTCCACCTGTCGATGGGCTCGCGGTCACACATCGGAAACTCGTAGACATGTTCCGTCGGCTCTATCAGGTCCTCTACGATCTTGAGACCACCGCATGTCCAGCCCTCGAATGGGCCCTGGAATATGCTCTTTTCCACAGACTTGGTCCAGTCCGTGACCGGCGGCGTGGTATCGGGGTCTCCCTGATCGCGAACCCGCAGCTCGGCGATCCAGTTGACCATCGACTTCTCCTTGTTCGACCCCCGCCTGCCTATGGGGTATGCGATGAATTTCTGGTTGGCGTGGCCCGCCCATATCATACTTGCCCCAGTCAGGTACGGGTCTCGCTCGGTGCACCCGCGCCAGAGGATCCGACCGGAAAATCGTGGGGGTCCCTCATCCGGGTAGAGCAGGCGACGAGCGGTGCTGTTGATGCCGTCAGCTGCGATGAGCAAGGAGCCGGTCATGCTGGGGATCTCGGCCTGGCCCCCAGACGGATACACGTTTGCGTTTTCGTCCCCGTTGACTGCGCGGGCGGGCCGTTCGCGGCGGACGAAATGGGCCGTGATGGTATCTCCGCCGTCGGTCTGGTCCCAGGATGCCAAGGCATGTCCCAGATGAATTCTAGCGCTGCTAAGACGCGCCTGCACCGCCTCCAGGAGGAAGAGCTGGAAATCGCCCCGATGGACGCTGAACTGTGGCACTGTGTATCCGGCGTGCTTGCCTCGTGGCTCACTCAGGATGCTGTCCCCATGGCGGTTGTAGAAGTTCAGCTCTTGCGTCTCTACACCAATCCTTTCCAGAGCTGCCAGGAGGCCGAGATTCCGCAGGATGAGTACTGCAGAAGGCTGGACGTTAATGCCCACCCCCAAGTTTGTCAGAGATGACGCGGCCTCGAATATGTGAATATCTGTGAAGCCGGCGGCGTGCAGTGTGAGGGCGGTTGTGAGGCCGCCGATGCCGGCGCCTGCGATGAGAATTCGCGGGTGTGATGTGGGCGGAGTCGAACTCATATCGGTGACTCAGCACAAGTGATGAAGAGCGTGGCATAGGCACACTGAATGAGGCTATCGCAAGAGATGAATCAGCAACAGTTTTAGAAATGATAATGGCCTATAGGTAACAGCAACTGATTCCGGGGCGGATTTGGGCATTTCACCGGGCCTGGATTTCGAACTGCAGGGAACATGCCACCGGTGTCTAGCGGCAGACTTATGCAACCCCTTAAACTCCGCTACGAACACCTATGAACTTTTCAGCTTTGTATGGGTTCGCCAAGAGCCGACTCAGACGGCAACTTGGCAGAATTATGGGGTTGTGGGGCATAATAAAGTGCCGTCTGAGTGTGCCGCTTGGGGTCATTACTCCGTATCTAGGCACGGAACAGCAATTTGCAAACATAACTAAAAGGACAATTCATCATGTATGTTTTACTTGCACACAATATTATAACATTTAAAGCTGTTAAAATTTGTAACAAAGAAATCAAACTTGAGGTTTACATGAAGACCTACTCCTAGATAATATGAAGCTGCCTGAACACTCGATTTAAAAAGGGCACGCAAGGAAATAGGTGGTCATCTTGCAACACGTTACAAGCTTCGGGCATAGAGGACAAATTATTGTTTATGACTATCGTTATCGACATCGTGTCTTTTTCAATTGCCAGGTCTTGAGCGCTTACCACTATATAAAGGCGCCATGTATGCCCTCGGACGTATACGGAATAGAAGCGAAAGCACATTGATTCCAAGGTTAGGGTGGTTTCGTTTTTAATCCCCATACATGTAAAAATTCCAAGGTTAACTTTGATAACGCTTTGTCCCCAAAATGTCATGAGAAGTCAGAATATCCATTGGATCCTATCTTTGACCATCATGAATTTGGTATTCAGGACAGAACTGGATCGTCAGATGCGTAGTATCAAGGGCTTTACCTAGCACGTAGATGAAGGATTGATGAAGCATCCGCGGACGTCACGCCTTCTGTGCCTAGGTACGTGTATGGAGATCCGTCCTGCCTAGGTGGGTATCTTGTTCGAGAAACGGAAACGGCAATCCTCACGCGTGTGGTTTCGTTTTTAATCCCCATATATATAAAATATATATAGCGCCTTCATATAGTAGTAAACGCTTAAGACCTAGTATTTAAAGAAATAAAGTACTAATAATAGTAGAAAGAGAATACGGTATGTGGGCACATAGCTAAGCCTCGTACCGCATAGATAAGGCTGGAAGGTATTGCTGCTAACGGCGCCGCAAGCCGGTAAAGTAGTCATGCAGCAAGACTAGAATAGTCTCTTAAAGAGAACGGATATTCACACAGAAAAAAACGGCTAATACATAGATACAATATTTCCTTCTAAGCTAAAGCTAATTAAAAAGCTTTATTCAACCTCCCCTAACCACACATACCACCTAAATAAAATACTTCTTACACCCTCTACCTAAACCTAATAATTCTCCTTCACCTATTAAATAACACTCTCTTATTAATAATTAAAAAGTTTTATATAAAAGCTTATAAAACTTAACTAACTACTATAAATTAACTTAATTATAAAGAACTTTATTAATAATAAAAAGAAGACTTAAAAGGAGATTTAAATACTTACAGACTTATTAAAATACTTTAAATAAAAAAAAAATAATAAACTATTAAATTAAAAATAATAATAAAAAAATTAAAAATAAAATTAATAAATATAAACTTTAGTTTTATATAATAAGTAAGTAATATAAATTAAAGTTAGTATATTAAAGGGTATTTATACTTATATACCAGCCTTTTTTTCCTATATAAATATCCGTTCTCCTCTTAAAATAGCCCCTATAAGAAGAAGAATCCTATAACGTGAGACCTAGCAAGCTGGCTTTTCCCTATTAATACACTCGCCATATAGCCACCTAAATCTACCCTCGCTAGGTAAGCTAGACACACTATGGTCCCCATCCTAAGCACATAGCTGCTAACAGAATAGTAACACCATCATCACGCATGATGTCCACCATTCACGCAGATCTGTAGACTAAACATACGGGGAACAGATGGAGACAGGTTGACATTCTGGCTTATCGCAAAATGGGGAATCAGCTAGGAATGCTCTGTCCATGCCTTTCACACCACTCCCAGAATTTTGCAGCTCGGCCGTTGGAAACAGCCTCCAATATGTCCGCCCGTGGTAGCGGCCGGATTCTTCCCCAGGGCCAGATGTAAGCACCGTTAGAGCTTTCATTGACTTCAGATGACAAACCTGCAAATAACATAGTATACGCGCCGTATTTTGTTTCGTAGAGAACAAACCGTTTCAGAAAGAACATAAGCAACGCGGGTTCATTGTCGTACATCCCGGTGTACAGGTTTCCGGGGTTTTGACAAACGCTGATCACACCACTAGCACCCCATCTTCTCGCCGCTTCAGTAGCCAGAAAGTAATTTCCGGCCTTGGAGGCCGCATAGTCGTCCCGTGTTACGGTCAGGTTGGCAGCATCTTCGATGCGAGTGAAGTCGACACCAACCTTCGGTGCTGTCATGTCAATATGCAATGACCCAGTCCAGATGACACGCACTCTGTCCTTCGGCGCAGACTTTGCGGCCGCCTGAAGAAGCGGGAGAAGTTCCTCTGTGAAGAGAAGAGGAGCGACACAGTTGGAACCTATGTGAACTTCCAAGCCCTGCTTCGTGAAGTTTTGACCGGGCAGATTGGTGCTTGCATTATTCCATAGAATATCTAGCCGCGTCTCTTGGGAAGCAACTGATGCTGCGGCTGCCTTCACTGACGCAAGATCCGCAAGGTCTAATTGTAAAATCTTGAGCTTTGCTGGAGTTGCCGGCGATGACAATGAGGTTATCTCTGCAATGGCTTTCTGTGTCTTATCCACTGAGCGTCCAGCAAGATAGATCGTAGCACCGGTGGGATATAAGATCTTCACCAGTGCAAGACCGATGCCTGAGCATCAAGCAGTCAGCTAAGGATGCTTGATGACGTGATTTGAGGCCCGGATATAATTACCTGCGTTGGCACCAGTGACAATGAAGACCTTTCCAGCCCCGCTGCCTGGAGTCACATCTTTCTCGGTGAACGAAGGCGCAGGTGGAAAGAATTGTTGCCAGAGTGAGGAGAATGACATGCTGTGCTCCATCTCCGGAGTACGGGACGAAGCTGGACACCGGCAAGGGATAGGTGAACCTGGGAAAGCTTCCGAGATGCACTCGACAAGTTCACAGTGGAATGTGCCTCAAAGCTAGTTCCTGACCCCACCTACTGGTAAACCGCTACAGTCAGCAGAAGTACCGTACCTTGGTAGTGATTAGGGTGGGTAGTGTGTTGCTTGTTGGTTGTTGGCTACTTAAGTACGTGATTGCTGCGGGGCCCGCCGAGCCAGGTGGTATTGTGGGTGCAATGGATTACATAAACCAATCAGACATTCTGTAGCAGTGATCGATACACAGTACCTGCCACTCCCACAGTTGCACCGAGGCAGTAAGTGCGCAGCAAACGTGACTGGCTCAATGGTATTTGCACCGTATTTGAGGCAGCCAAGAAAAAGGAACTCCGGGTTTTAGGAGGCACATGTCCTTCTGTCAGCACTGGAGGAGGGTACATTTCTGGCGGAGGACGTTCAGTCCTCAGCACCAAGTATGGCCTCAGCGCAGATAACATTCGTGAGTGGGATGCGGTCACTGCATCTGAAGAACGAGTCAGAAGCATCCGCGTCACAAAATACTGATCTGTACTGGGCACTGAGTGGTAGCGGCACAGGTGTTTTTGGTGTCGTTATCATTGTGGTCTTAAGGCGTTTCCTGACAGCATGGTGTCTTCCGCGGTTGTTACAATCAATGCCATGTCCAACCAAAGAACTGCTTTGTTTTGGTCTATTGTAGAAGCTCTACACCAATCGACACCGGCCTGGCTGAAGGAGTCCGCAACGGCCGCCTACGTGGTTTCAGACGGGACGCTATCCCTACAACCTCTGAGTCTTCCAGAACGATCATCTAATGAGGCTCAGGCTCTCATCGAGCACTTCCTCGCGAATGGCCCTGCTCTCGGGATTCCTTACACCCTGAACATCACCTCGTTTAAGTATTGGTTAGACTTTCACAGGGCGTTCTATCCACCGGACCCTTACCAACTGCCGCCGTCCTCTGTGATCCAAGCCTCGTGGCTAATCCCGCGCAACGTTTTCAGTTCTTCTGATGGTACGACCTCCCTGATCGAGGCCCAGCTTCAGATTGACTTTTTGAAAAAAACAGCTTTGTCATTGTCTTGGCTGTGGTCTGGCTTTTCTGTGTCGGCTTAGCTTCAGAGCAAGTAGCTTCATCACATGGCGATGGATCCTACCGCTTGCTGTGGTGATTTGAAAAGCCATATCCTTAAGCAGTCACCAAATATCCTAGTATGCTTCCAGCCTCCTTGCTCTAGCCCCTCGACATCAATGTATGAAAGAAAAGACGGCAGCTCTCGTACTCTTTGAAAGCACTGGCAGGTTTCTGGCAAGGGATAAAGGTAATGCCCAATTAATTACCTTAAGGACTAATTTGAAGTTTCCATTGCAATCTTGACGCTCAACAGGGCTTGAAACAGATCCAGCTGTTTGTTTTGGTCTATATAAGATATGCTAGCTAAGTTGCATGAATCCACCTGAACTCCTATGGAAAACTCAAACTATACCATATACCAACACCAACCTGTAGTGCACATAGGTAGGAATAAACCTGACCACCTATTTCTTGATCGCTGAGACCTTTGGCCTTTCAGTCAGTGTAGTCTTAGTAGGAGCTACCTTATTCTTTGGTGGGCCACTTCCCGCCGCGGGGCTATGGGCAGTCGAATTGGTCGTAACATTGCGTGCAATGGCCGCTGCATTCGTACTGTGGGACACCTTCCTACCAGACCCCGCTGCACTAGATGTTGCGCTGGATCTGGAGGCCGAAGTAGCCGTGGATGAAACGGTGCCGGTTGACCTGGAACTCGCGGACGAGCTTGCTGAGCTGTCCCTGGCATGGCTCACGGCTATTCCCCTGTCTCCAGCGCCGCCGTTACCTGGTCCCGGCTTCTTGGCGGTGACGATTTGCGGTGCTGAAAAAGGATTTTGCCTGTAAGTAAAGGTTTTCATGGAGGTTGCCCGTTGCGCGGGCTAGCTTTCGGCTGGGGAGAGAAGCATATGCCAGAAGGGAGTAGGGGCGGGCTTACCTCCGCCGCGCTGCATTCCGGTCATGGAGACATCGCTGCCCTGGCTGTTTTGTGGAGAATCGTGGATGGGATTGGGATTTCTCCCTCTCCGAGGTGAGTTTGTCGCGGGACCGAATGGGTTGTCGTTATTGTCCCAATCTCTGGCCTTCTGGAAGACATCTCTGTCATTTCGATCCAAGAACCGTTTTGTAGTATCTGTGTCAGCTTCTCCCCTAGCCGCTAGAAGGAATCCTAGATACGCCTTTCGCATGTCTTTCGGATCCTTTACTATAGTCATGTAGGCATACTAAACAGTGGAGTATAAATTAGCAGGGCTGTTTGAAAGGAATTGAGATGTCTCTACTTACTCGTCCGCCGACTAGATTTCTCTCCGTTTTTGCCATTACTAGCAACAGTAAAGTGTTAAAGTCGCACAAAGCCACGAATCGAGTCTTGTATTTGACCGCATAATGAGTTGCCTGCTTCATCAATATGATGTGGTTTGGGTCCCGGTTTGGAGCGTCGGCAGGGTTGTCTGGGTTGATAAATGGAGCATCATCATCAAGTTCAATGAACTGTTGTGCTGAATGGGCTATAGCTCGTGCAAATTGACTTCTGTCGATGGTTCCGTGCTTTTTGTACTCCATCAAGGCGAATATATTCTTGGAGCTGCCAGGTTTGACCTTGTTACTAGGCTCTCCTTTAAAATATGCCCTGTCCACACGGGCGGAGCCTAACTCGGGGTCCAAGGTGGTCTCATTTGCTTTATGATGGTAGACCTCGTTAAGGCATTTATCTTCTGGATGGACGAGCTGATAAGCACGATGGACAGGGTTTGAGAGGTACAGCGTTGCTGCGTTTACAACGTCAGCTTCCGATTTGAAGCCATCAATGAGCGTTTCTTTCTCCACGCCAGCCCCTTTGCGAAGGTCGCCTGCTTTCGGGTCGAGGCAAAGTCGTGATGCCAAATCGGTCCAGTAATCCACAGGTATATCGACACCGAATCTGGGAGGCGTGCTGGCTGCAGTCGATGAGCCGGAGGTGTGCGTCTTATGGGCGCTGGCTTCTTGCACTCCATAAAGCGTGGGCTGATCCCATGGACGGCCGGTGAACGAGTCGTAAAGCGAAGGCATATCGGTTGCGGGGGAAAGGCTCTGTAATTTTGCTGGGAGGTTTGCTGGTTCACTTATGTTTATATGAGAATGGTTTGAGATTGATCAAATATGAAACCACATGCCAACGAGAGAAAGCCACTCCTTTATATATTACAAGATTGATGGACGGCAGGCCGTGATGAGGGCTGAGGATCTCATACGGTGCTGTATTAGCAACAATTGTACCGAGCAGGGACTAACATGTCCCACTCTGGACCATCGTGGGCGACCGCGGTCGCTGGGCCACATGGAGCGTCTAGGAACTCCACAAGAAGCGTTTCTATTCTAGTCGTATTCCCTTGAGGACCCACACCGCAGAACACGGAATATGATCCGTCGGTCATGGCCATGGATTTGGCGAGTGGCCTCGGCCCTGGTACAGCCTCCCTCTAACCTGCATGTTGCGTCAACGGGGTCGCTTGTCCAAACGTACCTGGGCATCAGTGGGGCCTCGGTATCTCCTGCTGTACTAGCAGCGTGTTAGTGATTGCTATCGTAGTATGGATGCAGAAATCCGCTGTTTCCATCCTTCACTGCTCACAGGCAGTATATTGCCACCGGTGGCGTGTCTGACTACTGCGTCTACTAGCAGTTCCAAAAGTGTCGCACATTTTGTTCGGGTTGCTGGGGCTGGGTCCCCAAGGATGTGTAGCTGGTAGGAGATGTAGTGCAAAGATTCAACATGACTTGCAGCACACATTACAACCACCGGCGGCCCAGGAGAAAACCGCGGTAGTTGGCCGAGACGGAGTGCTACGTTGGCTCTTTTTCTGGCCCTGTTCGAAGCCGTTGGTTCCTACATGACGGTCGAGGGGCACGGCCGGCTATTTCTGGGCTACAGCATCTGCAGCGACGCGTTCGATTGAGTAGCACGTGAGTGGGTCCGGGGCTGTAATGACGGTTGGTTCGTGGTGACGGCACGGAGCACGCATGCAAGTGTTGGGGGGCGCAGTCGGAGTACACAGTACGTGCCGCAGCCGGCTGGCCGCTCTATCTATAGTGTTTGTCTGCTGAGGTAATCGGGTCGTCTGAGGCCCATTTCCGCGGTGTTGAAAAAGCAACGGCCGGTCCCACTTCCCCAGAAACCAACCTCAGTCCATCGCGTCGCACCCTTTGTCTCTGTTTCTCTCTCCAACCCCTTCTGCTCCATCACAAACTGGGCTGCAACGACTACTTCATATGCCGATTTAATCGCCATGACCTCCAAACACAATCCGCGCGTCACGCCCACTGTCGCTTCCGCCAAGGCGACTCCTGTCAAGCCATCGGTCCCTTATAGATCCGGCGCCTGCTTCAAAATCAAACCACACAATCCACCGCCACCGTTCAGCGGCAGCTCGTACAAGAAACCAGATCCTAGCGAATGGAATCCAGACCCATGGCCTGATTACTTCGAAGACGCACCTCCTACCATCGTCGAGCAGTGCCTCCAGCACCTACCCAGGAGGACAACTCCTCTTGACCAAGCTACACGCGACCTTAAAGTTATAGGGGAGATCCGCTGCGGTGACCCTTGCAATGCGCAAGTAGTGAGGTGTAATGTTGATGGAAAAGACCTGGTCGCTAAGATTTTTGACCCTCTTTATATCAGCCAGGGCAAGTGTGACGAGCTCGAGTGTTCACCTGTTACACTTGCTGAGACCTTCTACTCCTATGAGGCGGCTGCCTTTATTAGGATTAAGGAGAAGGGCCTTGATGGAAAATATACCCCTTGTTTCGAGGGCTGCTGGTGTCTGGAATTGCCTATTCACGATACCAATGGCCGCTTAGTCTCTCGTGAGGTCCGCCTTATATTACAGCAATTCATCGCCGGCGACACTATGCAGCATCTGATTGAACAGAAAGAGGTGGATAAGATTGACCCTGAAGTTCGGATGGACCTGCTGGATCGCCTCATGGAGGCCTTGAGCCAGCTCGCCTTTATAGGGGTACAATCTGATGATCTGCACCCTAGAAATTATATGGTTTCAGAGGATAAAAACGAGAAGAATGGATGGAAAATTACTCTGATTGATTTCAGCCACTCTCGTGTGTCGAATCTACCCACATCTAAATGGTGGACACCTGAAGGAAAAGACGCGGGGCTGCCTGCAAATCCAATGAGCTCTTCGAGGCTCTGGCCGCCTAGGTGTCAAGGCTGGATACCAAGAGAATACGACTGCGCAACCAGAGAAAGCTTCGACAAAAGGCTTAAGCGGATGAAAGAGCGGTGGGAAGGTTCGAAGGAATACGGCCCTGTAATTGAGCGGCGGCTTCCGAAGTACAAAGATCGAGGGTAGGTACTTGAGCGGTACAAGCATTGCTCTTGGGAACACAGGGCACCTAATCGAGTATTCATCAAAACTTATCGTGAAGTGGAACACCGTGATTGCAGTGAATCCAAATCACATTTCATTGCGTCGTTTCATTGTTGCACGGCACTTCGCGCAGACGTTATGGCTGGCCATGAATGCCATCACTTGCCATTTCGTTTTGGCAAGTTAAATTTATAATTTTTTAATATTTTTAAAATATATATAAATTATTTTAAATATTAATAACTTTATTTAAATTTAATTATAAATTTAATTATTAATAATTATTTTTTTAATTATTTATAAATTATTAAAATTATAAATTTAAATAATAAAGTATAATTACTTTATTTAATTATATTATAATATAATTAAATAACTACTTTTAAATATTTTATAATTTAATAAAATTAATAAATAAATATTTATTTATAAAATAAAGTTAAAATTTTAAAAATAATAATAGTTTTTATATTTATTTATTTTAATTAATTTATATTTATTTAAATTATATAATAATTTAATATTTTTATATAATATTTATTAATATAAAATTAAATTATAATAATAAGTATAATTATTAATTATATATTTTATTATTTAATTAAAAGATTATAATAATTAATTTATTTATTAATTAAAAATAAATATTTATAGAATAATAAATAAATAATATAAAATAATAAATACTTTTAATATTTTAACTTTAATTTATATTATAATATTATTATATAAAATATAAAATATAATTTTAATTATATATTTTATAAATTTTAAATTCTTTAATTTTTAATTTTAATATTTTACTTTTATAATTTATTAAAGTATTTCTTTTAATATATTATATAAATAACTTCTTTAAAGTTTATAAAAACTATTTTTAAAAATTATTAATATTTTATAATAAATTATTAAAAAATAAAAATTATTACTTTATATATTTATTATAAAAGTCTTTTAATAATAAACTTTAATAATATAATATAATAATATAATTTTAAACTTTATAATAATAATAAAGCTAATAATTTTATATTAATATAATAAAAAAGTTAGTTAAAAATTTTAAATACTTATTTTATTATATAAAATTCTTTATATATTTTTATTTAAATTATTTTTTAATTTCTTTTTTATTTCTTAAAATAATTTAATATATATAAAATAAAAACTTTTATAAAGTAAATAATAAAATAAAACTTTTAAAAGCTTATTTAAAATAATATAAATTTATTAAAATAAAAATATAACTTTTATAAAATAAATAATAAAGTAAAACTTTTAAAAAATAGTTTATAATAATATAAACTTTTAAAATAATAAAATAACTTTTATAAAATAAATAATAAAGTAAAATCCTTTAAAAATAATTTATAATAAAGTATATTTTAAAAATAATAAAATAACTTTTATAAAGTAAATAATAAAATAAAGCTTTTAAAAATATAATTTATAATAATATAAGCTTTTAAAATAAAAAAGTTTTATAAAATAAATAATAAAATAAAACCTTTAAATAAGTAATTTATAATAATATAAGCTTTTAAAATAAAAAAGTTTTATAAAATAAATAATAAAATAAAACCTTTAAATAAGTAATTTATAATAATATAAATATATTAATATAATAATATAATTTATAATAATAATAATAAAATTAAAACTTATAAAATAATAATTTAAAAATAAAAAATAAATAATTAATTAAATAAATAAAAATAATTTTTAATTAATTTTTAATTATTTTATTAATTTAAAAGTAAATAAAGTTTATTATAAAAAATTAAATAATATATATATATTTTATATATTAAATTAAAACCTTTTAATTATTATATTTAATTTATATATTATTAAACTTTAATAATTTAATTATATTTATAAAATAAAAGTAATAATTTAATATTTAAAATTTATTAAAATTAAATTTAAACTATTTATATAATTAAAGTAATTATTAAATATTAATAAAAATAAAAGTTAATAATAAATATAAGTAATAAATAAATTATAATTAATTAATATCTTTATTTTAAAAATAATAATAAAATATAAAATAATAAATATTAAATAAATTATAAATTAATATTAATATAATATAATTTTATATATTTATTAATAATAGTAGAATTATAATTATTAAAATAAAATATATTATATAATATTAAAATATTAAAATTTAAAATTAATTTATTATTAATTTAATAAATATAAATTTAATATAATTAATTATTGTAAAATTTTATATTTTATAATATTAATTTAATTAAACTTAACTTTATAATATATTTATTTAAATAATAAGTTTAAAATTTTATACTTTTATTTATTTAAAATATTAAATAATAAAGTTAACTTTATTTTTATAAAAAAGTTAAAATAAATTAAATAAAATATTAAGTTAATAAAAATTTAATATAAAATATACTTTATTTATTTTAACTTTATTTAAATTTTAAAAACCTTTATATATATTTAATACTTTTAATATATTTTTATTTTATAAATAAAGTTATTTATAAATATAATAATAAAATTAAGTTAATTAAATATTTAAATTATAATATATTATTTAAATAATTATAATATTTAATAATAAAATAAAGTTCTTTTATATATTTTTAAGTTTAATATTAAAAGAATATATTTAAATTATTTTAAAAATAAAAATAAACCTTTTATATATTAATATAAAAAAGTTATATACTTCTTTTTTATTAAAAATAAAGGTTATTATAATAATAAAATTTTAAAAATAATATAAATTTAAATATAATAAAATTATAAAAAATAAAAGTCTATTAAAAATTATATATAATTATAAAAATATAAAGTTTTAATATAAAGTTATTTTATTATAATAATTAAAGAATATTATTTATTTTAATTAAATAAAAATTAATAATTAATATAAGTAATTAAAATAAAAGTTATAAATATAATTAAATTTAAAAGTTATAAAGATTTTTAAAGTTAATAATTAATTATAATAATTAAAATTAAAAGTAAATAAAAAAGTTTTAAATTTTAATAATAATATTTTATTTTATATATATTATTTTTATATATAAATAAAAATATATAAAAGAGGTAAATTAATAAATATTTATTATTATAATATTAAAAATATATTATTAATTAATATTTTTAATATTATTTAAAGTTTATATAATTAAAATAAAAAAGTTTATTATTATATTTCTTTTCTAAATAAATTAAAATTTATATATAAAAGTAATATTTTATTTTAAATTATAAAAATTAATTTCTTATTATTATAATTAAAATTAAAAATTTTATAAATTTATTTTTAAAGTCTATTAATTTTATATTAAACTTTATTTATTACTTTTAATTATTATATATTTATTTAATAATTAAAAATAAAATAATTTAAAAATAATAATTATATTAATTACTTTTTATAATTTATAATATAATATCTTTAAATTTCTATTTATTTTAAAATTTTAATAATTATTTAATGTTTTTAATTATTAGTAAACTTTTAATTTATAAATATTATAATTTTATTAATTATTAATTTTTTTATAATATATTTTATTAAAATTATTTTAAAAATTATTTATAAAAAAGTCCTTTAAATTAATTTTAATAATTTAAAAGTTATAAATAAAATAAATTAATATTTATTAAAAATATATAATATTTACTTTATATATATTATATTTATTAATTAATTAATTAATAATTTAATTTATTTTATAAATTTAAATTAAAATTTTAAATTTATTAAAATTATTATTATTTTACCTTTATTAAATATTTATTATTTTAATTTTTAATAATTAAATAATATAAATATTTTATATATTAATTTAAATATATATTAATTATTTATTATTATTTTATATTATAAATTAATTTATAATATAATATAAAATTAAGTTTTTATTTATAAATATATAATATTTAAAAATTAAAATATTTATTAAAAATTAAAAACTTTATTTAATAATTAATAAATTATTTTAATAAAATAATTATTTTTATTATAATAAAAATAAACTTTAAAGTTTAATTTAAAATTAATATTAATAAAATAAAATAAATATTATTTATATAAATTATTTATATTTTTTTAATTTTATTATTAAATTAAAAATAAATAATTAAAGTTTTAAAAATAAAATATAATATATTTTTAAAAATTAATTTAATTAAATTTATTATATAAAGCTTTTATAATAACTTTATAATTTATTATATTTATAATATTATTTATTATTAAAAATATTTTTATATTAATATATTAAATTATTTTAATTAATTTAAATTAATATTATTAACTTTAATATAAATTAATTTATTAAAAATTAAAGTTATTATAAATTATAAGTTAATTTTAATACTATTAAGTATTATTTATATAGTTATTATATAACTTAAATAAGTTAATTAATATAAATAAAGATAAAGCTTTTTCTTTTAAAGGTTTTAACTTTATTCTATTAGTAAATATCTATTTATTAACTTTATAAATAAAACTACTTAAAAGTAATTATTTAATTAAATTAAAAGATAATTAAGTAAGGTAATTATATTCTATTATTATATATAATATTTAAATTTATAGTTTTAATAGTTTTATTATAAATAAAAAAGAAATAGTTATTAATAATTAAATTTATAATTATATAAAAGTAGACTTTTATTTTAAAAGAAGTTATTATTATTTAAAATAATTAATATATTTTTAAAAAGTTAAAGAATTATAAATTTAATTTAAAGTATATTAAAATTTATAAGAATTTTAAATTTAAATTTAAAAGTTTTAAATTAAAATTTATATTTATAAAAATAAAAGCTTTTATATAATTTAAAAGAAAGTTTAAATAAAGTTAAATTAAATTATAATATAATAAAATAGTTAAATAAAAATTAATTAAAAATTATAATTATAAGTTTTTAACTTTATATTTAAAAGTTTAAAAATAAGTATATAATAAAAATATTTATATTAATATATAAATTCTATATATTTTTAATATTTTAAATTTATATAACTTTAAAATTTTATTTTAAAATATTAATATAAAATTAAAATTATTTAATATTTATTATAATTATAATTAAATTATTAAGTTTTTTTTAACTTTAAAGTTAAAAGTTTAATATTTTATTTAAATTTAATAAAATATTATAAAAGTAGGATTTTATATAGAAAAGGTAGTTAGAATCTAAGCTAAGTACGTTAATTATTATATGAAATAGAGTTATTTACTTCTAGTAGTTAGTAAATAATTGAACGACTAAGTTAGATAAAGGTCCATATAGTCTTTCAAATGATAGCTTATTAAACTCACTGTAAAATCGACGCCACGCGCAATCTAGAGTATCCCAATGAATTAACAATCCCATGCAAATGGGTTTATCAGTCGGATAGTTGACATATCGCGCAAAGACTTACCCTGGCCTGCATATCACAGTTGGATACCTGAATTATCTGAAATTTATTGCGACTCCTATATTCGGCGCATCATTCACCTGTCCGAGATGCACAGTAGACGTGAGGCTTGGTAGTTGCTGAGGCATCGCGCGGAGTTCTCAGTCGTCTTTGCTTGAAGGTTAACTAGATTCTGGTCAAAAGTTCGAGGCACTTTGACAACGTCGCAGCGCGGGAATCAAAAGCTCGCCAGAATATGTCTGCAATCCATGTCGCCGCGGCAAATGTCAAAACCCCCCCAACAGCAATTAGAACCTCCCGGTCCCAACCTGGGTCGTCAAGGCTCTTCCCATACATGTTTACCAAGAATCGAGCAACGGCCCAACCGAACGTCGTGATTATAGGAACGTGAACCAAGTAGAGAGCGAACGAAATCTGACCCAGATATTGTAGCAGGCCTATGTTGAAAAAGCGCCGTAGCCACCTGTGGTATTGGAGTGACCACACGAACAAGACTGCCCCTATGCCCTGCCAATAGACTTGAGAGTTCGGTACCGTGGACGAGTTCGCCAACGTAATAAAGCCAAAAGTGCTTGCAGCCTTGTAATCAGGTATCGAGCCGACCCAGAGTCCGGCAATGCACATGAATGTGCCAAGGCATGCTCGCGAATTCGGGGTGTTGAAAAGTGTATAGAGAGATGATGGGCCGGCACATTGTACACTAGTTGAGCACCTGTCCTCGGCAAGTTGAAGCCATAAATCCAATTCAGCCAACTGAGCCCCAGCAAAGAAAAGCGGTGGCTCCCATCTCCCGCACCAGGCACTATATGCCGAGGCGAGAAGGATAACGATAGGTCGCACATAGCGTCGTCTGAGTGATGTAGCCATAAGGACAATGAACAACATCTCCGAAGCCCAGAACTCGACAGGGATGGCCCATAGGTGAAAGCCGTACGTCTGGGGTGGGTTGGAGCCGTTTTGGCGAGGTATTTCCAGCATCCAAGGGAAGGGGTAGATGAGCTGAGACAGGAAAAAATCGAAGCAGTCGATCAGCTGGGTGCCCAGTGTTGACAGGCCACGAGGGACGTCCAACCTATATAGATGGTGCGGCAATCCGGGAAACTGCTCCGCGGCGGCGAATGCATCGAAGAAGAATGCCAGTCCTGCCGTCAGCAGAACAACTACTGCGGATGGGAGGAAAAGCCTCGGTGCCCGACGGAAAGCGGCTGAGCCCAAGACATCAAGTATTTGACTGGCAAGGACCGTGCGGTCAGGTGTCTCTGAGCGGGAACAGCCGCAGTCAATTGTCTGGTGCTCAAGGTGGATCAAATTCTGTGAAAGGACGAAGCCTGATATCACGAAGAAGACAGAGACTGCGAAGGACCCATGATAAAGGAGCCGTATGATTGGAAGTTGCAGATATGACCACTCGCTGGCGTTCGAACCTACAATGCTGGGGTAGAATGGAAGCCCGAAGTGCTCAATGAAGACGATAGTTGCTGCCAGTCCACGAAGGCCGTCCAAGTACGCAGTCTTTCGGGCTTCGCGATGACAACTGGATGGCCGATCCGATTCCAATTCAAATAAAGTCGCGATCGGTGACGGTAACAGAAATATGCCGGCAGCCTTGGCTACGGCAAAGACAACTTTGTACCATTCTTTCATGCTCGGACGGTTGAATGGCCATCTCAGCCTAAAAGCGTAGGAATCATTCTCCATGGTGGTATTTCTGGAGTTGGAGAGGGAGGAAAGAGAAAGTCGGAGCGACCGAGCTGGGAGAAGGTAAGGGGGAGAAGAATATTATACTGCATGTCTGAGCAGTTAGAGTTAAGTTTGGATGCGGGATACCCTCGTACGCCTGCCACGTACTACCATCAAAGGGACATCTCCACACCCTGTTCATTTCGTCTGGTCTGAAGAAATTACTCATATTGCATATTCTGTCCATCTGGGGCAGTATACCTGCCTTTTAATGTAGCTCTCGATCCGCGATATATTCCGGTTGAAGTATCGATGGCCTATTGAGCATGTCACAGCTAACCACATTGTAAAAGGTTGACATGCTATAAGTTGAATTATCTAAGTTCTATAGTTTCCAGATTTCTGAAAGTTATGGGCACCGTCAATTGGTTCTGTCATAATCCAAGAAGCCACAATGGAAGAGTACACTATGTGGACACAGCGAAAGGTCGCGACATCATTTGACACCAACTTTGGGGATCAGAACTCATCATCAAGCTATAAAACATATTGGTCAACCTATTTGGGAGTGTACCAAACCTTTGAATTAGTCAGGAACTATGGCTCAACCAGATCCGTTACGACAACACTGCCATCCTCGGAAAAGCCCAGCACGATCTCTTTCCTCGGCCCATATTCCTCCGCTCGCTGCTCTGCCTTGCAGGCCTCCCACGATCCGTATAGCGGATGAGTTCCTGGGGCACCGTAAGGCCACTTGTGGTGGACCATTGAGCGCGACATGAACCACTCGCTGAGAGCGGACCAATCAGTGCATGAGTGTTGCTGTGAAAGGTCTGGCACGTCTTCGCACTGGTCGGTATAGTATTTCAGGGAGAACAAGGTGATGTCGGCGTGGCACATTCTATGTGGGAACATCGCGGTGAGCCACAGGGTCCATAAATCGTGGAACGGACATACAGCTTGATGCCGACTAGATGATTTTCAACTTACACGGAATTCCGCAAAACCTCAAGGCAGTGGTCTTGTGACGATTGTTAGCACTTAACCGACCAAACGTAGTGAAGGGTGAGTTGCCCACCTAGGTGACCTCGGTTTTCTTTCTTCTGCCCCTCTGTAATGTTGGGGAAGTAGTATTCAGGATATGACCAATCTCTGATCCATTTCTATCGCAGGCGCCTCGACTTGATTAGCGATTTGGCCCTTGAGGGCGACTGGGTCAGGCAAATAGTGCGCACCAGGCAGTGGAGATCATGTCCAACAGACAAGCTAGCGACATACCACTCCTGGTCTCCACGCGAAAGCGGGAAGCCGTGATAGTTCGGACCCATTGCACGCTTCAGCTCATCTCTGGTGACCAGGATATTGTTGGCTACAGGGCAATTAGTTCGAATTCAGCTGACAACCTGAAAACTGACAAAGAGATGGAATGCTGAAGGCAAATTCACAAGGCAAGATCCTGTTCCAGGCTTCCTCCACCATGGGATCCGCAGGAGGACCAGTGTACTGTGTCTGTTCGCCTTCATTCACGCCCTCGTAAGCTTGGAGTCGGAAGCGCTGTGCGATTCGAGCTGGCGCTATAGTTATGTGACGGTATATCAGTCTAATGGTTTCTTTCCCTTCCAGAAGACGGGCAGCAACCTGTCCTACGAAGCTTGTCCATCTGCAGACACCCACACCGGGCTAGAGAAATCAGGAGCCTGGGAAGAACGGTTTAGCAACTCACAATAAGGCTCCACGCGGTACGATACATTTCTTCGCCACAACACAAGTACCACTAGGGCGTATACCAATAAGGCGATCAGATGGGTGTAAAAAGGAAGGCGATGATACCATACGCGGCGCAGTAATCCTTTGGATCTTCGGTTCTCGATCAAATTTGGGATTGGTATTGCTTCATCGGAATCAACACTGATCTTGCTCAAGAGGGGATCATACAGTTCGCCTGGGTCATTCGTCATATCTCCTTCACGATTTTCATCGCGAATAGTAGTCTTAGAAGTCCTGCAGCTGGTCAACATGATGAAATCATGGCAGAAAGTTGTTGATTCAAGAGTTTGCCTGGGATGAATATGTTGCCATCGACCAGAGCGAATGCAAGGGATAGTATGGACAAAGGGTCGAGGAAAGGCACACAAACAGTTGGTCCACGTGCTTGGAAAATGGTCCAGTTTCTGGCCGAATTCCGGCACATAGGGCGGATACTTCGTAAATTAGGTTTCAAAAAAGATTTGAGATCACCGTTTAGACCACTTGCACGTCTGCTTGCATCACAGTGATCATGACGCATGTCTCTTCATGCTGTGATTGGTGAAGCTATACACCGGGAGACGCGCGTGATAACTAGAACCCCGTGATAGTTAAACCTTGATCTAGCGAAGTTGTGTTAGGCTGAGCACGGTGCTAATCCAGCTATACCAGGGGCCACGCACAGATAACGAACATGCAGGTCAGGTTAAGGTTAATGGTAACAACAGCCCCTCGAATACTGCCTGGGTGCGGACGTTGAACTGTCTGCGGTGTAAAGTATGCCTAACCAAGATAGCCTGTGGCGGAAGAAATGCCCAAATTAAATATAGGGTTCGAGCATGCACGCTTTAGGGTGGTTACAGGGAGCCAGGACTTACCGCTACGCAGGCAGGATAAGCCTATGCATTTCGATAAGTGTAAATTCTTCCAGAAAGGAGGGGTCGTTGTTTCGCCGTTTTCTTCACTTAATCGTGTCATCACGCGCCTTTGAGACTTTCGAGTCTAATAGGCTAGGCGTTAGCCGCATTGTATAGCTACCTGTAAACCTTCTTCGCCTTGTTGCTGTGTAGGCTGTACGTACCCACGCAAGGTAACTAGCACTGGCATGGCAGAAACAGACTTTTGATTTCGCCATAATCATCTCGCGAATAGGCTCATCTTGAGCGGGGCAAACAAAACCTTGAAGCAGAATTAGAAGGTTCTGAAGGGAAGTCAATCATGGTGGCGCAAGTTTCTGTATGATAGCGTGTTGGCTGATACGATACAGGCGGTATGCAGTTCTCGCGGCTGCGTCGCCAAGCCCGTCGGGCGCCCAGGTGGCGATAGAGTTGACATATGTTCCAAGCACACACTGGAAAGAAACAAAGCATATCGAAACAATCGTGCATGCACAAATCTTTTCTAGGGAAAGGAGAATTCACACACGTGATTGAAGTCGTGCAAGTATTCAGCCGCCGGTGAAACTTGATGTGCCGCGCACGTGAAATCAGAATGGTCGTGGTGCCGAGGATCTCATCCTGATGTCCTTTCCTCGACTGAAATCAACTGCGAAGAGATCCAGCACGGAGCTTTTCGGGAAAGCTTACACCTGAGGCACGAATCTCCTACCAGAATAATGAAATTATCTTTGATTTATATGACAAGTGTTCTGGGGGCAGAATGTGGTCTAGCAGTCCTCAGAGCGGACGTTTATCCGGGTACGGTGCCGTTCGTACAGCAAGCTTGAGATTGATCAGCTTTCCCTCCTTTTCTAATCATGATTAATTATTTCTGGCAGAATCGCGCTGGGATCTCGTACCCCAAGGCACAGCCCGCGTCACTGTCCCCTCCAGCAGTGAGCCGTGCATGTTATCGTCAAGCACCTGCAGGAAGATCATACAAGAACAAGATCCTAATACGGCTGAGGCTGTGGTCGAAACTTTTCCCGGTATGTTATTCCAAAACATCGCCATTTTGATGTGGAATCATTCCTCGTCTTTATCGGCTGCTCACACTGTGATGTCGATCTATAGAATCCGCGTGGGTCATCATGTCTTCAGGCAAGGCTCGTGTCGTAGTACCCTTTAGCAGTAGGCCACTCCAAGAGAAATGAAACTCCTAAATATCGGTATTTATGTTCCTGGAGTGGCTGATGTGCAGGACAGCAATCTTTCGTTATGAGGATTCACGCATGAGGAAGGCCAAGGAGGATGCCCTAGGTGTAAAACTCCCTGGTAAAATTGACTGAAGACCATGTTTCGACGGAGAAAATCACGTAACCTCAGTATACCTTTGAATTATGTAACACAAGTTACAATGCAAAATGAGCTGTTTATCTTGTTTATAGCTATTGGGGTCTTGGTATCAAAATAATTGCTCACAATTTTCTGGGCTGTCTTAGGAAGTTACCATTCTCGTCAGTTTGCACAAGTACTTTCCGAACATGTTTCCTTATTGCTTGACTAGCGTCTAGTGATACTATAGCTTCGCCGGTGGGGAGTTACTCGACTAAATGATCCTCTTTGCGTCCATTGCCCAACTCAATAAGTCACTGTAGTCATTGCACATGTGAGTTGTCCGTTCATAGTCTGCTTTCACAGTGCCTGGAAATCCCCCAACCGTCGCCCCGTCGGCCAGACACGTCAAGCCGAGGAGAATGGTGTTAAAGCAATGTGCCATATGCCCGCGCATCTCCTCGATAGTCAACTGATCGTACAGCTGATCCCACGAATAGCCCATGAGGAGAAGGGAGTAGTCTCTCAATAGAGTCGTCTGCGACGTTTCCTTAGTGTGGTGAAGGGACTCGTTAACTGTCTCCCATACTTAAAGTGACCTACAAGACAATGAACTTGGTGAATGCCAGTGACTTGGACGGCGTGGAGAGGCCCGGAAGGGGTGGAAAATTGGATCGGTGACACACCAGCGTGTATCTCATCTTCGAAGACCCGGACGAAGGCGCCAGCTGTGACCGAAATTGTTCTCGTCAGCAATTCACTAATCAGACCTCGTCTTGCACATAGAGATATCCAGAACAGCCAGCGACCTACGAGGACCGAGTTTGTTCCAGGCATGTATTGTGTTGTTTAGATTGACAGGCGACTCAAATGTTGCGGCAGTGACATGGTGTGCTGAATGGTGGCTCATCGCTAGAGGTCGAGGCCCAGTCTCAGCTATGCATATGTGTCAGTGTCATGAATGTGATGACGGAGAAATAGCAAGTCAAATCAGCCCGGTGGGCCACCAACACTTCGGGACAATGCCATGGGCGTCGGAACCAACGCGCAGGCAGCGTGCTCCAACGAGCTCATGTAGGACAAGTGTGAGAAGTATTCCGCCCACAAATGAAATGATGACAAGGATAAACTGGAAGCAGCCCTCAGATGTTGGCTTAGCAGCCCAGCTACGGGCACCTATCTCTTTTTCTCGATTCTGGTGTGCATCCTGCTGGTCGTCGTCGATAGAGGGCTGTGCGGAATACAGATAATGCTGTTGGTGAGGCATGTTCGTTCATCCAGGAGACTGAATTTACGGGTGCAGTCGAAAGATTCCGACACGCCTGAAGCAGGTATGAGAAGAGAAGGCTTTAGGTACGCGGTAAATGCGGTTTCCCTTCGGCGGGCGTCAGAAGCGTCCAGTCCCACGTGGATCCTTGCCAAGATCGTTTGAGTTTTTATTATGCAGGCCAGCATTGATCAGTTCACGTTCATCTTGCCTAGAAATGCTTTTATCAGGGTATTCGATAGCTGAAATTCGCGCGTTTGCTAGCATTCAAGTTTTCGGTAGTTACCGAGCGCAGCCGCCCTCCCAAATAGCAGGTAAAGTTGATTTACGCGACCGAGTCTATATAAACATTTCGGTATACTTCCCCGGTACTTTCCAGGCTAGATCCTTATCGTGGTAGCCGATCATAATGATCTCCTTTAAACTCAGCGCGTTCTAAATATGTTGCTTTGCATATGCATTAAACCTTGCTTCCTTTTGAATTAGTAGGTCTAGCATTGAAACGGCAGACACTTTACACGCATTTGAGGGGTTGTTTAGACGTAAGGTAGTATTCTGCACGATGTCACTCTCTGTTGAACGACTTCACCTCGTGGCCGTAGCATCATGTAGGACCCGGAACTATATCCGGTTTTAGTGAGAGCCCCGTGCTTGTATATGTGTATGCCGAAAATAACCCGGCCAAAACTCCATTTCCCTGCAAGATGACTGGAAAAGGAAAAACGACAGACCACTCAATCTTCCTGTCCTACCTCAGGGGGGGCAGCCTACGTGGGACAAGGAAGGTCCGTCAATTCAGAGCGCACATAGTGTCGACGGAAGTCCAAGTCGCACAGACGTTTTCATTACTGAAATTTTTCCGAATGCTGTTTATGGGCTAACAAGTTTTTGCAGAATTGACAACTCAGATTATCAGCTGACGACAGACCTCTGGTTCTCTCTTTGTTTCTTGACACTTGTAAGCGTGGCAATCTGATCAGGACTTCCAAGCGTTCAGAGACCCAGTGAACCTATCCTGCCAAACAAATCATCCATGCCAAATTCACCCATTAGGCGAGCAACCTTGTCCCTGACAAATAAGACATCCTGTGAAACCATCACTCGGCACCCTCGAGATCATCTGCGTACGCCTGAGCATCATCTTCCCCAGAGGCAGCCGCAATGTAGAGTGCCACTAGAATGAGGGCGCGGTCATCAAGCTCGCTGCGCTTGGTGGCGGAGGGGCCGTTGTGGTTCTTGACCGTGAGCTCAACAGTGCGCCCGGAGAGGTCTGCAATCTCCTTGTGGTTTAGGGGCCGTCCTGAAACATCAACAAGACGGGCGTCAATGACGGGGACCCCGGGGTTGGCGCTTCGCCCATGGGCAGCGGCTTGAGGCAGCATTGTGCTGATCGCGAGCACAACCGTGTAGAGTGAATGGACAGAGACCATTGTGAAGTAATGTATAGAATTTGATGATGATGTCTTTGATGAGTTTGTCGGGGGAAAATATGTATAACCAGCGATTGAAAACTGCGTCGAACGCGATCAAGACGTCTTCTTATATCATCTGCATCACAACAGGCCCATGCCATGTCGGCTATGGCCGAGCCCACTTCATAAGAATGCATGAGCCTGATGAGTATATAAGCACGGAAGCAGCAATCGTTTCATCCGAGGCCCTCACAAGCGGCAGAATATACGTTGCACAAGTCAAGGCAAAGGATACAGAGCTCCGAAGCTTGGGTGTCGGAAGAGACTCGGAAACCTGGTTTCCACGGTCTTCCTGCAAGTTTGACCTGCACCTCAGGGGGTCGCGTTGGTGCGGAACTCCAGCTTACGATTCTTGCTTGACACGCAATCGTTGGTTCCCGTTTCTACTCGGCCAAGAGCAACCCCGCGCTTGCAAAACTCCTAAAATGGCTTTGAAAGATAGTAGCATCAAAGCTTGTGCAGCGAGTAAAGCGGCCGAGTAAGTTTGAACATGATCCAGATTTTCGTATCTAGTAGTGGAAAGCCGGAACAGGTGCTAGGGGAGACCGGGAATACTAAGCATTTTCTTCAACACCAAGAGCTAGCTAATGCACATGTTTACACACCCAGCCATGTTTCCGTTCGACATGCAATTTAGTTGGGTTTACAGGTCGGTCAAACCTCAACACGAGGCCTCCGATCATGGGATCAGAATATACTCTCAGTTAGGCTCCAAGACCCATGATGGCGTGAAAATAGGCCGCAGATCTGCGCTGTGGAAAATGCGGTGACGAAGTGACAGTGTGCTTTGTTTTGCTTCGTGATTGATACCCTCCTCTTCTGACCTCTCGATCAGATCCACCTTGGAATCTCCCCGACCAACTGTTTGACCCTACCTTCTGCTAATATCCGACTGCATTGGTTTCGATTCAATCCGTTTTCTCGCCGGCACCTGGAACTCATCTGGCTCGGGTTTTCCATCCTGGATTCTTTGAGCTTTTTTCACTTCTGCTCTTAACGAACACTTCCTCACGGTGTCAGGCTGGCACCTAATTACATCGCGGCCGTGGTTAAGTCTTGGTCAACGTGACCACGTTGCTCTACTCTCTTATCCAATCTACTGAGATAACTACTAGATATCTTCAATGATGGAAAAGACACAAGACACGAACGATGGTGCGGCTGGGAGATGCTCATTGAGCTCCGAGTCTGACTCGACTTTGGGCCTTGATGTGCCTCTGATTCAGACTATAAGGTCCAAGAGGACCACCGCAGCAAATCCAAGGAGCTGTCTCTATTGTCTCAGTCTCTTAGCCAATGTCGCCCTTGTGAGCATCAGCATCATACTGTACCTGTCATCTAGGGACTCTCTTCGCCTCGCCAGGCTCGTGCCACAATCGATCGGGGACATTGATTCTATTTGTGAGTGGGACCTGCCCACGTTCTTTTGTCAATGTCTGTTCGCAGTGGTACGAGAATGGAAATGACTGACCCGGGGCCAAACTTAGCTCCGGCCTGGGAAGCTGTGTAGGTTATGATCAACACCATTTTGTCTATCAAATTCAGCACTTGAGGTTCCTCCTAGAAATGATGGCAAATCTGGGCTCAATGGGAGTCATCACTACCCTGTCGAGTCACCAAGCTGACTGACCCACCTCCCAGGGAATACATTCCATTCGTGTTTCAGAGACTCGTGGACCCACCTACAGAGTATCAGGGCTTTCCAAGTGACGAGCTCGACGCAAGATGGGAAGACCTTTATGCTGGTGCGTGATTGTGGATTGAAGTTATGGCGAGTCCGGCAGCTGACGCTGTGTACCTTCAGCCCCAATGAACAACGCCGTCGAAAAGGAAAAGGCCATGAAGCTTGCCAACAAGACTTTGCACGTCCCTTTACCGGGTTTGGAGGATAAGTACATGATGCTACTCGATGTTTTCCACCAGCTTCACTGTCTGGTATGTTCTTCCAATTCAATAACGCCTCCAAAGTGTCGTGGACGCTGATTCTCAGGTGTAAAAAGGATGAATTCCGGAAGCTTCTGTACCCAAAACACTACAACTCGTCGTTCGTCGCCTCAGATGGGGTACATTTAAAATACTGGGATTGGTATCATATGGGTATGCCGGCCCTATTGTGATCCACAGTCCTCATTCCCTGGATTTGGGCCACAGTAACCCGCTGACGACCAATTTCCCTCTCGTAGACCACTGTGTTGAGTCTCTCCGCCAATCAATTATGTGTCACTCCGACGTTGCAGTCAACACATTCGTTTGGAAAGCTTCTAAGATCATGGAGCCGAACCTTGGCACACTCCATGTCTGCAGAAACTTCACCAAGATACGCGAGTGGGCTATGGAACGAGCGGTTGAAATCACCCGTGCCGACAAGCAGAAAAGGGTAGAACATGGGCGCATCGTGGACTATGGGCTCACTTACGCCAACGCGGAGGATCTTGCAGAGGCTGATGACTTGTGGGGGGCACCTGAGGATTGGCTGCAATACACCATTGATGATCTGTGACATTGTGACAAGCCATCTGGCTCTAGCAAGCTGTGGCTTGCATGGCGTCATCGACAAAGGTAGAAGGGTGTTTACGCAACTTGAGCTTCTCATCAGTGAAAGTTGACGACCAACTTGGTACAATATGGATGATTTCTTCATGCTATTTGTCTTGTGCGAATTAAATTCCGGGTGGTTCAGATGTCTGCAAATTGATCGAAATGCCCGAGAGTCTGACCGAGCTCCCTCATCTGGTTTCCGGTTATGAGGAGATCACCGAAAGGATGAGTTACTGAAATTTCAGGCGGAGGAATAGTGTTCGGACATCTCATGCTCCACGCTGTACGCTATTGTCGACGACTCCTACAATTCAGATGAGAAATTGCCCACCAAATCATTTCCATTGCGAGAAATACTAGTACTATTACATTTCGCGCTCTTTAAATTTCGCACTCTAGGGCTGCTACACATTTCTTCATAAAACCCCAACATTGAGCATTTTTCATGAGATATCAGCAATGTTGGTGAACGAAAACTTGTATTTAGCTGGCCAGCTAATGGTGCGAATTCAAGTGTTTGAACTCAACAAAGCTAAAGGAGTGCATGACCAAGCTCACTAATCGAGAGCCAGGCTCGTGTCAGAGCGCAACCTTTTTTTTTTTTTTTTTTCAAATGAAGATAATAAAACAGAGACTTCATTGCATCCGATCCAGCTCACTGGTATGAGCAGCACCCTTGTATCTCTTCCCTCGGATCTCATTTCAGTCCTCCTTGGCCAAAACGGCTTACTTGTGCGCAGCACCACCGGCCTGAGCAGCCTTGGCAGCCTGAGCGGTAGCGATGGACTCCGCAAGCTTAGCCGGGTCGATCTTATCCAAGTCGAAAGGAGCATCCGAGAGTTTGGCATTGCCATTCTCGTCGACGGCGTCCTCATACTCCTGTGGGAAGATGATCCATAGGAAGTCCCAACGCTTATTAACATCGTGTTTGGCCACAGATAAATCTCCCTTTGGATTAGGTGTAAGTCATTGTTGGAAGAGGCATCGTTCGTTCATGGTCGGGTAATGAATACTTACAACGGGGGCGGCGACCACTGCCTGTCCAATGCACAGGGCTGCAACAGTGACGCGAATGATTTTGAGTGACACCATTGTGGAATCAGTTATTGAACGTAGGGATTTATATTTTCTCTCCGGTGTTTATGAGTGTAGTTTGGCAGGCAGAGGGTTCAGTCATTGATTGTGCGGTAAACTGCCCGGGTTTGGAGACCCTTTAATCTTTTCTTTTTATTCAAAGTATCAATCCTGCGCACAATTTTGCAAGCAGCTTCATCTGCACAGTTCTGGAAGTCATGGCTGCTATCTTGTCGGGGCCTTTCGATAGAACACGTCATTAAGGGTGCAGAGAACTCATGAGAGGGAAAGCTTAGAAGTGAGAGAGAGATTAGACAGGGTATAATGTTTACCCCATCACACCGTGTTCCTTCAACGTATGTTTTCGATATATGCTTGGTAAGACATCGGTCCGCCCAGATAAAGGATTGTACTCCGAGTCTAGACCCAAACATCCATGAAATGCAGACTGTCCATCAACTAACAAAGTCTGAATACGAGGCTACACATATTCATCAGGAAAGCACCCCGGGAAATGCAGTTTACCCTCGATCTCGGTCACCACATGATTTTTTGCCGCACTAACAATCTCACGCTATTGAACTGATCACATCTCTTAGCTTATTACACGCGTCTGAACAAATTTACTTTCGCAATCTCATTCGCTGTCCCATGAAATTTATTTTAACCCTAGTTGCAGTATCCCTTCGCAGAATCTTATTTCACCAACAGTCAACCAATTACAGAATGAAGTCCGTACCTAACACCTCAAGCATCACAGCATGAGCCTTTTCATTTGATCACATGCATTCAGTAAATGCGGGGTTGAATCTTTTCATTTGCGGTAAAACCTTTCACTAGAAAGACAAGAGACAATCGCTGCAGGTGGTAATGGCATACTATGTTCCCTCAGATGGTATTAAGTCCGCTAGCCTTGACTGTGGACCCGACGGTTGAATTAACGTGACGAACAATCTGCCGAAGTCATTAGTGGGAGACGAGAAAGTTTGTTCAATTATTTTGGTAGAAGGGGCTTCCTGTAGTCGCCAAGTTGATGGTTGAAGCGTACCCTCAAGCGCATTGTGATAGATGTGATACGGCGGAAATACCGCCGCGAAGCCAACTATCCCAGCCATAACTTGTGGCCTCAAACCAACAACACGTCCTCTCTTAGGTACGAGCAATGGTATCGCCTAATGGACGTATCAGTTTTCAGTAGAGGTTCTCAGCCAGTGCTACGCTGACCCCACCGCGACAATGGAGTCGACAAGCTCATAGTGTGGATTCATCCCGCCAAGGAACAGCGAATTTTACAGTAAGACGGGTAAAAATTGCTTTTACTTCTAACGCAGGAAATTTTGGGAAACATGTAACGCCAAAGTTATCATTGAAATACACAGTGCTATGATTCAACATGACCGTGAACAGGACCCCACTTAGCACGGTGGGTGAGGCGAAAACCAAGTGAATCCCCGCTAGGTTCCTTGCTGTGACTGATCTGCCTATTTGACATGCCAGTGGGTATCGGTGCCGGGTGCCGGTATGAACAAGTTGTACATTTCGCCATGTTCTTGCAAATACTCTTTTATCTTGGTGAAATTGCGACATGTGTGTAATGTGGAGAAGTCGGCAGCCGGAGAGCCATGTTTCCACTCGGGCGCGTAAAGAGTCAGTGGAGTGACATCAGCGGTGCACATCAAACGTGTTCGAAGAACCTCTAGACAATGATCTACGAATATTATCAGAAGGTTAGCCAATCCTTTTTGCGGTGGAGCATCAGAAGGTGGTCGTGCCTATGTGGATTCGCTCTGCTTTTTGTGACGCGGCTGATGGGTAGTACCCGGGCCATGTCGACGCCCAAGTTGCCTTTCGGAGGAAGTTCTGTGGTCTACAGTCAATAAACACTTGGGCAATGATCAGTATTTCTCTGGTGTCAGAATGCTTACAAGACAGTGTAGCTGATGAACCACCTCCACCGAGATAGGAATCTCGTCCGTGTGATGCTCCGGAACGGTGAACAACTCATGCGGGATTTCTCCAATAGCATCCAATCTAGTGAAGTATTCGAAGTCGATGGTCGTGGAGGAGCTCTTATTGATATTGACCAATTCCTCCTTCCGCATACGTATTGTTCCAGCGCTCCCGCCGGTGATCTCTTCCCAAGCAACGTCTACTTCCTTGTTCGGGGGTCCAGCCCATTCCGTAGTGGGCTGTCGCCATGGTGATGGGGCCAGGAAGTCTCCATCAAATGTAATCTCATGGTATTCAATAACATTCTCTCGAAACAGCGGTGCTAGGATCATAAATCTGCTCGTCAACAACAAGTCATGAAAGGAACTCTAACGGACAGCAAAGAAAATGGATCTTTGAGAATGGAGAGGGGTGTAGTCTTACACCATGTTGAAAGGATCAATGCACAGTTCGCTGGACGTGGACGCCCGTACCACACTCCTGCTTGAAAACTGGCAATGATTAGAAATGTTGAAAGGGCTAGTGTTCTGATCGACCGAGACCGTGAAGCAATTCTTTCACAATATTTCGTAACAAGCGATTTCGACTTTGTTAGGGAAGTCGGATCCTCATCGCTGAGGGAGCATGAGTCTGGGATGGCCACATAGAGAGGCTGCATGAGGCCCATCTTGGAATACGTTGAGGCAACTGATGCAAGCAGCAAGCGCGGATCGACAAAAAAAAAGGAAGAAGAACGTATTCGTGGCGCCTCCTGATCCACGGGGTCAATTTTTTGGCACCGTTCATTCTACTTCGTCGCCCACCAATCAGTATGACGATGACTCTCAGCCAGTTGTTCTGCTGAAGCAAACTGTGTGAAACTCAGTGTTGCGCTTATTTTCAACAGGGCGCTTACAAATTGACCGGCCCCACTCCGTTAACGTTATAGGTACAAAATTCCTTTTCAAAAACATTTTAACATTCGAGCAGCATCAGCAATCACGGCTTTCGAGGACGTCAGCCCTGGAGTTTATTCAATAAGGGGCGTCAACATTTAGATAGTTACTCATAAAGGTACCTGGGCAGTCTCTCACGAATAACCTGGAACTTCCCGATGGCCGACGACTAAACTTGAAAAGGTAGGTGAAAGGACGGCTGACGGACCGGAACTTGATGCCATGCCATTTAGATCTATGGTGGGAGGAACTCTATAGTCGACAAGTTTTCCGCCCACGACACCAAGCAAGGATGATCAGGACGAGGGGAGTCCCGAGCTGACGAGCCAGAAAACTGCCTTGACACAAACACTACAAATGATTTCAATCAGATCATCTGAACATGCAGTGATTGGAAGGCTACATTAGCATTCCCCGTGAATCTTAAATTTATCTCCGCAGGGGGAAATAAACGTTAAATGAGGTTGTAGTTCTTGCCATTAGCTGACTAGGTCCACAGGGTCACCCCTCGGCGAACTTTCTACTATGAGCAATTTTTCACGGCAGGGTAAATAAACAACGTTTATTACCCCTGTGTAGGTACAAGTTGTTTGACAACTATCAAGCTCGTATAGCTAAAACTAATTTGGGCTCGGTCAGGAATCCGAGACTCGCTGCAGGAACTCGGGCTGTACCGGTATGAGCCGCGGTGAGTCCGCCGGCCCCTGGTCCGTGACTGGCTCCGCCCTGCGGACCTGGACACATTGTTGCTCTCGCAACCTGTCTATGATTGCTGCTAAAGGGTTTGAGTAACGGTGTCCCTATGGAACAACTGGTGCGGTGGGCTTTTGGTGAACAGTTCGGTTTGCTGTCTGCAACACTATTCAGTGAGAATTTTCCCTGTCGACCACCCCACGAAAGAAACTGCTTTCGCGATTTGAGCGCCACTCATCATGTCTACCAGCAGGTCATATTGCGGTCAAGATTTCGCGGACGGGGACTGTGAGCCGTCCTCTTCCTTGCTTGCCTCTACCGAGAACGAATGTGATGGTCTCCCACAACCTACATCATGCCGCTCGAGGGCCCAGCTCCTCAAGAAGATGCGAATCGTTATCATCATACAATCTGTCATTAATGCCATAACAATATTGATTCTGGCATATTTTGCCGTTTATGGATGTCAAGTTGTGTCTTGCTCTCCTACATCAACCGGCTCATGTGACGTCTCACACATGTCGACTTCCCTTGCGAGGCCGACGTCGGCTGTCGACACTATCCATCCAGATTACCGTGAGTCGTGAGATTTCATGTCTTCTGACCTAATACATCATTCGGAACTCATGAAAAGTATTATAGCCCCCACCTTCGACCCATCACTTGGAGGGGACAGGTATCTTCAGTACAGTACGTACGAGCTCCATTGCGTATGAAGAGAGATAGCCTGAGAGCAACGGGAGCTAAATATCGTTGATGACCGCGAAGCCCCGAAATCAGCGGCAGATAGCATCCAATATGTCGACCAAGTTTTTAGCCTCGGTACGTGGGCCAACGCTACGGAGTACCAGGGCTGGCCTAATGATGAGAACGAGAGACTATGGAGCGACCTCTATCTCAACAATAGTGGGTTCCGCAATACAACCATTGCTCCAGAGTTATACAGGAGGAAGTTAACATACGAAATTGACAGGAGCAGCTACGACCGAAGTCCCTTGGGAAGAATACGCGACTCTTCTGAATTCTTCGAACCGTGTTCCCATACCAGGACACACGGACAATTTCTTCGTTGGCCTGAGCATTTTCCATGTACTTCACTGCCTGGTAGGTTGCACAGGCCTAGAGGCGTGGAATCACACAGAAGCTGAGAGGAACAGGATGACGTTCGCAAGGCCTTCTACCCCAGGAGGTATCCCGATATGTCCATGGTAAAGCCAGACGGGACGCTGAGTTTCAAAACATGGGCCCATGTGGGTATGTATTGCGGCATCTAGGTGTTTTTAATACCTCTATAGGATATGTATTACTAGTTAACTAACGTCCTTTGGATCAGACCACTGCATAGATTCAGTTCGCCAACAACTCATGTGCCAGGCTGATATTGCTGCCTTCACATTCGACTGGCGGGCAGAGAAGATTCTCGAGCCCATGATCGACACGATTCACGTCTGCCGCAACTTTACCAAAATTCAGGAATGGGCCGAGAATCATTACGTGAATCTGACAAACGCAATGAAGAAATTACACGTCGAGCAAGGAGAGATTGTGAATTATACAGGTACATACAACCCCGAGGAATTTCTTGTGGAGAATGAGAATACGTATGCCCCGGAATGGTGGTTGAATCTGCAGGTCAAGGACTACTTCGACGACAATACTCTGTCTGCAATTAGCAAAGAATTATCACGACATTAGGAATGACGCTGGTGCGATAGCTTCAAGGACCACTGCAGATGTCTAGGTACTTTCCATAGTGGCAAATCCCAATCATGGTTCAACATTCGGATGAGAGAGCGACCACTTTACCCCAATTCCCATAGTTGCTCAGGTAATGTGCAAGCCCCATCTCGCGGGGTGACGTCGCTGAAGGTCTTGATCAACCCAGGGAACCTTGGGAGGAAATTCTGAGGGGTTTGTTTCACGTTAGAGCGGATCAAATGTAGGAAAGTTTGAGGGTCCCAGAGCAGATTAACTTTCAGCCCTTCGACGAAACATATTATATTTACACAGGTTCTGGTACGTATCATACAACACTCGCTTTTTGCAATTAACGAGGTTCTCGCATTCGCGAACTCTAGCAATCGTGGAATTACTTTCGTTCTAGTGGCAGCCGATACTACATCATCCGATCTCCCTCTCACCGCAAACTATGTATGTGACCAACGACGATCTCACGAGAAGTACCTTTGTTACTTGCCGTAAACTCCGATGGATACCTCATGTATTGGTATGTATTACTAGCACCATTTGAACCCAAGAATAAGAGCATGGGCTGTGTGAAGAAAGGTTGCGCCTCAACGCCGAGCCCCCTCCGATTGCGACCTCATACTTCACCGTAGATTTCCGAGCGGCTGAGCATAGTTCAATTTATGAGTCATTGAAGTGGTGCTGCTGAGACGAGACAACCACGGTACCAACGTAGATCGTCAAGCCCACGCGTCTGTTTGATCTCAGCAAGCTAGAAGATTTCTAGTGACGTCCAGAAGACGCGGTGTACACGAAGGAGGAGGCAATGCGATCTTAGAGAGAGAAAAGCCATAAAAAAAGTTCTTAGGGCAACTAAGCCACAAATCAGACCAAGACCAGCGACTGCAGTGTACAGCCACTGTAGTGTGCAAAATGAGAGAACAACGACAACAATCTACTTGTCGAGGCCGTGAGGAAGCGGTTTTATCTGTGATGCGATGGGTTGAAGAAGCTTGTCGTTTCTCAACCGGTTGGGCCTTGCGGCACGGCAAATCCATACTGCTCTTTTTCCTTCCATCGTTTATTCGAAACATCATTGCTGATCCAGTATCCGAAGATGCGTTCTCAACGCCACGCAGAGACGGCGGTTCATCTACGGAAAAAGACCACAATCGGCGACATGCACACCTGGACGGACTCAGAGGCCTCGCGGCCCTGTCGGTCTTCGTGTTTCACCTTTTCTCCCCGTTCGACCTGACACTAGGCTCTGGGTATGGCCCTGATGCATCAACTCGGACTCCTCTCAATCTTCCCATCATCCGCCTGATCCATTCCGGTCAGGCCATGGTCAAGGTGTTCTTTGTCATATCTGGGTTTGCCCTGAGCGTCAAGGCCGCGGAATACATCACCTCGCCACATTCCGCTATGGGCTCCGCACAGCTTCATCAACATGTCGCAATGTCCATCCTCAAGCGTGCAGTTCGACTTTTTCTCCCGCCAGTGGTCACCACCTTCTGTGCGATGTGCTTAGCATACGCGGGGGCTTTTATGACCAGGAGAGAGATTATGGAGCTCCCAACGGGGCTGGTGTACTTTGGGATCGTTCGTCGTCAAACCTTCAGCCTCCAGCTATTGGACTGGGTCAAATTCGTCACGTGCAGGCTGATGAACCCATGGGTCTGGCTTGATCGTGGGTGGCATTTGGGACACGCAGAGAAAATGGACGATTTCTCAATATATGGGCCGCACCTTTGGACCATCCAAACTGAGTTCAGGTGCTCTATGGTCCTCTTCCTCGTCCTGATCGCGATGTCACGGATCCCACAAAGACGACTGCAAGAGCTCTTGTTGCTGTCGATTGTCATTTACTGCGCGACTTGGGGTCGATGGGATGTTGCCTTATTTATCAGCGGAATGTTGTGTTGCCTGGTCAGCGCAAGACAGCATGTGGGGCTTCCCGGGGCAGAGATATTTCCCAACAACGGTCTTCAAACTGAGATCGAGGCTTCTCAGGTGCCAAGTCCACACGCTGTCCCAAATACGAACTTAGGACTCGACCAGTATAACATTGAGGCATCGAGTGAGGACAACCACGAGGACCCTGTCAACGAGGTGCATTGGCTCGACTCATCCTGGTGGGGACGGGGAAAACTACCCCTCTCTATCAGAACATTTCCTCGACAACGCTGGTTCTATCGACTAACCTTTTCCTCCCCCACAAACCTCAGCTGCAGTATTCTAACGTTTGTACTGCGTCGCTCATTACATTGGACAGCACTCATAGCAAGCTTGTGGCTTCTGTCCTATCCTGAGAGGGTAAGGCAAGAAACATTAGGATTTGAGACCATGCGAAGGATTAGCCCAGACCCTGACTTGTGGCAATCAATTGCCGCTGTCATGCTCGTCTCTACTGTTACGAAGATGCCTTCAATACGTCGTGTCCTCATGTCTTCCATACTTCAGTACCTTGGCAAAATCTCTTTCGCATTTTATCTTGTTCACGTACCGGTTCTCGAGTCTGTTGGATGGCGGATAGCTAACACGTGGAGGGTGGCGGCACAAACTCTGCAAAATGGGAAAGACGTGGGAAAAACTACAGTTTTCTTAAGTTCAACTGTCCTCTCGGTGGCGGCACATGCCTTCATGTTTGCTTATGTGTTGTTAATCGTTATATACTTTGCCGACCTAGTTTGGATATATGTGGACAAGCCAACCATGAAGTTACTATATAGGTTACAATGAGCTCTTATAAGGTAATTAAAGTTTCTATAAGTCTTATTAGTTTATTAATACTAACATTAATAGTGCTAAGTTTACATTAATTTATACTAGCTATAGAGCCGGGCCTAGCGGCTCTAAGAGTGAAGAGAGTTATGCTAGCCGCATGATAATATGCTATAGCTTATTACTGCGTGATATATTAAATGAGCGGCTTAGTACAAAGTTACCTATTAAATGGAATGAGAACTAGTAAAGATATAATTTAAGTTAAGAGATATAATAGGCTTTATACTTAGTGTCGATACACTTATATAAGACCTAGATATATATTTAGACTCTATTAACATGAAGCCGAAGAGCTTGAATGATAAGAGCAGAGTTGATCTACGTACAGCGTGAAGTAAGAAGCTTAAATCAGGTAGAGATATTAGTACTAACCAGCGGATGTGAGCCCTCGGTTCCACTGCCGGCAACGTGCTCCGTAGATGGCCTTGTCGCGCGGATTCTTTAAAGCAATACCTGGTAGTAAAAGGTCATACAACTGCAAATGTTTCGTAGATTAGTGTATATGAATACGGACGAGTAACAAGATGGATATATGATTTACCTCAGATTTCCTACGTTCGGAATGTGGGCAATCGGTAATAGTCATGAACACATCGGGATTGAGACAGCCACTTCATTGGGACCTACTGCAAGAGTCAACCAAGACTATTGAGCACCCCTAACATATCACGGACCTGTTTTCACAAAGTCCCCGTACATTTATGAAGGCGGAGCAGTAGCAGACGAGATCATTTTTTGAAGATCTGCATCCCCACATGTGCCAAAGTTCGCTGACACAAGCAAGACGGGGTCCAGGAAAGCGAGCTGTGCTTAGACGATGAAGAAAGACGCGATAAATCACCATGCTGAGCAACAGACCAGGCACGTAGCCCAAATCTACAGAGAGTATGGCGTTGAATACCTGGCTTACGAGGAGGTTCTTGGCCATGAAGAGGAGGAAAAATGATAGCCATGTGCTACAAGAATCTGACTCGCCTGAACATGCCATTCGCCGTGGATAAAGAGTCCGTAGTGTGCAGCAATGCCCACGAGCACTCCAAGGCTGTAGAGGCCGAGCTGTTGAGCAGATTGGGCTATCGCAGAACACATGATGGGCATCTGGGGGATAGAGCATCACAGATTTGGACCAGGGTCTTTGCTCGAGGACGAGCGTAGGTAGGCTTTTCAATAGCAGACTAGCGCGATGATATTATTATAATGCGCACACCGGCCTGTCTCTGACAGTGCAAATTACTGTGGGCCCAACAAACAAACGACCAACCGCCCCAACATGTCAGCTGAGGCTTCCCACATTTATATATAATCTCCATAGTGTTGCACCTGGTGACTTGCACGCTGTTCCATTCACTCGTATTGCAGGGATTATTCCGCCCATTCCACCCCCACAAACACTGCAACGACCAGCTTATTACTGAAGCCATGTCTGCTTTCACCTGCCCCGAAGCAGAATGCCTGGTGTCTGCCGGCCTTCAGTCCCGGATTCTCCTACCGGCTGATGACGAATATGCGACCCGAATCAACTCGTACTGGTGCAACAGCGCCAAGCTCCGTCCAGCCTGCATCGTCCAGCCGCAGTCGAGCGCGGAGGTCGCTACGGCCATCAAGGCCCTGGGCGCCGCGGTGCAGCCATTTGCGATCCGTGCCGGCGGCCACGGCAACTCCGGCGGCCACGGCCACGCCGCCAACAACAACGTCGACGGCGGCGTCCTCGTCGACCTCGCGCACCTCGCCACCACCGAGTACGACACCGCGACCCAGATGGCACACCTGGGCCCGGCCGCCCAGTGGAAGACCGTCTATGAAGTGCTCGAGAAGCACGGGCGAGTCGTCGCCGGGGCCCGGGAGGCCGAGGTGGGCGTGGGCGGCTTTCTGCTCGGCGGCGGCAACACGTTCCGCACTGGCCGCTATGGCTTTTCGTGCGACAGCGTGGTCGCGTACGAGGTGGTGCTGGCCGACGGGCGCATCGTCACCGCCGACGCGACAGGGCCCCATGCGGACCTCTTCCACGTCTTGAAGGGCGGCGGAAACAACTTTGGCGTCATCACCCGCTTCACCATGGCGACCATGCAGAGCGGACCGCTCTGGGGTGGCTATGTCGTTCGGCCTGTGGACGTGTTCCCCGCCGCCGCGGATGCCATCGTCGACTTTACGGCGAACCAGCTTCCACAAGACCCGGACAGCACCCTCAACTTCACCGTCGCCCACATGCCTCGTCTTGGTGGAAGTGCGGTGGTTACTATCTGCACCAATGTGGCGGCCGTCGAGGACCCCCCTGCCTTTGCCCAATTCCGGCAAATGCCCGAAGTGGTTAACAACATAAAGGTGACGTCGCTGCAGGAAGTGCTGCCGTACGCCTCCCTACCGTCAGCTTACTAGTACGTTTGTTACACTCTGACACGGGACCCCGACCCCCTGCTGATGTCTTTTAGCAACATTTGGTACACTCTGACCTTCAAGAATGACGCCTCCATCATCCTCAAGGCCAACGAGCTCCATACACAGCTCGCCGCCGACGTAGGGGCCAAGGTAACAGACGGCGACTTCACAACCCATCTCTCCTTCCAGCCCCTTCCCAAGACGCTCACGCAGCGGTCCAAGACGAGCAACATCTTGGGTCTCGACACCTATCCCTACGACGCCATCTTGATCCAGGTGAACGCCTCTGTCCGCACATCGGAACTGGCCACATGGGCGCAGCCACGGGTCAAGGCATTCATTGACCAACTTGGCGAGTTCTGCTCGACAGTCGAGGGCGGGCTCTGCCCATGGCTTTACATGAACTATGCCCATGCGGACCAGAAGGTCTTGCAAAGTTATGGACCTGACAATGTGAGGAAGCTGCGCGAGGCAGCGGCTAAATATGATCCAAGCGAGGTTTTTCAACGTCTTTGTGTTGGAGGCTTCAAAATATCGCTGGTAAGGGGTTGAAAGCTAATATTAGGACCTACGCTAAATAGCTCATTATAAAATGAGGTTTATAACAACTATCCTTGTATTTCAAATCGATCCAGGAAATAACGCTATTTATTCCCTATGTGACCGAAGGCAATATATAGAGGCATGTATGCTAAAGGCACCTCAGCCACCACCCTTGATGTCTCTTTCCTTCAACATCTGGCGCGGCAAGCAAGAATCGGACTCTCCACCACCACAGCTCCCGGCATAGTTACGATTGCGCAAGCCCAACAAGGCTACGCAGCAAATTTGATGCGCATACTGCAGCACATACCAGTGAAGAACGCGACTGATCCTCGCGAAACAGCCTCGCCAAAACAAAGCACCACAGTCTTCTATCCACGAGCCTGGTAACATGTCCACCCTTTCGATCCTTCAAGTCCTGGATCTGCATCGTCGTGAGCACTGCGCCACTGATGATTGTGATCTACAGATGGCCGTGCGAGCTGATGTCGGCCTAGCCCCCAAGGGCAAGCCGCCGGGACCTGTGGTCGAAGACGGCACACCTAACGGCGATGAGTAGCTCTCGGACCAGGACCTCGTTTCCGCTCTCAAGGTCGTTGTAGAGCCAGATGCCCACCTGCATGCCGATTGGCTACTCAATCCAGGGTTTCCCTTCGGAGAACTTCCATGCTAATCGTCCGCAGAGTGGATCTCCAACTCGAAGGATTCGTGATATGTCACATATTCCGAACCACGCCACAACCAGGCAGCTTGGGCAGCTGCAAGGCCGGGGCCCAACGTGCATTTGTTCAGTTGCCAACATGGTCATGTTGCTGCTGCTGCAGCATTTGCATTTCAATCACAAGTTGACGCCGCCAAGATGTAGGAGCACTGATACGTCACCGAACCCAGTGCGCCATACGACGACAGCTGTCCAGTGCGCTACCAACAAGGTAGAGTAGGACCTCTTGGATCCACGCTGGAGGCTCATCTGCCAATAGAACTTGGCAGAAAAGGTACCTTTGCATGGTACTACTACGTAGGTGCTTAATGTACAGTTACAGGCTGGCCTGCAGTCACCTGGGCATCCACGTTGGAGGCGGCTGGCGATAGGCAAGTGACCACTCACAACTTATGCAGTTGGTTCCAGCCTCAGCCCATTCGGACACGGGCAAAATCTTCGCGCGGGCATGTAGGCCACCTGTCTCAACCCTGTCCGCATCTCCAGACCAAATGTCCATCGTGTATTTACGTGTATCAGGCGAATTCCATCACCTTCCATCATAGAGCAAAGACACAAGAATGGCGACCAAGGAGACTACAGTTTTCATCACGGGCGCCAACCGAGGTATGATATGAGCGAGGCCTTCGCCACGCTTTCTACGGAACGGATATGACTGATGATGCCTGGTATGCATTAGGCATTGGTCGAGCCCTTGCTGAGGCGTACTTGTCGAGACCAAACCACGTGGTCATTGGCAGCGTTCGCAACCCGGACACCACCACGCTCAGAGACTATGTTCCCGCCCCCGGCAGCAAGCTCCTTTTGGTCAAGATCGAGGCCACCTCGCTCTCGGACCCTGCCGAGGCCGTTAAGCAGCTCGGGACTGAGGGCATCACGTCTCTCGACATTGTCATTGCCAACGCGGGCATCAACCCCGTCAGCGCCTTCGCCCCCGTGGCCAATATCCAGCCCGAGGACTTCCGCCGCCTCTTCGAGGTCAACGCGCTGTCCTTTGTAACCCTCTTCGGGGCCCTTCACCCCTTGCTCCTCGCGGCCCTGCCGTCGCCGCCGAAGTTGCTCGCAATCACGTCCAACGCCAGCCAGTTGGGCGACGTGCTGCCCTTGCCGGTGGCGAGCTACGGGGCAAGCAAGGCGGTGCTCAACTACCTCGTCCGCCACATCCACGTCGAGAACCCGTGGCTGACGGCGTGGATCATGAACCCTGGCTTTGTGCAAACAGACACTGGGTACGAGGCGGCCAGGGCAGCGGGCATGGAGACGCCGCCTCATACGCTGGCCCAGAGCACGGATGGTTTGCTGCAGAAGCTGGACAGTGCCACGCGGCAGGCGACCTCGGGCAATTTCTACAACTTTGACGGCACGGAGTTATCGTACTGATCAGTGGAATCTTCCACTGTGGAGGCTTGTTGCGTACCAGGGAGGACAGAGGGCAGCCCGCAGCCTTGCAACCCTAAGATTGCAGCCCTAGAACTGCCTGAGAATGTTTCAGAAGCCGTCTGTAGGGACGATTAGGGTTGGCGTTACTGTGATGAAGACAGAATGTGGGCAATCAAATGAATGGACGATTGCCTTTTCTCCAAGACACACGGTTACTTTGAGAGTGCGTAGTCAATTCCATGTGCTGGCTAAATATTTTGCGTGTCTGCCGCCAACCTTCAGGCACCACGTCAAGGGCGTAGGGGGCAGAGAAGGCCTGCCTCACGGGTATATCCAATTCTACAATCCCATCCACATCGCACCCGTGGACGTAGGTAGTCTGCATCATGTAACTATGAGCAAATCTCTCGTTTCATAGTTCCTCTGTGCACAAGAGCCCGTCTCCTTAACATGAAGCCGCGATATCTCTGCCTCTTTGCTGCCATAGCCGTGTCAGCCTTCCACAGCCCGTCTCTGGCTGTCGGTCAAAGACGCAGAGCCAGCTGCAACAACAGCACCTGTCGTTGCTTTCCAGGTGACGCGTGTTGGCCAACGGCACAAGACTGAGATGATTTTAACAAGACCGTGGGCGGCTGTCTAGTCGCCACAGTCCCCGTAGCCGCCGCATGTCACGACAGCGCCTTCGCCGCCTACGACACCAAAGCCTGCGCGGCCCTCTGCGTGGTGTGGTGGTGGCCACAGACACACTACGCCACCTCGACTAGATCCATTAGTTTTAACGGAATAAGGCTATTAAATAATATTATTAAATAAATTAAAAAAGTAAATAAATATTAAAAAGAGATATTATATTAATAAGTTAGTATTTACTCACTTAGTAAGTTAGTTTACACACCTAACGTTTTACTTTTATATACTTAATACCTTTTTTTATATATATAACCTATAAAACACTATATACCTATTAAACCTACCTTATAGTAACTTTAAAAATTATATATTAAGTACTTTCTTACTATTATACTTTTATAATAAATATATTACTTAATAAAAATAAAGAAAATTAATTTATATTAATTAAATTAAGTATTTATATATTTATTTTTAAATTAAATAAAAATAAAAATTCTTCTTTTAATTAAATATAATAATCTTTTATTTTAATATTTAATTATTATTTATTTTATTATTCTATTATTTAAATAATAATTATATTAATAATTA